TAGTATAAAAGCTTATTATAATTAGTACTTATATTAATATTAGTATAACTAGTAAGATAACCCCTAAATAAATTAGAGAGATTTATAGTACTAAGGCTTATAAACACTAAGAAGTTACTAAAACATTTAAATAAATTTAATAATATTAGAATATAAGTTACTTAAGCTAAAGTAGCTTTTATAATTAAGGATTATAACATATACAAAAAAAGCAAAAACAGTTTATATAAACTACATAAATAATTACAATTACTACTAATACTACTTAAAGCATAACATTTAATCTCTCTAGACTTTATAGTTAAACTCTTAAAGTTAAAAGAACTACTTAATAAAGTCTATTATAATAATATGGTAGTTACTATTAACTAACTAATAAAATATATATACTTTATTCTTTACTTGAAAGTAAATATAATAAAAGAATTAATATATATATTCCTTAAGTATATTATTAGTAACTATAAGCTACTAAAAGAAATTATTTTAAACAAAAACAAACTATTTACTTTTAAATTCTAGAAGTCTCTGGTTTTATAACTAAGAGCTAACTATAAACTATTAACTACTTTTTACCCTTAAACTAATAAATAAATAGAATAAGTTAATTAAATACTAAAATAATATCTATAATATTATATTAACTATAATTAAAATAATTAAGTATTACTACTACTAATAACCTAATTTACTTATAATAGTACTATTAAAAAAAGTACTATAAACTCCTTATTTTACCTTAATTATAGATTTTAACTAACTACTTATAAAGAACTATAATAAGGCTTATAAGTAAATAAAGCTATAACTAGTTAAAATAAATTATAAGAAATCTAAGAGAATACTATAAAAGATTTAGAATTTATTAAAATATAAATAGCTAAATACACTAATACTTTAAGGATAATAGAACTATCCTTTAAAAAAGGATATAATATATACTTACTACACTAAAACATTAAAACAAAATAACTAAATAATAAACTTAATTATAAAAACCTTAGACTTTTTAAAATTACTTAAAACATCTTAAACGTTAACTATAAACTTAACTTATTAAAAATAATAAAAATCTATTTAGTCTTTTGTATTATATTACTAGAACTAGTACTATAAGGATTAAATACTAATAACTATATTATTATAGACTTAAATAAACTAAAATATAAAGTTAAAAAAATCATTAATAAATAACATAAGAATAAAAAAAATAATACCTTATAAAATAAAAGACCTATAAAAATAAAAATAATATATAAGAACTAGTTAAAAACCTTTCATATTACTAAAAAATAATTTAATAATATTATAAAAAGGACTTAAAGGCCTTAGATTAATAAACTTTAAATTAACCTTTAGTAAGCTCTAGTCTAGAATATTACTTACACCTTAAGAAACAAAATTATATTTAACTTTAGCCTTTATCTTAGTTACTTCTTAATCCTTTACTTTTAATTTATCTAAAAATTATATATCTTATTAAATTAATTTAAAACTATAATCTTTTAAAAACCATTTTTATTTTTATAAATAAAAAAAACAACTTAAAGTAATAACTAATTAAGTCTAAAGAATATTTTTCTTTAGCTTTTTATTTCTTCTTTTTAATCTTTTACTATTTTATTAAATAATAGTTTACTATAGAATTAGTATTAACTATATATATAATAACTAAAAAACTTATAAATATTTATAATATTATTCTTATTATACTAAGTATAACTAATATAAATATATTTACTATAATATAATAACTTTTTAGCTATTTTATAAACCTTATTAAACTTAAAATAATAAATATAAAACATTATATTAACTTTATAGCGCTTAACTACTTTAATAAAAAACAATATTTATAAGTTTTCTAAGAAATTTTAGAATCTATTTTTTATTTACTTATATAACTAAATATAATATTAATATTATTAAAAAGAATATAATTAATACTCCTTAACCTAAAAAAAACAATATACTTATAATAGTCTTAAAAATAAGACCTTTAAAAAAAACCCTAATATTATAACCTAAATCCATTTAATAACTAGTATAGCCTAAAGTAAACCCCTAAAGTAACTAATAAAATAACTAAATATTTAAGTATATAAGCTAATAGTATAAACTAAGCTTAAAACAAAAAAACTAAAAAAAGTTATATAATAAATTAATTAAATTACTAGTAATCTAATATAATCCTTTAATAAAGATTACTAATTAATAAAACTAATTCTTTACTTAAGATTATAAGTAATAAAAATAATCTAAAAAAAAAAGTTAAAATATAAAAATATTTATTCTAAAAAAAATAAACCCCTTTTATAGCTCTTTAATAATTAACTTTATAATTCACTCTCTTATAAGTAACTCTTAAATTATTTCTCTATTATAAAGCTATAAGCTACCTATACCTAGACATACCTAACTAATCACCAAACACCATCAGACCAGCAAGATTACCAACAAGACTAACCCTACTGTTACCAAGTATTAACCTTAGCTACCTATTAGCAGAAAACACCACTGTCAGATATCTGACCGTAACATGGGATTGTCTATCTGTAACCCTAACTTCGTTGTCTGGCTACAAGGCAGAGTCTACAAAGTGGCCAGGGCGATTTTGACTTTGTTCTCGTAATTATTTCAACTCACGAGTGCCACGTCTTATCGTGTAACATTAGTAGCTGAGCCTGTTTAGAATGTATTAACCGATTTATTAAATCAATTTATCTTCTGAAGTGCAAACGTCTTTGCGGGATGGTCAAATGCAGGGGAGTTTCAAAAGCCCGCGACCTTGTCTGTAGAGGACGTCCTCACAGAAAATGTTGCTTTCCGTGGAAGAGTTGCGTAGCCCTGGGTGCCCGACGACTATGGTCGGACGTACAACGCAAATTCAGCGATCTTGGAGTCACACCATGGATCTCAAATCCACTGAATCATCGCTCTCTTACCATTAGCCCGCCACAACAGTTACGCCCCGAGTCCCCGTGATTTCAACATGGCTTAGATGTTTGAGCATTAGTCAGTCTCAGACTCATACGAGTTTAGAAACTGCTAGTTATAAAGCACGGATCTCAGTTGAGTTTGCACCAGTTGCGAGTCAGAGTCATTCGATGTTGCTCCCCTGATTCTAGTGTCCAGTCTGGCAATCACTGTCAACATGCCGATAATACCTCAGTGCATGTGACCACACGAGAACCAGTGAGTAGATAGACTTGCGTCTGACCCTTTCTTAATCAATATGTCAAATTCACGCGTCTAAATCATTGCAAATGAGCCTAACGTTATTTACAGCCAAAGCACGGGAACTGATGCTTAGTAGAGAATCTTGGCATGAACAGGCCCCGGAGATGTACCGCGTCATCTTATTCCCACCCGAACTTGACACCAGACGGACCAAAACCTTCATAATTTTGGACCGAAAAAGAAAAAAGAAAACTTTCAAAACCCAAACATGTCTGCAAGGTCGACCAGCGCAGGGAAGTTCGATGCCTCCAAACAACGTGTCGTCAGGGATGGCCCCCGATACGGTGGATGGCTTGTGCTCTGAGCATCGTGAGGTCTTTCGGGTCGCAGTTTCCGCGTATGGATCGCTCAACCCGTTTTCATGGTCGCGGAGTCACATAGACGCGAAAGTTACTTGTACTCCAAACGGCAGTTCGGCAATTTCATCAGCGCCATGTCGGTCTTCGCGGCTCTTCTGGTTCGACTTTGAGTTTTGGTCTCGGAGCCGCCCCTTGTCATTTGAGCGACGGGTTGACCAGTATGACACGCCATTTCTTCAAGTTGCCTACCTGTTGCGGCAACAGCTGCCGTCACGGATATACTGATTATGTTGACGGGATGCAACTGAGTGCAAGAGCATACACGCGCTTGGTGTCTATCAGTGTTGTCGTGAGGTCTGTGATAATTTCTCCCTTGCTTGTGTCTTTGATCGTTTGCCTGAGACTATGAGTGAGTTGGCAAACCGTCAAGTACATGACAGCTCGTACCTTCATGAACCTATCCAGATGAAGAAAAAGACCTAGAAACTCCGTCGGATTGGTTCTTGTCGCTGGCTGGTGCGTTAATCTAATCGCTTGCACCTGTGTGGTGGCTGCCAAAACTACCGACTACTTAGGTGTGCCAAAAGAACAATCCCACGTGCGCATGTAGAATCAACTCACAACGTAAAGCGGCAAGATGCCGCCTGCCGCTTGCCGCGCGTGTTTCATGTACTACCGCTTCTTGACACCCATAAGCCGACGAGGGCTCAAGTTTCAAAGCTGAAAGTCTATCTTCACAGGACATGACAAAGAACGAAAACCTCACGGTGGCAGACTAGCCCTTGGTCTTTATCGCCATCTCATTGCCTAATCAAAAGAATTAGATAACCGGGCACCCTGGTAGATCCATGGCAAACAGCACCCCTGGTGCGCGTGTGGCATCGTGTCAGGCGACAGGCCCACCACGTGGATGCTGTATTAACTCGTCTTTCAGTATATCGTACGCCCTGGACGGAATCTGGCCTGTATTCATCATTGCATGGCTGCCCCTGCTGTTCTATCAACACCACACGTATACCATTATTGCGAGCCGGACACTTCCTGACGGCAGTTGACTCATGTGTCTCCCGCCGGCCGTTACGCCTTCTCGAAAGAATCGGTCATGCAGTTCATCTGACAAGGGATGATCGACGAGGCTGAGGCTGGAGTAGCTCAGGTTCCAGCCAAGCGAACAGATCCAGCAGTGTGGATCGGCTCTCGCCGATGGACAACCGAACAGTTCCACTCCTCTGGGTGGACTGCGCCCACGACAAAACGAATCGACCGCCATCACGTAGCCTTCTAATTCTATAAGAACCACGTCAATCCCCCACGTTTTCTATAATCATTCCGCTCATCAGCAGTAACTTCCACAATCACAATCATCAACGAACCTCATCTCCCCAGTCTTCTGTCCCGGGTCTTTGCAGTCCAGCTTCCACCATCCACTCTCTAGACCAACACAACCACACAACCCCCAAAATGCGCGCCTCTACAATCCTCTTTACCCTCTTCGCCACTCTTGCCGTCGCGGCGCCGAGAAACATGGGCGCCGACGATGTCAACTCCCTCCTTGAGACCCGCGCTTGCGCGCAGCCGGGTACCTGCTCCAAGGGCGGCGACGACGGCACGTTCTGCTCCCAACTCAACTGCTGCAGTAACTCAAAGTCTGGCAAAGGCGGCGCTGTAAGTTCTTGGTTTAGCTGCCAGAATGCGAGCATATCTAACGATCCATTTTTCCCCCACAGGTCTGCTGCTGCAACTAAGCACCTCTCCATGAGTATACACATCACAGATATCTCGAAAATGCCGCGCTTTTCGGCTTCCGCACCCGACTTGCCGGCAGGGATCCGTCGGTATCTCCATTGCAGAAACGTTCAAGCAAAGAGCTAGTGCTGTCATTTATCAAGCGGGAGGTTTAGTTGGAGCTTGTTTTACATAGAATACTGCCTACACGTGGGCTGCAATAGAGTTTGTGCAAACGCCGTCCCATTTCGAAACAACGTTAGACCTCCCGCGTAAACTCTATGCTAAGACGTTGAGCCCCGTCGACCTTGTCTGTGTCAGCATTGTGTCAAGCCAAAACAAATCATGTCGTGGGCGCCCGGGCTCGACTCAACTGCACCGGACCCAGATGACGCTGTCCCCTGCTAATCCTGGACATTGGAGCCCCGGCCGGCCGATCCGCGTTTTTGCGGGTCCAGTCCCCTATGAAGCCCGATGCCGATCCCCACTCCACCGACAGCATGGGCCCGGCGTGCGGGACCCGACCAAGGCCATGTCTGGATTTGGCGTACAACGACCGGAGACGAGAAGCAGTGTCTCTCTGTTCTTTTGCATCGAACCCCAGTGCTTGGATGCTCACCCTCCAGCATTTAGATTTAAGAAACCTCCCCCCAACGCTCTCCTCCATCACTCATAAAGGCCCGATTCGGCCGGTTCCAGCAGATATGCGCCGGACAATCGAGTCGAAAACCCTCCATGGATCTCAAACGACAGTCGCTCTACCGCAATTCACAGGTGAACCAACACATTCCGCCCGATCAATACCAACCCGCCACACGGCCCGGTCGCCAACCCGGCCAACAGTCCTCCATGCGCCAAACACCGAGCGCAGGCACGCCCAGCCGAATTTCGCCAAGCCACCTCCCGTCGTCTGGAATGCGCTGCCATGAGTACTAATAACCCTAAATCCATAACCAGTCCATTCCACCCCCAATATCGCGGCAACCCGGTCCCCCCTCCCGGACCGTGGCTGACGACATCAAACCAAGGCCCAGCCATGCCTAAACGAGCCTCGGCGCTCCGTCGTAGTAGGAATCCGACCATGGCATTCCCCTGCGCTGCTGTTCCCCCCCCGTTTCCCGGGCCGTGTCTTACCCAAAATTTCGATCCTCGCCGGAGCGCATGCGCGGCTTTGAGAACTGCGTTGCCGTTAGGTACAGGGGAGGTAGGAATGTGGAGTGCAGCAATTCTTTGAGTACGAGACACCGCAGCCGGAGATTTCATCAAACAGCTCATGGGTCCGAAGCATTGAGGGCCAACTCGGCTGAAACCAGGGTATTGTGAGATGTGTCCGCCAAACAGATCAGGTAGCAAGCAACGGGAAGGAGGATGCCTCGCGACAAATCGAACAAATACGTGACAATGAAAAGGCGAACCCGAGTTCTTGACTCTTGGCCCGTTACTTTTCTTGTCATTGACTCGACATTATGACAAGGACATGAATAACGTAGGGCAAATGCCGATGAAGAGGGGAATTCGGCGATGAGGGGCACGGAAAGAACAATCCATAGAATCACAATGAATGCTTTCAACACTTGACTAAGTCTATAAGAAAAAAAAACCCTCAGCGTTGACCAAAATCCCTCCAAAGACGCCCGGACGATTCAAGTGGTATCGTGCTTCCAATCCTACACGCCAAGCAACCAAATTATTCCCTACGAAGGCCTCCGACAAACACACATGAGGACTAGCGAGATGTTTTGAATCAACACGTACTTAGAAGTAACCGTGCGTGGGAATCGCAACAAAGATGGCGGTAAAGATACCACCAACGAGCACAGCGCAGAGCATAGCCTGCAAGAAGATGGTATCCTGGATAGTACGCAGAGCAGGCTCCTCAATCCATACCTCGCGGTCAAAGACCTTGCGGACGATGTTGCGCTTCTCGTACTTGATGATCCAGGGCTCCGACTCGTAGCTATTGGTCGATCCGAAAGATTCGAACGAGGTCTTGTTCCGCTCGTCCTCGTTCTCCTCGTCGACGAACAGCTCCCAAGGCCGGACGTGGCGGTGATGCATACCGTGCAGAACGACGCACATGCCCTTGTAGGCTGCGACCAAAGTCGAGATGCCCAAAACCCATCCGATGGCGGCCAGCGCGCGCCAGCCGCGGCCTGCATGGCTGAGGGTGATGAGGATGGCGACGACGAAAGCAATGGCGATGAGACCGACACCAAGAGCGCGAGCAAAGAAGACGCGAGCGGGGTTGCCGTTGCAGATCGACCATCGAATGAAGTTAGGGTGTGCTTGCTGGCGGAGCGAGTTCTCAATAACCTTTATTGCGAGGCGGCAAGCACTAGGGTGGGTGGTGTAAGCGAGGGCGTGAAGAGTGGCATCACGTTCCTTGGCTGAAAGATTGAGCTGTCGCGGGGCTCCTTCCATGATGTATGTGGCAATGACACGGTCCATCTCCTCGCGGAATGGCTGAATCGTAACTAGTAATGGTTAGGATTCTTATGAAGGATACAGAGGAACGCCGATGAGACTTACAGGGCTGTTTGGCGCCCACGGCAGCGAAGGCATCGCTGGCCTGGGAGCGGTACGAGTCGGCGTTCGAAGCGCCGTGAGACCCGGTGTAGACGGACTCCTCCTGATCGTCGGGGGTCCTGGGCGGGGTCGAGAAAGGGTTCGAGTTAGAAGACTCTTGGACAATAGCAGCCACGGCACCCTTCTTCTCGAAATCCGTTCCTTTAAAGATCTCTTGGCCAGGCTTCTTGCGCATTCTCTGCGTCTTCTCCTTGGACATGCGCTGGAGGATTTCGGTCTCCATGGCCTCGGTCCATTCCAGAGCGAGGGACATGTCCGAAGTCTTGGACTCTCCGAATCGCTTCTGATAGTCTCGGTGCCAGAGGAAGAACTGCAGGTTTTCCGCCGCGTGCTCAATGTAAATGAGGTAGTTCATGAAGTCGCGCACAGTGCATGGCTGGCAAGTTAGTGATGAGATCTGATGGCGGTAGCAATCTACTACTCACAGGGCAGGTGCCGCCGTTGATGATCTTGTCAAAGGCCAGCGACTCGGGAATGCCCTGGGGCGGGCCGGACTTGCCGGAGCGCAAGGACAAAGAGCTGCTGCTCTGCTTCTCATCGCCGCTGTCAGAGACATCGGAGGAGCTCTCGCCAGCCGAGTTGTTGACGTACACCGGGCGACGGTAGGTGAGAGGGAGGAAACCCATGATGGCTTGTTGGACGAGGCTTAAGGGATTAGGAGATTCACAGGCTTGGTGAAGAAGAGAGAAGGAGAGATTCAAGAGTCGAAGCTGTGATTCTAGGTTCTAGGGGTTTAATGGAGTGTAGAGAACGGATGGACGCAAGCGTCGACTGGGTCAGGGCGGCTCTAGTGTCAAGACTGAGCGATGACGGTCGGCGAGAAGGGCCGGCGGGAAACGAGGGGATGAGGAGGTGTCGGACTTGAAATAGAGTTGACGAAATACAAGCTACTGCACGGTCGAGACTGGCTCTCACTCTGTACGAAGGGTAGAAGAACTGGGAGTAGTGAAGGACAGTTAGACTTGGGATGATGGAACACAGAGACAGGAGGGTTCCGAGGGGCTGATATACCAGCCAAGTGGGATGTAGCTGTAGCCGTACCTGTCCACCCACCCTTCAGATATCATGGTGTGAAGTGCCAATGGCTAGGAAAGTCGAACCCCACACACACATGTCGACGGCGAGACGAGGTACTTTGTTAGGCTTTGACCGGCTTCCATTGACGGAGAGGGCTGAAGCTGGGCCAATCCAAGAAAGCGTGGACCGGGCTTTCATCAAGGCGCTGGTGGAACCTGGGATGGATGAGGCGTCCCAACCGCTTGTTGCTTCTCTAGCGGAATGCGGATGGATGAGTGGTAACAGCATGGAGGGCAAGGATGTGCCTTCTTCCCAACCTTGTGGGTGTGATGGTGATATCGAGAGACTTGGCAGGCATGGGACGACGCAGAAGTACTAGCGCCGACATGGAGAGTGTGGAGGCGATGTATTAGAGTAAGAGACATGGCTTGGGACGCATTAGGAGTAATACTAGGCTAGAGCTTCAAGAAAGAAGAAGCAACAAGGCGCTAGCTTCTTGCATCGTGGACGGCGAACGCTTGCAAGACGAGGCTTCTTGCTTGCCACCCCTCTCGATGTTGGTCCAGTAAGAGGAAGATGGCATGAAGCACCCAGCTGCTCTGGGTAAATGCACTTGCCTTACCGGAGAGGTGGTTGATTGACGGGAAACGTCAGAGATGCACGGCAATCGATTCTGGTTGCTCTTCCCCATTGTTCCCTATCTTGAAAATTGAGAGTAAGAACGACGAACGCCCCAAAGCGGTAGAATTCCAGGCGATCACCCGCAGGATCGTGGTGATTGGTGAGGGTGGCCCGGCACTAGCATCTCGCGCTTTCCTGGACAAGTAAGGGGCGTCTCGTTTGGCTGAGACATTTGGCAGCTGCACTTGCTTTTCTTGCAGAATGTGACTGTACATAGCCAGTGTCTTCCCTGCAAGACGAGTTTCGCTCACATTCCCACGAGCATCCCATTCGGCAACGCAGAAGATCGGCCAGAGCGGCTTGAAAGAACCGACTGCTTGGTACAAACCGGGCTGCGAGTGGTTCGTCGTGCCCCGACTGCCATGGCGATGCCGAAGAGTAGGAAGTCGTCGGGACAACACCACGCACGACTGCGATCCGAGCCGCCTTGGTCATCCTCCGTTTCCCTCTTTTCTCCAAAACATTGGGGCCGAATGACGGGGGCGTAGCGTATGTAGGTAGCCAGGGGCCGTGGGTAGCTGCATCATGACGAGGCCGGGCGTCGCCTCCCATCCCCTGCTTGGGCGAAGGTGAGGCCCGGCTCCGAGGTTCACTGGCTGGCCTCCCTCTGTTGCGCCTCGATCCGAATCCGTCGACAGGCCTGGTGGAGCCGGCCGCCTCTCTTGCCAGCTCGCCCGGCAAGTGGTAAGGCAGTGTAGAGTAGGTCGGCGAGCGTAGCTTGCCTAGCCAGCTCGGACAGCCAAAAAAGAAAACGGGAGGTAAGAAAGGCGTCGTCTCCTGCTGGGCCACTCCACCATGGTCTCGTCCAATGCAAGCAAAGTCTGGGCCAGAGAGTGTCACTCGTCGAACAGCGCCGCTGGCGCAGCTAGCGCAGGCTAGAGCAGGCTAGAGCAGGCTGTGAACTGTGAACAGTCAGTGGAGCGGCAAAGAAAACTTGAAACTATTCGAAAATGTCATGGAAGACGGACGGTCCCAGCTGGTTGGGAGGGTAAAGAGGCGGACGCGAGAGTGGACGATGAGTCGTGCACGGGCCAGCCATGGGTGATGGGTAGCAGGTGCCTAGGATTGAACCTAGATCGGCCAGCCCCTGCATGCATGGTCCGTGCTCCCAGCACCTCCATTTCACCTCGTTTTTGTTTTTGTCATAGGTACGGAGTAGACTCGTCCGCTCCTGTGATGTGCCTTTCTTTCCTGTCTTGCCTTGTTCCCCAGGCCTCTCACTGGAGTGGTGCTTTTCTTCTTGTCGGTCCTGGTCTAGGTATTGCTGTGATTGCCTGTCCCTGTGAGTGTGCAAGCTGCTGAGGCAACTCCACAGGTTGAGTCCCGGCACAGAAGTGCTCACCATTGGACTTCATCTTCCAGGGTACCTGTCCCTGGCTCTGCAAACAACCAGAGTTCGATCATCCAATTTACCCAGGCTCAGCTGGACCAGCACACATCTCTCTCTCTATGTCAAACGTAAGGTGCCAGCGAGTAATTCTCTTCCTTCTTTCCTTTTTTTCTTGCTTTTTGTTTTGTTTTTTTTTGCAAATCCAATGACTCTGCGACCCACTACCAATCCTCACCGAATCAATCTCATCACAGACTACACTATGCTCAACTGAACTACACCCGCCGATGAAGCAATATCGGCACCACTAGCTTCTCCCGCTCTCGCATCCCCATCCCTGCGAAGCCCGCGTCTCAATCATCGATCACGTCGCCTCGCCAATCGATACACAAATCCTCGCTTGCTGCCGCAGCCAATCAAGTCGCCCATCTCAACCACCACCCAGATGCGGCCTAGGCCAGACCCAATGGCTCCCTTGCCAAATCAGCGGCTTGGATCTGGCCGTGCTCGCCGAAGCCACGCGGATGCAACAAGAACTCGAGCCCATCTTGCTCCCAACAGCGCCTTTGTCTGTGCAGATTCGATGGGCTATCTATCCGATCGAGCCGGCGGTCAATAGCTTCTGTATAAGAACCGGCTGTCTGGGGAGAGTCAGCAGAGTCCACATCTTGCTTCAACTTCGCTGCGTCCTGCAGACTTCCCAGATGCTTGGCGCATCAACCGGGCTCGAGAGCTGAAAAGATCCTAGTGCAAATCATTGCTTTCATTTCGAAGCGACCCCTCCTGCCAGATAGGGGGGCTCGACCTTTGGACAATACCCCTGTGCTGAGTTACTTGTCATATTGCTGATCACAACGCTGCCCCCGGCCCGAGAGAGGAGATTGCTAGGAGAATTTTCCCATCGTGTTGACATTGGTTCGGCTGTCGTCATAAATGACGGCCACGCGTGTCCACAGGTGTGGTGAACGCAGACTGTAAGACAATGTGTTTGAAAAACCTGCGGTCGAGATGATACTCGGCCAAATCCTGGCTAGATTTCCCGGGAGTTGCCGTCTAGAGGAGCACAAAGAAACATATAACAATGACCTCCGAAGCATGAGAAGCTAGTCTCAGCTGCCCAGACCCCAACGCCAATCGCCACTCGAGTCGTTGGTTTCCGTTCATCCCAGTCTTACGCAGGGGCTGCCAGCTTTCCCCCCAGCCTAGTCTGTCAGTTTTCGGTAGCGTCTCCAAGCGGTGGCGTCAAGCTCCTGTCGCGATCCCAGGAACTGGATTAACCATCCCCATCAACTGTCGCTTCGGTTTTCCTGCTCCATACCAGATCGTCGAGGTTAGCGTTTGCTCCTGTCACCTTCCCGCCAGCACTGGCTTCTTCTGTCAAAGCGCCATTACCGACCGTCTGGCTTCCGTACCAAAGCTGCTTTTGACACCGCCAAACTGGACCGCCATACCTCAGTGCACATTTTGCCCCTCGTGGAAGCCCGGGGAGTCTCGTGGCCGCGTTGCGAGCCAAACGTGTTGAAACATTGCAGTCTCTGGTTCCTTTTGCCGACTGAGACGGCTGGGGAAATCCATCGCATGTTTGGCACATGGAAGTACATGGCCCTTCCAACCGCCTCGTCCTCACTTCTGAGAAAGAAAAACATTTCGGTTTGGCGCAAGTTTCTCATGTGACGACCTTTTCCAGAAGCCAACGGCAAGGCGTCATCCTTCCAACTGCTAGTTTCGAGACAAAGATCCCTTGCACCGAGGACGTGAATCAATAACGCTGTTACAGCGCACTAGTCGACGGGAAAGGGTTCGTTTATTGTCTTGGCTTGAGGCCGAAGGCAATTCGAGCTGCCTGCCATCCAGGCCTACCAAACTACCAGTGCTCCTCGGTGATGGCAACGGCGTTCACATCAACGCCATCGCGGAACCACCTCTGCGTCTGCTCGATCTTGACATCGTTTCCGCTCATCTGCCTCTTGCGCATCAGGCCGTTCTCGGCGAAAGTCCAGTCCTCGAGGCCATACGTCCGCCACCACTGGCCCGACTCGTCATGCCACTCATACCAGAACTGGACAGCAATCTGGTCGATAGTCAGCCATGTCATCAGACGCGCAGCCACTGCCAGTGCCTGGCGGGAATGGGCTTCTGCTTGCCTTGTTGTCGGTGAAAGCGAATAGTTCCTTGCGGAGTCGATAGCCATCTTCCTTCTCCCACTTCTTGGTCAGCCACTGCTCAATCTGGTCTCGGCCCTGGAGGAACGTGTCCCTGTTTCGCCAGATGGAGTCGACAGTGTATGCCAGCTTCACTTTGGCGGGGTTCCTGAAGCGATGTTAGTCGATGTGCGCTTCTCAAGGGAGGCAACCGACTTGGTATTCCACGCATCTTGCGCAGCCTTCACCTTGGCCTGCGCTGTTTCTTTGGTGAATGGCGGGAAGGGCGGTCTGGGTTCCTCTTGGTTGGTCATGATCACGAATATGATAATTCTGTAGACTTGCCTTCCAAGGATGACGCTGTCACAATGGCAACGGAAGTGGTTATAAACGGCAGCATGACACAGCGGCGACGAGGGACGACGCAGCCAATCACAGGCCCACATGGTCCGTGCTTCGGGGTTTGTCAGCCGTCACCGGCGCCCTTGAGATTGACAAACACCGCGGGCTTTGATGCATGGCCTTCGTGCACCGGCAGAGGAAGAGTAGGCTCTCAAGCCCAAGGTTTGTATGTTTTCAATGCGAACGTTGCGAGCGCTTACTCACGATGACGATAAACTCGGCTCACTTTCGGGCAGCACAGTCACGACGGGCAATCGCCGACGATGCGGGGGCTGCCGCTCAGAAAGCCGCGCCAAAGCGCATGCGCATGCCTCAGAGCCGTGAGGCAGGTACAAGACGGCCGACTCCTACGGCTTAAATAACCCGGTGCCTCGGCCGATAGAGTCGGTGGCACGGACAGACTCTCGTTGGAAGGGTTGTACCTCTGCACACCATTGACGCGGCACCAGGCCCGAACCATGCCACGATGACAAACCCTCCGTTGACTCAAGCGAGGCGCTTGGCACAGTGGTATCTCCGAAGGACGTTGGCAAATGGCCGACAGCCTGGATGCTCGGACGGCCGAGTAGGCCATGTCGCCCCACCAGGGACGAAGGGAGGCCGGGGATCGGAGCCCAGACGGACGCGGCATAAATTCCCGGTCTTGCGTCATGTCGAGCGGTGGGCCACAAGGGTGCGCACTTGCAGCGCTGCTATCAGAGTTTCCCAGCGCAAGTAAAGCTACCGGGACTTGGGTTGTATCATCCGGTTCTGACTTTTGAAGATGAGGAGAGTTCTTCTTATCGATTGGGTTGGCAGTCTTTAGAGATAGAGCAGAGGGGGAAAAAAAAAAAGAAGGAAAAAAAAAAGACTCCAGAATTCCGAGACAGTTCAAACGGCTTTCCACTGCATCAGGCACGCCGAGGTCCGCTCCCACCCACTCTTCTTTCGTCACAGACTCTGACGTGAAGAGGCGAGGCGAGGCGAGAGGCGAGGCACAAAAAAAGTAGTCCCGGTCCGGCCTTGCGGGCCAACCGTCCCAGGAAGGAGTCGCCGCCCCGCGGCTAAGGGGAGGTGGTATCCGTATCTCAAATACAAATCATCACGAGCTCCACTTCCCTGGAAGCTCGCAGAATTCGCCCGGACCCTGACTCGGCGATCGCTCGACATCCCGCGCAGTACTAATTCCAGCGCCATCCTCGCGTCCCTGTCCGGATCTCGACCGATTCTCCTTCCTCCAACAAACACCAACAAGCTCTGTATCAAATCTCACCAACCCTTCAACCTACTCTTTTTCTAATACCCAACCCCACCAAACACACATCCATCACAATGTCTGGTCTCAAGGTCGGCGAGCCGTTCCCCGAGAACGTTGCCTTCCAGTACATCCCCTACCAGGAGGAGACTGCCGACTTCAAGGTCTGCGGTATTCCCGTCAAGTACGACACCGCCAAGGGTAAGTCAACGTCTCTTCAGTCGCACCCTCGCGATCGCGACACCCGTGCTAATTGGCGTTTCGCAACAGAGTTCAAGGACAAGAAGGTTGTCATCGTCTCCATCCCCGGTGCCTTCACTCCCACTTGCTCCGCCTCCCACCTGCCCGGCTACATTGAGCACAAGGACGAGCTCAAGGCCAAGGGCGTCGACCAGGTCATCTTCCTCGCCTACAACGACCCCTTCGTCATGTCCGGCTGGGGCAAGGCCAACAACATCAAGGACGACTTCATTGTACGTTGATCTCCCGTTATTTTCCCGCCGTGATGTGCTTTTTTCCCCCTCATCTACGTGTCCACACGCCAAATGGGCTGGTGTTGCTACCCCTCCCCCCTCTTCCCCTGGAGCTCCCAGCTGTTGCTCAGCTCTGCCCCTCTCACCGACTCCGATAAACATGCCCCCACTACACAACCCCCACTATGCCCCTCCCACGCCAGCTCTCAACATGATACCACAATGCCTCGCATCACCTCACCTCCCTCCCCCCCCTTGGTCTCCATTCCCCCTCGTCAAGTAATACCTCAATTGCGACGTTATCCTTCATCACCAAACGTGATACAGGATGCTAACACACCGTCCCCCTTAGATCTTCGCCTCTGACCCTAACGCCGAGTTCTCCACCTCCATCGGCTGGAACCACGGCGAGCGCACCGCCCGCTACGCCATCGTCATCGACCACGGCAAGGTCATCTACGCCCAGAAGGAGACCGAGCTCCAGGGCCTCGAGGTCTCTGGCGCTGAGCCCGTCCTCAAGGCTCTGTAAGGGTTTTCTAACTGGAAACTCTTTTGCTTTTTCTTTTTGCCGTTTGCCGTCGGATGCAGTTATGAGAAATGCCATAAACAGAATTAAATCGGGATAGAGTGCGTTTTAGACAAAAGTCGTTTTCTAGACGGGTTCGTCACACTCTGCCTACCATAGAATTTAGAGCAAATACACGGTTTCATTACGAAGCCACAACCTTTGCGGTGCCATATTCTGCTTCGTGTCGGTGAATGTCGTGACGTGCGTGGTTGTCTTGCATGGTTTGGTTGTCAGGCGGGCCGGGATATGAGGCTCGGAGATCCGAGGCTGCGGACGGGAGAGGAACATTAGGTAGCCCGCGATGCGCTGAGTCGAGGCAGACGCGGGGCGGTTTCGGGAGGGGGGTTTTGGACCGAGGAGCTCTTTGAAGGGCGTCCCACGTGGCGCGACGAGCTTGGGTGTATGGATGGCGTTGCCATTGTGGGATAGTGAGACTGTGTGAGGATGCCAGTCAAACCCGAAACTCTTGTCGTCAATGTACCTGCGACTTTGGATCTGTCGGGCCTGCGAGAGGAATCTTGTTACGATGCTGATTTGGCATTGAGTTGATTGTTTAGTAGGATTGTTCTAATAGTGTTTTTGGAGGTATTCAAGACCCAACACTTCGCTGCGTCGGCCGGGCCGTCCGCGGCCGCGGGGCACCGAGTCGACGGGGTGGGATGTCGCAAGTGCTGGACGGATGGCAACATCACGCCTGAGACTGCTCGTATTAGATGAGAGGGTTGCGGGGTGTGATAGTAGTAGCAATACGCTTTATGATGGATATGATAGCGTCGATGAAGGGCCGAAGCGTCGTCTCAGGGAGAGGTTCCAGCATACATTTTAGGTGTGCGGCGTGTATGCGGTGTGCTCGGAAGCGACCGCTCACTACCTTCACCTGGCGTATGACACCGATGATTTGAGACTCGAGGTCTTGGAGCCTTATGGAAGCCTGCTTACTAGACTCGGGGGCAAGTCCGTATCACACATCACCCACCTCAATCACATCACACGGCACAGACTTCAAGGAGACCAGCAATGATCAGCATCGTCCGTCCAGCGCAGTCACAGTTCATCAGACACCCAGACAGTTAACTTGGTAATCCCGTGGGACAATCCATGCATTCCGTGCTACCGTGATTGTGTAGTTATAGAACCAGCCGTCAAAGCACAAAGAACCCTCGACTCCAAATAGTTGAACCTGGTCGTATTGTCCCATCTTTATCAAAAGGTTCATCTTGCGGTCCTCCCCACCAGCCAGCCGCGGACCTGTGGCCGAAGGCCATTGCTGCATTTTCGCCACGCCCAAATGCCCATGTTGATTTTACGTTTTCATCTCCGTCTTCAAGGAATCCCTCCCATCAAAGGCGAAATGTTCTTAACGGGTCCGGGCCTGGACCTTGGGGGCAGCGCCCTTGGAGCCCTGCTTGCTGGCGATGGGGGCCTTCTTGCCACCGGCGGCGGCGTTCTTGGCCTTCTCGGCCTTCTTGGCGGCGGCGGCGGCGGTCTTCTTCTCCTTGGACTCCTTGATGGCGGCGGCGCGGGCGGCGGAGCGGGCCTCGGGGCGGAGGCTGCGCTTCTCCTTGATCACGTCGAGGGAGGCACCAACGATGGCACGCTGGGCCTTGACGGTGCGGCGAGTGCGCTTCTTGGCGACCTCCTGCGGCGGGGATCAGTCATCTGCTTGTGATGGGGTTTGCTTGACGCGCGGGGCAAGGTTTGTAAGCAGTAGAGCTGCACTCAAACCTCGCGCCGTGCGTCGCGCGGAAGGGGATGTGAAAACGCACCTCAGAGATACCCTTGCGGTGCTGGCGACGGTACAGGACGGTCCAGGCAATGCGGCGGGGGTTCTTGCGCTGGAGGAAGAGGGACTCGGACTTTCCCTTCTGGAAGCGGAAGATCTTGCTGTCACCACGGACGTAGAGCTTACCCTGTAGTTCAGAGTCTCGTCAGCGCATGTCCTTTTTCATGTCCGTTGCCTCGCCATGCTCTCTCGGTCATTCCCTTCCCGTCGATCGTCATTATCCATGCTCTTTCTTCGACCACGTCGTTGCCCACATGTCCTTCTGTCCACCCGGAGACCCGAGTCTCCCACTGCCCAGCAGCTTCAAACAATTCCTTCGATCGACGGGAAAGATGACATCGGAGAGAATGGGGAGAGGATCTGTTCATCGTACCTTGCCAGGGTAGATTCTCTGGCCCGAGAACGTGTCGTCGTACGTGCGCATCTTGAATAACTGTCAGAACCGATTCCAAAACGCAATCAAGTGTTTGCCCCTCGATCCGGTCCCCGTCTAGCCAGGCGGTAGAAATGTCGAGAAAAGTTTCGCAGTTGCCGGTCGGAGTAATTTTTTCGAAATAGCTAGACGAGCGACCGGGGGCTCTCACGAGATTCGGGAGGATGGGGAGGCTATTGCACGTACATTGGCGGTGTTGAATGCGAACGTTTGCTGACTTGTCGGTGATGAGGTCAAAGGGTTCGGGGGGAAGGGGGGAGGGTGAACGACGGCGCTCTTTCGCGAGATTCACAATTTTCGACACTGGAGGCGGGCGCAGGAAGGTGTGGTTCCGGGAGGGAAAGTGTGCCCTGGCCCCACAGTAGCGCCTTCGCTTAACCGAGTGCGTCACGTGCGTGGTGACGACCGGCCAAGCAGGGTTTGTGTGGTGGAAGGTGTGGCTCGTGCCAGTTGCCCTGCGTGGAGACGGTGGCCTGTGGCGCAGCTGCTCTCGGCGCAATGACGCTCTGCTGAAGACCCGACACTGGACGCAGTGCTGCACTGGGGGCCGATTCATTGGTTCCACTATCTCGGCCAAGCTGAAGGCCCGGGACGTGACTCCGGTGCGGGAATGTCAACGTTCAACTCGGGATGACTAGCTGGTTGAGGGCAACGAGACCTCTCACAGACAGACTACGGCTGCAAATGACGGCCGACCCTGATCAGATTGCCGACTTGGTTCTGCAACAGTTCCAGAAGCTACCGGCGAAGCGCAGGCCCCAGGTCAGAGACAATGGACTCCACGAATGGGTTCCCCTGAGCGGCATCGTTGCTGAGAAGGACGGTGTTTTAACATGTCTTTCACTTGCGTAAGTGCTTTGTGATTATTTTATGAGGCAAACTTGAAGATTTCTGCATGAGTTGCCAATGTCGTTGAGACGTTTTGATTTATGAGTTGCTCATTTTGGTTTTGAACAATACGTATTATCGAGTTAGATATGTAGCATCATTAAATCATAGCAGACTCCCACCACAATATTTCCTCTTGACACAAAGACTAACGGACTCGCAGGACGGGAATGAAATGTCTTCCAGCGAGCAAACTCTCACTGGCGAAGGGCAACGCCTTACATGACTGGCACGCCGAGGTCCTCGCTATCCGCACCTTCAACCGCTACGTCCTGGATGAGTGCAACAGCCATCTGCAAGGCACTGCCTCAAATGTTATCAGGAGGCGTGAGCACTCTGAGATAACCATCGACTCGCCTCAGCCGTTTGTCATCATGGACGGCATCAAGCTGCACATGTACTGCTCTGAAGCCCCCTGCGGCGACGCGAGCATGGAACTTACCATGGCGGCGCAAGACGACGCCTCGCCGTGGGAGATCCCTCCTACGCCGGACGCCACTTCCGCCTCCGGAACCACTGCTACTACAACCGACGCTGAATCCCTCCCCGGACGCGCCTACTTTTCCCAGCTCGGCGTTGTCCGCCGCAAGCCAGCCCGCGGCGACGCGCCTCCGACAATGTCCAAGTCGTGCTCCGACAAGCTCGCACTGAAGCAGTGCACATCCCTACTTTCCTCGCTCGTCTCGCTAATCGTCCACCCGGGCAATGCCTACATCTCGACCCTCGTGCTGCCGGAATCGCAGTACTCCGCCACGGGGTGTGAGAGGTCCTTCTCAGAGACGGGCCGGTTGAAGGCGCTGGCGGGTAGACGGTGGCGGAGCGGCTACAGGTTCCACCCCTTCGAGGTGACGACAACGACGAAGGAGTTTGGGTTCTCCAAGAGGAGCGTCGGGGAACGGGCCGAGAAGCTTGCGGCGAGCAATCTGGCGGCGGCATGGACTGTGAGCGGTGTCGACGAGGGGACGATGGGGGGCGGGTTGCAGGGGCGGAAGGCCTTTGATGTCAAAGGGGCAAGTATGGTATCTAGGAGGAGGATGTGGGAGCTTGCAGTTCTGCTCGCTGGGAGACTGGAAGGGGATTGGGAATTGTTGCGGCGCACCGTCGAGGTTGATACATATGCCCAAGTCAAAGGAGGAGAGCTCCTGGCAGATAGACGTGAGGTAAAGGAGAGCACGAGGAAAGAGGGTTTGGCGGGATGGGTTGTCAACGTGGGGGATGACGGCTTCTCCCGTCTATAAAGGCATATCACGTATCCTCACAAGCTATCGCGTGGTCTCATCCTGAGCAACTCACTCACATCGGATATCGTCACATCACACCATTACATTATAACACGGGCTCTCACAGTCGACTTCTTTCCAGGCTTTTGCATTCTTCATTATGCAGAGACTTGGTACCGCATGGGGGAAATGAACGTGAACCTCGTTTTTCCCAGAGCTTGTAGTCTGTAATCCTCATGAGATCCGTTTTTCGCGTGTCCGGAAGAAAAAACAGGCAAAGGCCGTCGTGTCGATCGTTGCGTTGGAAATGAAAGTTTACTCTTTTTTTCCCATTCCTTAATCCACACGCTTCAGATGATATATCCACGGGACCCGGCATCGCGATCAAACTCCAACTAAAAGAAAAAGAAGAAGAAAGAACCGTTTGGTTTCCTTAATTGTCCTCTTTTATATTTGGTTCGCTTTACTCGACCTTGCTCTCGAAGTTCTCACCCTCGACCAGGTCGGGGATGTCGTCCTCCTCACCGTCCTTGCCCTCCTTCTGCATGTTCTGGTAGCTCTCGGCGAGCTTGCGGAGAGAGGCGAGGGAGTCGGGGCCGAGCTGGTTGAGGATGCCGGGGACGAGCTCGGTGAGCTCCTTGTCCTCACCGTTGCCGTAGATGGCGAAGGTGTTGGCGGGGACGGCGGCGTGGACTGCGGGCAGGGAACGTCATCTTAGTCAAAAGGTCCATCTCGGTATTTTGGGGGCACAGAGCTTCCTCGACGAGGCAAGCGGAGAGGGGGGTCGTTACCCTTGGGAGCAGCGAAGTGAATGACATTGCCGTCAGACTTGAACATGTTGACCTCCTCAATGGCCTGGATGGGCTGGACGTTGAGCTTCTTCAGGGCGGCCTGGAGCTTCTTGTCGTCGGCAGCGGAGCGCGCGGGCGCACGCTTCATCTTTCTGCGGGGAGTGCCCTTTCCGCTATCGTCGGGCGAAGAAGAATCGAAACGTTAGTCATTGTGAACCGCAACAGCAATCGCGCAACGGCGGTTTGTGGGATTATTTTTCGTCGGTTCGGTGAGGGAGGAAATGGAGGGTAAGTGAGGGGTCATTTTTCGGAGGTCACACATACCCTGCGCGCAGCAAGTCAGTCACCCATTTTCAATCGACAAAACACCCAAACAAAAATCAATTCCGGGACCTGGAAAACGTACCGATACGCGCGGAGGCGCCGAGCTTCTTGAGGCGTTCCTGAACGTCCGACATGGTGGGCAGATGCTCGAACTTTTGACGGTTTGGGGGGAGGACGGTGGTTTTGCGGGTGGGGGAAGAGTAAGAAGAGCTGTGCTGTGCGAGGCCAGGGCAATTAGCAAAAAATGTGGTTGGAGGTGGGAAAAACCCGGGCGGGCAGCCACCGAACGACCCCCCTCTCTGGCGAAGCACGCAGTCGACGAAGGGTTTCCCGTCCGGTCCCGGCTCGGCGGAGAAAAATTGCTTACCGTAATTCGTTCGTCTCGTCACGTCCCGTATTGCTATCAATATCGTAAGGCTGAGCCGCTTCTGAGCTTTGGGTGAGCAACGTGATGATGGAGGTTTTGTGCGTGCCAAGAGTTTCCTCGCTTGCGGAAATAGTATGTGCCGGGGTACGTATCTTCTACCGGCTCACCGAGGGCACACCGAGTGGGGTGGGCCTGTGCAGTGAGCTTTTTGGCCCTCGGTCCGTAGAGGGGTTCGTCAACGTCATGTTGAAGCTCACCGGAGATGGGTTGCAATGTTGCTGGTTGATTCGCGTTGGTCAAGTTGAGATTTTATCCTCTGTTCCAGTACATGGCATCATTCTTAACACAGCCCAACCGACCCGTCGAGACGTTCTTGAGCCTTTGAACGCCAAAGAGCCAACCCTCAGAGGTTGCCATGGTATCTCATTGTTATACAGCCGTCCGGGGCATATCCCAAATCAGGTCCATCACGTATAGTACAGTCTGTAGACGGATACAGCGCTTCAATCCAGATCATCCGACATCCCCGACTCTCTCCTCATTGCTGCTTGTTGCGCCTTCAGCTCGGCTTCCTTTCTTCTCTGCTCGAACGCCTGCGCTGCCTTTTGTCTCTCAATATCCTCGTCCCGTACCGTCCAAACTGCTGCTCGTTAGCCAAAGGCAATCTTCGGACCGGAACAGCGATACGCACTTGGCCTGTCTGACTTGGAGTATTCTTTCAGCTTCGTGACAAACTGGTCAAACTCGGCTTGCGTCTTCTCGCGGTTGGCCAGACTCCTCGCCTGCAGCTCGGGGTTGTATCTCTTGAAAAGTTCCTCCTCCGTCGGCGACACCCACATGGTGAAGGCCGGGCCGCCAACGCAGATGGCTCCTCCGCTGCGAGCTTCGTCAGTCCGCTATTCGCAACGTCTTCCTGGGGGCTCTCAACATACCCGAGCATCATCTTGCCCCACAACTTCCAATTCGTAGCCTTCTTTGCCATTGTGTCCGGTTTCGTGGGATGGAGCGGCGGTCGGGGTGCGGTGGTTCGACAATGGTCCGGCGTTGGCGTCTGGACTCTGCGCTTTTGCGACCAAGAGGCAATCCTCTCCCAGTCGATGACGAACCTGACGCGCTTGATTGGAGATCTACCGGCTTCGTCCTGTTTGGGAAAGCGGTGGGAAGCTGCCTCACTTACCTAAGCATGCCCCCAAGTGGCTGAAGACCTTCCATGCAGGAAATTGTGGCTTATGCTCTTTGCACCCTGTTCCCCTGGGGGCAATTGTTAGCATCCGCGCATTCCCCGACTGAGAACAATGCATCTAGCTCTGATTGCTCAAAGCATTAAGCACTAATATCACCATGAAACCAATCATGGCACCGAGATGCCTTGCATTTCAAAATGAGCTACGACCACGAGACTCGAGTCTGCTCAAGTGTGGCACACCCTGCTAAGCACTTCTTCATCGCCACATCCAGAGACGAGATCTCGCCGTCCTGAATTGCCAGCACATGTCAGGGCAGGGCACTGCAGGTTCGTGGCGCAGGCGGATGAGCACTCGCCCGTTGGGGGCTGTGACCCAATCCAACAGCAAACGTTTGGTGGTTTGTGTCGAGTTGAACCACTCAGGGCGCAGGCGGGCGCTCCAGATCGACGAGACGAAGAAACAACCCGACACACCCGTCGCAAACCTGCAGGAACGCAAATCGCTATTTCATTGGGAACCCCCAATGACGAGTCGCAGTCGAGCGCCGGCCCCCGCGAGTTGCGGCACGACATCGCCGGGGAACAAGGAAAGCCAAGCGGTAGGTGGCCTGCCTGCCAAGCCCACAACCCTATTCGTTGGCACCGGTAGCTTCTCTTGCGGCCTGCCGTCGTTGTCTGAAGTCTGAAGTCTGCCGCTGTGGCAGCAATGCCTTCCCGGCTTTGGGCCCGTTGCAGCATCTAACTCTCTGGCCGGCCGCTCGCATCTTGATTCATCCTTTGGTGTCTAAAGCCCTGTACCCCGTAAGGAGACTCCGGCCTTGGCTGCGTAGCCCTCTCTCCTCCTTGACCCGGAATTACGTTCATGGGCAGCGGGAGGTGGCGCTGACGACTGGCGCATCAACAGCTGCTGCTTTCTTGGCCGTAGGTTGACCGGGCCGAACGACCTTCCCATTCGACCTTGGGAAGTTCCCACCCCGGGCAGCGGGCGAGAAGTGGAGGCGGCAGGAGGCGACCGGCAACGCCGTCGTAAAGCGATACGATAGGGTTGAGGCCTCCTGGGCATGAACCAAGAGAGGCTGACGGCCCATTGACGAACCGCGCAGCTGCGAAGGGTCCCTCACAAGGACATCTCCCGTGGTGGAGCGAGATTATTCGCCTCCCAGGTGGTGTCCCTTTCAACGAGTCACCAGGGCCGCCGCAACGAGGAGGAGAGCTAGCGGCGCTGCCTCGGAGGGGGCTGCGTGTACAGGCGTTTGGTGTCATTGAGGATGCCGCAGTCCGTCCACTAGGGCTCCGAGCAACATGACGGGAGACGACGGAAGGGTGGGAGAGATGAGATGAGACGAAGTGTCGGGGGCACGCTCGGCGCACAGAGGCTCTACAAACCTAATTGCTCATGGCCGAAGGTTATCGGAACATTAAGAGGGGGTTCTAACTCAGGAGAAGGGTTCCAAGGAGCCTGGATTGTTCTCTCGCCCTTGCTTTCTTCGAGACTTTTTTTCTTCAATCAGATTTTTACGCCGGATCTCTGACACCCGATGACATTGCCTCTTTTTTTGTTTTACGGGAAGGGCAAAGCAGGAGTCGGATGGCAGCCGGCAGCCCCCTTGATGCTTGCGGCTTCACGGATTGTATGTGTGATCATGCTGGATCCCCCCCTTGGAGGGCAGAGCCCAGGGTACCAGACACGGGAAAGGGGGCTGAAGGACCCAATCAGGTTCGCCACTCGGGGGTTTCTGATACAGCGTTCTGGTTGCACCTTTTGGAGAGATGCAGAGAGAAAGAGAGACGGAGAGACATAGGGAGAGAGAGAGATTGCATTACAACACCGCTCGTCCGACAGGGTCCCTGGGATGATTGATCCTTGCGTCTTAACAGGACTCATATGTGCGACCAGGTCGGGTAGTCAGGGTCAGAACAGGCCGGATGCTTGATGGGGGTCGCTTACTGAGGACAAAGCCTTGCATGCTTCTGTCTGTGTGTCGATAAACACGGTCCAGGGCAGTTGTCGGATGAAGCTTTCATGGTTCCCAATTTAGCCCTGGATGTCTCTGGCCTTGACAAGACGGAACGGATGAGGCAAATCAGCGGTCAGTTAGGTCGCTGAAGACATCTGGGACATTTGGAAACTCTTCGGCGGTCGTCAGCCGTCCGACTGACTCTCGCGGTCTCTCCGCCCTGGCACAAGGGCCCTCTTTGTGGGCGGGGAATGCGCTGCGACGGAATGCGAAAGCTGGGGCGTGGTACCCGCAGCCATGGCCACAGTGCCAGGTTGCGACGCTGGGGAGATCCTCGTTCCAGCGCTCGGATGAACCTTTGCCTTTTTCAGTGAGCAAGCTCTCTCTTCTCTTCAGTCTTCACGTCTGCTACGCCCGTTAAGCTCAGGACGCATGGCCCAGCAAACTCGCGTGTGTCATGGAGCGACGGACGGTTCAAGCACGGCACCGGCGGCCAGCTCGATCTGGGACAGGGCCGGTATTGTTCTAGCAAGATAAACCCCACCAAAGCCCACGGGCGCAGCACTATGTAAAAAATAGAGTCTGTTTGCTCACTGACCAGAAAGCAATTTATTCGGTCTCTTAGCGGAGGGGCGGGCACGCGGGTAGGCCCCCCTCCCCAGAGGAGGGGATTAGCGCTGTTATCGACACTATAACGGGCGGGACTTGGGGAGGGGCGTTCAGCAGTGGTGTTCTTCGCTGCATCTCTTCAGTGCGCGCTGCCTCACTGTCGATGGATGGGGGCCCTTTGCAGAGCCGACCAAAAGTAAACCTCAAGCTAGCGGCGGCAGTGCGCGCGCTGCATGCGTACCTTGCCTTAGTGAGGTGAGGTACCTTATCGTTCGGTTTGGCGGCACAAGTACCGAAGTAGCGTTGTATCGCGTGGGCTCGTACCGGCTTCTGGTGTCAGAGGTATCTCGTCTTGTCACTGGCGCAACCGGGTCCTGCAAAGCGAACAACGCAGAAGCGACTGCCCAAGAAGAGGAGATAACAACGAAGCGGGGGAGAGGACGAGGAGGAGACGAGAAAGCTGAGACGGCGATGACCAAGAAACGTGGTCGTCTTGCTGGGGTTGGTTTTCAGCTTGGGCGGCCAGCATGAGCGCAAACGCATCCCACGAAATGAGCTTAAGAGGTTCCCGGATCATAACATCCCATCGTCGACGACCTGTGGCCCCGGGACTGCAACCATAGCAGCATGAGGGCGAGGGGACACGGGCCCAACCGGCGGCTTCTCAAACACGCTGTCGTCATGGTTGGGTGCTGATATCGCTCGGGTACCGTGTTTTATTCTGTTTTGTCTGCTGTTCGTACGAGCAGTAAAATTGCGATATGTCGACCGGAACCAACACCAACATCTCGAGGAGCCCTCGAGACCCTCGAGTGAAGGATATAATTGCATACGCAGTCTACCGTCGTCGAGGTTATCCCATTCTTAGGTAGTGTACAGTAGTGTGGTGTAGGTTCTCCGCTCATGGTACGTACACTCCACTTAGCATCACTTGTCACAGCCAGCGGTTTGCAACCAGGGGCCCTGGGAGACCGAGACACCGCCAGCCCGTTGAACACCCACCCCCTTCCTCCGCTTCGCCCTCCACGTTCGGGTGCTCGAGGTACAACGTACAAAGCACCCGTACCCATTTGGCTCCGTACGTCCCTCCCAAAGCGAAAAGGGTACCTGGGCGCACCCCTAGCAGCCCAATTCCGCCCACAATCCATCACCGATCCCTCCCGCCCAGCCCAGTCAACCGAAGCCTGGGTACTGTCCGTAGGGAACCTGTAGTGTGGTGTAGTGTACTACTGTCTTGTCCACTGCTGGGCTGTCCACGCACACACACACTCCCTCTCCCCAGTCATTTCGTCTTGCCTTTACTACGTATTCAACCCAACCTGCAGTTACACTGCATCCGCCTCCTCCTTCCTGTTGCTCCGGCCTTCTCTTTTCATTCCCACACTCTCATCCACATCCACATCCACATCCATCCACACACCATACACACTCACGCCCGCACAACACACAACACAACACAACACAACACAGCACAGCACACGCACTGCCTCCGTCCCTCTCTCTTTCGCTCCTTGGATGTGGACACATGCATGAGCCAGACCTCGTCCTCGCTCTCTATCTCTTACCTCTCTTCCCTCACTCTCCTTGAAGCCCAGCACCAGACCTTTTCCCTACTCGGCACCGTGCCAGACGAACCGCGGCCACCCCAGAACCTTTGACCTTCGATTTGCCCACACAAGCTCGGCCCAGCCCCCTCCATCGGCATCGTCCACACCACCACCGCGGCCATAACCACGACCACTGCCACCAATAGACGCCGTGTTCTGGAAACACCTGCGATCTCCCCTTAACGGCTGCTCTATTGATTCATACTTCACCCCCTCGGCAACGCCCAACGCGCCGCGCCGCTTCCTTTCTTATTCTCTCCTTTCTGTCTCCTTGGAACTTGCCTGACTGTGCCCTTCCCGTCCCGACCGCGTCCAATTCACCCTGCAGGCTGGTCTCTTCTCTCCTCGTCGAGCAAAGTCAGATTGAACCGTCCTCTCTCACGCATAGCCCGGCCCGCCGAAACTGTCGATCAGCATTGAACCGAAACGTGCTGAATCCCAGCATAGAGAACCAACCCCCCCGCCAACCCTTGGGCTCTCGACAGCGTCAGATATGCGCCTGTTGTAGACCGTCCATTTCCGGCAAGCTGTGGAGCTACACCTAATTTTCTCCTTTTCAGTACCCTTATGCGACACTGAGCCGCCTAGGAGCTCTCTAAGTCGGCACTTTTCCGACCTCGAACCACCACCCACCTACACGTCTCCCAACCACCACAACCACACCCGAACGAGTCCTGCACCTCGTGCCCGCCGACCATCGACAAGCCGACGGACACGGCTTCGACACGAGCAGCGCCGGTATAGCAGACGATGGCAGGATACCCGGGACAGCGCCCCTACGGCGGTGGCCCGCCCGCGCCTCGTCCTGGTCCCGGCCCTGCGCCTGCATCGCGGGGTCCTCCTCCTCCCCAGCAGTACGACAACTACCAGCAAGATGGCTATGGCTACGACTACTACGACGACGGAGGCTACGGCCCAGAATACGGCGGTCAGTATCAGGACCCCAACTACGCCAGAGGCCCGCCGCCGCCGAACCAAGGCTACCCGCCCCAGGACTACTACGGCGGCGGTCCTGGACCCAATGGCCCGCCGAGGGGAGGTCGGCCGCCTCAAATGGGAAGAGGCGGTCCTGTAGCACGCCCGCCGACGGCTGACGGGGTGCGCGGCGCACATCCACCCCGTGGTGCTCCTGGAGGCCGAGGAGGATTCCCCGGGGGCGGCCGAGGAGGTCGTCCTGCCCAGTTCGAACGATCGGCGAATTCCGATCCTGCACGTAAGTTGCTCGCTGCCGCTTGCGCCTCCCGTATGCTAATGTGTCGCTAGCCAACCGCGCTCGGCCGCAAGACCCAGGACCATTGAGCCCGCCCGGCCCCCAAGGGTTCGGCGGCGCTTTCCCGGCTTTCCCGGGACAAGGCCGCAAGACGGATCTTGACGCAGAGGCTGCGATATTGAACAAGATGGCGGGAATGGACATCTCTGGGGGCCAACGGCCTCCTGGCCCTCCTAACGCTAGAGCGCCGCCGCCGCGAGGTCACCCGGATCCCCGGCGCGGTCCAGACCCAGGATATGGTGCTGATCCAGGATACGGACCTGACCCCAGAGGCGACGGCTACGGTCCGCCAGGACCACCGAGAGACGACTTCGGCCCTCCTTCCAGGAGCATGACGATGCCCGTCAACGATGGATCACAACGACGCCCGCCTCCGCCACGCGTGGATCCATATGGTGGTCCAGGAGGACCGCCGCGCAATGGAGTCCCTCCTCGGCCGTCGACAGCGCAAGGAAACCGCCCACCGCCGCAGCGCATGTATCCTCCCAACCAGATGCCGCCGCAGCAACAACAACATCACCACCAACAACCGCCTCCTCCTCAACATGGCGGATACGGTGGAGAGTATGATGGAGGCCAGGATGCATACCGGGATACCAGAGCGTCTTTCGGCGATGTTTACGACGCCTACTACCATTCTACGCGCATGAGCAACCAAAGCAATGCCAGTTACGCCCAGCAAGACGCTCCCGACTTCAACGCTGCGCCGTCGCACGGCCCTCGTGGCTCTTTCGACCAGCACATAAGACCCGGCATCGCCGAGCACACTCAACCGGGCGCTAAGCGCGTGCCGGAGATGAGCCGCACAAAGTCGCAGCCGGATTTGAGGCAATCGCAGCAAGCCGTGTTCGAGATGGCCGGCGATGCTCCGCCGATGCCGCCGATGGGCAACGGCTACCAAGACGCTTACAACGGAGCGAACGGCTGGAATCAGCCGCAAAACCCGCAGATGGGGCGTCCTGGCCTGCCCCAGGGCCCTGCTTCCGGTCGCGGCCCCGACAGTCTGCCATCTCACCCCGCTCCTGTCCGGCCTGGCCACATGCCCAACTCCATGGTGAACATGAGCGACAAGCCTGCGCCGATCCGCAACTACAGCGGCGCTTCAAATGCGCCGACGCCTCCCGTCGGTCCCGGTGGTGCACCCCCACCGCAGCAGCAGCAGCAAATGTTGCCTCAGCAACCGAGCAAGTCCTCGTTGCAAGAAATCACGACGCCAGTCACTCAAGAGGAACTGGAACGGTTGCGCCAGGTCATCAAGACGAACCCGAACGACCAGGAGTCCGCTCTGAGGCTAGCAAAGCGACTGGTAGAGGCTGCCGATGTCCTGGCCCCCGCTCTTGCGGATCCCAAGATGAGGGCTCGTGGCCGGGAGAGATACCTCGCCGATGCCAGCAAAATCCTCAAGAAGCTGTCGAACGCGCAGAACCCCGAAGCCATGTTCTTCTACGCCGACTGCCTCGGCCGTGGCTTGTTTGGACCGGAGCCCGACAACAAGGAGGCGTTTACGTTGTACCAGTCGGCTGCCAAGCTCGGGCACGCGGCTGCAGCCTACAGGACGGCTGTGTGTTGTGAGATTGGCCACGAAGAAGGCGGCGGTACCAGGAAAGATCCCCTGAAGGCCATTCAGTGGTATAAGAGAGCTGCTACCCTAGGGGACACGCCGGCCATGTACAAGGTCGGCATGATCCTGCTGAAGGGACTCCTCGGCCAGCCAAAGAACCCCCGCGAGGCTGTCGGATGGCTCAAGAGAGCTGCAGAACGGGCCGATGCCGAAAACCCCCATGCTTTGCACGAGCTGGGTCTGCTGTATGAATCGGCAGCACCCAATGATGCAATCATCAAGGACGAGGCGTACGCGTTCACGCTCTTCAGACAGGCGGCCGACCTAGGCTACAAGTTCTCGCAGTACCGCCTGGGTTGCGCATTCGAGTATGGCCTGATGGGATGCCCCATCGATCCTCGACAGTCCATCATGTGGTACTCTCGCGCAGCACAGCAGGGCGAGCACCAAGCCGAGCTGTCGCTCAGTGGTTGGTACCTGACAGGCAGCGACAACGTTCTGCAGCAGAGCGACACAGAGGCGTATCTGTGGGCCCGCAAGGCTGCCACGGCCGGCCTGGCCAAGGCCGAGTATGCGATGGGTTACTTTACCGAAGTGGGCATTGGTGTGCCGGCTAACATGGAGGACGCAAAGCGATGGTACTGGAGAGCGGCTGGTAAGTACGACGCACCCATTGACAAGACACGTTTGTTGACAGCTCCCTGCAGCTCAGGACTTCCCCAAGGCCCGCGAGCGTCTTGAGGACCTCAAGCGCGCCGGCAAGAACGGCCCCCGCCAACGTGAGCGCATCTCTCGCAGCAAGATCGGCAAGCAACAGGAGGGCGAGTGCTCAATTATGTAGAAGGAGATCAACGCCATACGCACCGCCAACTTCCCATGTAATACGACAGCGGTCCGAGCTGGGCTCTTGTGTCGACCGCGATGACGACCACGAACAGAGGATGAAGAGACGAAGGTGCAACCCCCCCCGTGTACTTGTAAGGCATCAAACGACACCAGATGTACAATCTACTCGGAACAGGAAGAAAAGGCTTGAAGAAAGAGAGAGAGAGCGAGAGATTGCACTGGCGTTCTGGAAATAGGGCAGTCCAATTTCCTTTCGTTGGATTGGGAGGCATTCGTATTCTTCGCCCCCACAGGCCATGGCATTAGGGTGGTAGGATGGGGGACGCACACTGCGTTGATGTCTTGTTTCGCCCGAGGGCGGAGTGGGCATGCTCATACAGGCAACGTTCGGCGTTAAGCATATATAATTATTCCATCCAATTTCTACGGGTTTAAAGTGATGTAGGCTTGCTCTCGGGATTGGATCCGGACATGCCATTCAGTTTTGCCTATCCTCTGCGTTTGGGTTTGCTCCCTTGCCCTTGGATAACGGCTGGGTCGATTCAGGCCTGTCAGTATTGGGAAGACTCATTCTTCGACCATAGGGATGCCGTCATCGTCTGCTCAAGCAGTTTTTGTGTGCGGCATTTCTTCGGTCTCGGGTCGTTGTTGAATATCAATTGAAACCCAGGAGACCAAAAGTGGCTGTCATCCAGTCAGAGTCTCGCAGGGGCTTCTCTTTTACTTGAGTTGCGTGTCGACGACGGCGAGGAGTGGCTGATGAGGATGACGCGCAGGGCGCTGTCTGACGAAAACGAGGGAGAGCGGAAACCGGTCCAAGGTGAAGGCTCTCCTCCCAGCTCGCTGCCCCTCTCGCAATCCATCCGTAGGAATGAGGAAGCAGGTGAGCCAAGTACGAGTCCGGGATGAGAGTGAAGGCTAGGGGTGGGAGTATTCACCACTTGGTTACGGCTGCTCTATAGGATGCCATGGGGCCGACCTTTGGAGCTCGGCTACAAGTTCCCTCTTGAGTTGCCATGTTCTTACCAAACCAAGGCACTTACGCTTCTTATGTCTATTGCCGATACTTCCCTATAAGATTGACGATGCTGATATATCCTTGGCGTTTGCTGGAGTATGACAGCGCAGGCATGTTTGTTGAAGCCGAGACTGGATACTAAATCCTTATCCACCCAGCCAGCTAGTGTCGCTGTTAGAGGCCAATCTCATGAAGGAATATCGGAACGAGAAAGAGTAAGCCGGTCACCAGGTTTAAGACGACCGCCGAAACTGTTTCACCAAAGTTCCTGCGGCCGCTGAGTGTAGTTTTGTGTAACGGTTTGGTTTTGGCAAAGACCGCGGGTACTAATTGGGCCTAGTCGGATACTGCAGAAGATAGGTGCAGCGACCGCAAACGTCTCTACTTTTTGTGTCTGGACCGGAGCTTAGGCTCCATATGAGCAACTGTAGATTTCCGGAGCGTAGCAGCCGCATCATTTTCGGGAAAGGCCCGGGAACCCTTTGTCCGCAGCGTTGTTTGGAGACTCGCGTCGTTTCCGGCGACATTGGAAGGGTGACTCGCCAGTCCGTAACTGTAAGCTGAACAAGAAAGATGAGGTGTTTTTTCGCGAGCAAAGCCGTTCTCAAATATAATGGAGAAGAAATCTTGAAGATTTATAAAATAGAGATCCCTAACCAGCTGGCCAAGCTTTTCATGTGGCATGGAACGGCCAGGCTAAAATCTTACTGCCGATGACGTCTGAAAATGAGGAATATCATTCGTGTCGCTTATTGCTTGCCTTTTGCTAGCCAGGCGCTTGCCCAAGTTACTGCCTGGGGCCAGTGTGGTGGTATGTACATCTCATAGATGTTTGTCTACTTGTTGCCGCCGAACTGACGTCAAAGCATGAAGGCAATCAATGGACGGGCCAGACAACTTGCACTATGGGCTACACATGCACGAAGCAGAACGACTGTGAGTTCCTTCAACCTACGTAGTCATGTACTCTTGAGTTAAGCCAAGGGGTCTGACAGAATCGTGCAGGGTTTTATCAGTGTATCCCAGGGAGTGCTGTTACGACCACGAATCAGCCAGCTACTACCACGCAACCATCAACAACCACGAGCGCCACACATAGTGCGCAGTCTTCTCTCTGCACCCTATATGCCTATGCCTCTGTAAACGGCTATGACCTCCTCAACAACATTTGGGGCCAAGACGACGCAGACTCGGGGTCCCAGTGCACTTACTACTACGGTCCGGCGTCTGGCGGTGGCCTCTCCTGGGGTACGACGTGGACGTGGAATGGAGCGCCCAATAACGTCAAGAGCTATGCATATGCAAACCGCCAATTTATTCGCAGCCTTCTCAGCAACATCACGGGCCTGCCTACTGTAGCTCAGTGGAGTTACAGCAATAGCAGTATACGTGCGAACGTGGCTTATGATTTCTTTACGCATCCCGACCCCAATCATCCCAATTACAATGGGGAATACGAAGTCATGATATGGTAAGCTCCTCTTCTTGCAACAGACGAGTCAATGAATTGAGAATCGATGTGCCCTTCTGACAACAAGAGGCAATAGGCTGAATCGATACGGAGGTGTCTGGCCCATAACAGAGAACAATACAGGCACGCCAATCGCCCAGGTCCAGTTAGCCGGTTATACGTGGGACTTGTATTTTGGGTACAATGGAGAGATGAAGGTATACAGCTTCTTGGCAGCCTCAGGACCAATCTACAACTTCAGCGCCGACATTGTGGACTTTTTCAACTTCTTGGCCAGCGAATGTGCTTTCCCTTTGACCGACCAATACCTCTTGAGTAAGTCCGCCGTTCAACTACAGGTTTTGGCAGCGCATGCTAACAAGATGTGATGCAACCAGTCGACCAGTTTGGAACAGAGGCTTTTACAGGCCAAGACGCTACTTTCTATGTTTCGAGGTTTCAGGCTGAGGTATACACATGAGGTGTTGGGCCTCACCGTGCGGCCGCTTAAAATCACGTTGCGGTTGGTGTTTACGGAGGAGATGGCAAGGCTCACTTGAAGAACAAGAACAACACGCCGAGCAATGCAACTCTTGCCTGCATGCGCTCATATAGTCATTTCTTATCTTCTATAGTACTTCCAAGACCTTCTCTGCAGGCATGGGTCCTGAAACTAGCGTCTCTCCAGTGCCCTTCTTTGCGGATCAAGAAGTACTAATGAATGTCGTCGACTTCTTTATTACAAGACAAGCGCGCCCAAGCCCTCATTGGCAATGTTGGTAGCAGCGCTCACATGCTTGCGATCCCTGACAAAACTTTCGACATATGACTCAATGAAACGGTGTAGCCACTATTACACCCTGTTGCAATTTCAATAGTTACAACTTTTTATCTGGGGCTGCCATGAAGGACAATATGTTTACTTGACTTGTGGGATACGGCGGGACGTCGCCCTCTAAGTAGGGGGGTTTTCTCTATGTTTTCTCTAACAGTAGACGACCTATGGTGATCAGATAATTGAATCTCATTTTCCGCCGGTTGTGGCGTGATTAGCTCGACAGGAAGATGGGTTGGAACAGCCTTGCGGATAAACAACACTTTTTCGAACCCTATTTGTAGAATTAAAAACCGAGAGCCAGGCCTTTCTGAACCGCTTTCCGCAGTTCTTGATAAAAGCAGTTTTCCGGGATATGGACCATTGCAGGAGACCGAAAGTAAACTATCTTGAAACTCAAGTTCAGCCGCGGAGTCCTATCAAGAGTAGGTAATTACCTACTGTAGTCCAAGGCCTGCCTGCCTTGCCTGCCTGCAGCATGATTATCACCGGCGGGACGAAGCTTCTTGCCAACAGCGGTGATTGACTTTCCTCTCATATGTGGAACTTCCTTGTCACGTCTTTGGACGACATGCATGTATGCAAAGGAGTATCGAAGCTTCGAATGATGGGCCTTCGAGGTGTCGCACCTGCTACCCCAACTTATTTACCCGAAAGGTACAATAGTCATGTCGCCAATGGCCACGTAGACTTCGAGCAGCTCATAAGAACGGCAACGAGCAAGATCTTACATCGATGGCGAGTATCGCTTCTTCGATTTCGCTAGCTCACTCATTCGTACTATACCACGCGCAGCTTGCGGCGCTCAAGCCCATCTTCCTAACGACGGTAAAGTTTATTTGCCGGGGGCTCCAGTCGATCACCGAATCTGTAATCGTTTTCTTGTGGCCAAGTTGCGAAAATAACTTTATGGGGGAAAGAATTCAGACTGAGTCAGTTGTTGTGGAAATTTTGCAAGTGGTGGGTTATGTGGCCTGCACTTCCCTACTATCTAACAACCCAGCTTGCGCGAGGCTTAGGCTTTTTCCTTCCGACAGTGAAGTGATGGTCCTCACAAGAAAAAACCTTAGTATACTAACTTTGAGCTTCACGGGAATTATACCATGTGAGACAAAATAATTGTGGAACACACAACTGAATGCTCTTACTTTTTCTAGACATTTTCGGATGATGAAAAAAGGATTAGTCACAAGTATTCCATGCTAGGTAAGGTATCAAATGTGTTTGTACCACGTAAGGAGCTCTGCATGAGTCTTGAACGATGATGACGACGGGCTGTTGCGACGCAATTGTATTCTCTTCACCTATCCAAAAGAAACTGGCACAATGGTGCTCGTGATTTAGACGAACCTCTTGTCGCTCGCCTCATTGCCGACACACATGGCGATAGTATTTTCTTGATCACAAGCCGTGAAAGTTTCTCCAGTATCACGACTGTTCCCAAATATGGGCGTTTTGGCTTTGCTTCATACTTCATTTCGACGGTACAGTTGAGCAATATATGAGCAAGCATGACCTTCGTCTCCGCAATGGCAGAGAGCCGCTCGGGGCAAGAGGGGTTCTGTGATAAATCTTTAGGACCTGTAGTTGCTCTGAATACTTGTTTAGAAGAGTATTCTTTTTCTTCACGGGATTTACTATTTGGTTGTGTACGTAATATATTGTACCTATCAGCATCTACAAGTGTGGTACATGTTGAAATGGACGGTGATATTTTTGTGACACTGCAACTTCATCGTACAATGCTAATGGCGCTGTTGTAATGCGGCACGGCTTTTATGTTTCAGTAAGCCATTAGAAGCAAGAAACTTCTGCTCCGGTAAATCGGCCTTGATAAACTTTGTAGTTATAAATGAATTATATCTAGGAGGTGTATTTGTGAAAAGTTTTGTTGGCGGAACGCGATATATTGCGCTCAACTACATCTTAGAGACTTCAGGAACTATATCCGAAGCAGACAATGGCGAAGAGGCCAATGAGGAGGAGGATAATACTCATGGTCATAACGCTGTCGAAGGCCCACGGTATGCTGACGATTATTCCTCACTTCATTGATATTCACCACAGATTAAAATACTGCATGCTTCCAATCTTCTGTTTGTTGGCCTGGATTTGGCTCAAAGTTTGAGGACAACAAAGCATGGCCCTGTGAGACCGTCAATGCATCACTCTGTGTTAGTGAAACCTACCGCGGATTGCCGCGATTAGTACGCGTCTAAGCTAGGTCACTCAGCACGAGTCAGCTGACATGTTCTCCCAGGTATTTGGGGACTTTAGCAACATTTAATCCTTCGATGCCGACTTCAATTCTCTTTATTAGACGAATTCTATGAACTGGGGTTTGACAACTGAGTTTTAGCTACTCTCTGTTGGTCAACCTTCTCCCTGTTTCAAGTGCGCCAGACGGTACTTGCAGAGGTTACAACATCCATAATCAGTCACTAAGATGTCCTTAACTTTCCCGAGTTATGTTTGCCCCTCGACTTACACATTTGACTTTGGGTGCTTCCCTGTTATCAAATAGATTCAGTATGGCGAGGAAGTCGTTAATTGTTGAGACGACCATCGCTACCCAATTGGAAACTGTATTCGTTCAGCGCTCACTCTGATGAGAACTTACAGACTGCACTTTAAGTTACTCCGACCCTTGGACATTTTCTACCCTAGATATATGTCACTAGACTCCTCTTGTATTACTCTTCATAGACCATCTCAGACTCCCTGTCTTCTAGAATTGATACTCTTTGAAAGACTGGCTCTACCTGCGATATTAAGGCTCATCAAAGTATTTGGCAATGTATCTCGACAGCATAATATATCGGATTATATCCATATTTGCGTATGCCACTGTTTATCTTCTGCTCTTCGTAAGTTGTTAAGCCTCAATGCTATAAGCTGAGAGGCCAGAACTGATATCGGTAGGGTTGCGTTTATCTCGTTGTATCATCGATATACAACCTCTACTTTCACCCTCTAGCTAGGTTTCCCGGTGAGACTCTCTGTTATCATCATCGAAAAGGTTCCAAATGGCTGATAGATAAAAGGACCGATTTCCGGTCGAGCCCAAGATCTTTGGGTGTCGCGTAAATGGTACGACCAACGAGCCTCTGACACATATGTCTTCTCACCAGTAATAGGATATCTGGCAAGTGGTCTTGGGAAGTAGAGGCGCTACATGCCAAATACGGCGACATAGTGCGAATTGCTCCCAACGAACTATCATTTACGGATCCACAAGCGATTAAGGAAATTTATGGACAGCCAAACATCAATCACCCCCTATATTTCACTAAAGCACCTTATTTTTACAAGCAGTCAGACGTTAGCGGCGCTCTCGGTACGGAAATTGACCCAAAAGTCCATCAAGGAATCAGAAAACGAATCGCCCCTGGATTCAGCACGTCTGCAATTTACAACCAGGAAGATATAGTTATGCGTCATATTGACGCCCTTGTGGACCAAGTCTCAAAACGCGGAAACAACTCAGGGGGTATGAACATGTGCCAATGGTTCATGTGGCTTACTTTTGATGTAATTTCGGACCTTTCGTTTGGCGAGGAGAATGGCACGGTTGAGATGGGTAAGACATGGCTGAATTGACAACCCCTATGTACCCCATTGCTAATCTTGAGTAGGTAAAGGAAACGAATGGACAGACATGCTGACTAGTGCTGGATTTGCACTCACATTGGGAATTGTGGTGCGTCGCCGATGGAATGCCTTCCAGCACCTGGTAAGGTACTGTTTGGTGAATAAGAAAAGCAAGCAAATGCGACAAAAGTACGTGGCAATGGCACGCCAGGCAGCAACTCGGCGAATTCAAAGGGGTGCCATTGTCGATCGCTTCGACCTTTTCAGTTATCTACTCCGCGAGAAAGGCTCAGAAGCTGACATCGATTTCCTCGCTTCGCAAGGGGGCAACTTACTTGCTGGTGGAACTGAAACAACCGCCGTGTTCTTGTCTGCGCTAACCTATTATCTTGTACAACACCCGCACTGCCTACAACAACTTCAAACTGAGTTACGCCAGAGATTTCGGCAGAGTAGCGAGATTAACGGCGAGTCTACAAAGTCATTAAAATACCTTAACGCTGTGATTGAAGAGGTTCTGCGCGTCTTTAGATCCAATCCTTTCGGCTTGCCTAGAGTCAGTCCGGGCGCCAAAGTTGCTGGGGAATGGGTTCCAAAAGGCGTAAGATAACCCCATGGGAAGACTCAGAGTAAGAACTAACTGGGATACAGACGGTTGTAGCCACGGCGGGGCATGTCATTTACCGTGATGAAAGATGGTTTTACAAAGCGAAAGAATTTCATCCGGAGAGATGGCTTTCTGCAGATCACCCATGCTATGACTCCGCGTTCGACAACGATCAAAAAGAGGTGTTCAAGCCATTTTCCATCGGCCCTAGGTCTTGTATTGGTGTTCACCTAGCTTATATGGAGATCAGGATCGCTGTTTCAAAGTTGGCTTGGGGTTTTGACTGGGAGCAGGTCGACAAGAATGAGGATCTTGTGCGAGATGCACGCCTTTGGGTTCTTTGGAAGCCGGCTCCATTTCACGTTCGTTACATTCCCTATGAAGGACACCAAGTTTAGAATGATGTGTCCTTTTCCTGGCCATGTGTTAAAGAAGGATGTTGAAAAACTAACATGTTCTTCGGTGAAAGTTTCCATATGGTGCATGCTTTGCAGATCCATGACTTTGGCTGTTGGAGCATGGGTCGTTTCCTGTTCGCCGAGTGAATTGGCTGCATTTACCCCTCTTTGATCCTCGGACTTGTCGGAATTTGAGGGCAATCCGTTGGTGGCATCTACATGTCAGGCTGCTTCCTAGATATAACATGCAGGTCTGCAACCAACAGACAGCACTGCATCACACCATCCTACATTATTTTCAGTATTCTTCTCCAGTTTCTTCATCTTGGCCAATTGGGATAGATTCTTGAAAGTTGGAGACCGCCTTGATTTCACGACCGACCAACATAAAATATGGCAGAGGGTGGGTAGGTTTTGGCTTTGATTGTCCAGTAATTAATGGCAAGCCTCGTCCTGCCTGAAAGTGTAAGGCTGTCAGAAGACGTGGATTATTCCCTCCCTATGATTCTGCGTTGGAAGACCTCCCGCAGCTCATCAAAACCTAGGAGGGGAAATGCCAGCTCAACATATTGGTGAACGACTTGTTTGTGGTCTTGGCATGCATAGTTTAGGAGAATGCTCAGTCACCCGAATTCTGAATAAGTATTTGAACAATCCTCAAGCTATACTGAAGACTTGCTATCCTCTCACATATTCAACCCTTATTATTTTTCTCTCTATCTCATCATATCTATAAACCTTCTCATTTGATCATTCCGAAAGGACGCCTCTTCACTCTGCCTTACACTTTGCCCATCATGGCCTCGCAAGTGAAGTCGCCCCAGCTTATCGAAAGTTTCGTCAAACTCTTCCAGACGATTTCAAAGGATCCTTCTTTCAGTCAGCTCCTAACACTCGTTGAGGAGAATGAACACCTCAGAGCCAGCCAGACTAGACTTGATACTGCATACAACCAGAACCTGCGGGCTTTGGCGAACCTCCAGCAAGAGGTAAAAACGGAACATCAACGAAATGCAGCGAAGACTGCCGAACTTGAGAGTTCCAAAAGGACTGCAGCTGGGTTACAGAACAAGGTTGCACAAGCTGAGAAAAAACTGAAGGAGAAAGAGTTGGAACTTGTCGCAACTGCAGAGGAAATGTCGAAGATGCAAGGGGGCTCGAAGAAAAAAGAAGCTGAAATCAGCCAGCTGCAACGAGCTCTTGAAGGAGAGAAGTCGGCCGCGGAAAAAGTGAAAAGCGCTGAGCTTGAGGCTCAAAAACAGATAAAGACGCTGCGTGCGGATTTAACTGAGAGGGAGACTCGCTTGAGTAAACTCAACAACTTCGTCACAAAGCTCCAACGACAACCTCCAGAAGACATGTACGTTTACCTGACAAGGCCTTATACATTCTTCTAACATATGGTGCAGCCGAGATCGATTGGGTGCTATTTTCAAATCTTCATATTCTTTGATGCGGAATTTCCTTGGCATCAACCTTGCAGATGATGTGCTAAGCGACTCTCTCATATGGAATGAGATACGTGATCACCACACCGTGTACCGGGCTATTCCTGTCCCGCCAACCAACTCGTCTGCTGCAAAGCGAATGCGAGTTGCTGCCTCCTTGGCTATACTCGCTTCAGCATTGACAGAGCATGTCTTCCAGCCGACTTACTTGTTGAGCGACAACGAACTTGCAACCCTGCTAAACAGCCTATCAAATGAAGCATTTGAAAGAGAGGCGCACCTTCGTTCAGCTCTCTTGCCACTTTTCCCGTCCAAGCAGGAGAAACATGCTGCTGAACGAGCCCAAAGAGCAACTAGTGACTTGGTCAAATACGTGGGCCCCATGCTAATGCCTAATCAGCGAGATGAGTTCGCATCGGCTCTTCAAAAGATATGCCAGGATGCCAGCCGCCTATGGGCAGAGATACAACGATTAGCCGATAGAGTGGAACCAATCACCAGGTTTGGAGCCGTGCCTGAAGCGGACGAATGGAAGTTGATGGAATTTCCGGGAATGTACAGCCTGCCATCGAGACCACAAGGAACCTCATCCGGACGCAAAGAAGACAACGTACAATCCAACACAGAGGGCAAGCCATGCTCAGGGGTCGAAGAAGGCGTAGTCGTTGTTTGGCCTGCTTTTGTTTTGCTTGACGAAGAGCAACAAGAAACACTTAATGAAGGGATGGTGCTGGAGAAGTTTGAAGTCGAAGAAGCCCGAGCAGAGGAGAGCTCAGGACTTGGGTCTGGAAACAGGAGAATGATAAGGCAAAATTCGAGGAAGACCAACGCACCGAATGGGAGCCAGGCGACTGTGAAGAAGGCTTTTTTATCCAAAGGGGCTGGAGGGCCATCAGGAGGCAACTGAGGATTTAACTGCGATTGTGTTGTATGTCAAGCTCTTCACATGGGAGAGCGGGATGTGCTAGGGGGTTTTATCACCATTTAATTACTGTCAAATATTCCAGTTTTAGCAGACACGACCTAATATAAGTGCGAATGAAAATGGGCAAAAGGATGTCTTGCAGCTGCAAGAGGACAGAGCTATGACTCATTGAAAGTAAATGCAGAATGCTCTTTGTGCTTCAGATTCTAGTCGATTTGGCAGGGTATTGTCATAATCAGCTACGGCCATTGAGTGCTTCTCACGACCTTTAACACGCCAGGTCAAGGCAGAGGGGGGGTGCTGCCCGCTCTAATGAGCATCCTGCATCCAGCGACTAAGCCAATGGCAGGAACTTGCTGGTGCTGCAAGCGGGCGGGGATAGTGTGCGATTATGCGGAGCAAAGCAAGCCTGCATGAGTATTTCTGGCCAACCTCTTGGAAGTGTATAATGTCGAACCACGCTGTTCACTGTTGGTTAGGTCGGTATAAATGCAGTCGAGTTTGATCGAGGCCGCGGGGCGCTTCAACGATGTACACGTGTAAGTAATGAACAAGGGTTGGGCCAGGCACAAGCGGGCAAGATAGTCTAGTGGGGGCTGCAACACTCCCAAGCCATCCCTAGACCCCCGCTTCTATTGAAGATGGATCACTGGTCAGCTTCTCTGGGGGTTCTGGCCGTCTACCCTGGTCAGCCCCGCATGCGCCGAGTATTGCGAGAACCGTCTTGCAGTAGAACGCCCGTCTGCTGCCTGTGCCATCCGGAGAACCCAGCTCCTTGCGTCGCGGCAGGTATCCTACGCCATCTTTTGGCATCAGACCGGTTTAGTTGCGTGCATGTCTCCATGAAAAAGCTTTGAGACACATGTCAGGGCGTGCAGAGTGCTTACAGCGACTCGGCATGGGCCAATAGACAGCCATCGAGGTAGGAGCAACAAGAAGCCATCGCATGAGGTAAATATTGGGGTAGGCTCTCTTATTATGGCCAGATAAGTAACAAGTTCAGCGCTGAGTTTAATCGATAGTTCAATACATAGTCATGAAGTAGAATCAAAGCACCACGAGGTAAATGCGATCGGATGATCCTATGTCTATCTCAAGACGGATCACATGTTCTTACTGTTGGAAAAGGGACAATTGCGAGGCAACAGGAGATGGGAGGCGCGGACCAGCACCAGCCACATCCGGCAAGGTGGGGTTGCCTAATTAGTCACAACAAGGGGCATATCCCACTTCACCTTGCTGCTGGCCAACTAGTCAGACATCCCTTCTTCATATCCAACAACCAGCAGTTATCACCACTTTTGACGGAATCGTCGTTATCACTCGTACGAGATCCAACCGCCTGTGAATCAACAGGTTCTAATGCTTAAATCAGGAGAGGACCAATCAAGGACACCTAGCGCTTCCTAGCCGCTTTCGTAATGATATTACGCTTAGTAATGAGTGAGATTGAGGTAACGTTAAATATTCTTGTCATTGATAAGTCAGACGCTATGTTACCTACTACAAGAGATCCATCCTTGGCGTTTAGGTGTAGGGAGATTAACCTTCCCTCATCAGTAGCAAAATGGTCGGAGTAGCAGGGAGGAGTAAAGCATGTGATAACTGCCGACACCGGCGTGTTAAATGTGGTAAGCATACGCTGCCTTTTGTAATCAGGGCGTAAGATATAACTTGTCTAATCAACGAGCTAGATCTCGCTACCCCCGAATGCAAGAGATGCCTCAAGGCGCGACTCAAATGCGGAGGATGTCGAGGTGTTAGCTTCATTCATTACAATGGCAGCAGTACCACTAGCGGCCGCAACACTGCAGCCAACAGCTACTCTACTCGAACGTCTCCTAACCAAATCGTACCGACGTCAGCTTTAGCTGTGTCTCAAGCCGATACCATCGTCTTATCACGGATATTCGAACCATCTCCGATGCTAGAATCAATGGACGACATCTTTATCTCATACGCACTCACCTACCTGCTTCGCGAGAGTGAGGGAATCGTAGTTAAGCCCGGTACCGACCGGACGCTCACCAACGAATGCTTTGTGGCTCTATCTACGACCATTTTCGGTATTGATAACATGGAGAAGCGTGTATTGCAGCGCGGTCTTCAACGATATGGTGTTGCTCTCAAAGCCCTAAACCAAGCGCTGAGTGACCCTCGAGAGTGTCGTTCGTTCGATGTTCTGGAAGCTATTATAATCATGGCTCTCTTTGAGGTGAGTTGATCTGTCGCACGCTCACAATAAATGGCAAGCGGTGGCCATGTGAAACAACATAACTAATCTAGAATCAAGATGATTGTTGGCAACGGCGAAGACGGGTGGATCGGACATGCACGCGGTCTTGAAAAACTCCTGGAATTCCGAGGGGCGGAATCCATGCAACCACTGCCGTGCCTGCTTCTCTTGGAGAAAGCTCGTCCTTCCATAATTTTTGCAGCTCTTGTCGTCCGCAAGCACACAATTCTATCCGACTCCGCATGGAAAGGCCTACCATGGCTGCATCATCCGCAACGCAAAGACCCACTACAACTTCTCCTCGATATTGTTGCAGATTGCCCTGAGCTCTTCGTCCTACGGGAGGAGATATTCAGTGATCCAGACGAGACTCCTGATGCGCCAAGACTGACATCCTTGCTGGAAAGGGCTCTCAAAGTGCTCCGCGATCTGGAAAGATGGGAGGAATGCTGGGCACTCACTGCTTTAAATCAGTTTGATGAGGTCCCAGCACCAATCACCACGCCAACGCGCACAAGATCTTATGGGTTGCCTCACCCGGTCTGGGCCACTATCCTGCAATATCGTACTCTTTACGATGCTAGCGTGTCGACTCTGTTCCACGGGACCCTGATTCTGGTGCTATTGCTTGTTCAGGGGTTGAATTTAGCACTGCAGGATCAGGAAGATTCAGAGCCGCTATTAACAAGGATATGTGGATCTGGAATCTTGATATGCCGCAGTGTGGATTATCATCTGGACAAGCTTCGAGACATCGCTAGCTCGTCCATCTTGTTTCCCATAAGGATGGCTTATGAGGCTGTGGGTAAATTGGACGACGTTGTTGGCTCATGGCTCCTGCTCCAACTCGCACATATCTCGTCCAACTCCACTGGCAGATGGACCATGGCTCGGCGCGTTTTACACATGAATCCTGCATCAATGATTACATCAGAAAGCTTGATACGTATTTATTCTACATAGTCTTAGAAGTGGTATCTGCGGAAACTAATAATCCGTGAACTCTACGCTCGCTGATCTCCCCGCCTGACAACTCTATACGAGACTCTCTATCAATAAGTACTCAATCTTGTCCACTTTCTTGACGTCTTTGGCGTAGCTCTTTTCTTTCTTTCTAGATTGCTTTGTCGTTATTTTCTCTTCGCGTTTGTTTAATTTATTAATCTTTCTTTCCGCTTTTCGACTTTCTTTTTCTCTTCTCTTGTGCTTTTCCTGGGACTTCGAGGGCCCCGCATACCCCAATTTCTCCCTTTTCTTCTCCTTCTTCTTCTCCTCCTTCTTTAGTGCCCGCTCAATCTGCTTTTGTGTCATTCTGTCGATTATGCTTCGCTGTTTACTGGGCGGCGGCACGTCGAAAACGAGGGGGGCGATGAACGGCTCGAGAGTACGCATTCGGCGATCTCGCAGGCTCATCTCGCATGTACTCAAGTCGGTAGGGCTGCATATCATGAAAACTGGTTAGAATCATCTCATTTTGGATCGTTTTTCCCTCATGAGAAACACTTACGAAAGCTCCGGGAGCGTATCACCGCAACCTAGCTTGACAGCGAGGTCTTTGGATTTGCACACTATCGCCCTGAGGCCCCTAGGCTCGAAATACTCGCGGTTGATCTTGTCGAGGAAAATTTTGCTCCGAACAATACATGTTGCTGCCGTGCCCACTCCAGCAGTCAAACTCACGATTCCTCCTGCTAGTTGCGCCCAATGGTTGGGACTTGGACTGTCAGCGACGTCTCACAGAGCCTGGTGGATGTACGGAGTTGGCTTACACGAGCCCTATGACATCTCCGGCACTTTTCAACATTTTCAAGGGGCGGGAGGTCCCTGAGCTACAGTCAAGTTGTCGAGGAACGCGACAAAGTCTTCTTCGTGGATGTCGTGTGCCCGTAGGTCAGGGCTGTACGCTCTCATGAATGGAAGCGGGGCTGCCAGTGGACGAGCAAAATCAACTCTCGGAATAACGATTGGCTTCTCCAGTGGAAGTTAGCGTCGAATTCTGACAAAACATGACCAAAAAGTCCTAATGCTTACTCTGAGAGGGCATAAGAAACGGCCAGGAGCATCGGGCTTTCGGGGCATCCAGCTAGTATTGGGTTCCATATCGCACTCCTCATCTTGGTCGGAAGAGTGTACTGAAATAGAGCCAATTGAAAGGTCGCTCATGGACCGAGTATCCGAAGATACGGACTCGGAAGATAACGAGCCCAGGGGCTGTCTCCGAATGCCATCTGGGTCATATTCGGAATATGGTGGAGGTGCAGGGGCGTGCCTTGTTGTTCCCAATGTGCTGGCAGCGTAGGAGTCTGACTGGTTTCTACCCATGGTCGATGAATTTGCATAACCTTTGTGGAATATCATCTACAGCAGGTGAGCATGTGTTGAGTCTCGAACAGGGTCATGGCGGGCTTTAAATGCTTTTGAGATTTTTGTACAAAGACTGATATCGAGAGATGCGCGAGACCAGGGCCATGCTGCTACAGACTTCTTCATTAGATTGATTTCTCGAGAAGGCAGCAATCGCTGCCAATAACTTCGCTGACATGCATGCTATGCTACGCTAGAAGGCTTCATCATCACGAACACTTGAAGCGCCGAAGCTGAAGGGAGTCACCAACCAATGCGAATGCGCATGAGTGCAGATCAGTTACCGGATGGGGTGCATTTCTCGAGGTTTAGCGGCCACCGACGCAGCCGCAGCCTGACCCACCATGCTGTATTTCCGACCTTACCGTAACAGGCTCATTTCTCGAGGTCAGCCACTCCACTCCACGTGCCAGGAACTAGTTTCACGTTGTTCATCCCGGGGGCTCTGCAGACTACATAATCATGCTGTACGTCTTGAGCTATTACAAGCCGCGCTCAGTGTGGCTTTGATGGTACTCTAGATCATGCTCGAGACCCTAAAGTTCTCGTGCTTAAGCGAGAGAAAACTGTCATAGCATTCAACCCGTTTTACACCAGAGGTTTTTTTGTGCCTGCGTAATTCATGAGTGAGTACATCTAAAATATGAGTAAAAGATATATGTCGTCCAAGTGCGAGACCAACCGCTAGCTGAAGAAAATTGTGATTACCTGTGCTCATAGCACCAGCTAGCTACCATGTACGAAAATTCCAAACGGGAAGCAATTTCGCAGCCCGGTCTTTCACGGATGGTTCAAGCCATGCCGCGATAATGCAGCAATCTTCCGTCGGCGATGGGTGTCTCCGTGACGCCTGCTGACAATGCTAGGATCGGCTCGGGTTCAACAGGTCCATAGACACCATACGGAAGCAAGCACCTATGATTAGGGCAGGGGAGCACTGTCTCACTTCTAAAGAAAGGGGTGCATTTAATACAGAAACGGGCAGTGACCGAAGCCAATATCTACTCCATCTAAATCTCTCACCAATAACCGGCACGACGGTCTTGGGTTTCGATTTGACTGAAGCGTGCGGTGCTTAGATTTGCAGATGCACGTAAGGCAGAGTCGTTTCCACATGAGTTTGCTCTGTGTTTTGGCAACCTTTGGCGAGCTGGGCTTGGAATTGTCGCCAGCGTTGAAAATCCGTCGATGCCGGACCCGAGTGGAGCAAGGTTTTCGGGGCGGCTGCCGGGCTTCGTGCGGTGTCGCATCGGCCGACGGCTGCTTGTTTGTCGAAACGTAGATGAATCACATGAGTCTAGAAGACATCATGTGCTTTGTGGGAATCAACTACATCTACGTTTCAACCCATTCAGATTGATCGGGTATTTATTTCCATCCTTTCTGGAGATTGGCTTCAACAGACCGCGCAGTGTCCGGGGTCGGTAAGCTCGGTGAACGCTAGTCCACCACTCCAAACATCTGCATTCCAACCCCCCGGCAGAAGACCCGCACGGCGGTCCCGCAAACCCCCCGCCTCCCCGCTCCAACCTCCCGGTCCCTGAATCCTCGAGCCCCAAAACTCCGACCCCGCATATTCCCCGCCACAACTGCAACTCATGGCTCACACGACAGCCGGGAGCCATGTCGCACCCTCAGCGAAGGGACAACCCCATGCAAGCTGCTTGACCGCTTGTCGCCTGCCATACCTGCCATTACACGCACTCATCCAACTACTTACATCCTGACCTCGACTCATCTCAAACTCTCCTCCCTTTCATCTTACACCCGTCCATCTCACACCATCTCATCTCACCTCCCACACCCAAGATGGACCCCTCCCCCCTCCCATCCCACCTCTCCAAACTCCTCTCCCTCTCCCCGCCCCAATCAACACACCCGCCCTCCACCCTCACGGGACCCCTGACATCCCACACCGGCCTCGCCTACCTCTTCCTCGCCGTCTCGGCCGACCACCCGCGCCTGCAGGTCCACTCCTACCCGGCCATCCACTGGGCCCGCGCCTACATCTCCAACATCCCGACGCCGTCCGCGCCGATAGTCCCGTCTTCAACACCGCCAAACGAGACGAACCACGCCGCAAAAGACCACCCCGTCCTAGGCCTCCTCTCCGACGCCCTCGCAAGCCCGGCTGTCCGCGCCTGCATCACAAGAGACCTCGCCCACGTGCGCTTCTTTCTCTCCCTCCTAGCCCCCGTGGTGGAATACATCCTCTCTCTACAAACAACCAACACAACGTCCTCGGCAATGGACCTCGACGCACAACCATCACCGCCGCAACCGCTCCCGACATGCCTCCTCCACGGCCTCGCAGGAACGCTCTACCTCCTCCGTCTCATCCGCCACTGGGTCCCCTCCTCGGCGCCCCTCGTCTCCCGCGCAATCGTCCACGTGTCAGAGTACCTCCTCTCTCCGTCAACGACCTGGACGTGCCCGTCCCACTCGCCCTCCCACCACGCTCCACCCTCCCCTCTATCAGAGCGCCTCTCGCCCACGGACCGCCACGGCGCGGCCCACGGCGACCTGGGCACAATCACCCAGATCATCCTCACATCCCCGCCTCTAGCACCCGCCCTGACACCCCGCCTCTCTGCCCTGCTAGACCTTCAGCTCCCCAGCGGCGACTGGCCTTCCTCACAGCCCCAAACCGCCCCGGCAGGACCAACACCGACAGAACACCACGACCACTCCTCAGAACCACCCGCAAAGACCTCCGCAGGAGGCATCGGCTTCGCCTCCGGCCCGCAGGGCCTCATCATCTCCCTCATCTCCCTGCGCCCCTTCTTCCCGGCGCTGCAGGACCGCATTGACGCGACCATCAGCGCCGCGCGCGACTTCCTCTGGGCGCAGGCGCAGGAGCCCGGACCAGCGAGGGAGCCGAACCTCTTCCACGGGGCGCTGGGCACCGCGTTGTAAGTCCCCCTCCCATCGCACGGCACCATGCGAGATCTCGACGTGTCCGAGGCTAACACCGCGCAGGACCTTCCCAAAGGGGCCCCAACGAGCCCATCTCCTCTCTCTCGCCTCCGCCTCCCCGCCGGAAAGACAGCCCTCCCCCTCCGCCACCGCCGCCGCAAGCACCGCACCAGCAGCGGCGCCGACACCAGGCTCCCTGATGACGGCCCCCGCGCCGGGCTCCGCGTGGGCCCACTCCGTCTGCGAGAGGGAGATGCCGCGGATGATCTTTTACAACGACGTCTGAGCCCAAGATTCATCCTCTTGTCTTGTCTTGTCTGCTTAGAACACCCCTATTCCGCAAACGTGTCCCTAATACCAAAAACACTTGAACGTATCTAATCATAATCAACCCACACTCAAAGACTCTTAAGCCTTACTCCAGATTCTTCCTGTCGCCCCGTTCATATTTCACCCCGTTGACTTCTTGACGAGATAGAGGACACACAGCCTGCAGGTTGCAACATTGCCATGTTCTTCTACATGGTAAGAGATTTGAGCCTACAGAAGACGCGGTTCATCGAGAGACAGGGAATATCAAGGAACTCGGCTAGGCTTCAGGGAAATTTTTGTACGTCGGGGAATATATACCCAGCATAGACACATACGCCCCAACGGCAAGCAGACTTCACCGTCAAAGCAATAAACATAATCACTCAAAGCCACACCACATCATGGCGCATCCGCACACAAACCCACACAAGTAATGGCAATGGAATTCGTATTCCAAAAGACGTCTGCTCCCCCCTGTAGGGGAACAGGACGGCGGGTATAATAGCCACTTCGCTCATACCATCAACCCCTCCCTCCGTATTTACTCGTCTTCCCCCTCCCTTGCCCCCTCTCTCGAGGTGAGCAAAGCCATCAAACACGCAACGATTCAAATCTGCCACCCAAAAAAATAAAAGGAATAAAGGACAACAATCGAAACGAGTGTGTTGAGGTCCCCCGTTCTCCGCCGGGCCGTATACGAATACCCCGACCATGCTGCCCGAAAAACACCATCCCAGTGTTTTTTTCCCAAGAGCCCAAGAAACCCCTAATTACGCCATTGTGTCCCCACCTCCCATGCCGTTTGCTTCAGTCGTGCATGGGGGAAAAGCTCAAAACTGCCACCAGACCCAAAGAAAAAATCGCAAGCGTTCGCAAGCGTGGCCAGATCACCTGTTGCGGTCCTCCTGCGACGATCGGCTCGCGCGGGAGGATCCCCCAAAGCTGCCCGACAGCAGGCCGAGCCATCCTTCAGGTCGGTTCTGTCGTCCTCTAGGCGCCGGCGAGAGGATCCCTTGTTCGACATCATCGCCTCTGTCTCCTGAGCCAGACGCCTCGGCTTCCACCTCGTCGTCAGAGTCGTCGTGGTATGGCTCGTAGCGAGGGCTGGATGGAGAGCCGCGCGCCAGCGACCGCACAACGTCGCCCTTGCAAATGGGGCATGTGCGACGGCGTGTCGTCAACCAAGGTGTGCTGGGAATGGTTAGCATAGAGCAATAAAATCCAAGGCAAACGTCACTTACATGCACTCCACATGGAACTCATGGCCGCAGGGCAAGCTCATGACACGACTGACGCCGTCGACGTACTCCTCCAAACACACAACGCACTCAACCTGCCTGCCCATGTACTTCTTCCACTCGCTCGAGTAGCTGCCGTTTGGCTTTTCATGCTCGGCCCGCAAAGGCGACCTGGGCATCTGCAAAGCCGAGTTGACGGACAACAGACTCTCCGACTCGGGAATTCCCGTCGTTGTCCTAGAACGAGGCCTTGGCCGAGTAGGAGTCTGCTGCAGCAGAGGCGTGGTGGGAGTCGGGCTCGTGGGCGAGGGCAATCTCGGTGAGGGCACAGGCGAGGCCGCAACGGTGTGGTAGGTGCGCACGGGGAGGCGCTCGACGACCGACTTGGGCGCCCTCCATCGTCTTCTGCGAATGCGCGCACGCAGGATGAGCAGCGCGTAGACGACGCTCAGGGTAATCAGAGGGCTGACCACGAGGACCAACAAGGTATCGAAGAAGGGACTGGAGCTGGTTGAAGGCGTGATGGTAACCCAAAGACCATCGTGTCCAATGGGCTCGTTGTCATCGTCGTCGGGGATCGGCTTCTCCGGCGCGGGAGGCTCCTTGGGCTTGTCTTCCTTGGAGAAGTCGGCGCCATCGTCGTCTCCAAAAATCTTGGACATGATGCCGGCGTGGGCAGCAGAATCCTTGTCGGAAGAGGCGGACCCCTTGGGCTCGACGGGGGGCATGTTGGGGTTGTACTCGCCGCTTCCGGGGGTGATGCTTCCACCCTTGGGGCCGCTGGCATCCTTGCCTCCCTTTGCGTTGCTTTCCGTCTTGCCGGCGTGCTCCGCCTTCTCGTTCTTGTCCTTGGTGCTCGGGGCATCCACGAGGTCAGGGTCCCGCCAGTCCTGGACGCCAATCTGGAAGCTGTCCTCGTTCTTGCGGGACTCGGGAGCCTTGCCCTTGCCCCTCTTGGCGGCCTTGCCGAGGCCATCGCGGATGCTCCTGTCCTTCTCCTCGCTCCAGTCGTCAACGAGGACCCAGTTATGGCGCCCGCTACTGGGAGGCTGGATGCTGCCGTCGCCGGATCGCGAACTACGACCCCAGCTGAACAGCCAGCGGAAGAAGCCGACACGGGGCCTGCTAGTCTCCTTCGTCTTGGGGGCCTTGGCCTTCGTGGCAGCCTTGGCCTTGGCCTTGGGCGTCGCCGTGGCCTTGGCCTTGGGTGTCGGCGTGGGCGTCGTGGTGGCGGCCTTTTGCTTGGTCTTCCTGTTCTTCCGGTTCGCACCGTCAGAGTGCAGGACCTTGAGGGCGGGGCGGCCGTGCTCGTCAATGGTGTCCTCGATAAAGCTGCCCGGCTGGGTCAGGGACGAAAGCAAGTGAGCGGTGGTGCGGGTGGTAAAGACGGAGGGAATGGAGATGTTGGAGGTGTCGCCTCGAGCAAACATCTGGATCAGAGGTCCGCCCTTTGTGTTATCGCCGACAATGAGGGCGATGGCGCCACGTCGCTGCGCCCACTTGACCTTCTCCAAGAAACCGCAACCGCCGCGACTGAGCAGCACAATCTTACCGGCGATCTCCGCAGCCTCTTGTATCGATTGGATATCGGCGTGGGTCGACTCGGTGGACACGGCGCTATCGTGGTTCGGCTTGGGCTTCCGGGCGAGGCCTTGGTGGAGGTAGTCGTCGGTGCCGTCGTCGAGGGGGCGGATCTTGGACTTGAGCCGCGTGCTAGGGACGCCGACGGCGCCGGGGACTGCGTCCTTGTCGGCCTCGACCTTGTCCCGCTTGTGGTGGCCAGGCTTGCCAGCAGCAGTGGCAGCCTTGGTGTCCGACTTGGACACGCCCTTGGCGGCGGACTTGAGGACGGCGTTGGGCTTGCCGTCCTCCCAGCCGGGGATGTCGGTGCATCCGAGCTCGCCCTCGCCCTCGCCCTCTTGTAGGTTATCGTCGGCGAAGCCGCTGCCGATCCATAGCTGACCGCTGAGGCCCTTGTTGGGCAGGTTCGGGCCAAAGGCGGCAGGGCGAGCGACGAAGGACGTGCTGTTGTCGTCGGTCAGGCTGATGGCGGCATTCGGGGTGAATATGGAGAATGGCGCCGTGAAGGAGAAGAGGCTCTGGAACCGTGATGGCGGGACGGCGGCCGGGTTGACGATGGCGTTGGAGCGCGATGGCGAGGAGACGGAGCGGCAGAAGAGAAAGAACGAGGCGGCGAAGAAGAAGACGAGAATGGCTATTCTAGGAGTACGCATGGTTGGGTATCGTATCGGGTCGTTAAGAATATGAGGCAAAGGAAAGGGGCAGAGGTCGAACGCTCTGTGTCGTGAGTATCTCTAGAGATAACGGGTGGGGCGTCGGGCGCACGGCGCGGCGACCGGGGCAGTTGAGCCTGGCGATGATGGCAGCACGAGGGCAGAGGAGTCGAGTCTGTGTCGAGGACCGATCGGCTGCTGGCAGTGGCTCAGCGGCAAACTGCACAGGGGCCGAACATGCGCAAAGTCATGCGGCGAGAGAAGGATGATGAGACTACTGGCGCTGTGTGTCGAGGCGGAGGTAGGAGGTGACGACGGGAGGTGAAGGTACGGATCGTAAGGTATTTACACGAGGGGCGAAAAGCGGTTGGGCAGCAGCCTCTCACTCCGTATCTCTTGGTTTGGTCTCGTGCCACGGGAAATGTCGGTACAGGAGAGAACGGAGGAGGAGAAAATAGAGCCTGGGGGTATTTTGGGGGTAGGGGAGCAACAGGTGACGAAGTGAAGAGAGAGACAGTGTGTGTGTGTGTGTCTCGATCAGGTTTATTTTAGTGAGGACTGTTAGAGGTCCGGCCGTTTTGCATCGAGTCGAGGCGAGGCGAGTCGAGTCGGGTTTGGCGCAGGTTAATGAAATGTGAAGGTGCACGCAGCGCAGAACGGTGCAGCGCCATACAGTACAGCAACGAAGGAGAGGGAGCGAGACGGAAGCCGGTCCTGGGGTGGGATGGGATGGATGATGGTATGACTGGCTGCGGGAGGGAGGTTACGGAGCCGGCGACAAGACCCAAAAAGAAGCCAAGACAAGGAGTCGAGTGACAGAATTGGATGGAAAGGGTGGAGTTGACGGCGACGACGACGACGACGACGACGACGACGACGGCGGCGGCGGCGGCGGCGGACGGCGGGCACGAGGCATGGCAACACACTGGTACATACGCTACCTAGTACATACGCTGCCTAGTACATACTATGTAGTTAGTAAATGTAGTAAGGCAAGGTACCTTACCTTACGGGCACTGGCACTGGCACTGGCATTGGCATTGGCACCGATACATGGAGCATGAGCGAACAAATGGAGCCGGCACCCCCTCCCCCCTACACCCGACCCCCCTACGTAAGGCGGCGTCTCTGGTGGCGGGGTGAGTGTTGTTGTTGTTGTTTGGGTGCCGGGGCCTCTTTCTCGCGCTCTCTCTAGCGCCTAGCGTCGAGGTGCAATGGCACGACACTGGCAACTTTTGGCCTTTTCATCTCCTCCTCCTCCTCCTCCTCTTCCCGGTCCGTGGAAGCACTAGCTATTTCGTCGTATCCTCTGCACTACCCGTACTATGTATGTACACTATCCATCTGTTCTAAGTGACTGCGCAGCGGGGGAGTCCAGAGTGGACCCGACCCGGGGGTTTAGGGGGCCCTACCTGGCTGGCACATCCGATGCGGTGCGCTGGGTACGCGCATCCATCGGGCGGCACAGGCACAGGACAGGCACAGGTTCATCGTCAACTGGCAAGCACACTTTCTTACCCGTCATGGCACCATTCGACACCGCCGGGGAGGTTATGGCGGTACATCCCGGGACGAAGACGGACGGACGGATACGCGTACAGGGACCTACAGACAGCACTCTCCGCTGCCATTACCTGTACTATGTACTCCATGATTTAACCTGCTGTCTGTCTGCTCATCAAACGAGGTGGACAATGGGCTCACTTCCCCCATCTTCCAGACGCCTCCCGCCAACATCATGATGATGCCAGAGCCCGGTACCGAGTCCACGGGGGGGCGCAGTCTGGCTCATTCCATCATGACTGTCAAAGACACGCCATCCCGGCACCAGAACCACGGCGGCCAACAGGAGGGGACATGGGCAGCGTGAGTTGAGGTGTGGCATGGTTGGGTTTGCAGGGGGGAAGGGGCTGAACGACGCTGGTCATGGTCACGCTCGTCTAGGTTTTTTTCTTCTTCGTTTTTTTCCCCTCCTCCTGCTATCACGCAGGCCGATGTTCGCCGGGCCGTCGCCGGGCCTAGTGCCGTCTTTGGTACATGGTGTGTATCCTGGGCTTTCCTGGTGACTCGAGATAGGCCGAAGAGAGGCGAGGAGAGGAGAGAAGGGGTTCTCCTGGTGCTGTGCATGCGTCGCAGCACCAGTGATTCAGCGACTGTGATGTCCCACTGTCTCGGCCCCCATCTCCACATCTGGTGCTTCAGGTCGCCCAGTGAGACCAGGCTCGTGTAAGAGGGCTCCTTTGACGCCCGTCGCGCCTGGCGGGACGACTTGGGGATCAACTGGATGCGGGTGCCATTGAACAAGCGCCGACCCGGCGATCCGTTTCCGTGTTTTTCTGTTCCGTCTTGCATTTCCCATATTGCCGATCTTGCTCGATTGACAGGACCCTTCATCAAACGCCATTGCAGGTTCACAAAGCTTCCTGAATACGACGACGGCGGGAAATTGAGGGCGACGTGTCGGTATCTCGTACCCAGGGGCGGCAAAGCAGGGTACCTTCTTCCTTGCTTTCTTTCTTTCTTTCTTTCCTCCTCCTCCTCCTCCTCTGTAGCGCTCTGCCCAGGGACCCTATCGGCAGTCGACTTGCCAGTTTGCTACAGACAGAATCCAGTCGAGCGAGCTTTCCGGCGCGGCGGCCGCCGCCAGCAGAACAGCAAAGAAGCCGGGAGCGTGACGTGAAGTGACCTCACATGGCCAACCCGCGCTACTCGTGACCATCGACATGTTTCATTCCACAATCCCCTTTCGAGAGGGGCTACCGCCGGTCTCATCCAACCATTCCGTCGCAATCTACCGTAGATAAAGAACATCCGAACAAAGACAGAAAGGGGTGGTGAGGTGTGCTCCCGACTCGGCCTAGCGGGGCCGTTGAGCAAGAGAAAGGAATCAGCGGGGGGAAACACACTCAAAGAAAACCTAACCCAAAACCTTTCCCCTCGAAGCCAAAGGGAGGGGCTGATGAAGCTTACACCGTAACCTACTGCTCCGTAGTACACAACAACCCAAAACCTTCGGGGGTTGGGATAAGCAACTCGCCAGAGGCGACGCCGTACCTCGGATCTCGCTTGCTCGATGCTCGACGAAGCCCGGCCAGGGGCATGCGGCGCCGTCGGGAGACAAGCTCCCGTTTGCGTCCGCCGTTTCTCCAAAGTGCCCGCATGCAGGCCGTCGCGACCCCTGTCCAAGTCAAGCATGTCATTGAAGACATCTCCAAACCATCACGTGTCCTACCTACTGTACACACACTGCATTCCAGCGCACCGTCGGCTCTGCTTTCTATTGACGCTCCCGTCCAACCTTGACCGCGTCCATGCGCCGTCCGTCGAATCGCACCGCACGCGGCACCAGCCAAAACGAACAGACGAGCGAACGGACACACGCGCGGGCCCGACAAGGCGTCTCACCTCGCCAACCCCTCACCCTCTCTCTCCTTGTTGTTTCCGGACGCTGGCGAAGCTCTGCTCGGCCGTAGGAAGGAGAAAAACTCAATTCATCCTGAGGGGTAAACAACCTCCGGCCAACCAAGCAACGATAAGCCCGTCGGAGGCGCTCCGTCGTATCCGCGACCGCCTCGAGCTGATCCCCCGCGCGGTCAGAGAGGCGTTACAGAGTACGGCATGCATCTCCAAACTCCCAGAACCCAGGCATCCTCGGAGTCTCGTCCCCTCCAGCTCCCAACGCAACGCATCCGACCCAGGAACACCAATGCTGTGCTGTACGTGGAGGAGTCCTCCAGCCCCAAACAGCACAACTCGCGTCAACGATACGATCCCTCATCAGCCACCGGCCGCGCCTCCCCCGGCCGCGGCCCAGTCTTCCCAGCGCCGGCACTCAATCGGCGACAACAGGTGCCGTGGCAGTGCCGTTCCGGGCGTGGCGTGTCTGGTCCCTTCCCCCTCCCCCCGCGCAGACGTCTTTGTTCCCTTCCCGTTCTTCCCACATTCCTCAAACCAACATTCCACTTGCCGCATCCGTTCGCAGTCGACGCCGCCATCCATTCTCTGAACCGCGCGTGCCTGGCGTGCCTGGCGTGCCTGGCGCTTTTCCACCGTCATCACATCCACACAGTTGTGCATTCGCTCGCCATTTCCCCAAAATAGGTAGGTATCCCAATCTGTTCCCCCAGCCTGCCGAATCCAGCTAGCGCGCTTGCCCAATCGGACCCCTACCCTTTTCTTTTTCTTCCCTTCCTTTCCGTTCCAGCATTTCATTCAACCCATTTGTTTCACAAGCGGCATCTGGGCAGGGGTCGTTTTGACGTGCCGGTTGTGAAACGCCGTTTGCATGCATCCATCCCAATGGCCGCCGCGGACCCCCCATCCATCCCGCCGTAACCTCGAGGGTGGGCGATACCCCACGCTTCTTCTCGTGGGCGGCTTTTGAGGTCCCCTGATGGAATGGAAACCATGGTGCCTTTTGAGGTACCGCAAAGCATAGCTAATCTCGTTCACGATTGGTCTGCAGCAGGATCCCCATATCAATCCCGGTGTTTTATCTCCTGGCACAAGGCCTCGAGTGAGGCTCAAAATCAAGTTTGATGCTGGGCTTGGCCCTGCCGCGGGTCAGCCTCATCATCTAATCTCCAATGTCGGTTACCCATACCACACGGGAACCGGACGAGAGCCGGCCCAGGGCAGCGACAAACTCTAGTGGAGCTTCGTGGAACACAAGGTCGCGTGTCCCCCCCTTCTACGATGGCGCTCCCTATGAAGCCGGGAAACGCAAGTGTATCCACAAGCATGCCCATATTCTGTGCAAATCTGCCATGTTCATGATGATAGATTCCAAGCGCATAACCAGCGTAAAGACAGTCCCCTCCTACCATATGCAGTGTTCAAAATATCAAATCGTTTCACCATGCAATTGCCGCCCGCCTGCCATGACCAAACGCCCTCCCAAAACACCAGAGCCGTGACCGTTCATCCCCCCTTTCCACATCCCAGACCCCCCCCCCAACGCGAGAATCAGTTGAACTCGGAAAACAGCCCGGTAGGCTCGTCCTCCTTGCCGCGATCCCACTCCCGCTTCTCCCCGGCCTTGGCCCACCGCACGTCCCGCTCGTCCTTGTGCTCGCCGCCGGCGCCGCCCTCCTTCCACTTCTTGATCATCTCGTCGCTGTACCCCGCCGCCCGCATGCGCTGCTCCTGGTTCTGCCGCCACTTCTGCCGGTCCCGAAAGGCCTCCACGGCGTCATCCCAGTTCTCCGCGCCCGCGCCGTCGTCCGCCATCTCCATGTCCGCCTTGGGGTCGTAGTCCGCCTCGAAACGCTTGTCGATGCTCGACGTCCCCGACGCCGCGCCGCGGCCCCGCGAACGGACTTGCTCTGGCGGAGCCGGGCCGATGAAATCGTCCAACGGGTCCGAATCGGACGCGGCCGTGGCAGAGCCCTGCTCCTGCGTCGTGCGACGGCTGCTGCCTTTGATGGAGAATCCCCCCTGTGGCCTTTCGCGGCTTCTCTCCTTTCGGCTGCGTAGGCTTCTCAATATCAGATCATGCGCGGTTTCGCCTCTGCCCCGCTCCTTGTCGCCGCGGTGCGACTTCGATGCCGAGTCTTTGCCCCCAAGGGGCGATCGGTGACGGTGTCTTCTAGACTTCTCGGCGGGCGAGCGTGACCGCCGCCTGTCGCTCTTGTGCCGTCGGCGGTCATCGCGCTCCGTGTCCGACCCATCCCTCCTACTGCGGCGGTGTCTCCCGCTGGTGCCACGTTCCGGCGACTCGCTTCTCAGTTCCCTGTGATGTTTTCTGCGCGGCGATGAGTCGTCATCTTTCAGCGGCTTCTCGTCGGTGCGCTCTGCGCGGCTCGGCCTCTCCTTGCGGTCGCCCAAAATAGCCTTGATGTCGCCCATCTGCCGTCTGCGGATATCCTGCGGCCCCGCCTTCCTTCGCCTCTCCTTCTCCTCGGCGTGTTCGAGATCCTTCAGCCGCGCGCGGGACTCTGCGGCTTCCTTGGCGAGGAGGTTCTTGTTGTGCGTGTTGGTGTCCTTGATGATGTGGCGCAGAAAACGGGTGTTTGGCTTGGGCATGTTTGCCGGTCTGGAGTCGATTAGATTTGTGTGACGGATCCCGGGGGTCATGGGACGTACTTCTTGTCGGTGCGGAACGCATCCATGCCCATGCTGGAGTACTTTAGCGAGCAGTCGTCTGCCTCTTTGGCCAGCAGTTCGGCGACATATTCGTCGGTGAGGAGGTTGTCGTTCGACATCCTAGATACGGGTGTCCAATTTCGATCCGGATGAGACTAAGTCGATGGCGCCCTTTCCGAGGACGCGGCGCGATTCAATAGAAGAGTGGGAGCATTCGATGACTGGGCGTGAGGTGGTTTCCAGTATCCGGCAAACTTGGTTGCGTGGGGGATTCCGATCGCCTGAAAACGATGGTCGGGATGGAACAGTGACAGAGAGGCCTATCGGTATGGCTGCTGAGTGATGCCGCGAAGAGGGGTGGCGGGGTCGTGGTCAGTTCAGAGGCTTCGTTGTCGCCAACTATGGCGGTTGGAGGATTGATCGACAACGGGCGGAGAGTCACTTTGAAAGGCCTTGGCACAGCGGGATGCATCTCCGTCAGCCGCTCGTTTGGCCGTGCCGATAAGATAGAGAAGTGTCTATCGATAAGAAGCCATTCGCGCTTTACCCCTTCCGGACCAAAGTAAACAAACGTCACCAGACACTGGACCCCGAGCGCAAAGAACATTTGAACCAACTCCGCGCGGCCGGCCACATTCCTTTAACGCGACTGCACCATTTGAATCCACAATCACACACTTCCACGGGCCTCTTTCGTCAGCAATTATCCCACAATGGACGCGAACAAGGCGGCCGAGGTGCTGCGCAAAATCGAAGACCTCAGCGAGAACCACGAAATCTCCATCATCAGACTCAGCGAGCCCATCTCGAGCGCCGTCGCGCAGGAGTCGCGGCAACAACGGACGTCGGACGCCTCCAATGCCTCTCAAGATGCTACGACGCCGGCCAGTCTAGACGCCGACCTCGAGCACTACAAGGAGCTCTTTGCGAAGCTACGGTTCTCCTACGTCGAGCAAGTCACCAAGGAAAAGTTCATCCGCGCCATCGTCGGCGATCCCCCCGTCATCGTCTCGCCCCAGGAGAATCTCGAGCTGGAAAAGGCAAACTTGGAGGCAAAGGCGCAGCTCAAGGCGCTCAAGGTCGAGGTCGCAGAGATGGTGACGGAGCTGGAGAGGAAGGGCAAAGAACTGGCGAAGCGTTATGAGAGCGTGCAAATGGACACGGCCAAGTTGAAGGAGCTCCCGGACAAGATTGCCGAGTTGGAGGAGCGCGTGGCTGAGCTCAAGGAGGCGCAAGAGCCTGGGCAGAAGCCGTACATGAACCTGCCCCTCGCCAAAACACTCGACTTGGTGGACGAGAAGAAGAGGCAGCAGCAGCAACTGGACCGCGAGCTGGAGCAGCTCCAGGCCAGGGTGCCGCGGAAGAGAAAGGAGCTGGAAAGGTTGCAGGCCGAGCTGCAGCCATTGGAGGCTAAAAGGCAGAATAGCAAAATCGCTGCAAAGGAAGCGCAACGGCGAAAGGAGGGGGCTGGTGGCGATGCGGACGACCTCGAGGAGCGGGGTCGGTGGTTGAGGGCGAGTGAAGCGGCGCTCAAGCAAATGCTGGACATTCAAGGGTGATAACACACGGATACATCCCGGTTGGAGTGGTGTATGTGGACGATGTATGAATTTTTGTATACCCGCACGAGGCAAGGGACGAAGTGCAGCAAGGCACAGTTGGGAAAAAGGCGTTTGGCTGGCGTTTGGCGACGATACAATTGAATCGATTGGACGAACGCATCGCATTTTCGTGCGCCATCAACGCTTTGCACGCGACTCGACTGCCATCTGGTTTTTGTGGTTCGCTTTTTAGTGACATGCTACGAATGCACTGCTGGCGGGCCGGCAGGCACTCCATCAGAATCCTGGGTGAGGTGCATGGGTGGTCCGGGCTCCCCTTGCACTTTCGGAAAACGGCGCTGATTGGCCGACAAATTCGACCTTTTGCTCCCACAAAGCCCGGGTCATGTGACGCGCTCCCACCCCCGAGGATCACCCGATGGCGCCTGCCACAATTTGTGTGCCCGAAAACTCCCTCGCTTAGAGTGAAATTTTGACCACCCGCGAGCTTCTTGACCGATTCCTCCGCAAACCAACTAACCGACCAGCAACCACAGAACACCATCGTCGACCACCGAACACCGCCAAGATGAGTACGTTACGCCGCCGCCACCAATATCCTCGTCGCGACGAGAGGATATTCGCCGTTTCGATGGACTGACGATTTTTCTGCAGCGAAGGGTACCTCCTCGTTTGGTAAGAGACACAACAAGACGCACACCTTGTGCCGTCGTTGCGGTAAGTCTTGCCTACCCCGGGGGGATCGAGTCTCCCACGCTGGGACGCGACGACCTGCGAAATTCCCAACGCTCGAGGGACGCCAAATACTGATTGACCCGATGTCGAATAGGTCGCCGATCGCTTCACATCCAGAAGCACACCTGCTCCTCCTGCGGTTACCCCTCGGCCAAGACCCGCAAGTGTACGTTATCCTCCCGACGACGAGTCCAACCCGATCCAGCCCAGTCACCATTCGAGACACTCCTTCCTGCGCCATCATCTTGCCTTATCCCGCACGTGTGACCGGAAATACTGACGTAGGACGCGATGTAGACAACTGGTCCGAGAAGGCCAAGCGGAGAAAGACCGTCGGCACCGGCCGCATGCGCTACCTCAAGGACGTCTCCCGCCGCTTCAAGAACGGCTTCCAGACCGGTGTCCCCAAGGGCTCCGCCGGCCCCACCGTCCAGCAGTCGTGAGCGAAGCCGAAAGCGATGATTGGAATGTGAATCGGGTCGACATGGGGAGGTATCTGTGCAATCGAGGCATTCGGGCGAGGGGTTAGGGAGATGGGGAGGGGGCGTGTTGCCCGCGGGGAACCTTCGGAACGATATCACGAAAAATCTCTTCTTTCTCTCCTTACCCCCCGTTTGACTTGATGAAAGCAAAGCCAATATCAAAAAAGGAGTCAAACAAAAACCAAACAACGGGTGTTTTGCGTTCATATATCTCGCGCGCGGGCAAAAGGGGAAATCACTTTTTTACATCGGGAAAACGGATCCTCAAAAAAGAGAAACGGCTTTGCTTGTCTTGTCACCTCTGTGGCCCCCTCGCGCTTAGGAATATGAGTGATGACAGGGTCGCCCTGAATGGCAATCTAACGTGTCAGTGTGTTGGCAACTGTTCTCTGGGCTGTGTTGGCTGTGCGAGGATTGCGACTGGCGTTGTGTAACGTGGTTGATGTTCTCGTGCATGGAGCATCGCATCCCATTTCTAGTGATTTCCTCCGAATCTGCCGCCAGACTGACCATCTCCTAATCATAACGAGGACCATTCGTGATCTTTGAACCACCATATACTTGCTCACAAGCGCCATCGATCTGGGACCCCCCACCCAAGCTACCGTTACTGCCCCCTTCCAAATACTTTGACACTCCCATCCCCGCCGACGAAGTACAACAATTCCGTCTCCTCTACTGCCCTCTCCCCGTTGCCGTCCCCTCCGGCCGTGATCCTCAGCACTCCACTGACGTCGCTCGCGTTGCCCGTGTCCAAGAGTCTGAGACTAATAACCATCTCCGCGGCGTGCGCCAGCCCGAGGACGAGGCTCGCGTGTTCCTTCTCCAGCGTTGTAGCTTGTGGCGCCACGAGAGGTTCGTCTGCCGCGATGGTGGTGATGGTTGCATGTACTTTCTGCTCACTTGTCAGTCGGTAATCCTTTACTCAGCAAGCAGGGGTGGCGGTGGTGGAACAAGGCACAGTAAAAGATTGCGACCGAAGCATGAGACATCTCGTAACAAAGACAGGGCTCGGGGCGCGCTTACCTCTTGCACGTCGAGCAGCATATTCCTAAACGCGAGGCCAGTGAGATCCTCGCCAGAGGCAGCGACGAGGAGGTCCGGCTGGTCCAGAATCAATACCGTCTTCGCATCCGCGGCGGATACATCCACAATCGCCCCCTCGAGCTGGCGCTGGATGTCCAGCAGCTTCGCCCCGCGGAGGACTCTCCGACCCTTGACTGCCGGCTGCGCGGCCTTGTCCTTTGAAAACAACCCGCTCAGCCCGTCAACGAAGACGAACTTGCCACTTCGTCCCAACCCCTCGAGGTCGAGACCCTGTGGTGGGGGGCGTCAGTATGCGTCTCATGTGAGCCGGCCCCTCTCACCAATTGCTTGGGAAAATCTCATCGATGGAGGGGTAAAAAAAAATTGAGTGAGGGGCAGATGAAGCACGCATGGGAGAGGGCAAACGTACCAGTCTACCGGCGCCCTCCTTCCAGAACGCGAAATCTCTCATGAAGCTCACAAAGACCACGCGGACGTCCTCCGTCGGCGACGGTTCCTCGGTGGCGGCGGGTTTTCGGAGGTAGGAGTACAGGTAGCGCAGGACGAGCCAGTTTGTGCTGGCGCCGAGGACGCTGGTCAGGAGGATCTGGGCGCATTCGGCCGGGAGGGCGAGGTAGCTCTCCAGCACGTGGGGTATCCTCGTGGCCATGTTTGTATTCTGTAGTGAGATTCGTGAAAGGGGTATATGAAAATGCGTGTGGTGAGGCTTGTCATGTAAGTGAGGCCTTGGACTTGGAGTCACGGTGCATTTTGCACTTGACGTGGATGGTGGGGCAGTTGTCACAGTGAAGACCAGGCTCGACACTGTGCCTTCAAGTCGGCTCGTCTTTCGATCTCGTGCTTTACTCGTGTCATTGAGAGCCAACTGAAGTTTGGGTAAATTGACGTTGACAAGATGTATACGAGAATTCTCATATTGTCCAAAGTGTTCGATCATTTTAGCTGACAGGTCTCAAAATACATTATCAATGCAGAACGCTGCCGGCTTATTATCCGAGCCATTGGCCCAGCCCAACAACTTCATCCTGACCCTGCCTCACAGGCGTGATATAGTTGCCCTTGGACGACTGAATTACAAAACGTATGCCGGCCCCCCAAGATAACGACAACATCCCTATGGTACTTGGTGGTCCCCGGAAAAGTCGCCATAATGAATCGCAGCTTCTTATCCGTATGATTGAAATTGACGCTGTGATATGGGCCACCGGATCACTCGCATCAGGATGAGTGGCTTTCAGTAGATCCGGACTGGGAAGTTGCAGGGGTTGATCACTTTACATTGGATCTACGATCCAATATCATGCTTCTGCTGCATGTCTCGGCCAGTTCGATCCGATCCGAACTTCGAAGAAAGTCATGCGGGGTTACATATGATAGTGGTGAAGCGTTGGGATTTAACCTCCAAAACCCGGAGGGTCGGACATCCCACGTACACATTCCGTGCACCTCACATTGCCGCTAAAGACGGCATATCTTCAAAAGCACACACCCACAAAGATGTCCGACCAAGTCCCACCGCTCATCACGCTCGAAGAGCACTTCATCGCCCCGGACGTCTTCTCCGAGCTGTCCGACATCTACGGCGAACAACTCAAGCACCTCCCGGATGTCGCGGCCCGTCTGCAAGACGTCGGGCCCCTCCGCCTGTCCGACATGGACACGAACCGCATCGCCCTCCAAATCGTATCCCACGCCCCGGGTCTCGGTGCGCGACCGCTGGCACTCAGCCGCCTCGCCAACGACACGCTCGCGGGCGCCGTACGGGACAATTCATCCCGGCTGGCGGGGTTCGCGGTGCTGCCGATGGCCGATCCTGAGGCTGCGGCAGCGGAGCTCCGGCGATGTGTCCGGGAGCTGGGGTTCGTCGGCGCCCTGGTGGATGCGCACGTGGACGGGACGCATTACGACGACAGACGGTTCTGGCCCGTCTTCGTCGCGGCGGCGGAGCTTGACGTGCCCATCTATCTGCACCCGACCTTTCCGTCGGAGCGTCAGCTCCCGGCGTACGAAGGGAGCTACGAGCCCGGCGCCGCGCGGAGTCTCGGGTCCAGCGGGTTCGGCTGGCATCAGGACACCGGGCTCGGCGTCCTCAAGCTCTTCGCCGTCGGCTTGTTCGACGCGGTGCCGGGGCTGAAGATCATCATCGGGCACTTTGGCGAGATGCTCCCCTTCATGATGGAGCGCGTGGAGAAGCTCTCGATCCGCTGGGGCGCGCGGCAGCGCAAGTGGCGGCAGGTCTGGGAGGATAACATCTGGATCACGACGAGTGGGGTATGGGGCCTGGCGCCTATGGCTTGTGTGCTCAAGAACACGCCCATCGACCACGTTCTCTACAGCGTGGACTACCCGTTCGAGAAGAACGAGAACGGGCTGGCGTGGGTCCGGGAGCTGCGGGACAGCGGGATGGTCACGACGGAGGAACTCGAGAAGATTGCCTACCGGAATGCTGAGAAGCTCCTACAAGTCAAGGCACCGGTTGTCGCCGGTGAGAGCAGGCAGCCATGAGGCTCCGAGGGATTCCTTGCTCGGGACGAGGAGCTTAATTGAACGTCCTCTGATATACTTAACAGAGGGTCCTCGTCCTCGTCTTCAACGCATGACTGGCTGCTGTCATCTCCACTGCCCCATCTGCATCTTTTCGCTCCCCGCCCACGATGTGCCCTTCTTCTCGTCTTCCATCCACCCCGTCACCCACTCACACGGTCTCTGTGGCTCAGTTGGAAGAGCGTTGGTCTCATATTCAGTTTGTTGAAATGACTCTGGAATACACTCCAGGGACATCCAAAGGTCGCAAGTTCGAGCCTTGCCAGGGACACTTTAGCTTTTGCATTTGCGACGATGATCTTTTTGACTAGCACTATTGCGTTTGCGGGTGACATTGAGCAATTATGGCTATGAGGCTATGAATACAGGTGGTTGATAACAACTTGCGCTTGATGCTGCTTTGATCATCTCGAGAGAAATTGCGGCAGTCACCAACAATTTCCATATTGCTAGAGGAATGGTTGCGAAGACTCAAGTCGTAGAAACGAGAGGGCGGCCGCGAGCATCAACGAGATTATGAAACAGACTTGGTATTGTTTGGTGCACATATTCCTTAGTCTCAGTCAAACGCGAGCTTTTCCAAGCACTCATCTCAACATCCCCCGACGACATTCTCTTGTCCACAGCTCATACATCTGCAATCTTCACTCAGGATGCACCCACCGAGCACAAAGCCAATGTGGGGTCTGTTGTCCTGGCTGGCGCACACAAAACGGCCAAAAACCAAAAGTCCACACAGCAAATGCAACCAACCCCGGTGGTGCATGACGAGGACGGCACCAAAGCAAAAACAAAAGGAATGCGCCGAGGGGGAATCGAACCCCCGGCTCCCCGACGCTGCTTGATGGCAACGGAGAATTTTACCACTAAACCATCGGCGCACTTTGATGACTCGTGAATTGAGATGTCAGGAGTCCGTGGTTGTGGGTCTATGAATGCTCGACAACGACACACCGAGTCCAGGTTTGAGCGAGGTCCCGCTCCGGCCCGTGATAGCATCCAGGGCTCGGTGGACAGCGACACAAGACCGGAAGCCGCTGGTCGTGGTCAATTGCAGTGAATTGAGTTACTGTTCCATCTCATGGCTCAGTCAGGATGTTATTATGGATATCATCGCTAGATTCGACCGAAGATTGCGCAGTAATACAAAATGTGAATGTGTACACATGTTCAACACTATTAAAACAAGTATAAAATAGCAGTTTTAATCATTAAGTCACACTAAATGCTCGGAAACCGGGCAGAATAACCCTGAATTCTTTCCAAAGACTCAGGTCAGTCATAACATAATCAGCTGATTATTCCAGCCTTTCCACATTCTTACCCATCAACTCTCAATCACACGCAGCCCTCGACGACGCTGCATCGCGTTACAGTAGCGGCAACTCTACTACCTGCTAAAGAAGACGGAATTGCAGTCTTTCGCTTTAGGGGTCGAATCAGTTCCGTCTTCTCAGAGATGTCACGCAGTGTCCCGTGGGAGACTAATGCTCGGACAGCATGCCGAAGGAACCAAGCAAGACACCGCCTGCGGGAACGAGACGGACTTGCAATTTGAGTCTCTAGCACTGACTTGTCCTTCCGCTCGCAATGGCGAGCAGAGCCGTTCAAAACCTCTTTGGTAAACCTTTGCTTCTCTTTGGGGTTCTCGGCTTGAGACGCCGACTATAGACCGATAGACACATTGCCAGGACCAGCGTCATGCTTACACGCCAGCGCCGCACACTATGCAGACTCAAGCCTCACCATCCGCTCGCAACCCTCACAGTCCCGATAAAACGACAGCAGCCCATCGATTCCGCTACGCTGTGATCACCAGTCCATCCTTCATTCAATCCCTTGTGAATGGTATATCAGCCTCCCCGACTTCTGCCTCTGCAAAAGCTAGTGCCGACTGGGCGGCACGCGCACTCGTATCACGGTTGTACAGTCATTCATCGCGTCCATTGGTGATTCCATCATGTTGCATGTGCCTACTTCAATGTGTGCGGGGCTATGACAAGTCTCCAAACCACATGGCACTTTGATGTCAACTACACAGACATGAGATGCGGCGCGTCCACCGCAGTCGGTCGACGCATCTAGTACCGAGCCACATGGAGAGGCAGGAAATGGGCAAGCTTCAGGGTTGATACACACCGCTCTACCTTTGTGCCTGTTACCTCCGTTGCTCGTTTTATGTCCTCCACGCCTGCTGCCTCTCTTGTCTAGTTTTCTTTGGTCCCTCCAAGTGCTGGGATCATGGATGGATGGTGGAGATGACGGGCAGGTGATGGAATAAGAAAGGCAGGATACAATTTAGATCTGGCTCAATGCCTTAAATAACGTGCCAAGGTTGATGGTATGAGGCTGGGGACCACGGTCATGATCGCCGTACATAGCTGACAGGAGGTTCGGATCATGTTGAGACGTGCCATAGAGACAACACCCCAGCAGAGGGCTCGTCCAAAGGCGGCTATTTTCAGCCTCGAACCCAAGGGGACCGAGTCGATCACCTCTTCTACAATCTATAAACACGGACAACACCTGAGACGGGAGCGGGAGTTGCCGCTGGCCGGTCCGCTCGAATTTCAAGCTTGAAACCATCCGACGGCGTCGGTCGCAGGTTGTGAGACTGGGTTCAGGTGCTCGCGAGACGGGCAGGGCTGAGACGCGTGATGGAAACAAGCAAACGTTGCATGGGGCAGGCACGCACTCTACTGTTGCGATTTCGAGCAAACACTTGCCTATGTCCTGTTCTTCATAACAAGTTGATTAGAAGAGTCCCCCGTGTAGTGACGGATACCACGGTTGTGCGCTGTACTGATCTTCAGCGGCTCGATTACTAACCCGCCGGCAGGTCGGCGGGATGTCACGGTCATACTGTAATAGTAACAGCAGAGCGGCCCACAGAGACGCGATGCAGCGGAGAGCAGAGCAGGCGAGCTTACCAACCCGTCCGTTGGTCGGGCAGGCGGGCGGAACCTCCATGATTCGCCGATCAGGACCCGCAGACGCGGGCAGATAACCGACTCGCTTCGACTTGCCCGCAGCGCCGCACCGACAAGCGCACCTGTGTCCTGTCACCCTGCTCTGCCATCAACCCGTCAAACTCAGGCCGGGTCGTCTGTTTGCCCTGTTCGCACGAGCCGACGTCCGTGGCGACTCCCACACGGAGGGAGAAAAAAAAAACCCCCGAGACCCCTGATTAGCGGATAAATACCACCAGGAACCACTGGATCCATGGAAACCCATCCAGGCTGAAAGAGGGAACTCGGGGCGGCTGGTGGGGGTTGAGTTCGAGGGTCGAGACCGGAGCCCCGAGCTGACCGGGGGGGAAGCACAACTCGATGGAACTCTCCCACCGGGGTTTGTGTGTGCCTAGGCACATTGCAGTGCAGGACCCAGAACCTTGACGGTTCCGCTGCCGCGGTCTGTCTGCTGTTCGAAAACGGTTGGAGAATATTGAGTGTGGGTAGCCCCCTCACGAGTGAAATAGAGTGAGTGAGACAGACGCCCGGAGACACTCAGATCCTCGAGTTCAGACGATGCGGCACCGTGTGACACTCGACACGGACCCCGGTACTGAAGTGTCTGCATCTCTGCTGCTGCTGCTGGCGCAGGCCTGCAATGAAAAGGACTGGGCACTTTGCACCGGCGAATGTATAAGAGACAGGCTGTCGCCCATTCGCAGTCTGGCGCGGGCTGCCGACTGCGTATCTCCCATTGATAGTGTCTCCCCCAACGTCACTGCAGCCGACCACTCCGTCCCCCGACCGTACGACGACGAATTACATCACATCGCATCTAGCAGTGTTGATTGGGTCAAACGATAAGCACGAAGAGACGGGATCGTTGCCGTCGACGTTCCAAAGTGTCCGTCTCCGGTTCTCTTCCAAGTCGCTCGGCGACCCCTTCACCTGACACCACAGCCAAAACGGCTCTCCCAAAGACAGGTGTGCAGTAGTGTGTGCGCGTAGCGTTTGCTTGCTTGTTTGAACTGCTGTGTTTTCAGAAAGCTGCTGTCCTGTTGTGCTCTGTGTCTCGCGTGTCTGCAGCGGGTGTGTCGGTGAATGCCACTGAAGGGTGCCGTCCCCCAAATCCCCGCAATCCTACCCCTCGCGCCCCGCCTCGCGACATTCTTCGCCCGACGTGGCCGAGCCCCGTTGCTTTCTCCGCCGCCTATCCAGCCGAGTCTTCGACCGCCCCCCGCTGATCGGCTCTAAGCAGACGCTCCAGGCTCCCTAGGCCTACGCTCGAGTCCACGGGACACACTTGGGTCAGCCCTCCGCCGAGCACAATTTGCGAGCAAAAACTTCACCTCCTTCGCCATTGACGACGAGCCCTTCAGACGAGTCCAACGAGCATCATGTGGTCCAGCAAACGTGCTTCTCCCCCCGCCGCGGCCAGTAGCCCAACCGAAGTGGAGGCTGCTGCGCCCGTCACCACCAGACAGAAGAACCCCGGTCGTCGTATTGCCCAGATTGTGAAGCTTAAGCCCGAGTTTATCGACAAGTACAAGGAGGTCCATGCCAACGTCTGGCCCGAGGTTCTCAAGCAGATCAAGGAGTGCAACATTGTCGACTGTAGGTGCCCGACACCGTCACGGGAAGCCCCCCAGAAGCTGACCCCCAAACAGACAGCATCTGGCACGAGCCCGATTCACGCATTTTGTTCGCCACCTTCAAGTATGTCGGCTACGACTGGGCCGGCGACATGGAGAAGATGAAGGAAAATCCGAAAGTGCGCGAGTGGTGGGCCATGACCGACGGTTGGCAGGAGTCGGTGGTCCCCGGCGCCGTGAGCAGCGAGGCCGGCGAGCCGTCGTGGTGGAAGCCCGTCGAGGAGGTGTTTTACACGCCTTGAGAACGGGTATCGAGTGTATTGCATTTGTAGTCAACGACCAACCGAATAATGAGCGTTTTCGTCTTGATCACGCCCGGGTAGCCTAGTCAGCCCTTTGCTGGCAGACGCATTGAGGTACATGCCATTGCTCGAAGCACGGCGTACTAGTGACTGTCCATCCGGGATCATTTGAAGCCGCCAAATAGCCCGCCGAAGACGCCGCCGGATCCCCCGCCGCCTCCGCGCTGCCCGTGCCGCCTCGCCTCGGTCCTGATCCATTCTTCGAGGAAGGCGCGGTCCGTCAACTTTTTCGCGTCGTGAACCTTTGTCTGGATCTGGGCTTCTTGGTTGTCGAAGCTCAACAGCGTCGGGATCGACGTGATCATGTAGGTCATGCCCAGCCCCCCGCTCATGACGTCGGGAGAGTCAAACTCGACCGTGCAGTAACCGACACCGCCCTCAGCCTCACCCACGCCGGATTCCACAATGGATCGAATTAGAGGCGCCACGACTCGACACGTCCCGCACCAGGATGTGGTCCACAGGGTTATCAGAGGTGTTCGAGAGGAGGACGAGAGGAGCTGGTAGGTATGGAAGTCATCGGGACGTCGGACACTGGAAGCGGCGGCAGGAGGTTAGCGGGCGGCTGATGGCAAGTAACCGAACATGCATGGAATGGCGGACGAATTGGAACGAGCGTGTAAAGAAGCATGCAGTGTCCCACTCACGATGCGTAGATCTGGTTCTTGGCAGGTCTGTTACGAGACGTGGAGAAGGGGGCAACGGCGGCTGCGAAGGGTTGCTTGAACGGCGCGATCCGAATACCATTGGCAAGGGGAGTGTCGCAGGTCCGGAGGGCGCTGCGGGCGGTATGTCTTAGGAGCTGCATAATGAATCGCGGTCAAAGATACTTTCTCTGCGCATATGCACGTCGTGTGGTGCTGAATGACGTCGTTGAAGGCCGTCTCGTGATGTGTCGCGATGCAACTCGAGATGCTGATATGCGACAGAATCTTGGAAGGGAGGACGTGGGAAGGCCGACACGAGGGATCAAGTCGCGAGATGTGCCAATGGGAAAGAGAGAGAGCAACGAGAGTCGGTGTCTGAGGGGTGTGAGCTAGCAAGGAAATCGTGCTTGACAGAGCCGGGGTTTGCTTAGCTGCCGTTGTCTGTCAAGTCGTTCATCTGGAGATTCAGTAGGAAATCGAGTCCAGCTTCCGTACGCCTACGGGTCGGTTGTTGCTTGGCTGCTTAGGGTAGCTCCTTTCCTGGCAGGTGCAGATGCGGACGCTGACACGCTTAAACTACGGCTGTTTCTCATTGGGGGGAGAGGGAAGGCGCCATGCCATGTGTGGGGTCGAAGGTCTTTGCGCACGATGACGTTGTGGCGCTGCGGCTTGGGGTGACATAAGCAGGCGGTTTGCAGATTCTGCAGGGATCCCATCTGCGGTTTCGCGGATTTGGGGGGGACGGCACCAGCGGCAATCAGCTGAAAGGACTCTTGGCACCCTTTTGATGGACGAGGGTTTGTTCTACCCGTTTTCCAACGTCGAATATATTGGATCTTTTGTTCTAATCCTGTCCAGATGAGCCGCATACGACGGTCGCAAGCATTCGCGTATAATATCGACCGAGATATTGAGGCACGCACCTTATTTATATCTGACACCGCCCCCAAGCCTCATGCGAAAAGGGCAACCCTGGCCATGATTATAATTTCCCCATGGGAAAAGTGCGCGACTGACAGTTGCCGTCGCATGGCATCCGAAGATCAGCAAAAGGACAGCAGACCGCGCGCGACGAGTGTGGTTGCTTCGAGGGCCCCCTTTCGAGTCACTTGGGCGTCTTGTCCCCGGGTTTGGCGTCACCGCCTTGCTATCGGCTTCGACCGCTGATTCACGTTGCCCCCTCCCTTCCTCCCACTCCTACCGATTCAAGTGGAGAAGAAGGGCTGTGCCCATGGACGATGGAACTCGCAAGCGTGGAGCCGCAAGATACTCTGCGGCCAGTCAGACGTCAGCAACGTGCCTCCAGTAGCCTCCAGTAGCCTCGCTTTTTAGGGGTCCCTGAATCCCGGGGCCAGGATCCAGATGCGCACACCATCCATCAGCCTGGGCATGTGGCCCGTTGCTCACCTCCTTCGACCATCGCAGCTCTGGAATCGAGTCACCTGCCCGTCTGTCAGGGTTGTCGAGTCTATCAAGTGGACGAACGTCTCCTTTGCCCTCCAGCCCAAGACCCCCACAGAACCCGCCCGAAGCGACTCTTCCAAGACAGGGAGCATAAATCCCGGCGTGTTGTTGTCGTCTTTGACACTTGACTCGGTGGTCAGCCAATCCTGGTACTGGCCTGCCGATATCCCATTTCGTCCCATGTCCCCCCTCCAGCTTGACGGAGCATAACAACACTCTGCTCAACCTCAACCGCCCCATTCCACCATAAAGCTCGAGGTTCATCCTTGATCTGCTGGTCGTCTGCCACTACGTGAGACGCTACCCCCATCATTATTTAATCAGAACCAAACAGGGCGTTATAGCTACTGACGCCATCGCTCTGCACGGGCCCTGAACGAACGCCTCTTGTCCCGTCCACCGTCTGCCGCTTTTGGGTGCAGTCGTTTGTCGGTATACAAGGAAGGCTGTCTATCTCCTATCGACAGATTCGTCGCGACGCTATTTCATCTTTGTCCACCCCGCCTTCAACTCTACTCCTCCTCGCTCCCCTCTGCGTTCAACGCCGCGAGCTCATCATCCTCATCTTGCATACTCCCTTGGAGAATTTGTAATCTGTCGAGACCGCATTGCTAGGCGGCTGCTTCGGCTTTATCCATCCCCGGCTCTTTGACTTCTGCAACCTTATCTGGTCTTTGGGTGCACGGTTGGTCTAGAAGAATCATGCCCGACCGAACTTGAGATCAACCTTCAGTCGAACCACTGCACCCCTTCTCTCTTGGCGACCCTTGACTCGTCTCCTTTCACCTTTCTCATCTCTTTACACGACTTGCAGAATCTTGGCATTATCAACAGACGCGACACCGATTACAGTACTAGCCTTGCCCCTTTTTTTTTTCTTCCCTCTCTCCCCATTTGGGCCGGAAAACTGTCGAGAAATCGGTAACCATGGCAGGCATTCTGACTTGGAAGAGCCGATTTGGAGGCGTTTTTGGCAATAAACCCAAAAACCTGACCAACGAAGAGCAAAATGCCAGCATTCCAAAATGGAGTATGGGCGTCCTCAACGACCCGACAACGATCGAAGTACCCGGTTAGTACACCCGCGACTTGCACTCCTCAAAGACTCCATGTTGACATTATACAGGCTCCGTTCTTCTCCTCGCCAGCCATCGCAATGAGCCCCTGGGCTTGCGCAATGCGCCCGCCAGAACTTCTCACTCTTCCATCCCCACAGGGTTCCCGGAGCCGCCTGAGACGCCTAGCGGTCGTCCTTCCCCCGGGCATCCAGCTCCAGCGGATGAGGCCAAGACCACAAAGGACGGAATCATCCTCAACCCCCAACCGGAAGAGTCGGCCAACGATCCCCTCAACTGGCCCGCATGGCGGCGCGACTGCGCGCTGCTGTCTCTCGGCTTCTACTGCATGGTCGGCGGAGGCATGACCCCCTTGCTTGCTGCCGGCTTCACCAACGTGGCCCAAGACTACCACATCGAGACGGAAACGGTCTCGTTGACCACTGGCTTGTACATGATGGGCATGGGTCTCGGCTCCGTCATCTTCTCGCCTACGGCTATCCTGTATGGAAAGAGGCCGGTCTACCTGTTCAGCGCAGTCATCTTCATTATCAGTTCGGTCTGGGCCGCCGTGTCGCCCAACTTCACGTCTCTCATCCTGGCCAGAATCTTCCAGGGCATCGCCGTGAGCCCCGTCGAGTGTCTCCCGTCGGCCACCATCGCCGAGATCTTCTTCCTCCACGAGCGTGCGTTCCGCATCGGCATTTACACGCTGCTGCTGCTCGGCGGAAAGAACCTGGTGCCGCTCATCAGCGCCGTCGTCATCCAAGCCTTGGGATGGCGATGGGTGTTCTGGTAAGTCGTCACGTTCCTAACCCATCTAGAATACAAACCATGACTCACACGCTTTATAGGGTCGTTGCGATGGTCGTCGCATTCTGCGGCGTGCTTCTGTTCTTCTTCGTGCCCGAGACGTTCTGGGACCGGACGCCAGTTCCCAAGTCACGGAAGCCATCTCGAAGGCCAAGCTTCGGGCGTAGGCAGTCATCACGTCGCGACATTCCTCAAGGGTCTGCGGATGTTATCACAGCCTCCGCCAGCCCTGCTCTACAGTCGCCGCATACTCCTTCGCACCACAAGGACCTGCACGTCGGGTTCGCTTTCGACCCCAGCCAGGAAAAGGAAGACGTTGAGAAGAACGCTGACAACGGCTCCGACGCTCACAACACTGCGCCCGGCCCCCGCCCCTCGGGCACCTCGGGTACCCCCACCTCGGGATCGGACTACTTCGCCAATGCGCCCGCCATTGAGAGCGAAAAGTTCGCCACGGACTCTTTGGACGTCCACTCCCCGCCAAAGGCCCTGGCCTACACCCACGCCCTCCGCCACCAGCCCGCAAAGTCCTTCACCGAGCAGCTGAAGCCCTGGAACGGCCGCCTCAACCATGACAAGTGGTTCAAGGTCATGCTCCGGCCCTTTGTCCTGTTCGCCTACCCGGCGGTGCTGTGGTCCTCGGTCGTCTACGCCCTGTCGGTTGGCTGGCTGATTGTCGTCTCCGAGTCGGTGGCCCTCATCTACCGCAACCGCGAGTCTTACAACTTCAATGCCCTGCAGACGGGCCTCGTCTACCTGTCCCCCTTCATTGGAGGCATCCTCGGCACGGCCGTCGCCGGCAAGGTCAGTGACATCATCGTCAAGGCCATGGCCCGCCGCAACGGTGGCCTATACGAGCCCGAGTTCCGTCTCGTCATGGCCGCGCCCGTTGCCGTCACCACCGTCATCGGCCTCATGGGCTTCGGATGGTCCGCGCAGGAGCGCGACCACTGGATCGTGCCCACCATCTTTTTCGGTCTCATCTCGTTCGGCTGCACGCTGGGGTCCACGACCTCCATCACGTTCTGCGTGGACAGCTACCGACAGTACGCGGGCGAGGCGCTCGTCACGCTCAACTTTAGCAAGAACATCTTCCACGGGCTGGTCTTTAGCCTCTTCGTCACGCACTGGCTCACCGACGACGGGCCCAAGATGGTCTTTATCTGGCTGGGCGTCATCCAGCTCATCTTCCTCTTCTTCTCCATCCCGATGTATCTGTACGGCAAGCGGGCGCGCATGTGGACCGTGAGGAAGAATTTTATGGAGAAGCTTTGATGAGTTGCTGCATTCTTGGGTTGAGTTTGGGTGCATCGTGCATGATGCTGGAGTTGCATGTCAAAGCGTTTGATTTGTGCGTCACACAGATTGTTTCTTGCATCATGACAGCGTCGTACATGGTCTTTACCGCCAGAAGGGTTTCTGTCGTTTACAATTTCGGTACAATTTGATGATGTCTTTGGATGGACTTTGGAGGGTCGGATCAGTGGACCCTGGCGTTTAGGTCTTTTGGTGGTTGTTTTCACCATGCATGTCCCCGGTTCTCACGATACCTTTTTAGAACTCTTGCATCCTAGAACAGATCAGAGCAACTTCGGTTCTCAAGAGCATAAAACTTGTTTCTACCGTTCACGATTTTTGAGCAAGAGAATTGATGGCATTGGTACCGCAGTCCGTCCCGTGCGCAAGATCTTGCAACACTATAGTTAACGGCCAAACACCATCACGAGAGACGTCGAACCGGCAACACCAGAAGAGTCAACGCCATGACAATACTCGTTCCCCCAGCCGCCAATCCGACACCAAGTATCCCACACATCACCTGATTAGACACATCCGGCCCCTATGTCCCGTCAACAAGCAACCACCCAGCCGCCCGCTCACCTCACAAACGTTAAGAAACATGACCCCTACAGCCGCCCCTCTCCCGTGGGATAACCAACGCCACCAGCCATCCGGCAAAAAGATGTACAAACGCAAAAGAATTGCGCCGAGGGGGAATCGAACCCCCGGCTCCCCGACGCTGCTTGATGGCAACGGAGAATTTTACCACTAAACCATCGGCGCAGACGAATAGCCACTTCTTGTGGATGCTTCGGTGCGGCCCAGACTGCGCTCATGGCTGGCGGGGCGAGAGAACCCTCTGTGGGTTCTCGTCTTTCGAGTGGTGGGATTACAGATATTGTGCGCGGGATATCTACGGAAATTGCAAATTGGCGGCGGCGGGGGCGTGGAAAGTCTGGATGGGGACCTCGACGGGGCCAGGCAGGTAGCAGGGGGGCGGGCTTGACCGGAGCCGGTGGGACTTGTTCCCACACCGGCGACACAACCGGGCGTGCGTTTTAGCTTAATCCGACATCCTTGGTCCACGTCCGAGTACGACGGGGGAGGCGGGGACTGCGGTTCGGTCCCATGTCCCGTGGTGGTTGCTTTCTAGCTGGGGATGACCGGGCCCCAGAGCGCGATGACGTTGTGTTTAGTCTGTTTGCTTCGATGGGTGTTCTGCGTTGAAGCGTGGTGCAAACTGGTCTGTTGAGAGACTTGTTCGCATCTGCTCCTGTACCGCTGCATCTGCGAACGTTGGTACGGAAAAGTGAGCCTGCGCGGCATCTTTGCTTGTTCTCGATGCCATGGACTATGGCCTTTGAGGGTTTTACCAGGCTGGTAGCTCGCAGCCAGCTTACACAGACCTATGCCTGACCCACAAGGGGCGGCTGGTTGCGTGGTGCCCAAGTTCAGTCTCATGACAGTAGCTGAGGCTCCAGCCAGTCAAGTCGCCATCATGGATCACCATCACATTGGAAGTCAGGACTTCGTATTAGGCTGATGAAGGTGTCGACATACGAATCGTCTCGTGTCTTGTCTGGGTCTCATTACGTCGGGTCTGTACGTCATTGTTCATCGCCACATAAACATCACCGCCCGTCTTCACGTGGAGTCTCAGTGTCGGCCGGATTTCCTTGATTCGCGTCTGTCATAATGTTCACTCCTTGCCGTACCAGAAACTTCCCCTATCCATCAAGGGTGTTGATATTCATCCCATCCCTTACGTGTCTACCCGTCAACCCCAGCCAGTGTCTGCCGAGTTGAGGACGGCATCTTACGTTGGCATCCCAGCCAGCCAGCGTAAGTCGCGACCATCATCAGATGAGAGAGTTGGAAGTTTTGTGCTTAGAAGCCAGCGGCCTCAAGCAGGAGACCCAAGCTGTTCGCGGTCTCGAACTGGGTGTAGGAGCGGACGCTCAGCTCCTGGAGGATCATCTCCTGCTTCTCCTCGAGCTGCTCCACGTATTTGCTGAACTCATCGGCCACACCCTGGTCGTAGTCGATAAAGTCGGCCAAATTGGCTGTGTCAGACAGGCTCGCGGACGCCGTCGACGGGTCGCCGATGGGGACAGTGGCGGGCTGCTCGTTGTCGGATTCCAAGTCGCACGCCTCACTAGCAGGGCCGGAAGTGTCGGCATCATCAGAGGCGCCAGCGTCAGCGTCGGCGTTCTGCTTGATGACGCGATCGTGAAAGCGAGCAATGAAGATCTCAATGTCGGTACCCACGTACTCAACGCCTCTCTTCAGCCTGGGTGTCCAGTCAGTATACAAGCCATATTCACGTGTATTCCGTGATGAACGCTTAAAGAAAGACGGCAATCAAAGGTAGTGAAGGGAGATGAAAGGCGAAAGGTACATACCGGTTGGCAAGCGACTTGTGGCAAGCTTCACGCAACATGGCAAGCTTGCCGTTGCGAGTGGCCTTGTGATAGTCCGCCTTCTTTGAGCGGGTGATGCAAGTAGTGCGGAAAGCACGGTACTCAAGGGATCCCCTGCGTCTCGCCTCCTTTCTGTTGGGAGGGAGTCTTCGCAGAAAGTCGCGCGTTCTCTTGGTGTTGGGGTTGTCACTGTAGACACCTCCTTTCTTGCGCCCGTCACCCGCCATGGTTGCTGTTGGATTTCTGCTGTTTTTCCTTGGGTACTATTTGACTTGTGAGCGCGTGTGAATATCAAGTGTGTATTTGGCTTTCTTACTTTGTATTGTCCTACCTGACCTCTTTAGGCAGGCTGGATTGTTGTGATGTGGGTGGGTGGAAGAAAGAAAGTCGGTTGAGGGGTGAGAGATGAGAATGAAATACTCTTTGGGCGGCATACCAACCGATCGGTCCGTATGAGTAGTTAGCTTCAAGAGAAAACAGAAAGCAGGAAGGAGCGATACGTAAGGAAAGAACGGTCGACGGAGCCCGGCGCAGTAAGAAAAGGCAAAAACAATCTGAAAGGGAATTCAGCCTCCTGAGTGCACAGTAATCATAGATGGTCAAGAAACTCATTTAAAGGCAGTTATTCTTCATATATGGGCTAGGAGTTGCGACCTTGCTATTACTCTTGGCCATTCTCTGTGATGTAATTGAATAGTTCTTTATCCTTCTTGTAATTCCAGAACCCTGGCCCTTGTGTTAATACAGGCACATTCCCAAGATATGTTTAGCTCAATACATAGATGAGTTATGTCTTCAAAGCAAGATAGCAGGACGATGTAGTTGTTGACACTCTCGAATTTCGATAATACACTTTGTTTTGCTTATCGTAGCTAGCTGACATGCCGATGTCGTGAACTTGACCCCACTCGTCAAGTGAATTCTCGCCACAGATACAGCCTGATCTCCCTCCAGCACGAAATGGGACATATTGGATTGTGTCGCATGAACATCTCGTCAGTTTAGCAAAAACTTGCGCCAAGTCAAAGGAAAACCCTTCTGAAAATGGCGTTTTGTTTCCAGATGGACCCGAGCTCCGAGAAAAACCAAGACATTGTGCCACACCTACATGTTTTCATCCTGCACGTGGAAGATACAGAGAGACAGTCATGAACTGGATCTCTTATGTGTTACATTTGCTCCTTATTATTGAAGGTGGTCCATGCAGCGCTTAGCAATCATTCCTGGAACCATAGTCAAATCCAGTTGGAAATGACGGCATGAGGAGATACTATCGACCATCACTAGATATAATACAAATAAGTAACTCTGTCCTATTGGAACAATGATCAAAAGTCTTGACTTTCATAGATTAAGTTTATAAAAATCATTGAAATCTTTACTCAGTTTCCACTAACCCTCCAAAACCCACCTCAACCCTTCCACCATCTCCTCCTCCGCCTCAATCGCCCTCCTCAACCCGGGCGCCTTCAGCCAGAACGTATGCGGCCATCCTGTCACAACCTCAACCCGGACCTCAACCCCGGCCTCCGTCAGCGCCATCGCATAGCAAACCCCGTCCGAGTACAGCGTATCATTACTGCACACCTGTACCCATGTCCTCGGCATTCCCCTCAGTTCCTCCGGTTTGGCTTCGAGCGGCAGCGTCTCCAGCCCGTCTCTCGGCGAAACCCGCCGGAATACATTCCCCAAAGTACTCGTGAAAGATGGCGAGGCGGAGGTATACGCATGCCGAAGATATTCCGGGACGAAGTCCAGAGAGCCGCCGCCGTCGCTGGTCACGGGACACCGGAGCACGACGCCGTGGAAGCTACCACGTGGCGCGAGTTGCGAGACGGTGGTCGCGAGCTGCCCACCGCTCGAGGAGCCGAAGAGTACGAGCTTCGCGGACGAGTGGCGGGAGCGGACGTGGGTGAAGGCGTCAAGCGAGTCAGATACGCAGGTCGACGCAGAAAAGGTCGGCATGAGCCTATATCCCACGGAATACACCGTCGCACCTGCAAAGTCGTTGACGATTCGCCTGCATGCGAGTTCTTCACTATCTGCCTCACCAACGTACAGTCCGCCGCCATGGTAGTAGACCACTACGAACCCATCGTTTTTGGACGTCGAGTCGAGGCTATCGTCGAAGAAGCGGAGAATCGGGATGGCGAAGCCGTCGAGGCTTGACGAGGTGGTCATTTTCTGCGTCGAGAAGTGCGAGAGATGATGATATGGCCCCTCGGGGCTGAGCATACGGGCGTTCAGCTGTCTACATTCTTCCGCGTAAACGGGCTGGCGATCAAGAGGTGAGCTGTAAAGTTTCTTCGGGGCCTTGAGACCTGCTTCTTCCTCGAAGGTGAGCCAGGCAGGATCTAGAGGGGGTGCTTCTTTGAGGATGAAGTGGTTCAATGAGTCCATGGCGAGTTTGCGTGAATGAGATTAGTAGCGAGCATAGGACGCCTAGCAAACCTAACAGGGCCAGTGAATCGACGAGAGTGACGGTATATAGCATCCGCACGACGCTTGTAGCCAGGTGGAAAGTTAGATACTTTTAAGCTGAGAATTGAGACTGACGATGTGGGTGGGGTAGTCGGTGATTCCGGGCTTTTGATGTCGCGATTAGATCTCATTTATCCGGCAGTAGTGCCGAGTTTCGGAGCGGGCGTAAGCGCAACCCTGAGCGCCGCATTGTAGCAGAGTTCGGTGGGCTGGCTATCCGACATCCAAAGGTTAATTTGCACGGGTTTCTCATACTGCTGGTAAGAAAGGGGGCTGTTTTGGCGAATGGTTGCTAGTTTGGGTCGGATAAAGGACACTGGGGTTACCGCCGAGGACGTAAACTCCGAACGGAAAAATTCAACCGAACTGTAGCGCTCGTCAGATATGCGTCGGACACTTTGTCGAGCACCGCGGATGGGCATCAGGTATTGAAACAATGCGCTTGGTACAAAAGGTCGATATTAATGTCCACTGGGTTGATTCCCTCCCCTCGGACCGATCGCCTATCTACAATGCTAGAGTACACAAAGGGAATCGAAGAGCGAACGCGTCTATAGCACCGAGAGATCGCCGAACTTCTCCTGCAGAGGGTATTAGCATGCCGGAGCGCACCTGCGTTGCAGATTGACCGTACCTTGTATCCCGGAACGGACCAGCGGCCCTTGGAGACGAGCTGGGAGGTCTTCTCGTCGATCGAGGGCTCGGCGGCGGCAACGTCGTCCTGCGATCATTGTAAGCATCCAAACGCGTGCAATTGCCATTCCCCGGGTCGGCACGTACGACAGTGAGGTCCTCGAAGGGACGAGCGGACTCGATGTTGGTCAGAGTCTTCTCGAGGTCCTTGAGCTCGAGGTCGACCTTCTGCTTGGTGGCCTCGGCGTTCTTGACAGCCTCGACCTCGAAGGCCTCGATGGCCTTGATCTGGCGGCTAACGTCGTAGGTGGCGGGCTTGAAGGCGGTGAAGCGCTTCTCGATCTCGTCGACGACGGCCTGGTTCTTGAGGACGGAGCGGTAGTGGGCGAAGTCGACGGTCGTGGGGAGCTCCGAGAGCTGCTGAACGCGGCGGCGAGCGGTCTCGTTGCGCTGCTTGAAGGCCTGGAGAGAGGCAGCGGTCTGGCCGCGCAGGCCGAGCGAGGTGGTGACCTTGGCCCAGTCGAGCTTGAGAGCTGCGCTTCGCTGTTGCAGGGGAAGAAGAAATTAGCTCAGGCCCGGCTTCAAGGGAGCAGAACCGCGGGTGCGCGGCCCAATTGGCGGCATCGTCGGGAATTGCATCAATCGGTAGGAGGGTACGATCGAAAACGGATGGGATATACGTACTGCGGCCATTTTGAGGATATGTTGAGGGTTCGGGGGAGTGGAGAGGGAGTTGCGTCGACGTGAGGTTGTTGATTGACTTTGCCGAACGGAAAGCAGAGAAAGAGCCGGGATGAACTGGGTCACACGGAAGATCACGTGATAGCCGCACGGATGTGGCACTTGGTTGGCGGGAGCAAACGGTTAGATGGTGGGGCAGAGCTCCCTGCGAATTCGGTCTGAGCCAATACGCGAGAATCGAGGGGTAACTCAACTCGATCTGTATGAACGAACTGCAGCATATCTCGGAATGTAATTGATGAACCATTGACGATGCTTGCACGTTTCACGATATACACAGAACTAAGACGAAAACGCCGATTATCATGACCTCTTATTGCGAAAGAGACTTTTCGGAGTCAACTCCCTGGGAATTGTACATGCCAACCCGTGCCGTCCTTTTTGCCGTTATCGAGATTTTGAGAAACTATCTTTGGCCGTAGCCGTCGCTAAATACTCAATGCCATAATCGAGTTGACGATATCATTGTCGTTCTCCTTCAGGGCCTTGATGGCCTTCTTCCGGCTGACGTTGGCCTGGGTCATGACCAGCTCAATATCCTTGTCCTCGATGCCCTCAGCATCAACCTCCTCGCCGTCATCTTCCTCCTCGTCCTTCTTGGCCTCGGCGTCGGCGGCCTTGCTGGGCTCAGCGTGGCTGTGGCCAGCGTGGTCGTGCTCACCACCGGCAGCGGCGAGCTGCTGGCGGCAGCCTGCTGGGCAGTGGCGTTAAGGTCCTCAATCTTGGCCTCACCGAAGACGCTGGGACACAGTGTCAGCTTCCGCATGTCTTGCGGTCTGGCGCGCCTGTGACTTACATGTAGGTGTTGCTGTTGGGGGACTTGTAGACCTCGGGGTTGTTGATGACGAAGAGGATCTGGGACGTGGGTCAGCCTTGTTGAACCCCCGCTTCGCACTGTACCACCTCCAAAGGCACCGGCGCTTCTTTCTCAGACACTCACGTTCTTGGGGCGACGGAGAGTGACGCGGGTGATGCCCTGCACTCTCGTCAGGTGCAGCTTCTCGAGGGCCTTGCGGGCCTTCTTCTCGTTGCGGGAGTGGATGATGGCGGTGGAGCCGGAGGGAAGGCCCTCGGCCTCCTCGCCCTCAACCTCGGAGTCGGAGCTCTCGTCCTCGTGCTCCTCGACGGAGACCTTCTTGGTCTCGTCATCGGGAAGCTCTTCAACGCGGGGGTTGGCCATTTTGTCGACTGTGAACCGCGGAAAAAATTGTTAGCTGCGGGGTTCTTTTTTTGGTGGTGGTGGTGTGGTGGGAGCTAGGATCGCGCAAAGAAGCTGATTTGGCGAGCTTCGGGTTTGGTGTGTCTGTGGGAAAAAATAGGGAATTGCCAACTTTTCGCACAAAATTCGGTCGAGCAGCCGTGGCTTCGTCGTTTGGGCAATGGCGTCAAAAATTCCGTCAGGGGCACAGCGGTACTTACCAAAGTTTAGAACGAGGGAATCTCGACTCGACGTGGGGGAATATTCGGTGGCTTGTGGTTTGAAGGAGAGATCGTAGAAAATTGATAGGGTTTGCAGAACACTGACTGCGGGCAGGAGCACCTCTGGCGACTGGGGAGTATTAGGTAAGCAAACAGCCGGTCGGTCCCCAGCTCAGAATCCCCAGATGCACGCGGTTGCAAGGTCCTTTAAAGAGACGAATGACATCCTGCCCGTTATTTCTACAAGGCTGAGGGAGAGCCTGACGTTGTCTACAAGTCTCGGACATTGGGCTGGGCGGAGAAACGCTGGGTTTCGTGGGCGATTCCGCGGCAGATACAACATACATACATGCACGCCAGAAAAGTTCATGATCGTCAGAATTACAGAGTCTCAAAGGAAAACCGAAAAAAATCTTTACTCCGTGTCCCCGTCACGAGCCAACCAATCTATTTTTCTGATTGTGCCATGAATTCATTTTTTGTCTCTGAATTTCCGTATTTGACGCCGGTCATCATATGATTGATGATGATTGTGACATACAGCCCTTCCAGTTACGGAGCAAAAGAGATGTGCAGCAACCCAATGCTGCGGTGATGCAGACCAAACCGGATCCCATGCTGTCACGCTCTAAACCAGCCCCGTAGTCTTCAAAGTCAACCCCATAGACGTCCCAATCGCAAGTCCATTACGCCGCGGCCTTGACCTTGGCCAGCTCCTTGCGCTGCTCGAAACGGCGCTGCTTCTTGAGGCGGAGGACCTTGAAGCGGTCAAAGTCGGTGAGGTTCTTTCTCCGCTCGATCTGGGTGCTGCGCTTGAACCAGTTGGTCTCCTTCCACTTGGCGTCGATCTCGGACTTCTCCCAGAACTTCTTGACGGTGCCGGTGCGGGCGCCACGGGGCAGGCCCTCGACCTTGAGGGAAGAGAGGAGGGCGTTGGCGAGAGAGATGGGCTGGCGGGGAACGGCGAGCTGAGCGTCTGAGGAGGGGCCGTCGACCAGAGCCTATAATTCGAACTTGATGTTAGAATTCTGTTTCCTTCTATAACAGTGCATGTGTGCGCGCGCGCTCAGAAGCAATCGTATCGGGGGGAGGAGCAGGATCAGGAGGAGCTGTCGTAACGTACGCGCTTGTGGTCGATGATCTCGACGATAGTCGCCAGGCGGCCGGCGTAGGGGCTGTTGCCCTGGAGAAGGACGACACGGCCGACCTCGACCAGTCGCCACTTAGAACCCTCGATGGTAGCGTCACCCATTTTGCTGGTCGGTCTGGAAGTTGGATCGCGAAGTTAGAAATCGGTGATGCGGACTCGGAGTGGTGTTTTTGTTTGGTTGTGGAGGGGCGCGTCGACTTACCAGACGTCGAAGATTTGCTGCTGGTTAGTGGTGATGGAGTTCGAAGTCACGTTTCGGCACAGCGGTTTTTTTGTCGAGTTGCGTCGATTTCCAGACGCACAAGCTTGGGGACCTTAGGGCAAGAGCGTTTTTCGACTGTCGGAAGGTGCGATTTGCCGAGCCGAGTGGGTATTTCCAAAAATGGCCTAGCTGGGCGGTCAGCGGTCGTCGCCCACCTCATGGTGCTCATGCTGCATGGCGCGTGCCCCACCAACGACAGAACTTTTTTTTTCTCTTCAGCTTAAAGGTGCAGTTCTTCGTGCTTCCTCTTCTATGTCTACTCTCCCTTCTTTACCAGCTTCGAGGTGCAAAAACATGGCCCTCAACGACGAGGCTGCAGAATGAACAAAGGTATGTTTACAATTCCAATCTTCTCGTACCCGCCCTCTCCTGGAATGATGAGAACAATTTGCGATTGATTTCATTCGGTGGCCCTCTTTCGCCGGAGCGGCTATATCGTCTGAATATATGATATTCAATTTCTTACATATTCTGACCTCCAACCTTGACATTACCTCTCTTGTCTGATCTCCATTGGGATGCACGTTGCTGACTCCGCATTCAGGTACCAGTATAGCCACTCAATATCACGTTAATAGAATTCATGCATTATCTTCTGATCATCGTCTCGTTTCATTCCGTGAAGTTATACCGCTCAATTTTCTGCCGGGTCCACCCGCTTATTTTGTATCCTGCCGTATGGCAAGTACCCTCTTCGCTGTGGCCTGCATTAGTCTATTCATAGCTGTGTATTAAACTGTGAATGTTGATAACAGCAACCCGCTGTGCGATGATCAACAATGTTTGTCCCATTAATCATACTGTACCAAAGTGTTTACGAGACGGAACCAAGGGTCAACATTTTGGTCTGCAGGAAATATTACAAATCACTGAACGTCAAACTTAACCGACTTTCAGTCATCCTTGTATCAGCAAAGTCGTGATATTCATGCTATGAACCTCATCTATGCTCATGCTTCCTGACCAACGCCGATCCACAAATCAAATCACTTAAATTGTGCACTTATTTGCCCTGCTTCTGTCTCAGGCGGAGTTCGTCCTCCTCCTGGAGCTCCTGATCGATCTTAGCGCCCTTGGAGGGCTCGTTGCCGTGCATCTTGGCCTAGCGATGGTGGTTAGCGTTGATCAGTCTTTCATTCGCAGAATGTGACTTACGGGCAACGTAGAGTCCTTCTTGGACTGACGGGTTTCAGCGTCATCCTCATCGTCGCCCTGGCGGTGCTTCTTCTCCTCGGCAGCGAGTCTGTTGGCGATAGATCTCTCGTCCTCTAGGCGGAGGTCAATACGACGGGCAGGTCATTGGCAATGGAAAAGAAACGTACTGGAGTCGTTGCCAAGGTGAGAGTTCTCCTTGCCCTCGTGGAAGCGGTCACCAGTGTCAAGCTCCGAGTTCTTGACGTTGCGCTGGTCACCGGCCTCGTAGACGCCGCTGGTGCCAACACTAGAGTTTCCAGACATGATGGTGTTTTTGTTTGTGTGGTGGTGAAGAGATGGTAGATTGTTCTGGTACAAAATTGAGATGATTGGTCTTAGAGAGTGATGGGTATCGAGAGTGTTGATTGATGGAAGAGCAGAATAAGAGCTTGTCTGTTCAGCGGATGGGCTTTCTATATGAGATGGGAAAGAGCTGTCTTGCACTGCGCAACAACCACCCCACCACTTACTTCACTGCAGGACGTCATGACGTCTTCAGCGGCGATTCTCAGCTCAGACGGGTGCAAAGCTCTCTCCTACGTCATGCGATGGTCATTTCTCCGCAAAAACGCCTTGACAGATCTGCCCGAAACCACATGGTTAATCGGCGATTGCACTCGGCCAGGAGGTTGAAGGGTGGTTGATTTTTTTTTTCTGTTGCAACCATGTTGCCAATGTTCAGCCCTACCTTGGGTGTTGGTGAAGCTGGGTGGTGTCCGATTGCACCTCGCACCGACCGTCGCGTGCCTCAAACATGAACCACCCCTGCGGAAATCGCCCAACGACGAATGAGGACGAAGCTTTGCGCTATCCCTAGCAATCGTTCCTCCCATCGATTCCCAAGGGGACTGTGCCTGTGAATCGCCAACGACCAATACCTCTATGAACGACCCGTTGCTGGGTGATGTTTCCCAACAACGAGGTACCGGGCCCTGGTTGCCTCCAGCATCAGGCACAGAGTCCGGTTTGGTACATACAAAAGCAACGTATCGTGGCATAATTGGACCCTGATGACAACCTCCGCCAAGTAAATGCAATGAAGTCAGACTGCCCAGATGCCTTGCTCAAGACCCATTCAAATGACGGGAGTGAGGGGTCGAAAAGCGAAGCTCCATGTTCCTGTCCCTTGGTCGGTTCCAGGTGCATCGGCCAGGGGTCAAGCGCGGCAGGCCCCGCCTGTGCGCTAATCCGGCATTGGCGTCTAAAGCTAAGCGGCCGGCAAGGATGACGTAAATTTCCTAGGAGCTCCAAGCTCCACTGCCGACTTCATCGCATCAGGCCCTGCACGATTCACGAAGCACAGCTCACTCTAAACAAACCACACCACCAAAACAACAATCCAACGACCCGCCACAATGTTCCGCTTCGTAAGGCAGTCTGTCCACAATTGGATCCCCGTGATTGATACCTAATACCTACTCCAGCACAAGACCCTCGACATCGTCACCCTCTTCCACAAAGCGAGCTCCCCCGCCTCCGTGAGGGTTGCCAACATCCTCAAGCAGGTGTCGGCGAATGCCGCGTCCGGTGCCACCGAAGATCAAGCAAGCGATCACAGCGTCCAGACGAACCCCAAGAAGTCGCGCGCCGAGTTCGAGCTCAACATTACCGAGGACCCGCCTACTGCCGACCAGGTCCAGACCATCTTGGAGTACGTCGGGAAGAACAGGATCTCGTCCATCATTAAGGGCGCGTCGACCGAACAGGAGGCGATGAGGAAGTTCCAGCAGAACTCCGAGTCCTTCCAGAGACCCGTGGTATGTATTCGCTGCCCAGGCAGCTCTGTCCCCGGACGGAGCCTCCCCGCTTTCCCCTTACGGTGTCCCATACTGACCGAGACATACAGACGGTGGACTGGAACAATGGCAAGGCTGTTGCTGGCGACAGCGAATCTGAGATTCTCAAGATGCTCAATGCTTTGAACGGCGAGAAGAGCTGAGAGACATACGGTCTTTCAAAATGGCTACGCCAGCTTCTTTCTTACCTTTGTATAACCAGATACCTGCAACCTGCCCACTCAGGTGTTACATTAGTTAAATGATGAATATATCCCTCCTCCCACCTGATGGTGTTGTATCTTGTGATGCTACCCTAAAACCGCTTTGTGGCTCAATTCGACGTAGTGGGCATCATGACGGGTCGAGCTAGAACGGCAATGGGCATAACATGCATTGAAGGTCATCCTAGACTAAGAGTTAGGTAGATCATTATCGCCTGGAACTTGTCTAACATATCACAACACCCTCTCGGAGGTCTGTCTATGACCCCTGTTGGATTTGTGACCCAGAGAAATGTTACTGATGTGTCTTAGCAAAATCCATGCCTTCCTTTCCATAAGATGAGCATCAAAGGTAGTTGAACCCATGACTGCTAGAAGAAACCTTCAGTTACTGGTATGGATTCACCAGGACTTAGAATTGCCCATAGTGCTATTGTGGACTTTGCAATCGCTGCTGTCACATTGCTCTCTGGCCTGTTCTCTTTGGTCACCAGTGCTGGCTCTGCCATCGCTGTCCTTCCTGTTGTCCTTCATCCAGCTCGTCCTAGAGTGAATACCTTTGCGTTTTGATGGCTTGTTTCCCTCAGGCAAGTGTTTGCTTTAGCTCCTTCCTCAGAAGGCACTGTGTGTGCTTTCCTCTTTCCTGCCTGTTCTGTCCCTTTACCTCTGCTCGTCCTTCCCCTTTATTTACGTCGCAACAGTTCTTCGTCCCTTCTTTTTGTTCCTTCACCTTTGCGTCGCAACTTCACAGCTTTTTACTCTGCAATCTCATCCTCCATCCCAACACCTGTCCCCACTACCACGAGATATCATCAGCTTTCCTTCAAACAAGCCTCCATCCCTTCAACCCATTTATTTCTCCTGCTACCTGACGAGACGACGTTGGATAGTTTAGCTCTGCAACATGGCTTCATCCTTCCACGGTGACCAGGGCTCTTTCCACGATCGCGGCTTCCTCGTGAGCAGCTTCGATCGCGATGCGCAAGGCGCGAATTCGACCTCTCCGATAACAAATGCTCGGGACCTGCCTCCAAGCCACACCTACCACTATCCCGGTGGCATTCCAAACGGCTACAAGATGGTTCCTGCCAAGGAGGGAGAGATGTCCAGGCGCTATGTAGAGGATAATCTCCCCATCTCCTTCTACAGCCGCAAAGAAACCAAGGCGATTTTCAGCACCAACAACGGCGAGGTCCCCACCCGCGGCCTTAGCATGAACCACGTCCTTGTTTTCCGCGAACTTGATCTGTGGAGCGCCGAAGAGCTCCAGGAGAGAGCCAACGCCATCCGCAAGAAGCACTGGAGATCCCTGAAGTCCATGCCCCAGCCCGAATGCTGGGAGGACCTGTACGATTACTTCGACTGTTTCGACATCTATTTCCACGGTGCGCAAAACCTGTGGAACCTCATTCTTCTACTCTTCAACGAGAACGAGAACCTTTCTCGCGACAAAATCAGAGCTACTGCAGTCTACGTCGGCATTCTGTGCGACGAGTGGGTCCAAAATACTGAGAACAAGACGAAGCTCATGGCGTTCAACTGTTGGGAAGGTGATGTTGTCAGTCTCATCACTTCAGGCCCCTGGCTCGAATTCCAAAAGCTGCCATTCATTGACGTTATGCTTGTTCGGTATACTCTGTGTTATCGACAAGACCAGCTGTTGGGCAAGCCATGGGCTCGGCCAAACGCCTACCCGGCTAACAGTATGAAGGCTAACTGGCACAACAACACTCTGCATTGCTGGCTTGGTAAATCCCATTCTGTCTGTGTTGTAAGACTCGGCTAACATATATGTAGCGGGTCAACTTGTGCACGACACGCCGAGTGGCATCCCCCCTGCGGTGTCCCCGTCAACCATAATCGTTGGCGGCGCTGGTTTTTCATCGTCTCAGCTGGGCTTTGCTGAAGTTGACGAAGCGACCGCTGCCACTCATGTTCCGGCCAGAAACATCACCACTACAAAAAAGCCCATCGTGGTCAGCGGCACGAACAGCAAGCACAAAGCAAGACCTTGGAACCTTGGCCTTGCTGCAGACCCAGACTCCAACAATCGGTCCGAAGATTCCTTTCCAGACAACCGGCCGATGTCCTTAACTTCTGTCCCGAGCAACAGAAACAAGGCTACCGAAGCCCCTGCGCCTCATATCACCAACTTGGGTACTATCAGACCAGGGTTCTACCATTATCCCATGAGACCTTACGGCTATGCCTTCAATACACCATTCATGACAGGTTCCAACGGTGAGCCGCAACCTTACCATGGTCCTCTTGGTCCATCCGCGCCTCCTGCACAGGCTGTGCCCGAACAACAGCGTTATGGCACTCGCCATCCAGTCAACATGACTCCACAAAAGCCTGCAGATAACAGATTCCATAATAAAGGGTATACCTCGCCAGTTCAGAGCTCCACGGCATCGAGAGATGGGAAACGCATACAGCCTCCTGTTTACCAGAGAACAACTTTTGACGACAATCCTTCTCACAAGTATACAGAGAAGCGAAATGTAGTAGTTCACTCTGCCTTTGAACAAGGGTCCGGGCAAGGGTCGTCAACGGGTCCTTCACGCTTCGATACGGGTCAAGATGCACGACAGGAGCATTCGAAGACATCAAGTGCCCCTGGTGACGCAAGTCACGGTCAGCCGCGGCCTCGCGGTGAGTCCAGGGGCTGGGAGAAAGTTCCGCATGCAGATGAGTCAATCCACGGCCCTGTCTTCCGTCGATCTCCAACCAAAGAGAACCGCCCTCGCTCATACTCCCGGGCCTCGAGCAAAGGAGACTCATACTGCTCAAACCAGCATCCCAAGAATGGCAGCAAGTATGCTTACACGCCCTGCACGTGTGCGAGGTGTGAGGAGCGCGAACGCTCTGTGTACATCCAACTGAACCCGGCCCCACGGATCGCTCAAGATGTCCTTGATGCCAAGATTCATGGTATAATGTCTCGGTGGGGAAAGGTTGAGAACGTAAAGCGGCTGCAGGCAAACGAGCACCAGGGAGGTTTTGTTTGCTTCTTTGTCAGGTTAGTAACATGACTTACTTCCTTGATCCTTGAAACTGCTGACTATAGCCTGCGACACAGATTTAGCGATGGCTCGCGCGTAAGAGAGGCTTCGGCCACGAATCACTTCAGCAGTGACGAGCTGGACTGCATAATAAGGATTGGCGCGATGCATCATTCGGACTATGGTAACGCTATGCATGGCATCTACGGGCATGAAAACGATCAGCACGGCTCGGTAAAGTCATACAACGGCTCACAACAATCAGCGTGGAAGGGCCATTCGAGTGGATCTAGTCATACCCAGCCTTCGTCTGTCCGTCGTGATTCGAGAGCGCAGGTTTCCTTGGAGCAGTACATGGTGCCTCGACCCCAGCTACCACAAGTCCTTCTTGCAAAGCCTCTTCAGCCTCCTGGGGTACATGGTTCAGCAGCTCCGCCGCCCTTGAACATCCAGCAGGGAGTTCCGCAAGAGATACTTGGGCTGGTCGGGAACATCACGTCGACTTGCAACATCCCCAAGGCGAAGACGAAGCCCACTGATACCGAGGTGCTTCAAACTTCTGCTGAAGCCGAGTCTCAGTCAAAACCGCCTTCCGAGGAGGTAATCCCGGACGAAGAGCAGGCAACCAGGACCTCTAGTCCTCATATTTCCGACGGCAGCCCTGGCAAAGGGGGCAACAAAGCCATTGTGGTCAACCTGCCGGCCACACCGCAGAAGCCAAGGAAAGCTGATGAGAACACTCACGCGTCTGATGAAACCACCGCACCTCAGGACAATGACCAATTGACGACACCAACCAAAAAGAATCCTTGTGCACCTAATGCCACCACTACTCCCAAAAATTCATCTTCAGATAGACAGAAGGAGTCCCAAACAACTACCGAGATTGCTCCTAGAGGCACAACAACCACTGAGAACAGCAAGGCTGTTCCTGCACAATCCCAATCGGAGAGCTCCTACGCCAAGGGCAAGTACAGGAAGATATTTTCGCAGAATGATGACCTCAGCATCGAGCATTTCGATGCGCCAGTGATAAGAATGGGTGCAAGGCACGACTCATCGGCTATGAGTAGCTCCAGCGTGGAAGAGCGCTTCGGCGAACAAATTGACGAGCCCCGCACCCGAGCTGGTCATGAGTTTGACAATCTGATTGATTCGAACCAGAACCAAGATGCTGTCCACATGATGATTCTTGTCGAGAATTCCACGAAGAAGAAGAGCAACAAGAAGCCCAAGAAGAAGAAGAAGGCACCCGCTTGTGCGAACCAGGGCGAACCAAGCAGTACTCAACAACCTGCGAGAGACACCCCTATCAACGCTACAGAGAAGCAAGCCCCTGACGTCCCTATGCCACTTGACATTGAAGCGGCAGAGGATATTGACCCTGCAACCCTCATGGAAGTCATCGCCAAGGCAAAGCGGATTGTGGCAGTGAAGGAAGCTGGGTCCACCAGCACAAAGCAAATTGCCATCGATAGTCCTGCAAATGCTGTCCCACAAGCCTTAGTGCCACCTGTTGCTGAAACAGCAGAGAGCAACACCCTGGAGGCTACCAAGGACAAGGAGATCTTTCGCTCAGAGGACAATGATCCAAAGAACAAGCCTGAGAAATCGGACGTTCAAGAGTCTATCAACAAGAGTTTCCGCGCAAATGGTGGCGGCTCGTTACGGCTGCCCAAGAATAGGAAGAAGCAGCCCGCTCAGTTGCACTTTGCTGACCGGGAGCCCTCCGCTTCTGGAGGCACAGCAGGTAACAGCAGCTTCGAAGCGCTACAATTCACCGATACTGAACTTCCTTCTGCTGCAAGCACCGCACATTTCAGCTCCACCACCGACCAGGAGGGCCGCTCTACCGACGGGTCGCCTGGGATGCTGTCAACTCCTGCAACTCCTCCGTCTGCCAGAGCAGTCCTAGCTACACCAAGCTCTTCGCTGAAGGAACCTGCAGCAGGTGCAGAGGCGACTCCAAAGTCGAAAATTTTGCTTAACCCGAAGGCCAAGGAATTTGTTTCGCCAACTGCCCTCTCGACTGCGGCTGCTCCCAAGAAGATTGAGCTTGCGCCGGTTCCGTTGAAGCCCACCATTCACCATCGCAACGTGTCCCAAACTTCGTCAAAGACATCGCGCACTCTCACCCCCGGCAACTCGCCTGCCAAGGAAGAGGACAACCAGTCCGATGGGAACGCTGTCGAGAGTTCCAAAGGCAAGGAGAAGAGCTTGGTATCTCAGCAGGGCTTTGCCATGGATAGAGATGCGAAGAGTCCTGCGGTAACTGACGGGGCTCAAGTTGCCGATCAGCAGACTTCAGGCAAGGACGCCGTGGAGATGGACAAGAACCATTCTTGCACTGGTGAAGACCTGCCTGTCTCGCAAAGCACGCCGGATGACGATGGCGACTGGCAAGTACAGCGCCCCAAGAGGGACTTCAGCACCAAGCAGCCCAAGGGCAACAGCCAGCAGACAAACCATAAGCAACAACAGAGCAAGCAGGGCCAGCAGGGCCCCAAGAAGAACCGCCCCTCGCCTAAGAAGCAGGAAAAACAGGGACAGAGTCACCTTCAACAGCAACGCTACGCTTCCAGCCCCAACACCAATCCGGTTTCTGTTGGCAGCAAAGCCGAGTTTCCCTCACTGCCCCCGGCTCCCAAGCCTGTGACGGGTCTCCCAGCTAGCAGCGTCTGGGGAAAGGCACGTTCAGTGTCGACTGCCGCCACCGCCTCCACTCCGAATGACAGCATCACTGCCCACAAGGGCGAGACCGCAAGCCCGGATTGCAAAAAGGACAGCGGTAAGCAGTAGAGAGATGTGTGATGCTTCGAAGGAAAGAATTTGGGCACAGAAGCAAATACAGAGAGATCGGAGGTCATATGAGAGAGCAGGCTGGCTGAAAGCATCGTCGTACCTTGAGTGTTTGTGAGAGGGGTTTCTGAAGGAAATAGTGGGGAAGATTTGGAGAGCGGCTTCGAGGAGGGTCTATGTTTGAGTGATACCCACGGCTACAGGTCCAGGAGCTACGCAGCAGAACCAGAATGAAATTCCTTTCAAAATCTTGCTGCTCTGTCAGTGACTGTCCGCCAAGTGAACCATTGATACACAGGATGATCGCCATGCTTAATCCGAATCACGATGGCCAGCCGGAGCAGTACATTGAACCAGTCAAATACAAGCCAAGTCCATCCATTCGCACCCTTTGGCCCTATGCTCATTCATTCGAAGCACGTTTCGTTTGGTTTCAACGTCGACTCGGTCCGGAATCTCAACAAGGTGATGGTACAAAGTCTTTTATCTGTTTGTTCAAACGTATCCCCTAATCAGCCTCCTCATGCGTCGTTCTTGACCAGGGTGGTGACTGTGTCCTCGATCTGCTTGTCCGACAGGCCTGTTTATCGAAGTCAGCACCAGTATCCATCGCCATGGGGATGTTCTCGGTGGGGGTAATGCTCACCCTCGAGCGATTGGCTCTTCTCAACGCCGAACTCTGTTTCAACGATATCTCGTCAGCATTTACCCATCCATCGTAGCGAGTCCTCCATTGAGAGTGCATCCTAACCGTATCTCGCATAGACCTTGGGTAGCGTGCCGGCGGCCTCGCGGAGGAGGATCGGGGTCTGGGGGTTGTTCTTCTTCATCGTGGGGTACGCTCTCGCAACGAAGGAGCTATCGAAGAAGAGGCACGTCAGCGATTGATGCCACAGGGCGGCCTGGAGGCAGGGACGGTAGCACGGGAGCTCCGGTGTCGAGGCTGGAGTCGCCGAGGGCCGTGGAGGATCGAAACGTACCGGGTCGCGGCGCTGTGCTCGCCCGTCTGGCAGAAGAGGAAGCGCACCTCCTTGAGGGCCTTTGTGAATGCGTACTTGCTCGACATGTTTGCGCTGCGCGGGAGGGCGGACGGGCGGACGGGGGAAGGTAAGGTCAATCGGGGTCGATTTGATTGGGGAGGCTCTGGGAAGCGATGGGGAATTGGGCGAGGATTGAAGTTGACGAGATGCCGCACGTTCGGGGGTGGATCTTTTTTTGCACAAAGTCTGCCAGACCTGGGTTGTGTATAATTGACGTCTGGTGATTGGTTGGACCTTGGAGCTGTCACTTGTGCATTTGCATAATGTGTCTCCCCGATTTGGGCGGGATGTTTGCTAGTTGGCGCTTGGCCAGTGCTCCCTCGCCAACTTTTTTTTTGGGTGGACGTCGGTGGACGTTGTTCCCGCTTAAGTCCGGCTGGCGGTGCTGCGCGTGCTGAGCTGCTGGCTGAGCTGCTGTGCGCTACTTCGCAGTGCACCATGTGCGGCGTGCGATCTCGCTGGGCTGCGGGTGCGCGCTCTGTGCAACCGTTCCCCGGTCTCCGGCATCCCAGCCAAAAAAGCTGCCCGCTCACCCTCGGACTATCCCAAATCCTCAACGCCTGGTCCTTCTCTTCCCAACCTTGACTCAACCTCCATCTCCCTCCGTCCAACCTCCGAGTCCGTCGTCGATAAGGAAACCTCTCCGCTCCAACCAACCCCATTCTCCCGTGATCGAGTGCCGTTTTCAATCGCTCTCCTTCGCCAATCCCCCCATCGAACCGAATACCCCCCAACGATTTAGATCCGCGCGAAAAAAAAAAAGTCACAATGGCCCCCGCCAACAACTTCTTCAACGCCGCGCGCCCGGCCTTCCGCCAGCAGATGTTCGCCGGCGCCCAGATCCGCAACGCTTTCCGCACCTCCCAGTTCCGCACCCAGTTCCGCGAGAGCTCCAAGAGATGGCAGAGCTCGACCGCCTCTGCCGAGGCTCAGGCTAGCTGGTTCAAGCGCATGTGGGACAGCCCCGTCGGCCTCAAGACGGTGCACTTCTGGTGAGTTCTACCCCGAACCGATGCAAGCGAAGCTCTGGCTCGCACTGCGAACATGCCACTGACTCTGTTGGTTGCAGGGCCCCTGTTATGAAGGTACGATATCTTGCGCGCTGAAGCTTGTCCCAACGGAGACCTCCCTTGTAGAAGTTCCGGTCGCGATGTCGGAGTTCCACAAGAAGGAACCCGTGAAGACGAAACCAAGACCGATATGGCTGGGATATGATCGATACATCCGGATTGCTGACCAGCGATATAACGTACAGTGGGCTCTTGTCCTTGCCGGTGTTGCCGACTTTGCCCGTCCCGCCGAGAAGCTCTCCCTGACCCAGAACGGTGCCCTGACGGCCACCGGTATCATCTGGACCCGCTGGTGCTTTATCATCAAGCCCAAGAACTACCTGTACGTTATCCCTGCGTCTTTTCTGGGAGCCTTTGGCTGATGTGCGTAGCCTCGCCGCTGTCAACTTCTTCCTCGGTGTCGTCGGTGTCGTCCAGTGCAGCCGTATCCTCATGTGGCAATCCTCGCAGAAGAAGAGCGCTGCCGAGCTGGCCCACGAGGTCAAGGAGGACGTCAAGGAGGCTGCCTCCTCGTAAGTTCGTGAGAGTATGACGCAGATGGTAAGCGAGATGGGTTCAATGGAGAGGCAAAGTAGGGTCGCAGTTTGGTGCAAAGCTGACGTACCGGCTACCGCCATTGTCCGATAGCGCGACGCGGAGGCAGGAGGGAATGACGCACCATGCAGAGGCTTACCTGCTGTCGTGCCTTGCATCAGACGTTACAGGTTCCGCATCTGGTTACTAGACTATTTCCTTTCCGAATTCTCATGGGGGCCGAGGGATACGCCCAGAGAGACCGCGGTGCCTCAATACGAGGCACGCCCGCGATCCTTGTACAGTATATGCCTCGTTTCGAATGCCACAAACCAATAACTATGCGGATAATCCACCAAAAACAGTTGTCGGGTTGTTTTCCTCTCTTCCCCATCTGCACTAGGGGAAACGGACCTCGGCGCGTAAATGCGACGTACCGCCAGTCTGTGTCCGCGATGAGATTCTGGGGCGTCCACGCACTTGTGCCATTTGGGTGCGATATGTTCGTCCCTGACCCTTACAATGCCTTCCGAAATTGATTCAATCGCCGGTCGAAACCTCTTGTCTTTTAGTCGTCTGAATAATCTTGTACCCAAAGATACAACCCGATACATGCAGCGTTGCTAATCCCCAAGAGATCACCGGCTTTACCGTATGGGCTAATCCTCAGACCCTATCGATTGTGCGCAGCTGGCCAATACGTAGGCTCGGATGAGAAGTCCGATCTGCTCCTACCAAATGCATTACGTAGTCAACCTTTGGCAGCCGCAACGGCATCGCCAAATATTAGTCGCTGGCTACGGCTACGTATACTTACAGCGGAATATATGCCCAAGCGAGCAAGCCGCAGATGCAGGCAGAGGACCTCCACCCAATGGTCCAATCATGGGGCATTCTTATCTCTTTAATAGCGACGTGGGGACTTCTGTCCCGACGTAATCGCCGGGGAGGAGTGAACATTGGCAACTAAGCGGCCCTGGTTGCCGACACGAAACCGTTTACGACGAGATGCTTCCTCACCGCCTGCACCTCAAAGTATCAAGGAACGACGACTGTGCAAACGGAGGTTGGCCGATACGAATGCTGAAATTGCCAAGTGACTCTTTGGCCCAATCAACATGACACGGATTCGCCGGATTTTCCTCTTGGAGATGTTACATTTCTTTTTTCTGGAGCACTGCCAGGTTGCAAATCCGCTCCAGATTTAGCAGACAATATTAAGACGAGCGCAGACTGACAAGACTGGCAGTCTAATTGGGGCGGACCCATGGCCGAATTTCTTGCTTTGAGGACATTGGGCATACACTGCCATAGGTATACCGACCAGGCTTACTTCCGTCATAGGTCACCTCACGACATATACTTTGCTCTTCCTTGTCGAGCAACGTCCGCCTTCTCTCGCTCCCTACACACGCCGTTGCCTTCCCAAGATGTTACCTCGTACAGTCTTTGAGGTGATGTCATGGTCATGAAATACACCTTAACTGGCGGCTAAATGATGCCTGGTAAGGCTGATGAGCTTGTGTCGGACAACGGACATAAGCAACATATCTTCCTTGGATTAGAGTTCGTCCTTGCAGATGCCTGCATACTGCTAGTCAGACATGGAATTGATTTAGTAGAATGGGGTGCGCTGAGTACTTTTTCCGCAGTAGAGTGAGATCGTCATAAGGACCTCGGAGTACGCGGAGCGAAACCCGGCGTTGAAACAGAAACCAACATGGACCCCTTTATATCAGGAATGCTGTATTATGATGTGACTCTTTCGCCGTGATCTGCTGACTTGAACCACAGAAGGCGAGACGAAAAAGCGAGACTGGCAACTCAGCCATGGACGAAGTGGTCCAGAGAGCCAACCAAATTGCCGATAGATTGGCCAATGTGATCAATCAAAGTAACAATATCCCAGATCATACGCGGGTTCAACTTGAGCAGCTCTATTCCGAGCTGACTCGCACGTCAACTTTGTACAGCCTGGTCCATCACGACGAAGTATGCCAGATTGAAGCCGCCTCCACAACGCTCCTCGAACTCGCCCCCAAGGAACTGGCACCTTGCCGAGCCTCCTTTACGGCCATCGACGCAATCTTACTCGCCTTCGAGCAAGACCAGACCTCGTCCACGACTCCCAAGTATGCAAGAATCCTATCCCATACTCACAAACAACTGAAAGCGCTCCACGGCGACGTCCGCGCCGACCTCGTCCTCGCCATCAGACACACCCTCAACCAAGACTTGTTCCGTTCCAACCCCTGCGCTATACAACTCCGCAATTTCGCCACTGCGCGCGACCCCAGCTTCGAGCACGATATCTGGCAGATCCGAATCCAACGCGGCGACGCGCCCCTGAAACCGAGCCTGCTCCTCGCGAATCCTGTCCCTCCCCAGACCTGGACGCTTCAACGCCGCATCTGCGATTCGACGACAATGGGGCCATCGTCGAGACCCGTGCGGTATCTCTGGATGACCCCAGTATGTGCCAGAAGACCCTCAAGCTCGCTACATTCCTGCACGCCGGTGCCTCAGCCTACGTCCTCCACTGTGTGGGCTTCCGCGTGGACCAGCCCCGTCGACGCATGGAATACCTCTATGACGCGTCGCCCCTCCAGGGATATCACCGGGGGTTGCACAGGTTGTCGGACCACCTGGGTACCCCAGCGGGCCACTTCACGCGCGGGAGGCGCGAGGCTGCGGCGAGGTTGTCGTCGGACAGGATCCGCTTTGCCGGGTCGCTGGCGAGGAGTCTGAGCGAGCTGCACGCCGCGGACCGGGTCCACGGGGACGTCCGCGCCGAGAACGTCTGGTTCGCGGTCCGGGGCGGGGAGTACGAGGCCCGAGTGTCGCTGCCGCTGCTCGTGGGGTTCGGGTTGGAGGCGGGCGAGCTCTGGCGGCGGACGGGTGACGACGGCAGCGGGGAGGCGGCGCTGGAGGAGGCGAAGAGGAGAGATATCCTGGCGATGGGGGTGGTGCTGATGGAGATTGGGCTCGGGGGCGCCGTAGCGGAGGCGAGGGGGCCGGCAGGTGGTGGGGATGCGATCGCGGCGGCGGAGCATCTGAGGACGCTAAACGGGGTCATGGGCGGGCGGTATACCGCCTCAGTGAGGGCCGCGCTGGATCCAAGGCGTCTGCCGGGGGCTTTTGCGTCGCTGAAAGGGGTGGTTGGGGACGGCGAGGAGGTGTGTGGGCTCGATCGGGCGTTTAGGGTCGTCGTTGTTGACGAGCTTCTGGGGGTTATTGAAAGGGGATGAGGAAGGGTGTTTGAATTGTTGGCGTGTTTACGGGAGAAGACGAGGACAAGAGTTGGCGCACTTCTCTCCTGCATATCGCAAAGCGTTCAGTAAACCTATAACAAAAGAGAATATTCAAGGAGGTTTTGAAAGAGCAGAAATCGGTCGTCTAAGTGCAGAAAGCGTCCTCTCAAAGCTGATTATCGGGTTACATTCTCCAACACCTCCAGAATCACTCCCTCAGACATCCCCTACCTTAGGTTTTAATAACACCAAGCAACCCAACAGAAGCAAGCTCTCAATCTAACCTCATTAAGAATCAGATCTCCCATCATCAGAGCAGCTCCCCAGCGTCCAATTACAAGGGTGTTGAACGATTATCCAAAGGGACAAGAGGGATCATGCACCACGTAGCCCTACTGAGGCCTAAGGTTCAGGTTTATTATGAGGAGGACAATCAACCAAGTCGAGGGTGGAGGTCAAAGAAAACACGTCTAAGCGCAGAGGAAGCCTTATTTTTGCTGATGCAGGAGAGATACAGTCTCAAATGAAGGTAAATGCGCAGGTTCAGGACAAAAGTCGCAGAAGTAGTGGTCGTAAACCGAGGGGTGAAACAGGCCAGCGACGATGCGGCGTCTATGATAACAAAGGATACAATGTACAAACATGACACATTGTTAAAGGGATGTCTGAACATGAGGATTATGGGTAGTTTGAGTTGATTACAGATCGTTGGTTTTAATTCCCTGTTATCGTTATATTGCGGTCGGGGTTTAATAAGACATTCGCTTATCTGGGACACTCGCTCATCAAGTACGTCAGTTGAAGGATATATAGCCGGGTAATTTACAGCTTATAACTCTCTAACGCAAATTCGGAAAGCAAGACACGGCCCGACTGGCATCCAATAGCTATTCTTGATCCTTCTGCTGCATGACACGCCGCTCGATACTCTGGAGGCAACCAAAGTATGTTGTGAGAGTGATTCTTAATCCATGCGCCGTGCTGTAAGAGCACACAATGCCGATCATGGGGCCGTTGACTTGGTTGCCGGATTGCCGCCTCGAACACGTTCTCTAAGCTGCTGTGGCCCTCCAGCGTCCGCTGGCACCCATCCGGCTTCACATCAATAGAGGAAGCCGTAAGGAGAGGCGTGTCATCAGTTCAGAGTCCGCCCCCTTGGCTCGGCCGCGCCCGAAATGCGCAGGATTCAGAGAGTTGGCGTAAGACCACTAGCCCGATTGCGACGTGTAAGACGGGTTGGTTGGAGACGTGTAAGATGTGTATACAAGGGTCCCCCTATGCCTCCACTGGAACAAACGGCGTATTTCTCGAATCTTTCCCCTTCTCTGTACCCTTTCGGATCCAACATGGGGACATTCTTTCTCCCAATCCAGCCATGGGTATGGCTGCTCACCACATGGTGCGCCCGTTGACGCAACGCAGCTGCATTGCGTCTCCCCGTCCCCCCTCCATCCCATCATTCCGTCAGCACCCGCCGCACCCACTCCATCTTGGCTGCGATGGCCCGGCGCCCCAGCCACGAGTCCGGCGCCATCTCGTCGAACCCGTGGAAGCCGCCCGCCCACACGTGCAGGTCCGCCGAGACCCCGGCCGCCCACAGCCGCGACGCGTACTCCACCGCCTCGTCGCGGCAGAACTCGGCGGAGCCCGCCTCGATGTACGCGGGCGGCAGCCCCACCAGTGTCTCGGCCCGCGCCGGCGCCCAGTAGGGGCTCACCGTGTTGCCCGCCTCGGCCCCGGCCGGCCCGCCCAGCGCGATGCCCCACGCCGCCGCGTTCTTAGTCCGGTCCCACGGCTCCACGCCGCCGTCGAACTGCGCGCAGCTGACCGACTCGCAGCGGTCGTCGAGCATCGGGCACGGCAGCATCTGCGCGCGCACCGGCGGCTCAAGGCCCGCGTCGCGCGCCCGCAGCGCCAGCCCGGCCGCCAGCCCGCTGCCCGCCGACTGCCCGGCCACCAGGATGCGCGCGGCGTCGACGCCCAGCGCGCCCGCCGATGCCCGCACCCACCGCAGCGCCGCGAAGCAGTCGTCCGACGCCGCTGGTTGCGGGTGCTCCGGCGCGCGGCGGTACTCGACGCTAACGAGCACGGCGCCCGCGGCCACGGCCCAGTCCAGCGGCTGCGAAAGGCCGACGAGGCGGTGCAGGAAGATGAGGCCGCCGCCGTGAATGTACAGGATGCAGGGCCGGCACGGGTTTCCCGCCACCGGGACCATGTTGGGCGTGAAGGTGGAGAGCGCGACGGGAGGGTCGATCGGGCCGAAGCCCGGGGCCGTGTGCTCGGCGTGCGTGAGGGGCCGGTCGCCTATGGCTTCCGCGGCGGCGATGTGCGGGGCCTCCAGGGCACGATCGGTGCGGGCATGGTGTCTGACGACGAACTCTGGGGTGATGGGGCCGAAGGGCTCGAAGGAAGCTTGGATGGGCGCGAGCTCCGGGTCGAAGGGGGGGCGGAGGAGTGGCATGGTGGAGTGTGTACGGGTTGCAGGGGGACAGGATAGGGTGAGGAGAGTGTGTGTAAGTGAGCCGCGACCATGCGTACGGATTGGTCCGGGGAGAGGAGGAGAGACGACGGGACGGTTTATGTGAGGAATCAGGAACCGCAGCTGTCGAGGTGGACGATGGGGACGTCCCTGAATCCTCGACGACGAGGCATCGGCTGTATCTTGGCGGCATTCGGGGCGGATGCTGCCTTTGCCTATCTTCGCGGTAGGCGACTTGGAGGCGCCGGCGATGGTGACAGTGGTCGAGGTCGGTCTATGCAAGCAAGACATGAGCCGTGAATCCATCGCGCTCGTCCAAGCTGAACAGCAGCAAGGGACCTCTACGGTCCCAGGATCCCTCTGAGCAGACCCCTCGGGGGCGTATTCCCATGAATGTACTCACCGTAGACGGCACCGTGTACCATCGGGACCCATCCTGATGCAGTCCATCCCGGTCCGACCTAGCGCGGCGGAGGCGGAGTGGAGCTGGGGAAGGGGAGGGGGCGTGTGTTGTGTGACCAGACTCGACCCCGGCACGCCACCGTATTTAGATTTGCGAGTTAGTACGGTGCCACTTATGGCGAGCGACGGGGACAAGCAGCTGGTGGGCGGGCTTGCGCTGCTTGTTCGGGCGACAAGCCCCGAGGACAAAGACTCTGGCGTGGTTGAAAGCCCTCACCATTTGGTGTTCCATCGTATTGGAGAGAATACATAGTAAGTAGTTTGACGACGGCTTCTGATAAAGGGTTTGAAAGACCGCAGTAAACCAAGTTAACCAATCCATTTATTCGATTACTTCACTTTGAACAGCATCAAAACCCCCCGCATTGCTTTCAGACTACGGAATTTTTCTTCTTCTATCTGTCTTACACATTTTCTCCCCGAGACTTTGCCTATCACTCCCAACCATGTCCCTTCCCCCCATCCCCCGGCTCGACCCCGCCGCCTTCCGCTGGCACCCGTCACCGGACGACCCCCGTGCCGTGCGGCGCCTCGGGCTCGGCACCGAAGCGTGGGTCGGCCTGCGCGGCCCCAACTCCCGCGGCCAATACGACAACTACCTCAGCACCACCCTCCGCGTCGAGACTGCTGGTCTCTCCCTGGCCGGCCTCGCGCGCCATTTCGCCGACGCGCTGCTCCACGTCCGGTTCCACCACCCCGAGGTCGCCTGCACCACCGCCTGGGCCTCCGAGTACGGCCCCCCGCACATCACCTACACCCCTCCGGCGTCCGACGCCGAGGCCCTGCAATGGGCCCGGGCCGCCGTCACTGCGAGGCCTACGTCTCAGACCGGGCTGCAGGTCGCGGCCGAGATTGGCAAGCAGCGCCAGATCGACCCCGCCAAGTCCCTCCCGCCCGTGACGCTCGTCGTCGTGGCCGACGTGCAAGGCGAACAGGCGCCGCTGGCGGCCGGCGCCCGCGTGGATGTGCTCGGCGTCTTCAACCACATCCACTGGGACAGTATCAGCTCGCGCGTCTTCGTGGGGGATCTGCTGCGCCGCCTTGGGGAACAGCTGGGCGCCGGCGAGGCTGAGCCGGCATTGTCGCAGTATGCGTGGGGCAACGAGATTGCTAACCTGAACTTGCCCGTTCTCGACGCGTGCAAGGTCGATGTCGGCGCCCTGGGCGAGGACTACGAGAAGACGCGAGACGAGTTCATTGCCGCCCTGCTCAAAAGCGGAGTGAGTCTCTTCCTTCCTCTCCTTCGCATAACATCCACCCCATCCGCTGCATGACTATAACTGACACCCCAAAGTCCAGCTGGGGTCTCCCCGTCGCCGCCGGCACCGGCGCCCCGCGCACGATATGGCGCGCATTCACCGCCGAGCAGAGCGTCGCCATCAAGGCTGCCATCAAGACGCGGCTTGGCCCGAGCTTCACCGTCACGCACCTCGGCCACGCCACCATGGTCCTCGCCCTGCTCCGCGCCCGGCCCCTGCCGGCCGACGCCCCGGACTCCGTCGCGCTCTCTTCCCCGCTGCCCGTCAATGGCAGGCGCTACCTCCGCGGCGACGCGGCGCGGCGCTACGGCTCGTGCCAGGCCGGCGCCTCGGTCGAGTTCGCACCGCTGCGCGAGTGGGCCGTGGACGAGGGCGACGCCGAGGCCGTCCGGGCCACGCTGGGGGCGCTGGCCGCGCGCGTCAGGGACGGCTACGAGTATTGGCTGCGGAACGAGTTCCAGCTCGCCGTCGACCAGGCCAAGGGCAACTTCCTCGCGAGCGTGCTTGGGTCGTGAGTATCCCCCCCCTCATGTCAACGTTTAGGGATTGGGTGTATCGGCTGATACGTCTTTCAACTAGTGCACCACCGTCGTTTCCGCCCACTAGCTTTCCGGTTCGTATTTTGCTCTCCGAACTTATTTCGTCGCTATGGCGGGTCTTGCCATGCTAACACCAGGCTTCCCTAATAGGTCTTTGCAAGCGACGGCATCGTGGACAAGTACGTCCCCGGAGAGGTGCTCGGCGCCAGCAGCGAGAAGCTGCTGGTCGTGGAGAGCTGCCTGTTCCACCTCGACACCTATCTTTCCGACGTGTAAGTATTCCTCACACGCCCTAACTATCCCTAACTATCTCTCGCCCCTCTGGGCTGCGCTTGTTGCCGGCGAACTGCTGACCAGTACCCCTTGCACAGGCTCATCAGGATGGACAGCTGGAAGGGCGCCACGGGGCTTTCCATCTGCTTCAACGACGGCCGTCTGGACGAGACGCTCGCGGAGGAATTTCTTGGCTACATGGCGGAGTTCATGCTGAAGTTTGCGGAGCAGTGATTGGAGCTCATCCGGGATGGGATGCTGTCGAATGAAGAGGATGGCGCTGTTCGACACGAGACGTGAGACGCCATCGTCGAGAGTACATAAAACAGACATGAACATAAAATAAAAAACAAAAGTTTGGTTCACCTGAAAGGACCCATGACAATGTAGTTTCTAGATTGGGGAGCTTTTCTGAAAGAGGTCGTCTATAAATTCGCTAATTGAATAACACCGTGGAAAATGTTGGTAGGAGGAAGACTGGAAGCCAGCTTAAGAAGGTTGTAAAGCATGGCATTCAGAAGAGACACATATGATTCAATCGCATAATATACCATTGTCACGAATTAGCTTTTTGTCTTTTCAAATGTACGATTTCAGCGCTTCGTATGAAATGATGCGAATCGAGTATAAGTATAACATGGAAATCAATTACCATTTCTGTCGCAAAGTTCTAAGAAAGACCCATAGTATGCCAAAATGCTGACAAAAATAACATCTACACCTTTCACAAAAGCCACCAAAACTTCAACCGCCCGAACAATCTACTCATTTCGCCGCGCCTTTCATAGTCTTTTCGACGACCGCCTCCAGCTCCTGGATAAGCTCCTCTAACCTCTCCAGGCTAAAGTTGACCGTGTTGGCGCTGTACCACAGGTTCCACGTCTCAGTCTCCGGGTCCGGCCGCGCGATGAGCCACACCTCCTCCGAGTGCTCCCACACCTTGTCCGGCCCGAACCAGCCGAGCTCCTGGCAGCACTCACCGTCGCCCATCAGGTCCACCGTGAACGGCTCCGGGTTCTGAAACTGCACGATGTACGTCGACCGGCGCTCCTCGGGCCGCCACGTCGCCTCGGGCGTGCAGGCCTCGAACAGCGGCGCCGCCGTGCTCGTCTCGAAGCCGAGCACGTCGAGCTGCGCGCGCCGCGTTGCCTCGAGCGTGCCCCTGAATGTCCTGCCGGCGTCGAGCCGCACGCGCAGGGGCACCATGTTGACGGTCGGGCCAACAACGTTGGCCAGCGCGGGCGGGAGCGTGGAGCGGCCCGACACCGTCATCGTCGTCACCACGTCGTCCGTATCGCGCAGCTGCGCGAGCGCCTGCACGCAGGCCGCGACGTACAGGTTCGCCGCCGTGAAGCCCTCGACCGCGGGCGGGGCCCGGATGGCGCGCTTGATGGACACGATCTCGGCGGGCTGCCCCGTAGGGGCAGCGCGAGGGGCTTCGAGCCCCGGAGCACCTCGCGCCAGTGCGCCAGCATCCTGTCCTCGGCCTCGCGCACGCAGCCCACGAAGCCCGAGAAGCGCGCCATGGGCGCCAGCACCTTGCCCTGCAGGCTGGCGGCGAAGCAGTCGAGGATGGGCGTCAGGCTGGTGCGGTCGAAGTGGGCGTGGGACAGCCGGAGGCCCCAGCGCGTGGAATGGCCCGCGCCGTGCAGCACGTAGAACCGCGTGTAGAGGGACCCCGGGACCATGGCGGGCTGGAGCGCGGCGTGGAAGACGTCCGCGGCGAAGCCTTCCATGTCTTGTGCGTCGCCGATCTGGTGCCGTTCGACCGGCGCCGCCGAGTTCCGCGGGATCACCTGCAACATCCTCTCGCCGGGCGTCACAAACACGGCGGCCAGGATGCTGAGGTGGTTCCAGACCTTTTGACAACACTCCTCTATCGTGTCGAGGGAGACGCGCTCGGGGACGTCCACGTGGACCATGAAGCACCCCTGTGCCGGGTCGTGCATGGCCGCGTCGGCGCACATCGCCTGGGTGGCCGTCGTCGGCATGACGTCCTGGATGTCCTCGAGGTGGAATTCGACGGCCGGGGCAATCGTCTCTCTGATGAAGACGCCGAGCTCTTGCCCTGCCAGGTCATCCTCGGAGAGCAGGGTGAACGGCTGCGGCTCCGAGTACGCCGACTCCTTCTTCTGCACCGTCTTGACCCGCTTCGCCATGTCGCTCAGGCGCGGACTCTGGAAGATGTCGGCCACGGTCAGGCGCATGTCGTGTTCGTGGGCCAGGGCCACCATGCGCATGGCCTGGATGGAGTCGCCGCCGATGACGAAGAAGTTGCTCTCCGCGCTGATCTTTGAGATCTCTGTTTGGTTGAGCACCCGCGCCCAGAGTTCCCTGAGCTGCAGCTCCTCCGGGGTGGACGGCTCCCTCGAGGCGATACCCGAATGCGCCTCGTGCAGGGCGACCAGCTGGTCCCGCGTCATCGCGGCTCCCATCTCGCGCAGGCGCTTGCGGTCCGTCTTGCCCGTCATCGTGAGCGGAATTTGCTCGAGCGGGATGTAAGCCGTGGGCACGAGATGCGCGGGAAGCGCGGTGGCCAACTCCTTGCCGGGCTCCCCGACCACCAGGGAGGCGAGGATATGATCCAGGGACACCTGGCCCGGGGAAGAGAGAGCGACGTAGGCCACGAGGATGGGCTGCTGGCCCTCCGGCTTGATGACCTCGGCAACCAGGGTGACGTTCTCGTGCCGAGAGACCATGACGCGGTGGAGGTGGTGTTCAATGTCTTCCAGCTCGACTCTCTGGCCGCGGATCTTGACCTGGGTATCTTTGCGTCCGACAAACACCAGAGGTCCGTCGTCGAGCTGTCGCACGAGGTCGCCAGTTCTGTAGAGACGGCCCTGGCGGCCTGGAACGCCGCCTCCTCCCCTAAGCAGCCACGCCGGGTCATGGACGAAAGCGGCCGCCGTCTTCTCCTTTTCGTTCAGGTACCCGGCGCCGACGATGGGGCCCTCAAGCCAGAGCTCTCCCGTGATTCCTGGCGGCATCAGTCGGCCGGTCTCCGAGTCCACAACCCAGGTGAGGGAGCCCAGACCGCTGCCGATGCCGACGTTTGGCTGGTCGTCGGCCTTCCCGCGCAGGGCGGTCGAGATGGGGGTGCACTCAGCGGGGCCGTAGGCCTGCTTGATGACTCCCGGTGTCCAGATCTCGACATCTTCCTTGCGGATCGGCTCGCCCAAAGAAATGAGGTTGTTTACGGCCGGGAGTGTCGCCGGGTTTAGGAGACGGTGGGTCGTGGCATTGAGGTTGAGCATGTTGGCCCCCATGTGGTTGATCGAGGCGGCCAGGTCATTTCTGCGGTCCTCGTCCAGAGGAATGCAGACGCACCCACCGGCCTCGAGAGTATGCAGCATGTTGAACCAAGCGCCGTCGAAGGAGTAGGACGCAAAGTCGTACACGCGAGATGTGGTCTGGTAGCCGAAGAAGTCGCCCTGGTAGTGCAGAGCACTCGCGTAGTTAGAGTGAGTGACTTGGGCTCCCTTGGGCAGGCCGGTGCTGCCGGAAGTAAAGACGAGGTACAGCAAGCTAGACGTCGGCACTGCGGGAAGAGGCGCTGGGACGTCAGTAGCCTCAAGCTCGTCGAGAGCCTGCCGGTCCAAGACCACCACCTTCAGTTCCTCGGACGCGCAGAGTCTAGATGGCTCATCCCTGCGCAGGGCCGAGGCAATCATGACGCTAGGTGCGACCTGCTGCACGATTGTCTGCAAGCGCTGCTCTGGCTGTCCGCCGTCCAGCAGGACAGAGCATCCTCCAGCCTTCATGACGCCCATCACAGCCACGGGAGTCCACATGGACTTCTCGAAGCAGAGGGGCACAATCATGTTTGGACCGACCCCGAGCTGGATAAGACGGCGAGCCAGCGTCGATGACAGGGTATCCAGCTGTTCGTATGTCAGGTCGCCGTCCCATGCATGGATGGCGTCTGCCTCGGGCTGTTGATGGGCGCGGTTGATTATCATGTCGTGCACACAGCGGTCCATTGTCGGGGGGACTTGGGCGTTCCAGCGCCAGATGTCTCTCATATCTTGAGGGGAAGCTACCTCAAGATCAGAGACTTTCAAGGCAAGCTTCTCTGCGTCGCTCAACTGCTTCAAGATGTGCTCAAACTGTCCCAGAATCCTGGAGACCCGCTCCTCCTTGATCACCGACGAGTCAAATACGGCATAGATGTGCACGCCATCGGCCTCAAGGTAGCAGTAGAGCGTGAGAGCATAGGACTTGGTCTCGTGGACGAAGCCAGAGACGTGAGACATGAGGCCGTTCTGCCTCAGCGACAGGTTTTGACCGGCGGGCTGGATCAGGAGGAGCGTCTGCGCCTGGCAAGCATCGCGAGCAGCGCCGGACACGCGCTTGATGTTCTGAACGCCAAACTGCTCAAAGGGAAGCATGTTTACCATCTGCTGCTGGATCGATTGCAGCATATCCTGCACATTCTGATCATTTTGTAGCGTCACTCGTACGGGAAGCGGGGCGATGGTTGGCGCCGTCATGCGCTCCACGCCAGCGACATCGGCCTGCCGGCCCGTCAAGGTTGCGCCAAAGACGATATCCTTGGATCCGGAGATCTGGGATTGCAGGATAGCCCAGGCCGTGCGGACAGCCGTGGCGGGTGTGGTGTTGCTGCGGATCCAGGTGAGGCTCACGAGACGGTCCATGACGGTGTCGGCAAGGGGCACCTTTGAGGGGTCGGGGAGAGCGGGGAAGGAAACGGCGCCGTCGCCGCCGTCGAACTGGACTCGCCAAAAGTCCTCGGCAGCTGTCTTGTCCTGCCGGAGAACGTGCTTGACGAAGCCTTGGAAGGGGGCAAAGACTGGTGACTGGCCGTCGCTGTACACCTGCTCGATCGCGTCTAAGATGAGGGGCGCCGACCAACCGTCATAGAGCGCGTGATGGATTGTCCACACGAAGTACGTCGCCGCCTCCCGGGCGCTTTCGGCCAGAGCAAAGAAGGACAATGCTGATCCGAGAACCTGGCCTGGTTTCTGGCACTCGAGAGAAGAGGCAGAGTCCATGTCCAGGACGGGACCCCATTGGAAAGATTCGTTGACAACGACCTGGACCAGCCCATCATCGGGGAGACTCACCACTCGCGTGCGCAGGGTTGGTGCCTTGGCTACTACCTCCTCGCACGCTCTCTTGAAGCGATCTAGATCAGTCGAGGCGGGAAGACGGTACACGCTGCGCGCAACGTAATCTCCCTCACGCTGAGCAGTCATGGCCAGCAGGCCCTCTTGCAGAGGTGTGCACGGAAAGATGTCTTCGATCTGGCTCGGCTCGACATCGGCAAGCTTGGCAGCATACTGAAGCGCCGTATCGCGATCCGTCTCTGGGTTGAGCAGCGACAGTGGAGGGATGGGTTCCCCTTCTGACGCAATCTCGGCACGAGGCTTGAGCAAGCCGGCTTGGTCTCTCAACTTGGGACTTTGGAAAATCTGCTGGACCGTCAAGTCCAGACCTTGGGCGCGGGCGAGGCCGACGAGGCGAATAGCCTCGAGAGAATTGCCGCCAATGTGGAAGAAGCTGTCATCAAGACCTAGCTGGCCAGACTCACGGCCAAGGACGGTGGCCCAAAGCTCTTGTAGTTTGAGTTCCGTTTCCGTCAGGGACTCTTGGCTGGTGGACGGAAGTGAAAGGGAAGAACCCAGAAGAGTCAACACGTCCAGGGGGAGGTCAGCAGCCAACTCTTGCAGGCGCCGCACGTCGGTCTTCCAAGATGCGTTTGTTGGCATTTGGGACACCGGGATGAACTGCGCCGGGACCATGTAAGAGGGCAGAGCCTCCGACAGTAGTTCATGCGCAGCCTTGACGCTGGCTTGCCATTCATCCGTCCCCAAAAGGTGAGATGCGACAATGTTGTCTTCTTTGGTTTGAATGATGCCGGCACCGTCTCTTAATTGGACAAAAGCTGCGAGACTCTTGGCAGCGCCAAGAGCATGGGGTGCAATCATAGCCGGGAGGACTGCCACGGCCTTGGGAAAAGCCTCCTTGAGATGGTGCTGCACCTCGCCGAGTTCGAGACGCTGGCCGCGCAACTTGATCTGCGAGTCCTTGCGGCCGACGAAGCGCACCGCGCCGTCGGAATCATACTGGACCAGATCACCCGTCTTGTAGAATCGCCGCGGCTCGCCCTGGCTGTTGGTTTTGTTGCTGCACCAGTCAGGGGCACCGACAAAGAACTGCTCCGTCAGCTCAGGGTTGGCCAGGTATCCTCGGCCGACGTTGGGTCCTTCGACCAGGAGTTCACCCACGGAGCCGATAGGCAAAATGACGTGGCAGCTATGGGGGTCTACAATCCATAGTCGTGTACCGAAACCTCTGCCGATGACACCGGCATCGGCCCCCTTCACGTAAACATGACTTGCCGAGGTCACGGCGCACTCCGCAGGACCATAGCTGATGATCGTCTGGGCATAGTCCGCCCAGCGGGCCAGTAGGTCCTTGGAGGCAACCTCACCTCCCAGAATGATGGTCTTGAGGCTTGGCATGTCGGCTGGGGTGAGCAGACCGGCTAGGGACGGGGTGATCTTGGCTGACTCGACCTGGAACCGCGCCACGAAGCCGGCAAGGTCGTCCATGCGCTCATTCTCTGACGGGACGCAGATGGTGCCTCCGTGGAATAGGGTGCAGAAGATGTCCGAGTTGGCCATGTCAAATGTGTAGGCAGCGAACTGCAGCACACGAAGCCCCTTGCGAATCCCAAAGGCCCGGCCGTGCTCATGGGCGGTGGCACACATGTGCCTATGCTCTAGGACGATGCCTTTGGGGGTACCCGTGCTACCCGAGGTAAAGACGACGATGCAAGCATTTTTTGGGCTGGCTTTCTTGCTATCGGGAGAAGGAAGCGGTTGGTCATCTGTGTCTTTGGGTAATGTGAGGAGGTGCTCCTCCGAGATGGGCACCAGATTCTGCACCAGTCCCTCGAAACGGTTAACGGAATCAGGAGATGCCAAAACCGTCGTTGCTTGGGTCTGTTGCAGAATCTGCTGGATTCGTGCATCGGGATACTTCGGGTCGAGTGCAGTATAAGCACCCCCAGCTCGGAGAATTGAGAGCATGGCAACAATGGCCAGGGCCGACTTAGGAAAGCAAACCGGCACAATGACTTCCGGCCCTACACCACACTCTTGAGAGAGGTATTTGGCGAGGCGCGCAGTCGTGGCTTCCAACTCCCCATAGGTGTAAGTCTGATGAGAAGATAGGATGGCTGGGGAGTCGGGTTGCGAGGTAGCTTGCTTCTCGAAATGCCAATGGAGGCACTCATCATAGAAAGAGTGCTCTGTGTCATTCCATGACAGAATTGTGTCAAAATCCTCAGCGCTACATGCCGCCTTCGCTGTCGTCTCGATGGGTTTTGTGGATAAGGTTGGCGTGTTCTGAAGATCTTGGTCATCTGGTAACGCCCAAGGGCGTGTCAAGACAGGTTCCGATTCTACGCCCATGATGATGGCTGAGAGTAGCTGAACTGCAAAGTGTTCACAGAAAAGAGTGAGTAAAGGAGCGGGAGGTCAAAGGACAGACGCAGGTGGTGGTGTTCCTGAGAAGAGAAGGTAGTTTGTGATGAACTCAAGCTCTTTCTTGATGGCAATCTGTGTCTACTATGTATCCCAAGATCATCCGTCGTCGTCTTGTAGGGGAGCGCCGTATCTGGTAGTCGAGACTCCTTCAACACTGCCTCCCGCGACCCAATGTCTGTCACGCAGCTTGTTTGACCCCTCTCGCATGTCATGCTCCCGATCTTCGCCTGGCGAAGCGATATCCTTCCAGCGGAATGAGCTTCCGAGGTTTGACTAGTTGTCGATACAGATTTCGGCTACAGAAAACAATACCAACATTAGGGGGTGGCAGTTCAAGATTCACGGCTGGCGTGGTTCAATCACCCGCACTGTATACATCCGGGGGAAAAGATGCCGGTCTGAAGGGAGCCGATGCCAGCATTACACAACCAGTCTAGAACCTCTAACCCTGCCACCTGCAACTGGGATTCCGGCCAGCAGAATAGATAGGAGACCTGTAGGACCCGTCGGAAAATTTGCCACCTGCGGTCCATGCAGGTTCTAGATCTACGGAGACAGGGGTTTCATGCAGCTTACGATCACACCACTGAAGTGCAGCCATGCAGGGTCCTAAACCCCTAAGCCCCTGGTCCCTGATCCCTAATCCCTAATCCCTAATCCCTAACCCCTGATCCCTTACCGCCTGGGCGTGGAAGCCGTTGAATGGAATCCTTGTCCCGTCGAGCGGGCCGCGAAAGTTGAGTCGCAGGATCAGGAAAGCATGGGTTCGCCGAGGCTCCGAAGTGGCTGATATCTCGTGCTATCACGGCATCAGAAGTAACCAGCCATTGCGGGCGAACTGGAGATGTGACCTTGACCAAGGCTTACAAGGGGTGTAAGATTCTGTCGTGGAATCGCGCAGCTCCGGGCGGGGATTCGAAGCAAAAGTTCCACCGCGCACCAAGTGCATCTGTACAGCTTCAGGTTCGTGATGTGAAGTGGCGACAGTAGCCAACTCGTTCGGCTGTCTTTTGATAGGCAAACCGCGGTTGTGTAGAATTGTCACTCATGTAAATTTCGCTCATCCACTTAGCAATGTCATTACAGGATGCCCCAATGCCCAACTCGAACATAATCATCTTTTTACTTCAATCTTCATCTTCAGTAAACCTTCTTTGGACTCTCTGTCTCTGTAGATCATCTCCTTGTACGTTTGACATCAAATCGACATTATGATTGAAGACGCGCTCCTTGCTGCTCTGCAGCAATTCTCCTCGCCCGAGGGCCTTGGTGTTATTATTGCACTGGCCTTGAGTGCAATCCTTGGAAGACTCACCATTTTCGCACGCAAGGACAACAATGACATATCCAGTCTTCCTCTTGTCAACGGAAAGAAACGGTGGCAGTTGACGGCCAAGGAGCAGCGAAAGAAGTTTTGCAACCACGCCAAGGAGATTCTTGATGATGCCCTTGTCAATGTAAGCCATCAGTCCCTGCTCAACGCATATGTGGAGTCATACAGTATAACTTACACTTTCTGCTAGGTCGGCGACAAGTTCCGCGTGCAGACTGAGAATGGCATTGAGCTTCTTCTCTCTGCAGACTATGCCACTGGAATCAAGGACGACGAGGCGCTTGACTTTGGCAAGCACGTGGAGGAGGTGAGCAACAGTGACCACTACGGCTGTTCTGACACAAAGCTTATCTTGATGTAGGACATGCACACCAATCTTGATGGCTTTGCTCCTTTCCGCCAAGGACAGACCCGTGACAGAATCTTCCATGACGCCGTCAAGATCAACCTCATCCAGGACATTGTCAGGCTCAATATCCCCCTCTCCGAGGAAGCAAGCCATGCGCTCCAGAAGCACTTTACGGATGAAACAGGTTTGTTGATTTGACGTGTACAATCAGGGTGAAAAAAGTGCTAACGTCGATCGACAGAATGGCACGAGGTTTCGCTCAAGATTCTCGCTTTCAAGATCGTCTCCCAGCTGTCTTCCCGAGTCTTCCTCGGCGAGGAGCTCTGCCGCAATGATGACTGGCTTCAGGTCACGGTCGACTACACCAGGGACTCAATGCAGGCCGCGCAGGACCTCCGCCTGTGGCCCAAGTTCCTGCGCCCCCTTGTCTACTGGTGTCTCCCCCGCTGCCGAGCCATTAGGCAAGAGCTGAAGACGTCTTTCAACATCGTTGACCCGGTCCTTCAAAACCGCCGCTGCGAGAAAGAGGAGCGCGTGAAGCAGGGCCTTGAACCCGTTCGCCACCTCGACGCGATGCAGTGGATGGAGGACGCTGCCAACGGCCGTCCCTATGACCCTACCGTTGCCCAGATTATGATGGCCATCGCCGCCAACTTTTCGGGGTCAGACTCGTTGAGCACGCTCATGATCTATCTTTGCCAGGACTCCCAGCTCGTCGAGGACATGCGCAAGGAGGTCATTACCGTCTTGTCCGACAACCAGTGGAGCAAGTCCACCCTTTACAAGCTGCGTCTCATGGACAGTGTGCTTAAGGAGAGTCAGCGCATGAAGCCCGCGGCCGTCGGTAAGAGAACCCATCCATCGGCATTTCTGACTTTTCAAGGGTTGAACCGCTAACACACTCCCTCTCAGCTGTCATGCGTCGCATCGCACTAAAGGACACAGAGTTGCAAGACGGTACCAAGATCCCCAAGGGCACTAAGCTCATGGTATCCACCTCGAAGTCTTGGGATGCGGAGAAGTACCCCAACCCAGAGAAGTTTGACGGCTACCGCTTCCTGCGCATGCGCGAGGAGCAAGGGCTCGAGACGGCACAATTCGTGTCGACGACACCCGATGCCCTGGGATTCGGCATGGGCAAGCACGCGTGCCCGGGCCGGTTCTTTGCCGCCAACGAGCTCAAGATCGCCCTCAGCCACATTCTCCTGAAGTACGATTTCAAGCTGGCGCCGGGCGCCCCCACGGAACCTACGTTCCAGGCTCTGTACTGGTCGGCCAATGATAATGCGCGAATCATGATTCGTCGCCGCAAGGAGGAGATTGAGTTGTAGATGATTTACACGCTGCACTCGGTATGACTGGCTCTACATTTAGTTTTCATCTCACAATTCATAGTTGATGAGGCTAAACCGAATGAACTGTAGATGAGGTGGTTATTCAGGTCAAATGTTAGTCATTTTAGACAGGATAATAAAACAGCTTCGGAAATTCAGAACGACTTGTTACATGAAGCAACTGTACACACTTTGATCCAATGTTGTATGCAGCTTTAACGCATTTGGCGAAATTGAGAACAGCAATCCTATTTGGTCTTGTTTCTATCTTATTTCACTGAATTTATTGGTGTTGCTTTCCATTTCTTTGCGGCTCCTCTTCACCTTAATCTGGCAAAAAAAAAAAACCCCCCCCCCAAAACCCCCCCCAAAAAAAAAAAACCACGACATCTGAGGGCTCTGTTTTAAGTCTCAATTGCGAGATTTTTGTAAAATATTTCGACCCTTTCTTTCAGTTCATCGGATAGCATGTAGGAGATAGGCAATCGGACATTTAGACGATGGTTTACTTCCTGACGGGAAAGTCCGAAAAAAGGCGACACTTCAAAATGCGAGATACTGTGTTGCGATACAGTCGTAGCCGGTGGGACAGGCGCGCAGCGACAAAAGCCGAGATTTGCTCCTCACAAACCGCCTGCGCTGAAGGGACCATCGGCAAACACTGTTGCACTCCGTCGGCTAACGCCATGCGCTTCGTGCCGCTCGTACCGATACGGCCAATGAGTGTTGGAGGAATGACAATAGGCTACCTACTCCGGTCCAATTTGATCCTTCTGATAAGGTACCCGAAGGTCTAGATTCCTTTTTTCAGTGGTCCGAATCCCGATACTCCTCAAAGTAATCTGTTCGCGGGACGGACCCTGAAGCCTCGCGCTCATTTCTTGAGTGTCCAGAACCCCAGACTCCCAGTGGGCCCGCGCGGAAAGGACCCTGGGCATCAAGGTTCAGCCACTTCTGTGAATAGGGTCTACATGGGCGGAGACGTGCGGTTCACGCCCCTTCTTGTCACTACACAGTGAAACACTGACATGTAGGGTGAGAGAGAATAGCGCCCATAAATGGCCTGCCGTTTTGGAATATCCCTGAAGATCCGCTTCTGGAAGGTCAATACTCAGTAGCAGGGGGTTAAGCGCACATCCACACATCCACACACCCACTCTGCATAATATCCCTGCACACGTGTTGCACCCGCACATTACATACGCTTGGCCAACGAGTTGCCCTTAATCGAAAGACTTACTGCACCTGTTTATCCTATCATCTACTTGCAAGATGTCAGCACAAACACTGTGAACCGACCCGTACTATTCCCGGTGATTGCATGGCACAATATGTTGCAATCAGATTCAACTGGGTCAGAAGCGGCGTCGTGATGTTCTGATTGGTAGACCCCTGGGCAATGTTGCATATTGCACCTAGACTACTGGCCACTGATATGTTGCATACACAGAGAACAGTGCCCTGTACTGTCTTGCTGGTGTGCAGTAGCAGCGGGCTCCAAGACTTACGGCGCCTACACTAGTTGCCGCCTCGGCAAGATCATTAGAAGGTCTCCGCGGGTGATGGTGTGAACGTCCGCTGCTGACTAGCCTGCGGGAAACACACACGGCCGCTAATTCCCCTTGTAGGTAGGTGTTCTTCGTTTCGATTACGGCGTGTACATATGACGTAGCATTAGAAGGATCGCAGGTGGCTATTCTTTGCAGGACATGGTGCGGAAGTCCACTAGGAGTCTGTATAATACAAACTCGGAATCTAAATTGCCCCTGCAGCCACCATCAGTCTCCTAATATCGCGGAAGCCACACCAAAGGATGCTTTCCTGCAGGTTCATGTAAGCCGCATGGGAGGAAAAATACGTCTAGATATCCTGGGAACCAAGCACGGGGTATGGTTATTCAACTGAGCGCGCTGCACAACCGAGTTCGAGCAAGGATAGCACGATACAGTTTGCGAGATTCGCCCCGGGCCTCTTGGTCTAGACCTTGCTCTTAAAGCCTATATCGTATCTCGCATTCTGTACCGCAAATAAGCCGAAATAGCGCTTATTGCGGGGTTTGCAGGTTTACGAGGTGGTCTGTAGGCCGAAACAGACGGAGCCACGTAGTCGAATCTCGAGACCCTTACAGAATCAGCGAATTTATCCTCTTCTTCACGTAGTTGTAACTTGATGTACATGTACACAACGCAACTCTCCATCCCGTCGGGCCTTTTGTGTGATTTGACCGGGGTCTTTTTTTTTTCAAGACGCCCCCCGGAATGCCATCAAAGTCCAAGTGAAGAAATCTCGGTCTAGCTCTCCGCTTAAGACGTACAGATATCAAACTTGACCAAATATGACAAACTCTAACCCCCTTGTAGCTAAAGATACGGCCTAGAACCTGTGAGCAAGGAAAACAGTCAAGGATAAGGAAATTGAGATCCATCACAAGCTCAAACACTGCGCAGTCCTCATGGACCTTCCCTATCGCGGGTTTCGGCTCTCCGCGAAGGATTCACAGTAACGTTGTCATGCGGGTGTAAGCAATACTTTGGCGCTTCGTGATTCATGTTGGTAGGTTGCCTCACGAAGGCAACGCCGGACGTATCAGATTGGAAATAGCACATCATTTGACTGCGGGCCAAAACGGCGACTTCTCGATGCCATATTTGCCTTCTAATTCTATTCATTTCCTCATGTTCCACCTTGCCTTGTAGCTCCAGTTTGTCCTGATACACTCCCCTCATTGAATCATTTCCCAATCATTACAGACAGCAGTCTGCAACAAACGCCATGGACACCGCAAGCTTTCCCACGGACTGTTACCTCGATGCTGTGGTGCGTTTTCTCAGCATCATCAATTACAACGACACCAACTACACACACGAGGAGAGGGTCCGTAACTTGCATTATGCCTACACCAAGGCGGCGAAGCACTTTGCCCAGCCGACGCAGCAGCGCCTGATCAAAGCCAGCCCCAGACGCCTGCAGGCATCTCTTCAGACAATTGTGGCCATGGTAGTCTATGCCTGGGTGCGCGTCGACCCCGAGGTCATGGCAGACCTGAGCATCCACTACACTTACATGCTGGTGCTTGACGATAGCCAGGATGACCCCGACGCAACCATGCAGTCATTCTACCAGGATCTTCTTGCCGGGAAGCCTCAACAGCACCCTTGGTGGCAAATGGTGAACGCGCAGTTCCCGACTGTGCTTAGCCACTACGGCCCGTACTGCGGCTTAAACCTGGTCCGGAGCACCACCGACTGTAAGCAGCTTTGGAATGCCCACAATTCTTCCCGCGCACGAAGCTAAATGAGCCACAGTTTTCCAGGGTTGCTGGATTGAGCAGCACAACTTTCAGGGATTCCCGGGCTCGTACGACTTCCCCGGCTTTCTGCGCCGCATGAACGGTCTTGGCCACTGCGTCGGCGCATCCATCTTCCCCAAAGCCCAGTTTGACGAAAAGGCGCTCTTCACTGAAATCACGTCCGTCATCTCCCAGATGGAGAACTGGATGGTGTTTGTGAACGACCTGCTGTCATTCTACAAAGGTACGTCCATAATCTCCAAGCTTGGCACCGGTGCCGAGCCGATCAGCGTCCGGGGGTAGAAGCGTGAAGCTCGGACCAGAAGCTTGTTTCCGCCCCCGATTCGTTTCCTGCGCGCTCGCCAAGGCTCGAGTGGCTCGCCAAGATCGCTCGCTAACCATGTTGCAACCCTCCAGAATTCGACGAGCCGCGCGACCAGACGTCGCTCGTCAACAACTACGCCAAGTGCGACCGCATCACGCTGGCCGAGGCGCTGGACAAGCTAACGCGCGACACGATCCGCTGCTCGGAGCAGATTGTCGAGGTCTTTGCCGACAAGGACCCGAGCATCGCCTACACCCTGAAGACTTTCTGCCAGGGCTATGTCACCTGGCACTTGAGCGATCCTCGCTACCGTCTCCGCGAGCTCGTCACTAGCGCTGCTGGTGGCGACAGTGCCACGGCGAAGGAGTTCCGTCGGTACCAGGCTGCCGGTGACCTCGTGGGGGCCGTTAACCCCAAGGAGTGGGCTTACCCTCCCGTTGCCGACTTTGTTGAGAAGCACATCGCCGGGGAAGTTGTCCAAGTCGCGACGCCACTGGTCCCGAAGACGTCTCTCAATGCGAGTACCACTGTGGGCGCTGTTTCAAAGTGGGCAAAGAAGTTCTGGCCGCAGGAGTATATCTAGTTAGTCATATGTGGATCGTAGATCACTGTTTGGGGGTTTTATGGGGTTTTGTATTTAGGACAGATGGAGTCTTGATAATTCAGCTTCCACATTTACATACTTCCGCTGCACGATGAAGGTTTGAGTGAATGTACTTGGGTTCGGTTGGCTGTCATGTAGTGTTGTCTTCTCAAAGTAAACCGCGCCAACTTCATCAGTCGTCTTGTGCAAGCTCAAGCTCTCCACATACTGCTTTTGGAGCCTTCCTGCTTTAAGTATGATAGAAAGTTAATCTCCGGTCACTGATTGCATTTAATACACATTTACCATTGTTCATTTGGTCAGATATTTAGATGGCAACACATGTTTACCCACATGGCATCAAATCGCAAGTTGTTTGAACATCAAGCCATCTCGAACCTACTTTGCGTGCGCGGTGGTACTGGCAAATAAAACCAATGAGAGAAAGCGACCAGGGCAAATCATTCGAGGTAGCAATCTAAACATCCAAATACACCCTACAATTTCTGCACTCTCATGAAGGGTTTCCGCCGATTTTCCTGGCCTTCAATGAATGCTCCGTGCATCTTTTGACCCAAGATCAGACATCCATACTTCCGCAGAACCAAGACCATCTCAGGACCTCAGCCTGCGTGTCACCATCACCTCGACCTCGCCCTGTCCTTCACCCTTGCCCTTCTCGAACTTGGGCTGGCCGATAATCAATACGTTGTGGACCTGGACGTCGGCGACCGACGTGTTCACCAGATCCATATCGAAGTTGCGAAGAACGCGGGTGAATGTCAGGTACAGCTCGGCGTGGGCCAAGCTGGATATCGTTTGTCATCAGAATTTCGTAACGGACGATGGAATTGGCATCTTTTTTTTACTTACCCGATACCGAGGCACTGCCGGGAACCCTTGGTGAAGCTCGTGAGGTACCTCTCGAGAGGAAACCCTGCCTTGGCCGCCTCCACCCAGCGGTCTGGGTTGAAGGTGAAGGGATCCGCGAAGCACTTGGGGTTAGTGTGCACGAAATACGTCGACTGACTTACAGGCGTCTGTTTTCTTTAGAAAATTTGTTCGAAAGCTCAGAAAGATGACAGAATCACTTACTCCAGGGGGAATGGCATGGTTCTTGTACTGAAGCGTCTCGTGGGTGAACACGCGGGGAAGACGGGTGATGGGTCCATAAGAAAGGCGGATAGCCTCTTTAACAATGCCAGTCTGAGAATTTTGTTAGCTAACTGGAAACTCTCGGCTGCGTGCGCCGTCAGTGAACAGGGAAGAATATGTACCATGAAAGGCAGTGTCTCGAGATCCTTCATTGTGAGCTCTTCGTCGGGGATGTGGTCCACCTTGGAGAGCTCCACAAGGGCCTTAGTGACGAGAGACTTGTTGTCAAGCAAGTAGAACATGCCGACGGCGAGCGATCTCGACGAGGTTTCTGTTCCAGCGAAAATAATGACCTGGCCTTCATCTACAAGACGCTTCATGGTGCGTTCCTGCGCAGGAACGTGCGGGTCGCCGAGGGCCTCGATCATGATTGATTTGGACGCGGAGCTATCTTCCTTGCTGGCAAGTTTCTTCTTGATGTTCATCTTGATGTCTTCTTGTAGAAGGAGAAGTTCGGCAACAGGTGGCAAGATGAGGCGGATAATGGGGATGGGCAGCTTCTTGAGGTATTTGATGGCCCACGGCACAAAGCGAGTCCAGTGGAAGATTTCCGAAACACCCTTGAAGGCCTCACGAATGGGCGAAACTAGGCTAGGGATGCTGAGGTAGTCGTAGTGGTAGCCGAAGAAGCGTTGGGTGATGATGTCGGCCGTCATGGCGGAGAACGCCAGGTCCAACGAGATTTTGGTGCCCTCCTTGCGGGCACCGTCGAGGCGGTTCAGCATGGCCGTGATACGCTCGTGAATCTGGGGCTCCATGGAAACGATGGACCGCTTGGCGAAGTAGGGGTTCATGTAACCGCGGCGGGAGCGGTGCTGTCCGTGGTTCACAGTGGCTGCTACAGATGCAGGGACCCCGAAACCGGCTACGGTAGACGAGTCCTTGTTGACGCGGTGAGTGCCGCCGACATAGACGTTTTGGTAGTATTCCGGGTCGTCAATGTGAACTTCGTTGGGGTTGATGCGAACAATGGGGCCTTAAAATTAGCAATCCGTGAAAGTGACTGCATGATGACGTCTGTTGGAAAGGGAAAGGAGGTGAATGGAGCGTACCGTATTTCTCATGCATCTTCTGAATCTCCCAGAGGTAGTTGCCGCTCTTGACAGCATCGTACCAAAAGTCGCAGAGCGGCGTCATGGCCGCCAGCCATGGACCGGGGATCTTACGAAGAGGATGAAAGTAGAGGTTGTAGATGCATCGTAGGACAACGTAGCCTGCCCAAATAAAGAACAAGCGACGGGCCAGCTCGCCGCGATTCGTCTTGCCTAGATTGCCTAGTGATGACAGAAACTCTGCCTTTGGGAAGATGCTTACCAGTGAGGAGAGAGTACCGTTGGGCTCCTCGATGACAACAGCATCGGGGGCCAGAGTATTGATCAAAACCTCTATGTTGGACATTTTGGAGGAAACGGAATGCGTCAGACAATATTTTGACGTGAAAATAAGATAGAAAGAATCTGGAGATAGAAAAGAATTTCTCAGGGCCAACGACTAGTTTTATTGCGAGGCACTCAAACAAGGTAAAACCCGCAATCCTACCCGTATGCTCGCCTGCCATATTCGAAGGACTATGCTTCACGGCGTTCGCTGTCATTTTCGGCTTGCTGTCTGCCATCACACGACCCCCCGATCCAACTATCGTTCGACACCCAATCGCCATCATCTAGCGCAGGACCTCGTTTCCGAGCACATTGCTACACTGAGGCTTACCCCTCTCCCCCGTCTGCAGAATCATGTCCCGAGGTGAAGCCTTGCTTCGCCCTTCCTCCCCCTCCCCCCTGTTATTCCCCATTGGCTAGCCGAGCATGGCCTTGACAGCGTGTCCGTCTGCTTGTGATAATGCGTCTCAAGGTTTTCACGCGCAATTCCGTTTTGCCGCAAGACAGCCAAGCAGAACAGGAAATGATTGGAGGGATTACACGTTACGTTACAAGATCCGTGATAGATCCGAATGCAGCCGCCTGCTGACGGTTTCCGCCTCCTCATTTGCGCCCGAATGGCTTAGAGGCCGCATTTACAGATGCAGCATGCCCTCGACATCTTGTCTTCCCTCTTTCCAAATGCGTGTAAGCCGCGGAAGTGAGCTTTTGGGCCGAAACCATAGACCCTGCATATAATCTTCCGCACATGTACACGTGTAGCGGAGCATGCAGTCTCAACCTTGCATCGCGAGGCTTCAGCCGCTGTATCCCTGTCTGTCTCCAGGCTCGGGCTGAATCCGAAGCATATCATTGAAGCGAACGAGGTCTAGGCCTCAAGATAGCCTTTCTTGCTTACCTGCATTTGAAGTATCTGCTTTGTAGTGATACTTCCGAGAGCAGAATCTTGCATGGGTTCATGTAGTCGGAAAGTGGGTTGCCTGCCCGTGTCCGAGGTCCCTGCATACCATGTCGCGGCTAATAGTATTTACACCCTGCCGCGTGGAAACAGCGGTCCTCGCATACAAACGTCCCTTCATGCATTGCAACCGCGGCTACAACACCGACATACTTTACTGATGGCTAGAACATTGCGGCGGCCCTGGTTGAGGGGCAGATAGCTGTACGCCTCCTGATTTTGTAAGCTTACAGGGCGTCAAAAACATCCTGTAGGCCAAGCAATTGATTCTAGGCTCTCGAGCATATGCATCTCTGAGCCGTCTCTAGCCCTGTACAGGCCAACAAAACTGTAATTGGTGGGATATGTGAGGGCGTGTCAATCTTCATCGCAGCACCCCTCACCCTTGCCCCCCTTCCCTGCCCTGGCAGACAACACGTACGGGACGACCCGCACCGGATACTCCCCCGGCGTTCTAGACTCTACACATATTCAAGTCAGCTCCTATCTTTTATATTCCGACCCCAGCAGTGTTTAATTTAATCAATGATCCATGTGCGCGAACACAGTGCTTGCGACGGGCCAAGCAGACAACCAACGCGATAAGCACCAACCGTAGATCAGGAGCCTTCGCGGAGCCAATCAGACGTGTTGTTCAAATATTGGACTTGGTCTAGACTCTAGAACCCTACATGCCGCAAAAGACCCATAGGTTTGTATCATCTGTATACGAAATGACCTTCCGCATTCGCGTTTCCGTCCCCTGTACTGTTATGAATCATTCTGGTTGCATCGTAAGCGAAAACGCTGCGCCGTTACAACTTTTACGGTCAGGCGTATCGTCGAACTGATATTTGGGCCGCCTTGTGGCTATTCAATTGTCCCAAAAACCCGATTCCAATAGGCGCCGCGCAACTTCTTCTCCCATCTGTTTTCTCGCCACTTGCAAACGGCTGTGGTGGGATTTCTTCGCCAACAACTGGGCCACTACTCACCTTGTTCGGCGAAAAGTCCTCGATTTTGTTCAGAGGACAATTCCGTTGGCGGTGAAAACGGTAGCACGCACTTGCGCGCCCACATCCTAGATGACAGACCTCGGAGAGAAGTCGGCTCCCCTTGCCACGGTCGCCGAGACAGACACCGCCGTCAATTCCAGACACAGCGCATCAGGCCAGGTCGACAATGAGACAAGCAACAGCGACCAAACTGACGCTGGCAAGGCCAAAGACAGCAAGGAGAAGAAACCCGGGTCGCTCCACTTCTTCTTCCGCGTGCACTGGTCTTACTCGACACCTCTGGATCACGCCCTCCGGCTCATCGGCCTGCTTGCTGCCATCGCCTCCGGTATTCTGCCCCCGCTGATGACGGTGGTGTTTGGCTCTTCGGTGAATCAGTTCAACAATTACGAAAATGGCAGTATTTCGGGGCAGGACCTCTACCGCAACATGTCAAAGAACGCCCTCTGGCTGCTCTACCTCTTCATCGGCCGCTTCTTTCTCGTCTACGTGCATTCCACGTGCTTTGGTCTGGTGGGCATTCGCGTGACTAGGGCATTCCGCGTCGATTTCATTCGGTCGATGATCCGGCAGGATGTTTCCTTCATCGACTCTTGCGCGCCTGGCACCGTCGCGTCTACTATTTCCAATAGCGCCGACATGGTGGAAAACGGCAGCACCGAGAAGGTCGGCAGTTTGATCCAGAACATGTCCATGTTCGTTGCCGCTTTTGTGGTCGCTTTTACGCGGCAGTGGAAGCTCACCCTTGTCACGGCTACCTCGCTGCCCGTTCTCTTCATCGGGTTCAAAATCACCTTCGGCCTCGGTAAGTGTGCCTTGCTTCCCTGCACCCAATTCTCATCGCTAATCAGAATACACCATCAGACGCCAAGATTGAGGCAAAGATCCTAGAGATATATAACCGCGCCGGTGGCCTGGTTGAGGAGGCTCTGGGTTCGACCCGAATCGTGACGGCTTACAATGCCAGTGCTAAGCTGAGCCGCAAGTACGACGACTACCTGGCCGCGGCGCAGAAGCTCGGCTTCCGCAAGGGCCCCGTCATCGGGGTCCAGTGGAGTGTGGAGTTCTTCACCATCTACTGCGCCTACTCGCTTGCCTGGTTCTACGGCGTAAAGCTGCTTAACAACGGCGAGATCGGCGGCGGTGGGCAAATCATCTCGGTGCTGCTCGCGGTCCTTTTGGGCACAAACGCCGCATCCAACGTGGCCCCGGGATTCGGTGACTTCGCCAAGGCTTCAGCTGCCGCTAAGGGCATGTTCGAGATGATCGACCGCAAGTCTGAGATCGATCCCCTGGCCGACACGGGCGAGCGGCCCGACAAGTGTGAAGGTATGGTTGAGCTACGCAACATCAGCTTTGCTTATCCGTCGCGGCCCTCTGTTCAAGTCTTGCGCGACGTCAGCCTCACCTTCGAGGCCGGTAAGGTCACGGCGCTGGTGGGTGCGTCTGGGTCTGGAAAGAGTACCATTGTCGGACTGGCCGAACGGTGGTTCAGCCCGACCAGCGGATCCATCCACGTGGACGGTCATGACATTGCCGACTTGGACCTCAGATGGCTGCGTGGGAGGATCGGCCTCGTTCAGCAAGAGCCAGTGCTCTTCAGCGACACAATCTACAACAACGTAGTCCACGGGCTATACGGAACGCCTATGAACGATCTCCCTGAGCCTGAGAAGAGAGAACTCGTCCGACAAGCCTGCATCCAGGCGTTTGCGGATGAGTTCATCCAGGAGCTGCCGCAAAAGTACGACACCAGGGTCGGAGAACGCGGCGCTCTGTTGAGTGGAGGTCAAAAGCAGCGTGTTGCCATTGCCCGGAGTGTCATCTCTAATCCGCAGATCCTGCTACTGGACGAAGCTACCTCGGCCTTGGATCCTACGGCAGAGAGGAAAGTGCAGGCTTCCCTTGACAATGTTTCTAAGCAACGTACCACAATCATGATTGCGCACAAACTTTCAACGGTCCAGAAAGCCGACAAGATCATCGTGCTTAGTCGGGGCGAGGTCGTAGAGCAGGGCGCCCACCAACAGCTGCTCGATCTACGGGGAGCGTACCACCAGCTCGTCAATGCCCAGACTCTCAATACGGGCGAGGCAGCAGCTGCACAAGCGGTTATTGAGACGTACGCGTCCTCAGAAGTTCCAAGTAGAGATGATAGCTCAGTCGAAGGCGTAGAGGAGAAACCAGTAGTCTTGTCCAAGTCTGCAACCAAGCAATCCCAACTGGCAGCAGATCCGGCAGAGGATGAAGACGAGGCCAAGGACGAAGACGCGGACGTTTCCCGCAAGCTTTCCATCGTCAAGTGCCTCAAAATCATCATCTGGAAGGAGCACTGGCACATCTGGCCAATCTGGCTCTTTGGAATCCTCTCCTCGGCAGCTGGCGGCGGTCTCTTCCCCGCACAGGCCGTCCTCTTCGGATCCAGTCTCCCGACACTGCAGCTCCCTCCCGGCCACCACCTGGTAGAGCGCGGTAACTTTTGGGCATTGATGTACTTCGTCTTCAGCCTAGGTGTCTTCGTGTGCTACCTCGGCGTCGGGTTCTTCTGGACTGTGGCATCGTTCCACACCACGCGCTTCTACCGCCGGGGGTATTTCGACGCTATGCTGCGGCAGGATGTTGCCTTTTTTGACACCACGGGCCACGGTGCGTCCGAGATGACCAGCCGGCTCTCGCTGCATCCCCAGAGGCTTCAGAACTTGCTGTCCACCAACCTTGCTCTTATCATAGTCATCTTTGTTGACATCATCTCGTGTTTCGTTCTGGCAGTTGCCATGGGATGGCGCCTGGGTCTGGTCGTCATCGCGGGCGGCATGCCGACACTTTTCGGTGCCGGCTTTTTCCGTCTGCGCCTCGAGATGGCCAACGAGGACCGTCTGACCCAGATGTATCTGGAAAGCGCCCGCTTCGCGTCCGAGGCTGTCGGCGCCATTCGCACCGTCTCTAGCTTGACGTTGGAAGAAAAGATCCTGAACGGCTTCCAGGCTCGTCTTGATGAGTGCGCCAGCCGGGAGTTGCGTAGCAAGATGATAACTATGATCGTCCATGCATTCGCCGAGAGTATCAACATGGCCGTGACGGGCCTGGCCTTCTGGTATGGCGGCAAGCTGTTGTCTGAGGGTCACTACGATATGCGGACATTCTTCATTGTCTTCATGGCGGTGCTAATGGGGTCGCAATCGGGCGGCGTCCTGTTCGGCTTTTCATCCAGTAAGTTGCTTCACTAAACGCACCCATCTCAAGTAGGATTCACAAGGCAGAGAGAGACCAAGAATACTGACCTTTTGGAATAGACGTTTCGAAAGCACACTCCGCGGCAAACCACATCATTGACTTGCGCACATCGCAGCCTCCCATAAACACCTCCTCCGGCGCCAAGGAACTGTCGGCGAGCGAGAGGAGTTCGGTGGCCATTGAGTTCCGCGACGTGACCTTCGCATATCCCAGCCGGCCCAGTCGCTCTGTACTACACGGTCTTAATCTCAAGATCCAAAAGGGCCAGTCCGTTGGCATCGTAGGTGCCTCGGGCTGCGGCAAGAGCACCATGGTTGCCCTCCTAGAGCGATTTTACGACATCAGCTCCGGACAGCTCCTCGTCGAGGGCACGCCCCTCCGAGACCTGGACGTGCAATTCCACCGCTCCCGCATCGGCCTTGTGTCGCAGGAAACGGCGCTGTTCCAGGGCAGCATCCGGGATAACATTCTCCTCAGTCTTCCAGACGACGAAGCGGCGGCGCCCGACGCAGACGAGCGCGTGGAGCGCGCGTGCCGGTCGGCCAACATGCACGACTTTATTAGCAGCTTGCCCGACGGGTACGCGACCGATGTCGGAAACCGCGGTGTCGCTCTCTCTGGAGGCCAGCGCCAGCGTCTCGCAATCGCGCGGGCGCTCATCCGTGAGCCGGAGGTGTTGCTGTTTGACGAAGCCACCAGCGCATTGGACACCGCCAACGAGGCGCTGGTGCAGGCCGCCATCGAGGCGGTCGCGCGGGAGAAGCCCGGTCGAACCACTATTGCCGTTGCTCATCGCCTGTCAACTATACAGCGCTGCGACCGCATCTTTGTGCTGCACCGAGGCCAGGTGGCCGAGGAGGGCACCCACGAGGAACTGTTTCAGAGGCGAGGAAGGTATTATGACATGGTCTTAGCTCAGTCGCTGGACAGAGAAGTTGTCGCCAGTGTCTGAGAGAGGTAGCTGCCACACAAATATTCAACATGAGTTAGTGTATTTGCCGTTCCAGCTTAGTCACAACTATAATTCGCATGCCTCGTATGCACGTATTAGACTATGAAGGTATCGGTCATACAGGGAACATGGCCTGAAATTTCTTTTGCCTCCATTAGATGTACGAATGTACTCCTCTACTCAATACCGATAATTACACACCCTTACCTCTACAAGTACCACACTATACTGACAGGTTTCCTGTCATGGGCTGAATGTAACAAGGGAAGTGGCCATAATGAGGATGGTCATGTTTTGGTGCTGGGCCACACCACCGCCTGTCACCTCGTTCTCGTTCTCGTTTCGTGAATGACTGGGTTCTCGGATCCTCTAAAACGAGGGCTAACAGGGCTAAAGAGGAACTTGTTAGTCAGCAGAACGGATGGGAAATCCAAAGAAACAACTTCCGCCTGGCCGATTTTCACTCAAGGATGTATGTGGGTTAAATTGGTTTTCTCTGCTTCTGTTCTATGCATAGATTTGTAGTTCGTCTGGCTGTTGCAGTATTTCGCTATTGTAGCAGCAGGAGCCTAGCACACAATACAGGCTGCTCAAGACCAGGAAATATCCTGAATGATAGGATGGCTTTTTTATGTTACACGATGCTATTGTGGTTGTTCCCACTGACAAGTGGGCAGCGGCGGAAAGGTTGTGTTGTCGTTCTGCCAGGCTCGCACGCGGGAGAACCTTGACCACCAGTGGCGCAGCATCCAGCCCTCAAATTCGGTAACCTGAGGAACGTGCGCCCCGAATCACCAGGCATCATGACAAAATCGTTGGGCGCATTCGGAGGTGTCCACAAAATGTCGCACAAGGAGTGGTTCTTCGTACCATCAGTGACGTAGTCTGGGAAACCAAACGTGTGACCCTGTGGACAGTTAACTTGTTAGTTGTTGGACCCTCTATATAAGTTTCAAAGCCAAGGTTTTTTTTTTTTTAGTCTTTAAAATCATCAAGTTCCAGATAACTTACCACTTCATGAATTAGGATAGACCAATCTCCCAATTTGCTACCAACTGTTTTCCACCCGAAGAGGCTAATGTCAATGCCATATCCGGAGGCAGCGCCCATGTTAAAGTTCTCCCACGCACTGTTGATGAAGAAAAACTGGTGGAAACGCTGATCGTAACCTCCAGGGCAATCGCTGTAGTCGCCATCCGGGTGTTCGTGGCGAGAACATCCTGGGTCACAGGTCGGAAGGCCTTCATCGTCTCTGAAATCAGTGTAGACTTCAAAGTTGTCGGCTGGGCCTTGAATCAAGTGTCGTTCCCGGACTGCCCAACCTATAACATTGAACTTGAACTCGTTAAACGGGTAGTTGTCCCAGCCGGTCAACCACTTGAACCATTTTTCATATTGCTTTTTGTACACGATTTCGATTTGCTGGCGCACTGTCTCGGTGACTGTCTCATTGGAGTTCCATCTCATGCACACGTTGATGGTTCTATAGCGTTGTTTCGAAGCGTTAATTTTGTGATCATAGAAGATTCCGCCAGGTAACTGACCCGTTTCCGTCCATCATCTGATCCAAGGCCCAGTTTTGATAACCTGTAAGCGTCGCTTCAGGAGTCCAGACCTCCGATCGCATAAGAGTGTAATCCCACGTCCGTAAAATCGACTCTCGCCATTTCCCAGGTATGGTGTTGTTTGGGGTCGGGGGAAATGACCCATATGCGGGAGGCGCTAGGGCCACTGCGATGGCGAGGTATGTGACGGGTCTGAATAATATCGACATTGTGAGAGTTTCGTCTAATGGCCAAAGAAGTGTCGAATCATAAAATAAGAGTAGTTTTCTGCAGAAACTCGGAGGTTAGACAGGATACAGAGATCTTATATATAGTTTCTCCTTATGTTAGGTTGTCTTGCTGCTCCCATGAACCTGTATGGCAGTCAGCTAGGTGGCTGTGTTTTGCCGATGGAGTCTTGACAAGCGTCTTCAACTGCCTTGGTGCTTCAGTGGCCAGATTGGAACTTGAATTAGTATCCCCGCTTCGAGGGCAGTGCTGCTGCTAACAAACCCACATTAGCTTTTTCACCGGAGTATGAAGTGGCACGCTGTTGATTAGGTACATGATCGGTGCATCCGTTCTCCTGTCCCGGTTACAGCAGAGATCTATTCGCCCCGTATGGATGATATTTTTGGGATACATTTGATACAAATTGGGACGAATCGTGGTCAGTGTTACGTTGGCAGTCAGCATACTTTGCGAACGAACAACACTATCTCTTGCATGTGACGTAGTTGGCCTGTTACGGATTGTAATACGCGATACTAGATGATTAGATACTATCAGTTGGTCACTATGCATACGGAATGATCTTACCAGCACTGTCAGTCTAGCTCTAGCAGTTTAGGGCTACGGCAATTACCATACGTGAGTAAGATAAGAAGGAAAGTGGCTAAAAGGATGACCGGGAAGCTCCCCGGCTCGGATTCATTATCCCTTCTGGGAAGTTGTAGGGCCTTAAGTCTTGTGAGTGTGCTAATAATGCACTAACGGAATTGAGGAAGTCTATGCGCTGCTAGAAATGAGCAAAGCATAATCACACAGCATCATACGCCCAAGGTCCAAGGTCCAAACCTTACTGGGTAATATTATGAACTCTATTAGGTGATATATTAGGGTAACACAACAGTTTTGGAGACAGAGGTGACCTCCTAATAAAGTATATGAATAGAAAATAAGGTTAGGGTAGCATCTACGTTATAGGCTGCATGGGCTAGTAAATCAACATACCAGTGTCATAACAGTAGAATCCTCACACTTTATGAGATTATCCGATACAGAATCTTCAAAGAATAATGCAGCTTAATTCACTACCAGCTCCTGGGTCATATCAAAGGGCCAAGTCAGACTGATTTGCCGAAGTCCAGAATAGGATCGACGTATCACGCAAGCCTCACATCGACGCAAGCAGGGTTCAAGATAGGCATAATCTTAACTACCAGCCTTCTTCAGGCTGCCACTTTGAAGTACCTTGTCCTCCTCCCCGCTACTAAGCCATTGGTCCGCCAACAGCCCCTGCCTTGAAACCATTGTCAGCGCCTTCGTCACCGCCTATATCAACTTTTTTCCATGCTCAAACCCATGATCATAGGAGGGGCATCCCTGGACAAACTTTGGCCCAGCTACGTGGCCCAGTCATGACCTGACTCTAGTTTATCCACTATGGGTCGTTTTTCCACCAAGCATCGAGTCTCGGACTAATGCGTTGATGCTGCTTCACTAGAAGTTAGAGAGAAACGAGTAGAGAAATAAATGGAAGAATCCGCGCAGTAAACAATCTTCAGCTTCCCTCAAAAAAATGCGTAGTCACGCCTTGATGGGTGCACCAAGTATAACAGAACGCCATAGTTATGAAAATAAGGTCGAAACATTTGCCACCGGTTCGGAGCTATAACTACTTGGAAGGGACTTTGCTGTGCACCTTCAAAGTGGAAGCAACGACTGTTACCATCTTGTAAGATTGGCGTTATTACCGAGTCATACCGATTACTCGGGGGTGGCACGTTCCTGACAATCTACATTATAGTTGTGTCACTTCGATCATTTCTTTATATCATTCCTTCTCCGAAGTGGGAGATTAAGGTATCAAACATCGTCAGGTTGCAGTGCCTCGATGCCAAGTGCGGAACGTTTAGTCCGCTTGGGTTTCGAAATTGGAGATGCTTTTTTGACACTTTAGTGGTTGATGAAAGTTTATAAATCATCCAGTTTGGATAAAATCCGTTCTTTGGGAGTGGCTGGCATCGTATCAATGGTTCGGATTTCGGGACAACTGACGGTCCCATAATGGCTCCCTAGTTGTACGGGCCTAGGGTCCATGATTCAGGCGAACTGAACTTATACGTCAGGAGTAATCTCTTTATGGCTTAGACAATAAATGGGAGCGTCCACAAGCTCTCAGTCTTTTTTGTTCAACCGATGGCGTTAAATCCAACTATGAGTTACATACCAACATGGTTAATGTGAACCATGCTCCCGAACTTTTTATCCCAATTGAAATAGCAGTGCAGGAGAAAACTCTATCCCATCGACTCCCAGTTGGCGTTAGTATATCGCAGGAGAGAGCAAAGCCAATGCGAGTAACAGGCCGACATGATCTAGCATCGCAAGTCAAAATTGGGATCTTGTGCGCAAACAAATGGAGCTTCTTCAAGCGATTTACTTGTAGCGACGCCAACTGGCAGTCGATGGGATATCTAGCCTACTCCGGCTCCTCCAGCTAAGACTTGCTACCATGCGTGTGGCCTTGACTAGCTACAGAAGAAAGGACAGTACTATTCCATAGCAATAGTATACCTGGAAAAGAAAGTAAGCTGATCGCCCTACTCTGCCTATAGCAGTCTCCTAGTAAGAACAGCTCTAGTCATGACTACTGGAAATAGTGATATGAGGAAATAGTCACTTGCGGTAAAGGCGCAATGCTTCTCCTCGTGGCTCAGGCGTTTTGCTAGTACGACTTTCACACACCCAAATGTATGATAAGCGAGGTACATGAAAACATGGTCATTTGATTGGTTTCATCTTTACTCTAACTCTTAGTAGATCAGCTCTGTATGTGCGCTTATTAATGCACACTGGCAGTTGACATCTGCTGCCTATCTATCCTCAGTAGACACGCACTTCAGGGACATTTCTACAATGATCTATGCTAGGTGTCTGTCTCATAAGCTCCGTAGATTTATCGTGTTTAGCCATACCGTTAATCCGTGGTAGTAGTAAGTTAAAAGCAACCAATGTTTTCAGATTCGTGGCCGGACAGGCTCCTTTTCTGGATTTTGTGTCAGTCATTAGGACCAACAAGCGCAAACCGACAGTCAGCTTCCTAGCTTAACACAACCACCCTGTTAACGAGCCACCCCCACATCCGAGCCACCATCGGTACCACCATCACTACTACTATCACCACTTATTTCACTCCCTCTTCCACCCACCCAGATACAACTTTCGGCTTTACTAGATAATTCAGATGCGCTGGATTTATTTAGACTATCTGTATCGCTGATATCCGTATTTTGTGCCTGCTGGATATGGGCTATTGTTGTGAAGGTGCTGTTAGGAGATGTTAGGACCTTTTTCCTTTTGCCCTTGTGCTAGTTATTTAGACAAGCCTATAGATCGCTAGCTTATTACTTTATAATTACTAGTCTAGATATTTACTTATTATATTCCTTTTATAGCTTTTTAGATAAGTAATAGATAATATAAGTATTTAAGGTATTTTTATTTAGCTAGTTAAATAGATATAATTAATACTATAAATTAGTAAAGTAATAAAAGGTTAATTATAAAATAATAAATATTACTTTATTTTATTATTAACTACTGCTTTATTAACTAATTAGTTAACTAAATAATACTTTTAATACTAAGGAGTTAAATAAAAAGTACTATATAAATATTAGCTATAACTTAGCCTATTTTTAGCTAAACTTTATATTCTAAATTATTATTATTACTTTATATATATTAAAATAATAATCTAAAAATACCTTTTTATTAGTAATAATTAAATTACTTATCTAATTACTTAAACTTTTAACTTTTTTTTAATATACTTATTTTAATAAGCTAAAAACTAATATATTTAAAGGCTAAAGGATAATAAAAGAATATAGTAATAAAAATAGTAAATAAATATAATACTAGAAGTATTATTATATAAAGTCTATTATTATATAACTATAATAGTTATTTAGAATTAGTAACCTAGCCTTATTTAGTTAACTAAGTATAGTCTCTAGAATAAAGACCTTTTTTAGCTACTTAAAAGTAATTTAGTTATTTATTTAGCTATTATTTAATACTATAAAATACTAGCTAATATATTTAAATAAGTTAAATAATAAAAACTACTAAGCTTAAATTAACTTATCCTTATATATAATAAAAAGAAATAAAAAGGTCTTAGTAGTAAATATATACTTAATTAGTAATATTTATACTTTAAATTTAGGCTATTTTTTCTAAATATATTATAATACTATAAAGCCTAGTATTAGTTTATTACTTTTTTTGCTTTTTATAATACTAGTCTTATTTATATTCTATTAGTTAAATAAATAAATACTCTTAATTACTAATAAATTTAAATAATTAAATTATTTTTAAATAATATTTATAATATAAGCTTTATATTACTTAAAATTAATTAATTAGTATCTTTAAGTCTTAATTAATAAGTATTACTATAAGAATTAAGCTATTTATTTTTTCTTTAGAGGTTACTAAGTATTACTTATTATATACTTTACTAGGCCCTTTACTTACTAATAAGTAAAGGTACTGCTTAGGGTAGCTTAGGTAGATATATAAGTAGCTAGATTAGCCTCTTATGACTATAATAATCGCTGATAATTAACCTACGTAGTATTTCTGTTTTGCTTACTGTGCAGCCGATGCTGAAGGGTCTGGTATAGTATACCCTAGTTACGAGCAGCCTGGCGGATAAGGCAGCCATCTGCTACGTCTACAAGGGCTTGTTGGAGCTCAAACTCAGTGTATTACTTCATGGTGTAATAGAGAAGGTATCCCAAAAAGATGGCGTTATTTGGCAACAAATAGCAATTGTTGCGATAGTTTGAAAAAAGGGATGTTCTTAACGATGCAGCAATTTCGGATGGCTCGGATGTGGGGGTGGCTCTCTTGTGGGGTGGGTGGGTTAGATCACAACAGGTACACATACATATGGGGCAAAAAAACAAGGTGGGGGGGTTTTTTTTTTGGGGGGGGGGGTGGGGGTGTTAGCCATACTACAGCGCGTTCGACGTTCGGATTGAAAGTCGGCAGAAGTGAGTTGTCCGCACGCGCACACACCAACTTCCCCTCCGTTCTAAGACCAATTTGCCGCCCTATGAGATTCCACCTTGAGCGAGCGGTGGGCCTTAATTTAAAACCTTAACATTCCCTTACTACCACCTATCAACAGCCGCGAAAATCACATGGATCAGGTGTTCCGCACGTGTGGGGGGCGGAGATGCCGCTGTTAGAGTAAGGCAGAATCACTGGTGGGTCCATGCTTACGGGCCAATCGAATTTACTACACTAATAGTACATTTAATCATATTAACATACACCACTCGGATTTGCAGGATGGAAACGTTAAGGTGCCTTGGTAGAACTTTTTAAGACTTAGCCACTCTTGCCACACATGTAGGAGACACATGCTGAAACATACTAGGACAGGGTGTGTGGAATAGTGCCGATAGTGTAATGTAGTAGTCTTTTCTAACCGCAAACGCAGTGAGAGAGAGGCATGAGCTTATTCTCGGAGAGATCCTCGATACTTTCAATACCATTTAGAGACTGCATTAGACAAGCAGACGTGTCACTGAAGTGACGAGAACGGGCAATTGTGTGCTCCAAACAAGGCATTCTTATGAGCATTAGGCCAAATGTTGCGGGTGCTAATATTCCTGTTCTCCTTTCCGGGTTTCACTCCCTCCCATAGACCCCCTTTGCTCATAAATAACTGAAGCCTTGGTTGCTATGTGTATTCTCTGGTGTCGGTTTCCCTGTAGGAATTCTGGGGCCATGGTTTAAACCGCTAACATGATCGGCTGAGAATGGATATCCGACCGTAGACCTTGCTTGAGCGGTCATTGGCAGTTGATGGGATGGGGTTGCTCGATCTAATAGTGTCAGACAAGGAAATCCAAGACAGTCCGAATTCAGACTAACGCCGCCTCCTGTTCGTGTTCTTCCTCGCCTTCGCCGACTTGCTGATATCACGCGGACGTACGCGTTGGGCCCACCAATCCTTGAGATTCAATTTGCGCTTGCTCTATCTCAGCTCCCTGTTGCTTGACGTCTGTTCTAGCTACGTTCGGGTACTTGCTTTACAATTCCGCCTTCCAATGTGTTTTGCAGACGACAGGTATCACCAGCGTCCTCTAGCGAGTGAATACACTTGTATAAGTTTGAGGTTGGGTGCCCGATAATGGTGGTCCTGGGGAGAGTTGTATTGAAGACAAAGAGTACCTCAATAAAGCTCAGGGGCCCAAGTACGGCTGATAGTATCAGCTCAACCTTGCCGATTCTGCCGGCTAATCTTTGGGAGATGGAATACCAAAAAAAGCATGTGAACACTCCTTGAATCTGCCCAACCCCTATTTATTCCTTGTCGCATGTACTGTGCCGATGTCAATCCGCTAGGATGGCATATACCTGATGGGGCTGACTCTGGCGAAAGCGGGAACAGCTCGTGAGAAGCCCCGTGCCCCTGACGTTTCGCACTTTTCTCGGAGATATTGCAGAAGTCAGCCTTGCGATTTTGGGGATACCAAGGTTTTATCATCTGCTTCAGTAAATGTGTTTCCTGATTGACATGCCGGAATTCAACGCGCCTCCTCAAGCGCCCATTGGGGACATCTCGTTTAGTTTCCCAACATGAAAGCTTAGGGATTTAACAGGTATATTGATTACCTATCGATTGAATCCTGCCATCCCCTTTTGGTGGTTCCCGATGCACACAGCATCGCATGACTGTATATTGGTATGCATTAGGACTGTACCTATAGTCTGGTGCTAGATAGTCTGTTACACCTCATCCAGACGATGCAAAATCTCGAAGAGCGATTCCTAACATGCAGGCATACATGCGATGAAGAAATAAATGCTATATCAGATTGAAATACTGAGCGAATACAGCCTGTAGCTTATGATGGCAAATCATTTTTCTATTTCAGTATGGAAACATGTCTAAATATTCTTCAATCTCCAGATGCCTAATTTTGGTACTTTGCTGCTGATATAGTGCGTTTGATGTAGTGTGAATCCTTCTGTATATCATATTCACTGAGCAATAGCGCAGTCCAGTGTTGTAACATGACGAGGTATGTAGCTGATCATATCGGGTAGGCCGGCTCACAGAAGAATTGCAGCCGCTACGGCAACCACAGCCACCTCGATTTTGTGGCCCATCAGGTTGGCAGCGTTGGTAGAAGTAGGCGTCGAGGAAGCTGTGACGGTGGCCTTCCCGGCAGCCGCCGTGATAATGCTTGAGGCAGACGAAACAGCATCAGCCCCTGACGACTGTTTGTAGACATCGCAAATCGATCCGATGATTTCTACTGCCTCTGAATAGGATAGGATAAACTCAAGTTAGTTTCTTCCCTTTACCCCGAAGAAAATAGGGGGGTTAAGGGGAGTGATTCACTTACGGGAGGCTTCCTTGTCCGAACAGTCGTTGTTGCGAATGCAGATACCCATTTTGACGACTAGCTCGCCGTCTATCTCGCACAAACAACTGAAATTTCCAGCAGCGCAGCCGATCTCTGAATTGACTTTGTTCCAGCATGGCGCAACACACGAAGGGAGCTGGGAGGCGAGAGAAGGCAGCGCGGTAGGCAGAGCAGACGTGGCAGTTGCGGTAGTGGTTGCTGCACCGGCAGTAGCTGCAAGCATGCCAGAGAGTACAATAAGAGACGAACGACACATGATAGCGAATATGAAGCTTAAAGGACTTAGTCAAAAGAGTGACAGAAAATGGTAGCAGAGTGTAAGAAATGTGGTGAGATAATAGCCAGGAAGAAATTTGTAACTGAGCAATGGGTATTTGTTGGGTCTAGAGGGTTAGGATATATAGGTTATGAAGGAGCTGCGAAGATCTCCGGAAGCGGGGGAGAGTTTTGATGCCTTCAGTATAGACCTCCCAGCCCCATCATTCTACACCACTGTTACCTCCGAAACCCGTAAGAGCCCTTGCGGGGCACGAGCCGGCTGCCGGCTTCACAGACTGGACGCCGCGTTCTTAATGGACCGCAGTACCGGCTAGACATAGTGGGACAGTTTTGTCCGGTTACTAGCAAGGGTACAGCCCCTGACAACAGACTTTTCTTAACCTGAGTATTCACCGTCACTAGTCGTAAGGATCCCTGTGGGAACACTGCCCCGATATGCGTTTCCCAGCACTAGCGTGCATGTAATAAGACGGGGATATGAAGTTTCTTCGGAATTCTCGTCCTCTTTCTCAGGGTCGTCTCCTTCTGTCCCTGAAATCGAGACTTGTTCTTTTTGACTGTACTTTGTATCTAATTTTGCGTGTCTCCTACACTTCCTGCCAACGAACCCCCTCTCCCAAATAGTCGTCCCATGATGCATACCATGCATACCATGCATCCCTTCTCTCTTCTCTCTAATGGTATTTACTCTCCTCACGCAATTAGCCTGTCTGAACCTCACGGACAAATGGTTATCTAATGTGCGTAGCTAATTTTTTAAACAGATGGCCCACCACAGGCCTTGACGTCGATGGGTTTAGAGAGCCCGCATAATGTCCAGGGCGGATTCCGAGGATTGAGAGCTCGAAGGAGAAATCGATGGTGGGTATACCTGGGCATCTTTGGTGGATGGCTAGTTACCTTTGCGATCGTTTTCGCCTTGTACGTCTGTCTTGTTTTCTACTCGGAAGTGCTCCCCATCATGTCCCAAATGACAAAGCGGGAAGTCAATGCCATCATAACTGGCTTGTCTATTGCGCTTAGTATTTCTGTGCTGAAAGGGCTTAACGACTTTGTGGTCACACTTCGATGGTGGATATTGAGCCGTCGCTATCACTCGTTGCGGAAGGTACGTCGAGTATTTTCAGGCCCCTAAACCCATTGAGACTGACCGGTGACCCAAGGTCAATTTGATCCTGCAAGCAGAGAGTGTCAGCTGCATCATTAAGCTCGCAGTACGGACAAGTCGCCTAAGCGTCCACACCGCTGCTTTGATATGGTTGTGTCTAATCCTGGTATGTTCATACATCTTCCTCCATACATACTACTTTTCCCCCCTCTCTTCTTCCCTAGAAACGGATTCGCAAGCAGTGTTTAGATGCTCATGTGCTTGGATGATAACTAGGCGGTTCAAGTCGCGCTGGCGCTACTTGGACTATGTTACTCCGTCGAGATACACGATTCCTTAGCAATGGTAGTACAGGAGGGGAAAATATCGATACCCATCATGTCCAGCATACAAACAACGAAGATGGTTCAAAGTAACACTGATTCTCTCAAGTCTCAAGAATATACTGCAAACAGGCTCGTCTTTTACCCCCTCCCCCAAGGCCTTCAAACGGCCACGAACGAATACTAACCTGCTCCAGCTACGGTCAGCTCTCCCTTGCCTTCGATACTGCGTTGGTTGAGAAGATCCCAACTGTTGGGTCTATATGGACACCTTCCGATCCCCTCATGTTCTGCGACGAAACACACTGCGAATACGTTTTTCACGAGACATCGGCCTTGCCTATAGAAGATAACAAGAATGATGACGATGACTACAATGACTCCAGTCAAGTAGGAAGCCTTGTCGTTACCACCGATCGAACCCTTAACTCTTCAGCAGTGTGTCGTAGCTGGTACGTGACAAGCGGTGGGAACGGAACCGAAGACAGAATCAGTATCGAAACCAAGGGGGATGGGACTGTGGAGGAGGTCTTCATACCTATTCGAGGTGGCGTCAACCAGACCACCTTCATGACCAACACCTCGGAAAGCTGTGGGGCTGGTTGCAGAACTGTCGCCGCTTTCGAAGCTGCAGAGGATAAGCCGTGGTATTACCGTTGTAACGTTACCGTTGGCCGCGTCGGAAACGCCACCAGGCCGGAGCACGAGGTCTCCGAAAGTCTTAGATCTATGGCCGCCGCTGCCATTTCACTACAGGGCATCGGAGTCTCGTCTTTGGAAGTAGACGACATGCAGTACCAGGTATACCCGTCTGAGTCTGCCTTTGGTCTGCCAAAAATGGGATCCAATGATTTGATGGCGTTGAATATGGCACGATTCGCTATAGGAACGATAGCTATGTGTGCACAAGGCAACGAACCCTTGGTGGTCGATGGTTTCGCCGCCATAAAGGGTTCTCACTTGGTCATTGACCACTGGGACTATGCTAACTTGATTTTGGTTTCGGTTACGTTGGCACAGCTTGTGTTGGGGGTTGCGACTGCAATCTTCGCCGGGCGGGTTGTGGTACCGGAGGGGGGACCTATCGCTATGGCACGAGTGTTGTCGCCCGTCGCCAACAAACTACAAAACAGTGGGAAGGGTGATTTATTGCTTGCAGCGGAGGGACAGGGCAGTCTTTGGATCTACAAGGCTGTGAAGTCAGCAGAAGAGGGCATTTATGATCTGTTTATGGAGGAGATGATTCACCCGGAAAGCAAAAGAGAGGGTGTTGACATGTCTTAGCTCTGTATGTATTTGTAAAGTGTCTTCTGGGGTTGAGAAACCCGTCGTCTGATTGCCCCATTGTCAGTCACATAATACCGCTGTGCGTCAACGTCAAGTTTGAAACCTGCACTCCGCAGCACCAGGACGGTTTTCTGCTCCGGAGGATTTTGCAAAGTGATATGTATCGGAAGATCGCTGACACAAGCAGAGCTCGACATCAAACGGTGCTCTGAGTCCTCTGGCTTTCGAGGAGAGGTCACTTTTCAAGAAGAACAAAGGGAGAAGATCATTCGATCTGCGTCTAGAGAACCTTATTCAGGTAGTGATATCAATGACCATTCATTCCAGAGCAATACCTATATCATGTTGGGCCCATGTGGCTAGTCAGAGCGTGTCAGACACCGCCCACTCCTATTAATCCACCACCACTGGCGGAAGAGTCGGTCGGCTATATCTGCCACATGGGAAATTCGCGATGCAAATCCTTGGGCCTCGATGTTTTTAATAGCGTGAAGAGTCTCTGTTTCCTCTTAATAGTTCAATTTAGAACAATTAGGCATTATATCGTGGTAGGGCGCGTTTTCCTTCCATTCGGTTGGATAGGTTTGGTCGCGGGACATTGTAGACACCGACAAGTGCAGCGATACTTTATTTTGGGCTGTTTTGAAAGCTTACACTGCGGGAATAATACGGCAGTCTTCAAGAAAGTTTTCTGTTCTTGATGATGAAGAAAAAGATAGTTTAGTCGTTGGATGCGTGCGGTGCAATTTGGGTGACGGCTCGTATGGGAAGTACGTCATTTCTAAACATTACTGTAAAAGCTAGGTAGTTGCTTTGAACAAAGACTTTTGATTAGTTAATTTCACTTGAACGATACGGCAATGTGACTTCTCTCCCTCGTTATTGACGTGAGCGTTGATCCTATCAAAGTCCTCCTGCAGAATCCTCTCCCACGGCGGCCACGGCTGATTTCTGTACCCTAGGCGCTCGTATGCGCCGAGCAGACTCTCCGAACGTCCCAGGATGATACTTGTCACCCACCGCTGGCCGTTAGGGTACTTATTTGTGTGCTCCCACCAGTACCCTACGATCATCACCCATACCGTCACGGGCGGGTTCAGCTCGACGCTGCCAATGTCCCTAACACGGTACGCCGCTTTGCCAAGCCCGTGGGCAAAATCCCTGCTCATGGTGCGGATTGGCCTCGGCGCTAGGTGCGTGTCACCCACCGACTTTCGCGAGGAACAGCGTCTCTGGCTGACCATGGAGGAATATGGCGCTGGGTTGTTGTAGTTGAACAGGTCACTGCCGTCGTAGGGCAGATGAGTCTCAAGGGTAGCCTCGATCAGAGGCGCTTCCATGTCATCCCAGGCGTCGACAACCTGGCCGAAGACAGGGTTGCTTTGGCGCGTGACCTCAGCGTCGAGGACCTGGAAGACGTAGAAGCCCTTTGCGGCGATCGAGTTATCGTTGTAGAAGACGTTGTCCGCCAAGCTGGCCCAGGAGAAGGACGGGGCGCGCCAGAGGCGCGTCGCCTCCCACTGGAGGCTCTCGAACATGTGGCGCTCGCAGCACATGTCATGGATGAAATTATTGCGCCACAGGCCGGCTATGTGCCGTGAGCCGGTGATGTCGGCAACGTGACCGGCCACGGTCGAGATGGCGGGCAGTTTATCCCCCTCAAAGGTGAGGCGGCGCTAGGAGAACTCCATGACCTGCCTGTATCAGAGCAAATACGCCTTCTTGGCTGTGTCGAGCGTGATGAGCGGGGTGAAGGGGTGGTTGGGGGAGCTCGTGTGGCCGCCCTCGCAAGCCTGCAGGGCCTGGCACGACCACTGCAGCTCTGTGCGCGAAAAGACGAGGATGCGCGTGGCCAGGAGGCGTTTCTGGAGGGGTCAGACGCGGTAGTCGAGGGAGTCGCGCGCGCTGTAGAAGGACTGCAGGTCCTCGTGAAGGCCGATGGTCGGGACAGCGCGGGTGCGCACGCGCACGGGCTGGCAGGGGTGGGCGTCGCGGATGACGAACGGTTCTGGGCGTCGCATTCTCTCATCGTCCTCTTCATCGCCGAGGAAGGAGTCCTGGCAGATACCGGTGGCGGCGGCGGCGATGACGACGCTCGCGTTCTTGTAAACCCAGGACATGCGCGGGAACTGGTGCTCCCAGTCGTCCTGGATGATGCACAGGCTGTAGACCCAGAGGTGGTTGACGCTGAGGCGCGGGGCGATGATGGCGACGTCCCGCAAGCAGCGCGGTAGGTGACCTAGATTGATCGAGTCCATTTGTGCCGTGATGTTGGCACGTAGTGTACGGATGTCCTTGTCGCCGCCCAGCAGTAGCTCAGTACAATGTAGGGCACGGGCTCGTCGGGGTGGATGATGTGGCCGCCCTTGTCAGTGAGTCCGATGAGCCTCTTTTGGCATAGACTCGTGATTGATATTGTCCTGGCAGTCTTTCATCTGGCGGGCCATGAAGTCCATGGTAGCTTCTGAGCGGGGAGTGGCTGGGACCTTGAGGAGCGGATGGAGGTGCTTGACTGTGCTGTCAGCCTCGGTAGTGTACAGCTCGAAGGAGCAGGCGTCTTTGCCAATGAGTGAGAGACTTGGGTTCTGATGGTCCTCGAACCAGATTGTCATCTTGTCCCAGTCGAAGACCAGCTTGTAGGCGGCGACGAGCAGCACGGCGCAGCGGTAGCAGTCATCGCGGCGACGCTGCAACTCGGCCGGCGTCTGATTCTCGAGGGCCACAACGTGGATGCCAAAAGTGTCGCTGAGGACAAAATCGAGCACGTGGAGCGGCCCCTGGGGTCAAAGTCGTGGCATGCTGAGCAGTAGTCGTCGGGGGTCGCCGTGACCATGGGGTCGGTGCGACGGTCTTAAGGCTACATTGTATCAAGTGAAATCAGAGAATGGTGGGTAATTCAAACCAACATACTCTCAGCGTCTCTCGTCGGACATTTGCGGCAGTTTTCAATGGTCCAGGAGGCTGGAAGCAGGCAGACTTGACAAGGGGAAAAATGACATCGTGCTATATAGAAACGGGGTCATCCTCTCGGACGCATGGAAGGATGTCTTGAGGGAATCAAACGATTTCGCTGGCCTATCTGGCTGAGCCCCTGGTAAATGTCCAACTTTGGAAAGGCACATGATCTAAATGCGCAACCCATCTAGATCACGAAAATGTGGCGAAAAGTCGCACTCTCACCTCCGACTGGAAGAAGTGTGATGTGTGGGCTTCTCGTTGGCCCGCTGACAGACAACCGCAACACAAGTGTAGAAAACAGCGGTTGGCAGCTTGACGGCTGGAGAGGTGGTATTTCTGGTTTGATGTTGTCTAGAGCTCTGGAAGCTTCCCTGTGTGGCATGAAATGCCGGATAAGAGATGTTTGTTGCTGCTGTTCCCATTCTTGAAAGTCCATATATACTGAACGTGTGCTTAATTAACAAGTCAGGATGGGTCACATAGTGACCACGGATTCAGCTGGTGAACTGATAAAGAAATTCAGCCTCACGACGTAACAGTAAGTACAGAACTTTTACATCTCTGTGCCAATGATTGCTGCTCATGCCTACAAGACAATTTCCCCAGTCGAAGCAAAACCCTCTCAATATTAAACCGTACTCCCACCAGAATCCTATCTTCATCTTGCATATCTTCGCCTCCAAATTCATCATTGTCCGGGTCAAGGCAGGTCAGGCATGTCAGGACCACCAAGGAGTATTTGTCTCCCATCCGCATAGGCAACCGAGACTTTGCTAACTCGACCAGCTTTTCCTTGGTCTTCAGCGTCTGAGTGGGGTTTTCCGTTTGAAATTCAAAGTCGCTAAGCCTTAGCCCCAGGCCGCTCCCTGGAACCATGCTACAATGCATCTTATTAGAGTCTTATATTAAACGAATGTTTCCCATAAACCCAATTCTAGCAGACAAATTCCGAGGCTGTATAGCGTCATGTTGCATAATATAGTCCTCTAACGCCCGAATTCCTTGACGGCTTGGGTGTCGGTAGAGGTTGCGCTCCCACGCGTCGTCCCTGCTTTCAGTGTGTGGAAGTTGACGCTGCGGAAGGAGTCGAACCAGAGAAGAAAGGCTGAGACGAGATCCGATCCCGTGGCGGGATCTGAAAACACAAGAATAGTCTCGGGGCGTATATTTTTGTGGACGAAATCGAATGTGTGGACGTACCTCACGGCTCGAGCCAACTGTGTCGCGATGTTCAAAACTTGGGTCAAGCTGAACGCGCGCTCTTGCAGGAGATGATGACGTAAACTGACGGGGGTTACTTCCGTCATCGCAGGAGACAACTGGAAAGCTAGGTTTATCGAGGCAATCTGTCGAGTTTGCGGGTCGATTCTTTTGATTACTCCTTTACAAGGGAGGAGGCCAAATTCAACCATATCATCCCTCTTGAGCTTCTTGGCGAGATGATCTGCGTCATTTCTCAATCGGCCGATGTCGTAGCCCGAGTCACAGATAATAGTATCGACGACCAGCATCTTCTTAGAGCTCTGCCGTTTTACCAAAGTCGTGCTTGTATACTGTATTTCCTGAGTTCCGGCCCAGTCTAAACCAGCCTCCGGCAATGATATGTGCATGTCAGACATGCCGTTGCCTTTGAGGCTGGCACGTAAGCTTTGAGCTGACACAAGTGTCGAGTTTGGCAATGGCGAGACTGAGGCCGTTTGCGACGATGGAGCAGAGCACTCTGCGGCTCTCTGTTGACCAAATAGCTCTTGGTCGATGAATTTGCTCTCCATACGAAGGATCAGGTACCAAGAAGGATCGAAATTTTTCTGCCATTGCTGAAGATCTGAAATTGAATCGTCAATGGTTTCGCGAACTCGAGCATACTTAAACTTCCTGACGCCTGGCTTCGAGCCACTTCGAAGTACCGACTCGATCTTGGATATAGCAATAGAGAGTTTGCTATAAAGTCTCTCGAGGACCCTTATATAGATTTCACAATGTTCTTCCTCTAGCGTATGAAGGACTCTTTTCAAAAAGTTGACCTGCAGAGTGGTTTTGCTCCAGATAGCCTCTACGATGTCAACCTTCTCCTGTATAGCATCACTAGCGTCTCTGGTGTCTTTGCATACAGACAGCAGCTTTTTTCCATATCTGAAACGCAGAAGCCAGCATAGGTACAAGCGGAAAAGGAGACAGCTGTGATTTCAGCCATGATACGTGGCCGACGAGGCTACGAACTTCAGACAAAGGTCAGCAGCCGAAACAGCCGCAAGCGCTAGTTCCACCGACATTTCTAAATTAATGAACGCGGACTGATCTTGAAGCCTAACAGATGATACTCCGTTGCGAAGAGCTTTTTGAATTGACTTGAACAAAAGTCTGAGGTAGGAAGAATGGGCCTACAGAACTTGGTAATAAGCGAGACTGGTGTGGCTGAGCCAAGCTGGTGCACGTCAAAATGGATGGATTGGCTCAAAAAGTACCACGCATGCATGAGTCCTGTGATCAAGAAGGCTTGGTAATGAGCTAAAGAGCCGGCAACAACCATCTACTATCACATAGCCACTTCAACTCAGCCCTCGACAGACGATGACTGTCGGGCTCTAACCCCAAGGTTGAGAAGTTTCTGCAACGATTGTAGACGTCAGTCTAAAGATTTTCTCCACCAGGTACTACCTTTGACGACTAGGAAACTATCAGGTGTCAGCAGATGTCCTTTCCTAGAAGCGACCTCCTCCTCCAAGCCCCGCACGACCCACCATGTCGCTCCCGTCAGACCTAGTCCTAGAATCAAAACTCGAAACCGCATTCTCGTCGAAATACACCCAGCACGCATATTACAAGCGCGGGAAATCTGGCGAAGAGCGAAGGATAAAAGTGAAGGAGCGATGGAAACGACAGAGGCGGCTGGGCCAAGGTGCCTACGGCACGGTTTGGCTAGAAACATGCACTTGACCTGCGAAGAAAGATGGACCAACAGTCGGGGCGGTAAAAGAAATCCCGACTGAGCCACGAAGAGACGATGCCATCAACTACCTACGAGAGTTAGAGGCTGTCATGAAATTCTCCCAAGCGCGGGTAAGCCTTACGTTTAAGATCTTCAAAGGCATCAGTACTTGCCCTAATGCTAACATTTATTGGCTACTATAGTACGTTTCGTCGTTCGTTCATTCGTTCGGCTGGTTCGAAAGTCCAGATGCCACATTTATCGCCATGGAATATGTGGAAAACGGGGATCTCCAGAAATACCTCACTCGCCCAATTACTGAAGAAGAGGCCACAACGTTCACTTATCAATTAGCCGACGGGCTTAACTGTATGCATCAAAACGGCTTTGCACACCGGGATCTCAAACCAGGGGTACGTGGGAATCTGAACATCATATGCATCTCCAATTCACACCCTGAACAGAATATCCTTGTCGTGTCGAAAGGCCCGCAATGGCTAGTACAAATATCTGACTTTGGCATCAGCAAACGCCTGCGACCGCAACAGGCTACTCTTGGGACCATGCGGATGACAACTCTAGATTTCATCTCTCCCGAGATGCTGGGTTTTGTGTCCGATAGAGACTATCCTTACGCTGTCAAAATATATGGTCGCTTGGGACAGTCATCTTCCTGATGCTGACGAATGAATTGTTCCTAGCAGATCTGAATCTGATTAGGGATCATGCCGTTGATGCGGGTTCCTTTCCTGCAGGAAGGCTGGCGCCCTTCCAGACTACGCAGTCCATGATAGACCTCTTGGGGCAGCTGTTGGCTCCAACCCCCAACAAGCGACCTTCTGCCTCCAAAGTCATGCACCATGACTGTCTGCTAGACGTCGCGGGCCATGGCGACAAAAGCGAGTGCGATGATCATAGCAGTTCAAGTCAGACTGACTCCGAGAACAATAGTTCCGGGGAAGAGATCAGGGACCTCCCTTCAGCGGCCTGGAGCACAGATATCGTGTCAGGAAGGCCGGCCACAACCCCCAATCAGATGACCGAATACTGCAGGAAAAAAAGCTCCACAACCTCCTGGAGCGTGCTGTCAATCGAGGTCACAACCAAAATCCAATCGTTGGAACTAGTAAAATCAGGAAAGAACAAGCTGGTGGCAAAGTAGAGATCGCCGAGGCTCGACCTATGAGAGGTACACAGGGAACGCCCGAATCCCCGTCACCCGTTCCTGAATCATTCGTCGAGGGGAACAGTATCGAATCGTCACCAACTTCTGCTCCGAAGTTGTTCGAGCAGGTAAAGGCCGAATAATTGTCTGGTTTAACTCAATACATATTCGAAGTGGAAGAGCCCGAATCAACACAATTTCCTAGCCTGTTTGTCTTTGGGATGGAAAAGCATGAAGTGTCAACGTTCCCTCAGTCTTTTACTAAGAGAGAAAACGCCGAGCCAATATCGACCGTTTCTTATGTTTCTCATCATTCATTTGGGAGGGAAAAGTTCGAACCATTGCATTCTCAGTTTCAATATTCCTTCGACAAGGAAACGTCTAGAACGCCACCAGACGATTTTCAGTTACCCTTTGACAAGGAAATGCCCGAAACATTACATTATCAACCTCAGTTTTACTTTGACAAGGAAATATCTAGAGCACCACAAGACAATTTCCAGTTTCCTATCAAGAGGAATAGACCTGAATCAGCCCCAACAACTCCTCGATCTCGACTTCTAGTTCAGAGGGAAATGCCCAAATCAGCACCAACTGTTCATCAATATGTCTTCGAGAAGGAAGAACACGAAGGAATACCGACCTTAGACGAATGGATATTCCGAGGGCCAGGACGACCCTGCCCCGACCGCAGCAGTGTTCACGAAAACCCTTTCCTACCGCGTCCGATTGCAAATGCTTCTTCAAAAGCAAAGCGTTCTGATGCCACTCCTGATATTCGCCCCCCTGGGCCCAGGCCAATGCCGGAGAGGACCGTGCAACGCCGTGATTCTTGGTCCTCAAACGGAACATACATCTCCATCTCGTCAGTGTACACCTCCCCTGACCCGAACGCCTTGAAATCCCCCCAGGAACCCCAAAAAGCCGATGGTTTTGATTCACCCCCAAAAATACATCCTAGCGTGGCAAGCGTCCGTTTCGCACGGCCATTTGGATCGAGGCATCCCTAAGTACGTAGAGTACCTGCGAAAGAACGGGCGCGGGATGCACCCCACACAAACAATTACGAACGTGGCTGTCAAACGTTGCTCCTATCTGTGTTTGAGCTTGAAGGTATGGCTCGACGTCTCTCTGAAAAGTCCGAGTCCGCATAATTCTCAGGAGATCTATCGCATAGAGCACCTCGATACTACATTTGATCTTGTGAAGATATGCAAGTGGTTCATGGAATGGGACGAAATGTACAGGGAAACGCATATGAACCCCGTCAACATATATTTCTTGGATTTTCCGGGTCTCGTAACAACCCTCTTGTCCTTGCATAATGCTATCACCAGCCTGCGAGTCTATTTGGCCTTCATGGGTGCAAATCCAAATTCGATTCAAGGTTGCAATGGACTCTTGCGACTCTTATCAAAGGGACAGGCGTTTGCGAGAATGTTTTGGTCCTTTATCCAGGACGGAGGAAAGACGCTGGCGAGAATGAAGGTAAGTAGCAAAGACATATTGGAAGTAGGCAGGGTACTCCTCATGGTGTTATTCGAAGAGAAATCGATGAAGGATTTCATATATGACGTTGAGAAATCCATTGAAGAGTACGAAAAAAAATGTATTTAAACTTACTCCCAGTAGGGAGGTATATGTCAGTAATTGAGAAGCAAGGGGAACTGGAACTACAGCCACGTCTAATAGAGTGCTGAGGCATTTTCATTTCCGGAGCATGTACGCATAGAAAGATTAGTTCCTGAGTACCCAAGTTTGCAGACTAACTATGATATTGTTCAGTCGACTTGATTCATATGCGAAGCTCCCACTCTTGGGTTTACTCTTCCTATCATCGTCTTCGTCGCTCCTTACATCCTTCTTAAAGCCAACAATGTGGCATACTGCTTGTAGAACACAAACAGCACAAGCTCAGATCAAAATGAAGAAAAAAGTCTGAGAATCTCTCCGTCAGCTAAAGGTGTAGCATACATCATGGCCATAACTTCATGGCACATAGATGACGATATTTGCATGCAGGAAGAGTGTGCTGCCATGAAGTCAAGGCACCGATGTAGACCAGGCGTTTCAATGTCACCCGCGATATGTAAAAGCAAGCAGGAAAAAGGTTGGTCACGGATATATCGGTAGGGTTACACCTCTCCATGATTCAGGTTGTCGCATCATAATACAGGTGGGTCCAAGTTTGCGTGTTCGTCGGAATAGTACACAGCCAGCTTACCCACTGAAAACTCTTAATAGCCACAGTGTATCAGTCAAACTCTTAGGAAACTCTAATAGAAGGTTGCCTATATCATGTACAACTAATGATCGAAATAGCCACTAGTTGGCTAATTGAGTTGTAAGGCGATGGGGGTTCATTAATTAGAAGAAGCAATAGACTTTACTGGCAGTTTCTATTCTGGGAGTTTCATGATTCTGAAAGCCTTATGGCCATACTTTCTCTGAATCTATATAAGCTGGAGAACCCCTCGAACCTCAATTAGGCGCCCCAAAAACTAATCACGCTTACCCACTTCCGATTTTCCGTCTGAATCCTACGATCACCTTAGCGCTTGAAATTCGATACCACGCTTCCCATCACGTTGAAGACCACTCTTATAGGCGTCATTGTCGTTGAAATAGTCAATGCCCAAGACCCAGGTTCAGCTTGCAAAAAGCTCAACGATTATACATGTCCGGTGTAAATATGTTGGAATGCAAGGTGGGCTCGGAGGGAATGTGGATATGGAACCTCGAAGGCTACTGCGCGTACTATCAGAGTTGTTATTTCAACTCTGATGGCAACTTTGATTGCAAGAACAACACCGATAGCGCTGTCTGAAGCTACTGTGCGTAAAGCAATCGACGACTCAAAACAACGCCATAGACGAGCGCCCACTGCGCCTCGAGAGAACATGCCGAGATTAGGCAAAGACAACGTCTTATACAATCTTTATGAAAGCGATCTGGGGGCCTGGCTCTAGACAATTGTATTCGTATCGAGCACAAGTTTACGCACATACATAGCTCCTACTATTCGTGTTCATGTTGATGAACTTTCCACAGTTCACCTAGTACAAGGCAATTAGTACGTAAAGAGCTCATCTACGTAAATTTGAATCTTTGCCACTATTGTGTTTATAAATATTCACAAATGTACAAAAGGAGAGCTGTTCGTCTTCACAGCTTTGATCTCTTTTTCTCCCTCTCAGTCTCTGCAAGGAACCTCTTAGTCAACTGACGAATAGCCAGATCAAGCAAAACATCCTCACTCCCACCAGGTGTGCGCGCGCCTGGCACTTCGCGATAGATCTCTGAATCGAGACCATTAGCTCTATGAAGTGAAAAAGCAATGAAGACTGGAACGTGGTGACTTACTTTCTGCAATCTCTCCTTTTCCAGTGCGAGTGTATCCGTTGCCTCCAAAGAGCAGAACAGCGCATCTTGCACATTCATCCAGCACGATTCCAGCATTGGCTTTGCACAAGGATGTCAACCCGCCAAGCTCCTCGTCCGCAGTCTCCTTGGGCATCTTTGACAATTGATACGCAAACGATTCAACCCAAGCGGATTGCGACTCAAGCAATGCTCCGCATTTTGCCAGACGATGACGCACAACTGGTTGCTCAATGAGGGGCTTGCCGAATGCTGTCAGTACAGTCCTTCAAGTCCTTCGAGGGAAAACAAAAGTAGTCACTCACTTTTCCGAATGCTTCGCGTTGAAGTACATACTCAAACGCTGAGCTCAGCGCTACTCTGGCCTGCCTTGTCACACCCACTGAGATAAACATACGCTCATGGTTGAAGTTGTGCATGATGTACTTCATGCCTTCGTTCTCACGGCCGATGAGATTCTCTCGCGGTACGTGAACGTCGGCCAACTCGATAAAGGAGGTGCCCGCAATGATTTGCCCAGAGACCTTGAGACGCCTTCTAGATATTCCAGGCTGCCTCAGAGGTACCATCAAGAGTGAAATACCCTTGGCTCCTGAGCCTTCACCACCGGTTCGGACTGCCAAAGTCGCGTAGTCCGCCATTACACCGTTGGTGATCCATTTTTTGGTTCCGCTTACGATGTATCCGTTACCATTCAGCTCCGCAGTAGTGGTGATGTTAGCTACGTCTGATCCGGCGCTGCGATAATTGGAGCAAGAAGTTAGCTCCATTTCAAGAGGACATTAGTGTTGGTGGCACGGAACCCTAACTTACTCGGGCTCTGTAATCGCGATACAGGTTCTTTTGCGTCCAAGCAAAAGGTCTGGGAGGAACCTTTCTTGTAACTTGGGCTCGGCGTAGTGTAGCAAAGGCGGAATCCCAAACGCGACGCCAGTCGTGATGGACCCTCCAGGGCCAGCTAGCCCGGATCGACTCATCTAAATAATGTGGTTAGTCGTGCACTTTCACTAGCAAATAAGTTGAAACCGTCCGTACCTCATCAGCGTAGATCATTGTGTGCAAATAATCCCATTCATCAATTGGTACCTGCCCTGGCATGTGGGTAATGCCTAGCTTTCGCAGCCACTCAACAGGCAAAGGTGCTGGCAGTGCCGGAAGAAGAAAGTTGCCCTCAGCGAACGTCCTGAACACATCGGGTGGTATCTCTTCAGATGTTTCCCATTCAAGGGCATTTTTGTTTAATTTTTCGTCGATAAAAATACGGCATGCAACTTGGAACCTCCTGTGTGAATCATTGAAGTAAGGTGAGGGTAGGCCTCTGAGCCACGACGGCTCTGCGAAGGGAACGCGAGACATGACTTATTTATGCACCTTCGCAGAGTAATTAACAATTCTTTGAGAAAGGCCCTTGATAGTTCCGTGAAAACTGCCAAAAGATCTGTTGCGGTAACTCAAACAGAGACGTTCGGATAATTACTGTGTATCACAGCTACGCTGCCTCGACCACCTCGGCATGAAGTGCGGGGCTCTTCCACTCCGGCTAAGACCGAGGTCGCTAAGCCGGCTCATGCGGCGACCCATTTTCTGTTTCCGCCCCGATCCCGCGTTGGTGGCAGCTGCAGCTAAGTGTTGTTAGTATCTTTGAAGCCCATAACGATGAAGAAAGTAGGAATTACGTACCCTCATACAACCGCACATAAGATCTTCCAACAAGGACCAAAATGCTCAACTGCCTAAGCGAGGCACAATCTCCCTTGAACCATCCAAGTCCGACTTTAACCAAGCCTATTACTTCTCGAAACGACAACCAATATCGTCATCACAGTTGTACCGAGCCCCGACAACTGTATGCCCAGGCAGCTGCCAGTGGCTTCAAGAAGAGCACCCAGGGCAGGTAACCCGGCCAGCGAATTAGGTGCATTCGTCGTGGACAACTTGCCCAGCTACGTTCCAAGTAATTAAAGCTGCAGCACGAGAGTCGTGCTACGGTAGGCGGCAGCAAGATGAGAACGTCAAAGGCAAACCCGTAAGCGACAGCAAATGCCACGCTACCTGCGCCGTTACTTATAGCCAGTCAGCACGTTGCGAAAGTGGCAACGGAGACGAAGACAGCGAGAAGAGCGTTAACTAGCCCCAAGAGGCCGGCCAACCATGCGGGGAAACCCCTTGCCAAAGATGGAGCCTGCGTGAAGGATTGCCCTTACACGTATTTAATGGATTCGACAGCGACCAAGTCTGCTACCAGGACCAGCATTGAATAAAGAAGAAGTGCTCTGGAATACATTCAAAAAAATCTTCTTCTTCAATAAGAACTAACGAGATGCCAACAGGACATTGCGGCCGTTGCAGATTGTTCGGACGAGCCAGATTATTTGAGATATTGGCAGATAGGCACAAATGGGAATGCAGTTACATTCACGGGATCAGCCGAGGTGCGCGGTGCAGTCCTCGAAAGCTAGTCGAGTGACTGCGTCCACTAGTCATCTCCGTGTTCCTAAGGGGCTGTCATGATTTTGCCGAGATATAAAAGTAGAATTGCTTGCTAGAGCAATGGCCGCTCAACTGCAGAGTGACTACCCGAGAGAGGGCGTTCGGGATGGTCATAGGTAGTTTGCAATTTGGGCGGACTGCAGCGAGGCTGACATCGTACGAGCGGCGTGCAGGATTTAGGTAAGACAGTTGTGCGTGTGCGGCACATTTTTAGACAAAACAAGTGACTTGACATTGCCACATTCAGAACCGTTGCAGCCAGGAACGTTCAGTACCACTATATAAGAGGAATGAGTTCCCAACAAATGAGTTGAATTATGACCACCAAACCACATCCCCATAAATATATCAGCATCAATCAGAGAATACCAGCTCCTACCGAACCGTAATTTCATTGCTCTTCCATTAAACGCCACCTTCAAAATGATTGTGGAAACTCTCGTTAAGGCTACTATCTTCGCCGTCGCAGCTATGGCGGCTAATGTTCCCGTTAGAGACACGGATACTTCCATCGGCTTCCGCCTCTGGGCCAACATGACCTACCCCGATGCCCCACCGGAGTTTGGCCCTTATGTTCAGGGTCAAGAGCTCAGCCACATCCCTAAAGCTGAGTGCCTGGCTGAAGTGGTTCTTGTACACGCCGGCCATGGGTCCATCTTCCGCACCAATGGCGACACTGTTGGCGTTGCCCACCTCGGTAACGACTCCTCCCCCTTTGCCGGAATGGTCATCACCCCTGGCGGTACTGCAACGGTACCGTCCGAAAACACCGTGGAACTGAAGTGCTCGGGCGGAACTCGGGGAGTCTTTCTCACGGCCGACGGCCTGGAATATCCAAAGGAAGGCGGCCCAAAGGGCAAAGGGGGCCGGCGGATATATGGTGTGCAAAAGGGAGAACGCCTTGGTTTTGAGCTTCTTTAGGTGGGGCCAGAGACCACTTATGGGTTGCACGGTCGTTCAGCTTCTTCCCATCTACTAAGGGATTGTATTGTGCTATTCGTCTGATTCCATAGGGGTTCGGTCCAGTTGTCAATATCTAAATCGTGGTACCAAGCATAGCACGGCCATCCTAGTGTGTTTTGGAACGGAGCAGGGTTTTTTGCTCCCATTAAAGTAATCTTCACGTTGCTTTCTTGTGTTTCTTAGCTAAGCAGGGTTTGATCAGGGGTATAGAAACCTTTTTAGCATAGGTGCAGACCAGCCATACAATGCGATATCTTTTTCTACCTGGTTGAAAATTCATGTTCTCTGCTTTTGAAACAATAGCTTATGTAACAAAACAAAGAACCAAAGTGGCGTCGATTAGCGACCCAAGGGCTAGGCATTGCGTATTTGTGGTTGTGATAGCCCTTCCGTAGCCGTAGCTACAGCCTCAATGTAGCTGTAGTTTATGAGGCTATCCAGACATGCAGTCGGATGATCTGTTTGGCCAAATGTGCAAAGTAAACAAATTTCTTCCGCAGACTTTGGGCCTAGTACTTGACGGGATATAAACAGAAGTTGCAGGAGGTGTGCTTTGTTCCACTTGTTAATAATATCTAAAGAGAGATTTCTGGCTCCCGTTTGTTGATGTTTCATTCCCGGTGGCATTGGTTATTACTGCTAACTTTTGCAGCTATGCGGCAGTGCTCGAATGCTCGAAAGTATGCGGTAAACCGGCACCTAGTGGATGTCATGTCTGATGTCAGACATGGTTTTTCATTCCGACGCATGTTGGTAATGGAAACCGCAAAGGGACAAAAGGGCGACAAAAAACCATGAGCTGAAGGATTTTCGGGCCGTCTAACTCGCACCAAATCATGTGTATTTAATCAAGTCGTAGTCTTGAGTGGCTGCAATGATCATAAAAATGTCGGTTCAGGGCTTGGTGATGACCACGCAGGGCAAACGATCCGTGCAATGCGGAGCTCGTGCGAGTGGAGAACAACAATATTGATACCCGCAGCAGGGCAAGGGAGGCATGTCTGATATCCTTCTCTCTGCTTTGGCCCCTCGACCACAAATCTAGGTATGCCACGAAGACAATCAACCAGGATTCTGAAACGGAGCAATTGACCAGACATGGGTACGCAGCATCGCCAGAGAAGAGACGTGAGTGAAGAACGCCTCCTGCGGGGTTGAGCTAAGCTTTGGGGCTCTTCGCTGTCTCTGATGTGTCTTTGGCAGACTTTCTCGGTAGCCATACGTCAGGGGCGCCCAGATTCCAGTCTCAGCGCCTAACGCGTCGATGACGAGTGCTACTTCTCAGTCCGTGATCTAGAAGTTCTAAGGAATGCTGTAGAATGAGGCCAGCCAGACATCAAACGGCCCGCGGGTTTCCCAGATGTCTGCTAAATGTGTCGCCATGCATCGATACGCGCGGCATTGTTCGCTAGGGTCAGCGGAGGCATGAGGCGTCACCTCCGCACATAGTCCAACATTCTAGGGGTGACAATTAACGACAACACGGCACCAAATGCCGAACTTTACCTTACGACTGAGAATACCCTTTTGAATGCGGACTCCATTTTTGGAGTAGCGTGTATGATCTGAGACATTATTCCGTAAGGGAAGCTAAGTGTTCGCTGAGGCTTCTATCAATGTTTTCATATTGAGCCTGATTTATGGCCCGAAGGTGTTCACGTTTATCGAGTACCTATGTAGTCTCTACAAGAGTCTATGAGTAGTGGCAGACGTAAGAACAGGGAGCCAAGATGTATCACGTAGTCTCATCAATGTGAAGTGCTGATCAGAGGATGGAAGCGATAGGCTTGTTACCAAGATCATGGAAGATGTCTTCCTTCGAATGTTGGTTTCATACGTCATAATCTGGTTGCAGGACAATTTGAGAGACTGACTGTTGCCACTCCTTTCTCGGAAAGATATCGGAACCTCTTCAAATATGCAATCCATCCCTTTTGCCGGTTTCCGAGATGCCAGGAAAATAAAGTGCCTTCCATCCAGGCCTCTCTGCTCACCCTAGTCCCACCTTTCGACGGACCATCTGGAACCACAGATGCCGAGTGAAACCTTCCGCATTCCCATGAGATGACGGTCAACGGCGGCAGCGGATATAAACATATAAAAGGAGGACATTTCCACCAGGTTTGTATATTTCTTTTGCTCGTCACACTACCAACAAACAAGACAGCCATCCAATAGCTCTTGTGCTCAGTCGGTTTTGTCTCGTAGACCACATTTCACTCTTTTTTCTTCCCGTGGTCTCTGTCACTCGTTATTCATTGTCACTCATTTCAAAATGCCCTCCTTCAAGGCTACCACTGCTTTTATGCTATTCTTGGCAGCTTCGCCATTGTGTAACGCTATTCAACTGCCCACGACGACAACTTCCACGTCAACTGACACTTCGACGACCACTTAGCTCTTGTGCTCAGTCGGTTTTGTCTCGTAGACCACATTTCACTCTTTTTTCTTCCCGTGGTCTCTGTCACTCGTTATTCATTGTCACTCATTTCAAAATGCCCTCCTTCAAGGCTACCACTGCTTTTATGCTATTCTTGGCAGCTTCGCCATTGTGTAACGCTATTCAACTGCCCACGACGACAACTTCCACGTCAACTGACACTTCGACGACCACTTCTGCAACCTTGTCTTCATCCAGCACTTCGACTGCACCGTCGACCACGCTTTCGACTACCACGTCTTCATCTGGCTTATCGACTGCCCTACCGACTTTGTTGTCAACTGCCTCGTCTTCTAGCTCGACTTCTCTTTCGACGACCCTATCCACGACCCTCTCGAAGACCCAGACACCTTCTACTTCCACTGTCGGGTCGTTGTCTACCGGGTCATCGTCGTCCAGTAGCTCCACCTCGGGCACGTCAACTAGCCGCACAATCACTCTCTCGACAGCGTCTACTAGTTCCACTAGCACTGGCTCTAGCATCAGCTCCACGAGCACGAGCAGCATTTCTTCTTCGACCACCTCTCACAGTTTGTCAACCGTTTATAGCAGCACGGCGTCTTCAAGCACCTCTTTAACTTCTACCTTCTCTTCCTCTGCCTCTGCGACGGCAATCCCGAACCTTCCGACCGTTGGTGGCGCGTCTCTGCTGGGATGTTTCGTCTCATCGGCGGGCTTCCCCACCTTCAACCTTGCTCTCTCTGATGCGTCGATGACCCTTGAACTGTGTGTGAGCACTTGCACGAGCGGAAACAGATTGTACGCCGGAGTCTCTGGCGTCGGGTGCTACTGTGGTGGTAATGTGGAGGCTGCCTCAACCACTCTGGTCAGCGAGAACCAGTGCAACATTGTCTGTCCCGGCAACAACACTGAGCGCTGCGGTGGCCTTGGTGGTCTTACGAAACGTCAGATCGCCGCGAATATTCGCTTGACCATCTACGTCGACGGCGGCATTGTCCCAAGCCTGAGCTCTAGCTCCAGCTCGACTTCTGCTTCTGGTGGTCTTATGCTTCCTACCAACGGCACTACCATCGCAGTTCCTACAGTGACAGCCACATTGACGACTACATTTACCGCTACTGTCACCACCTGCCCTCCTGGCGTCTCTGACTGCGTCATCGGATCTCTCACCACTAGCGTCACCACCGTGACGACGACCTACTGCCCTGAGACTGCAGTTCCAACTCCCTGCCCATGCGCCAATGGCGAATGCTACGACCTTCCCTGCTTCGGCCAAGAATGCAACCAGAATGTGATGTGCTACGGAGACTACGTCAGCTACAGCTCCCAGTGCTCCTGTGCAGCGGACCGGCGCCGTCTTGTCTGTGAGGATGGAGTCTGCCACCCCGAGACCTGCAGCGGAGACGATTGCGGCCGCAAGATCATCTGCGAGAACGGAAACTGCCAGTACTCCCAGTGCCAGGGTGACGAGTGCACCCAGGAGAAGATAACCTGCTACGGCGATGTCTGCAGAACTGAGGCATGCCAGGGAGACGAGTGCGATATGAAATACGTCTGCACCGACGGCACCTGCGAACACCAACCCTGCCCGGCCAGTGAGGTCAACAACATGTATGAGTGTGCCGGTGACCAGTGCAATCTCGTCACGCCCTGCGAAGGCGCCAGCTGCCCCATGCCCAACCCACCAAACGCATCTCAACAACCTTCTGTCGGATCTCCTCAGGCCTCCGGTGCACCCTCTCCAGCACAGCACGCTTCGCCCAGTACTGTCGTTGCAGCTTCCCCAAGTGCGCCTACTGCCAACGCTTCCGGCGTAGCTCAAGGCCAAGACCAGGCCAATCCAGGACAGCAGCAACCCACGGCCAATCCTGGAGCTCCAGGCACGACACAACCCGCATCCGTGGTCACTGCCGATTCAAACAAGCCCCTCATTCCGTGCAGCTTCATCACGTTGGCTATGGGTGTTGTTGCCGGCGTGTGCTTCTTGCTCTAAGTTTGAGTATAACTTGACGAAACCATTTCTTTTCTCATTTTCTTTCAGAGTCTTTTATTTTACCAGAGTCCCTGTGTGTATGCTTCTTGGCTCTTCTGCAAACAAGTATTGTACTTTTAGACTTCTGAGTTTGGAGGTTGACTTAGGGTCCAGACAGCGGTATTATCATTCTTCGACGAGCTCTGCGCAGTTACGAGCTCCTCTACTAATAGGGAAGCGACCTTGAGCTGCTTCGCCGTATATTTAAGAGTATTGATGAGTTTTTGAGGTGTGATGGAATACAATAGATCAGACGAATTCAAATCTTTCGCTTCAATTTTGTTCTTTCCAAGTAATAGTGTCCTAGCGTCTCCCTTTGTGTGACACAGTCGAAGACATGGCCCTTTGCAAACACCTAGCGAAGAGCGAATCTTTGGGTCGTACACCTTCCTCAATCAACTTCCACTTATCAATCAGCCTGCTTTTCACCTCGATCGCTCTCCTTAAATCCGAAACTTGAGCATAAGAGGCTTTGTGCCTCGAGATTTGTTCTATCCTGTGAGGTCTGCTTTCTGGTACCTCAAATGCAGTTAGCTTAATAGTCACACCACCCCCACATGCATTATAAGCAAGCCAGATCCAATAGGAGAACTACATAATAGGCCAATAGGGGGATGATGATAGCAACTTGCACACCAGCCAGTCAATACATCCACACTCGTCACACGCCTGTATCATTGGCGCGATAAGGGAGCTGTCGGCAAGCCACGAACCAGTGGGAATTCCAGATGTGATGGCAGCCTAGAACGTGGGACGCCTTATTGCATACTCCAAAGTCGCGACTATATCTTTGGCCGCCTTGTCTTATGTCTCGACCTTTGCATTTCTAATGTTAGTCCGGTTCTCCATCCTCCATCAACCTCCATTATCGCAAAGACCTTGCGCGCATTCTAGCAGGCCAGATTTTGCCCAACCAGCCATGTTCAAAGGATGTTGCAGTAGATCACGTTCGACATCGCACTTAGTACCTCACCCATCACATATCACACAACATGTCAATATCGAGATTGCAGGCTTCTTTAGCTCAAGCGACAAACGAAATCACTGTTGCAGCAGCTAGTATCAATTTCGACTTTTGTTTAGTGAAGTATGAAGCCCCAAAGGAATACCAACCAATCGGCAAGCTGCTCTCGGCCAGCAGGAAGCAAGATGCAGAACAGGGGAAGAGTCACGTTACAGCACGTCGTTTAGCGGCGCTTTTTCGAGGCGTTTGCCCTGAAACTCCCAACTTGATCAAGGCGTATGGAAAGAGAGTTTCTGAAATTTCAAAGCAAGCAACGGACCTAGAGTCCAAGAATTACTCTGCAGCGGTATTTGGATCATACGCAGGAATTGATGCGACATCAATATGGGCGTCTGCAACCTCGTCAGAGGATTGCAAGGCGGGTGCCATTCACGTTCATCTGTTGGCCTGTCTCCTAGCAGCAATATTCGGCGCAGCAGAGGCCACTTCCATCTGGGTGGAACTTGTGGAAGGGCAAAGAAATGCAATAGCTCGATCTTGGGAGCGAGGCGAAGAAGAAATCCTATTTTCGACGACAGCGGCAGCAGCGCAACAAGAAATCTCAAGAATTCAACTCGCAGAATGGGACGCAAGCGCACGAGCCTGGCTGCAAACCGCTGACGCGATTATGATCAAGCAGCAAACGCAATTGAGACTGATTCTCAAGAATATCAATCTCTCTATAGAAACAGACCAGATGGTGTTTCCCGGTGTAATCGAGGCCTGGAAGAAAACCCTTATCACAGTCGAGCGTTTAGTGTCTGGCATCCCGCAAGAAGTTCAAGACGGATCAGCAATTCTCGGGCTTGCAGCCTGGCACATTTATCCTGACATCGACTTTTTCGGCAGCCAGAACGTCCAAGTACTGATGCAAGACAATTTAGTTGCCGCGGGAGGGATTCTATCTCTTGGATGCTCTCCTTCCGCCCTGACCCCCACAAGTGGTGTCTCATGGTCCTTATCCTTGGCACAGCTGAAATATTATGGCCAGCCTGTTAGAACAAAAGGTCAATTCCAACCGGATCCCGCCCGTATAACCTTTCAAGAGTTGATGTTGGTCACACTGGGCTCCATACTTTCCTGCTGGAACGTGCCCGTAGACCCCTCCCAAACATCGGAAGCAATTAGGATCATCGGTTTCCTAGCGCGGAATGCGCTACATGGTGTTCTGAAACCCACAAACACTACTTCGTCTGCCAATGTAACCACTGGGAACATGGAGCTAGCATACTCGCTGATCATGGAAGCGACCATGAAATATTTTGCCGATGGGCATGAATCTCTGATATTCATCAATCTTGGGAGGAGCCGAACGCAATTTCTGCCCACCCAAGGACGCTCCAGCAAGACAGCAAGTGTTGGTTCAGGGAACTCTAGAGAAACTTACATCCGCCCTTTCTTGGGTCTCGAAAATATTTCGATACTCGTCAGTCACCTCCGGGACGGGGATGGGAGAGTGGAACTACTTCGGCGGCTGGCGAAGAGAATCCAAGGTCTTCAGAATCATCGATGCATCATTCAGTACACGGATGAAGCTCGCCGGGACGAAAAAGTTTACAATTACGCTACTGTCTTAGTAAGAGAAGCAAAGTCTCCTGAGGACGATCATCCATCTCTCGCAAAGAGGTTTTCCAGTACCCACTCTCGATGGCTTCATCCCGATATGATGGAACAAGTTATAAAAGGTGAAACCATCCATGAGAACACCGACTATTCGAAATACAAGCCTTTAAGCTATTCGACCCTCACATGTGTGCGCATGCCCCACACAGAAGAAGCATTGGAGTTGAGTCTTTGGTATGGGAATCCGGATTTCGCTGCCATCTACGTTCACTGGGATCCACAGTTTCCTCGTCCTTCTGCACCAAAAATCACACCCGAAGACATTTTATGGTGTCTGGAGCATGATATGGTATCCCCAGATGTGCTGAGTAGCAACCGAGGAAACATCGTCTTGCGAACCCTGGAGTGTCTGGCCGTAGCCAATGCTAGCGCCTTTGAGTCTATACCAGGACCAGTTATTCACGTCCAATTGTTGAGTAAGCCAATCGTTGGCGCTGCTTGCATGTCGGAAATCTTCAATCATACCCACCCTGATCAAGCCAGTCGGAAGACATCAGCATTTAGTCAGACGATCTCGATTCTGTCTTACCTCGTAGCAACTCACGATATTTTGCCATCTAAGATTCCAGCGACCGCTGTTGGTATCTCAATTGGTGACTCGATATTTGTTCCAAAAAAGGTGTGTGTTTCACGTTCGGATTGAGCAAAAGACTTGCGAACGTATGCTGACCGGATAAAAGCTTCTTTGTGATCCTCTAATCTCTGGCAATGCCAGTTCATTCACTCGCATCCTTGGGAACATTGGAAAACCCGGATTTGTCATGTTTTTCTCAGTCGAAAGCCCACTAACACCGCTGCAGGACGATGTGTTTTGGAGGTCATCAGACCCCCGCCCGTTTGACGGAACAGCAATTGACCTCTTCGGACACACGTCTATGCACCTCTCTTTCACAAATTGGGAACGTCCCCTTGAGGATTTCAGCTCCAGAGGTATCCAAGACGTTCAGATATCCTCAATGGAATGTGTTATTTCAATCCGAGAACGTGGTAAATGGATCGGCGACGTGGACGTGATTCCTGCTCTCAGGAGTCCTACCATTTACCATTTGCCATCGCAAAAGAAATGTGACCATTTGCGAACGGAGTCTCCCGGGGTTTACATGACTTCGGTCGAGGGTTGGGATGAGCTTCGGGAGTTTCCGCCTGGGAATGCAGTTGTGAGGGCTAGTGGGAATTGGCTAGCACGGCTAGCTGCTACTGCTTACCTCGCTCAGTGCGCCGAACGCGGCCTGGGAAACATTGACAGGATTACCTTGTGTCCTCCCTCTGTCTGCTGGAAATGTATGAGAGGCTATGTGGAGCAGTTCGCGAGGAACGTCTATATTTACTAAAAAGGTTGTGCCAAAATCGGATTCAAGGTAAATCTCACTGCAAACTTACGGTACTTGATTGGATAATCGATAAAATTAACGTATCTCGTATTGATGTACATGTCTCTTAAGCTTTCCAAGGGCTATGTTACCAGGATAGTGGTCCGATTGGATTTGCTGATCAATCAAATATATCATTCAATTAGGACCCGTAAGAGGAGTAAACAGCGCGGTATTCTCTAGAGAAGAATAGTGGACCGAAAAATGTGTGCTACTTATAACTCTTCACCCTGAGCACGTAGAAAAATGCATTTCTTCGTCATCGTAAATATCCTGTAAATCTAACGTCAAGAAGCACCATTTTCAGACCATCATGGTTTGTCAAAGGTCCAGTTTGACCCAGCTTCTCTTCTCGACAGTACAAAATGTTCCTCGTATTGTCGAGCAGAATGCTTGCTGCTTCTTGATTTATTCTGCGAACCTGAGCATAGCTCTATCGTTGTCTCATGTTAATAATTTCCATCACCTTTTAAAAATTTCGCGTTCACCTGACTTGTAGTGACAAAACGGTCTGTAACGAGTGTAAATCAGTATAAGTTACTCGAATATTGAGTATGTACCTGCTCAAAAAGCAGGAATTTCGATAACGGTCTTTAAGGAGTTTCATCACCACCCCCCCCCCCCCCCCCCCCCCCCCCCTTCCAAGCAAACCGGCAAAAGATTAACCAGTCTCAGAGTGTGAACTCACTGTTTACTGTTTCAGTGCCTGCTATTATCTTTATTAATCTAAGAGCACACTCTACTAATAGGCGGACCAGCGGTTAAATTGACTAGTGGGCTAGCTGCTGCCTGATACCTGTCAACTTTATCTACCCCCATGGCTCATCCCGTAGTTCACTAGCACTCCATAGCATAGAAGGCATTAGAGCCACCCCTTAAGTAAGCGGCGACCAAAACAATTAACAACAGGAGGCTACTGCTGCTGGTAGGGATTGTAGTGGTGGTAGATTTAGGAGTAGCTGTGGTCGTGATAGTATCAGTAGTAGTAATAGTAGTGATAGTGGTGGTGCCGGAACTAGGAGTAGTTGCGGGTGTGGTAACGTCAGGAACAGCAGTAGTCTTAGAAACTGAGCTACTAGTTGAGGTCGTAATTATGGGAGAAGAGCTGGGCGTGTTTGTAGATGTCGATACGGAACCGCGTCCAGAGTTCGAGATTTCCCTAGCAGGAGGCCTGTATATCGTCGATGATGTTGCCAATGAGCTGCTGGACGTCACAGTTGTAGCTGTTGCGTCCATCGGGAGTACCGAGGTGGACAACAAGGGAGTCAGGACAAGAGAAGTGCTCGAAGAAGAGCTGGAAGAAGGACCAAAAGGACTTGAGAATGTGCTGGAACCAAAGAATCCATGCTGCTTGTCAACGTGGGCAAAGTATCTTCAACGGTCTGTCCATTCACACATTGATCCGCTGTTCAGGTCAAGATACATCAGGGCATCTAGCCATTCATCAGTACCAACGAGGCGCTGAGCAGGCGCGCAACTTATATCTGTAAGCATAAAGAAAACTTGGCTGACGGTTGTCGGGTCTTGACGTAAACGTAATGAAGACCTTCCCATCAAGATCCTGGCAGAAGTTTGCTTGGCCACTTGGGATTCAGGGGTTTGTGAACCGAAGTATACCATCTAGATTTTCAAACGTGGTGGTGATGGCGTTGCTCGGCGATGTTCTTGACATCCAGAGCAACTTTAAGGCTCGCCAGGAATGTATAAGACAGGATTCCCAGAGTCCAAGAGCCTGCCGTCAGACAAGGCGAAGTTGCTGGCGCTGCTGCAGCTGTCACTGTTGGTGCCTACGCCCTGGCTGAGAAACCCTCCAAGAGCTCTCTTCTCCACATCTCTCTTGGTGCCACTAATGGCAGGGAAAGCGAAAAAAAATCACCGACAAGCCAGCTGGGCTACTAGAAAACGGATTAGATTTCAAAAAAGTGATGGTGGAGCCCGAAACCGTTGTTCCAGAGGAGAGGGTCGATCCTGAAGTTGCAGTGATGGACCCCGAAGCTGCTGTTCTTGAGGACGTCGAGCTGGGGATTTTGAAGGCCCTCGAGCGCTTGACGAGGTTAATGTGGACGATCTAGGTGATTCGAGTGGAAAAGGCAACGTAGCCGTACCCGAATTCAGAGATGTGCCAGACGAGCCTGGAAGGCTGGGAAAGGCCGGGCTCTTTAGCGAGAGGTCCTATCAGCTCGGGTCAATACAAGATCATCGTCCTGCTCAACTGGTCGAAAGGCAGCGCCGTCGCCAAGGTGTTCGAGAGCGGCAAAAAAATATGTGTTTTTTCATTTTTGCAATCAAGTAAATGTGTTGCCGATTATGGTACGACCGTTGTGTCGGCTCGGAACTGGGGATTAATTGGGATAGAAGTACGGGCCAGCGAGCGAGAACCGACAAGTTTTCCAGGGGTGACATTGTGTGAAACACTACTTTTAACGTGTCTAAGACCACCGAAAGGAATGGCGATGGCGATCAAGAATGTATCAGGGAGCGGCCCGGACGCGCCGTTGGATGGTACTCCGCAAGGGATATGTACAGATGCACATCCTTCAGCCACGACAGTTGGTATTTAACCCTGTGATCGAAGGTGTTGATCCGTAGGTATTGGCAATCGACCGGGGCCATTCGAATTATCAACTTCCCTTGCAATTCTTCGGCCCGCATCTTTGTACGAGCTTGAGGCAGAGTCCCGAGAACGCCACAACCAGTTACATAAAAGCTGGACAGATGGCATGCCAGGGCCACTTTAAGATTAACACTGTTTAACAAGATTCTGATAAATCTGCTTGGCAGTTCGCAGTATAAAGTGAAGTTCAGTGTGGACATGAGATTTAAATCAATCGCCATTAGCCATGTCTAATTTCCTCGACGTAGCTCACATATCTCGTCGAACGCGAGATCATGTGGATGGCGTCAACTTTTTCTATGTAATGGGTGACTCCAGTCTCTGGTATATAATTATCTGACCAGGTCCCATTGCCTTAGGAAATTCCTATCGTTACCATTATTTGTATCCTACACGATCGCTCAGCATCGTCCACTCTTTTGTCAAAACACACGGTTGAACAATACCCGAACTAAAAGGCCAGTGGCCGCTTTTGCAGCGCATTTCTCTTTGTCCACCACGCTCTTTACTCTATCCCATCCACATAATCTTTGTATTTATTGTTGAAAATCGAATTATGCGTAGGTATCTTGTCACCTTGGCGGCTGCCTTTGCCTTTAATACCGCTGCCATGGCCCAAGAAGTGAGCCTCGTTTACCGCACGGCCACCATCACCCAGTGCTTCACCGCAAGCACCCCTTCAATCTGTAACGGCTGTGCGCCTACCCCGGTGGTCTATCCACCGACCTTCGATGGAGGGCCCATCTGTGTTGAGATCCAGGCGCCACACTGTAGGAAATGCGGCTGTGACACTTGCGTCCAGACCCTTTCGTACACCACCACGTACGACGCCTTCTGCTCGACCGGTCTTTATAAGCAAGAATACGCTGTGACGGAGACTTATAGCGGCGTGGCAGTCAAGCCTACAATACCCTCCATGGATGTCCCGCTCGGCTTCACTTCCGGGATCGAGGTTTGTACCACGTGTGGTCCAACACCAGTGACTGCAACCATCACCCGTCCCATCACAGGTGTCTCTTGGGGTACCGCCATGCCGAAATCATCGCCGGGAGGGACCGGTACCCAAGGCGTCCCTAATGGATCCAATGGGTCTTCCCAACTTCCTCCTGGGCCGGAAGGCGGTGGCCCCGGGCACCAATCTGAGCCCGGCTCAGTCCCAGGGCCAGGTGCAAGTGGAAGCCAGGGTGTGGCACCTCCGGCTGTTTCAAACCCAGGATCGGCCCCTTCGTCTTGTAAGTGTCTCCTTCAAGTTACCATCTAGCCCAAAAGAATATATACAATTAAAAGCACAAGTCCTAACACGAAGCTTGCAGTTCCAGGTGCCACTCCAGCCAGTGTGGTAACAGCAGATTCTCAATCTATCTTCCACCTCACCATTGGCCACACCTTATTGCTTTTATCGGGACTCGCCATGACGGTTCTGTTCTTTAACGAGTACTTTAGCGTGATGTAGCCAGACTTGCGGCTTTGAACGAGATTGAGTGTTGGATGGAGGACACTACGGCCCCAGGGAGCAACTCTAGTGGACGTTGTATATTCTAATGCCGCCATGGAATTGACTAAGAGCGGGGCTCGCTCTCGTCACATTTCTTGGCTGAGGCTTTGCAACGACTTGGCTGATTATGTTGGAAAGTCATGGAACCTGCCATTGGTCATTCAATCTCCATGGTCGGTCCTGTAGCTTCGTAATTTTTGTCTCAACAAGAGGGCTTCGAGTGTAGTATTGAGACCATCTCTGTTATTCATCTGGGCCGAAGGATATAAGGCGTTGATTACTACCTGCAATTAATCGCATCATTTCTTTGGCACCTTTAAAGTCAAGTAACCTATCATTACACCACTATAGTCAATAACGCAGTATTATATAATCTCTTCTGTGTCTAACACCTAGACATTGGGTTCAATCTTGCAGGACGAAGCTGTGCTACTTAGGTTCCGATGAAATATACTTAATCGAAAGTAATAGTCGACTAGATTGGCTTCAAAATTTCTCAAATTGTGCAGGCACAAATCTTTGGGTGTGTGTCATGAACGTTATATCTTGTTGATAACTGCCTACAATGAACAGATTCATTTTTTAAATATTATCTAGTATTGACTGTGAATTGTTACAGCGACTGATATGGAACATTGAATTAGTCAATAGAAAAGGACCGTCCGTAGCTACGACGTCCCCGGGGTAAATAGCTATCAAGCCTCTCTTGCGTGCAGTGTCAGGACATTGCTAACACAAGATTTCAATGTGGCACGGTTTAATACTCGCGATTCTACGGTTCATATTATCAATCGGTGACGAGTTTACATGTTTCGTACTGACACCCACTGGCAGCCAAACGAGATATCATTATCCCTCAGAATGCCGTCGCCTTCTCCATATGTTCTGTCATTTTCCGGCAGTCGAGTCCGCACCACAGTTACCACTGGTATCTAACCATCACTTATCACTGTCAATAGCTGGCAAAATTGTCATAGTTTATAAATCGCTAATCTGTTCCGTTGAGAGCTGCGCGAATATTTGGCAGTAATTTTAAGTGACAAGCCCGTTTTGTGCAAACCTATTTGTGTTCGAGTATTTCGGTATGTGGCGTGAAGAGACACATGTCAGTGGTTGGTTAAGCATAGGCTAACGATTACGACTTTGGGTAACCAAAGACAGGCGTTGGTTTGGTGGAGGCTAGAATAAAATAGGCGGGGTACATTCTGCGCAGTGCGAAGATGTTTCTATATGTTTGCGATTTATATTAAATCAACGAATTGCCATCATCCCGTCTTCCAATTTTCCAGCCTGCTACCAGAATGGGTGCAGTTTCCTAGAATGACAGATGCATAGCTGACAAGGGTTTGATAAAAATGGAGAGTATGAATAGTGGCGCTATTAATAACACGCAACTTACAAGCGCGTCGCTATATTTAACCTATGAGTGGTGCGCTACTTCTTGGGCATCTTTACAAATGATAAAGACCGCACTCGATGGTTTACAGCAGCTACTGATTCCGGATTCGGAAGTGCGTTACGATTGTATCACTGAGGATCGCGAACAACCCAAATACATCTACGTGTCCCATCTTGAACTCAAAATAGTCAAACCACAGTCAAGATGGAAGAAGTCTAAATTTCTTGAATGGTTCATGGGAGGAAGACCTCGAGACGGTAGTGGATGGCTGGGACAGATCCGCCATCGCCCGGTTGTGCGGATCAATTGTGACATGGCATGTGTTCCGATAGTCAGACCGACGATGAAACTGCTCTGCTACGCCTTGATAGCGTTCGGCAGCCACAGAATTGCATTTGCTCAGATGCGGACATGCGATAGAAAGTTGAGAGCAGGGACTGTCCAGAAAGCGGTGTTCAATATGGCAGGATGCGCGGGGTGGCCGGCGAGGGGATCGAGGAAATCATGCGTCCCTTGGGGTCGGGGTCGTAGAACTACGAGGCCACAGTTATCGGTTTGGTTCTTCTCCGACCCCCACTCTTCGAAATGGTGGTTGGCGTCTGAATCAAGGAAGAAGTGGAAAATTTTGCCCATTGCAGGGTTTTGTCATCACCAAATTTGAGGGGGCGAACATCCCGTTGTATACAAATAGACAGAAGTCTGTCAAATTGAATAAAAGCTTGAAAATCATCTGGTATCATGATAGATATTCTACAGTCGTCGCTCATAAATCCATAATCATATCCTACACCACCCGCTCTCCCGCACTCCCCACCGAGGACCTGCCTCAAGTCCTCTCCTTGTGCTCGCCAAACGCCATCTCCTCGTCGTCCGAGCCCTTCTTGATCTTCTCGGCGACGCCTCTCCGGCGCAGCATATCCTCGACGTCGCCGGGCGCGACGACGCTGTTGCGCTTCATAATCTCCTCCTGCTCCTGGGCGAGGTACTTGAGTGGGCGCTTGGACGAGGTAGCATCCTTGTCCTTAAAGACAAAGATGTCGTGGTTCTCGGCGAAGAAGCGGTCGACGTCCTCGAGCGAGCGGTCCGCCGTCTCCGGGTAGAAGAGGTAGACGATGGGCACGAAAGAGAAGTTGAAGACGGTCCAGATGATGTAGAATTGCCAGCCGAGGGCGGTGATGCCGGGCGGGGTGATCTCGACGACCTGGGAATGGTGTTAGCGATCTGGTTCGTACTGAACATGCCAGAGAAGGAGGGACTTACCATGAAGTTGATGATCCAGTTCGTGGCGGTACCGAGCGCGGCGCCCTTTGTACGCATTGACAAACTGTTGATTTCGGTGGGGTACAGCCAGGGGACACCCTGCCAGCCGATGCCGAAGAAGACGTAGTACAGGAAGAAGAAGGCGATGGAAGCCTTGGCCCACTGGGCTTGGGTCTCGGGGGCAAGGCCGGCCATCTCGTTGTAGCGGATGCATATGGTGATGACGGCGTAGCAGACGAACTGGCCAAAGGCGGCATCTGTTTGGTGTCAGTGACTTGTTCCACCTCATGGTTGTCTCTCCTTATCTGGGAGAGAGGTCTCCAACTTACACATCATCATCTTTCTGCGGCCCCACCGCTCGACGTTGGGGATTCCGATCAGACTGAACAGCAGATAACTGACCGAGTTGCAAGCCGCCAGCAATCTCGCCAGGCTGTTGCTCAGACCCACAGAGTTGATGAGGACCAGGGGAGGTAGTAACTCGTGACGTTGATTCCGCTGAACTGCTGCATGGCCTGCGTGCCCATGCCGAGGATGAGGCGGCGCACGGTGCCGGTGCCGGCGGTCTCGCCGGTGCGGCCGCGGAGGAGGTCGGACCACGGAACGGCGTTCTCGCGCTCGTAGTTGACGGCCCACTGGATGTCCTTGGACTGGGTCTGGATGAAGGCGTCGTCGACGGGGCGGTCCTCGAGGTCCGCGAGGATCTGCTCGGCTTCGGGGACGCGTCCCTGGGCGATGAGCCAGCTAAAGTGGTGACGTTAGTCACATGTCCAAGGATGGTATTGGGTACAAAACCAGAAAGGACGTACCGAGGGGACTCTGGGAGCCAGGGGACGGTGCCGTAGAGGATGATGATGAACAAGAACTGGAAGGCGAGGGGCACGCGCCAGGCGACGGAGCCGGTGAGGAACGAGAAGCCAAAGGTCACCCAGTTACCTGTCAATGGTCAGCACACGTGCTCTCATGTCGGCGGGGGACGCAACGGGAGACTCACTCAGGGAGAAGCCAAAGATGTTCATAATCATCTCGATGACGATGAGCTTTCCTCGCCAGCTGGCCTTGCTGGTCTCACCCTGCCACACGGGCGCCGTGGAGGTGTTGATGCCGTTGCCGATGCCGGCGATGACGCGGCCGACGAACATCTGCGGCAGGCCAAAGGCGGCGGTCTGCAGGATGGCGCCGATGGACATGATGGTGGTGCCGACGAGGATGGTCTTCTTGCGGCCCAGCCTCTCGCCGATCCACATGGTGGAGATGGCGCCGAGGAAGCAGCCAATGTCGTAGATGGCCGTGACGGTGGACTGGAGCTTGTCGTTGCCGACGATGCCCATGGTCTCGAGAAAGTCGTCAGTGACGATGACGCCGCCAAAGACACCTTGGTCGTATCTGAGAGGTCGCGTGTCAGCCAATGGGACGATATGTGTCGGGTGAGATGGGATGGACATACCCGAAGAGTGTCATGTCTGTCGCGCAGGCGACGGTGACCCAGAATGTGAGCCATCCGCCCTTCAACCCAAACCAACCCATGATGAGATGAGATTAGGAGGTTAGTCGAGATGTGTACGTGTGTTGTGGATGTCGTGCGAGTGCGTGAAGAGAGCTGAGAGAAAGATTGTGTGTGGGGGGTGGTGTCTCGCCGACAAAATGTCCCGTGCGGTGTTGGTTTAAAACGGTATGCAAGATCTATCAAACCCCGTAACCCCAAAGATTGCAAAAGACCCTGATTAGACCAAAGGGCTCAAGCTCGTGTCGAAATGCGGCCACGGACGCACTCTATATAGATGGATGGCCAAGAGAGTCGGCAACCCATCAGCGCTGCCAATGCCGATGGCTACATCGCTCCCGCCCATCGTCCCGAGCCCAGTCGGCTCCCCCAGCCCGGGCCCCGGACACGCCGCTCAATCTGTCGCAAGTTTGCCCACACCCACTCCACGTGGGGACGAACGACGGGTGTGGATAACAGAACGATGTCATCGTCATGGTGCGGCGGTGTTAGGGGGAGGTACGTATGTCATTTTCTCCGACGACGGCGGGCTCTGCGTTGGCTGGCAATTATGTACAGTATGGCGCGCCGTCAGCTCGCTGCCAAGTTTATGTGCAGGTGCAGGAAACACGGCCGAAAACCGCGCCAGAAGGCCAAGGAAACTAACTGGACCAGGTCAAGGTCCAAGGAGCGGTGGCCGCCCGCTGGCACCAACATTCCATGTCCCTCAGGCCGGGCCGAAAGGGACGGACAAGGACAGGCGAGGCGAGGCCTGATCTGGAAGAGCGTTGGTGGGGAAAAGACTTGACAAAAGAGCAATGCATCATTGTTGGCGGGCACGCAGGGGTCACGAGAGTTTCGGGGTCGAGGCCGGCGTTCGTTGAGCATCCAGTCGTTGTTGGCGTTCGGCCCAAACAGCCACGACTCGACTCGTGTCAGGGGCGGTCATCTGCACCCCGCATACTCGATCACCGTTACGTACCGTGTGCGCGCGCACTCTCTCCCCTCCCTCCTTGTTGATGGTATGGTTGAGGTGATAAGAGATGGCGGGGGGTTGAGTGGGAGTGGGTAGAAAGAGCGGAAATCAAGGCGAAGGGGGACGAGAAAAGGAAAAATGGGGAATGGGGGTTTTTGCGAGATGGAGGACGCGGTCGAAGCTGACGTTGAATGAGCGGCGCTAGTGCCCTGTAGTGTATTAGTACGTACCTACTGTACGCTTTTCGCCGATGACGTCGTTGGTTCTCCACCGCGGCTCTGAAACGCGTGCCGGGGCCCTGGTTGTAGTCGAAGCTTAACCAGGTCGATCTCGGTGCTTAGCAGGGCGGGCTGCGACGCTAGGGCCGTTTCCGGCCATCGGTCGCCCGTCTGCACAAGAATGACCGTACTATACCTATACCTAGTACATAGACATAGTACATACTACTACACTAGTACCGGAACGCTAGGTATCGTGGCACCTCATCACTTCTTCTTCTCATCCAGAAGCGAGAAAGGAATTTCATGTACAAAAAAGTCTCACCCCAACTTGAATTGTCGTTGCTTGCCCCTGCTATCATTGGCCGCTCACCCTGAACTAGGTCCGTTTGGTCTTTTGTGTGTTTGCCCTCTTGGTCGAGGCAAACAACTTGGTCAGTTCACGTCAATCACCTCAACGGCAGGCAACGGACAGGACGATTGGGCCCCTTGGATCGCCATCTCTCCCCCCATCGCATCTTTGCATCTGCATTGCGTTTCCCCGAGGATGATTCCAGTGGGAACTGGGGAACACGGAGAGAGTCGCCAGAAAACCTGGACCTGAGGGCATATTCGGTCCGAATGCCAGCACCCGCAGTGATGCACTGTTGATGCGGGGAGTACTCCAGGCGCCACTTTTTCGCCTACCCAGCCTCTGTCAGTCTGATGTCGTCTCTCGTTTGAGGACCCCATCAAACTCTGTTGTCTGACGTTGGGACAGCTACGCGGTCAAGCAAGAGAAAGAACGAGGGGAAGAGAGAAAAGGGGATGGATTGTGGGGTGTGTTCCCACACGCACCGCTATAGCCGTCATCTCTCAGCGGCGGCGTTGAGGCTCTGCCGTAAAAGGGAACATGGCTGCTGGCGCGGCCGTTGGCTCGGAGAGTTTCCGGGGCCTCGGACGCTTGGGGACGGTGGGGGATGGTTGGCTGAGGTCTCAGCTTGACAGTCGCCGGCTTTTTATCTTTTATTATTATTTTTGGCGTGCCCTGCACGGCGGTATCGAGTGCGGCGCCTGGTTCAATCAACTTGATTCGGTAGAGCCGCCGAGGATGCGGCCGAACAATGCAGAAGCCCAGCGAACCCCCACGGTCTCGAACATCGTCGTTTCATTCAAAACATTATGGCTTTTTCCTTTTTTTTCTAAAACAACATCCCACGAGATTCGAAGAGGAGAGATTATTTCCCGTCGCCCCAAACTCCAGTGTGTCCCCCAGACGCCTGCTATTTCCCACAACAGCCCATTATACACACCCAAGCGAAACATGATTCGCAAGCAAAGCGACCGTCATTTGGTTCCGTCTGTACATAGTAGTCCCCGTCTGTAATCACCGTCCGTAGCCGTTCGTCCACCCCCACCTCACATCATGAGAAACTCCTCCACGCACTCGGCCGGCCCGATGAACGCGACATACCCGTCCGGCCGCACGACCACAATTCCCGCCCCGTTCTCGAACCCGTACCGCTTGTGCAGCACGCCGTCCGCGTCCCTGTACCCGCCCTCGCGGGCCGTCTCCCCGGCGTAGATCTTGACGACCCCGTACTCCTTGAACCGGCCGTCCGTCACGAGCTTCTCCTCCGCCTTGTCGAGGTTCTCCTCGTCCGCGTCGAGCCCCGCGAACAGGAAGACGGTGTGGTCCCGCGCGCTCGTCAGGCCGAGCAGCCACTTGCCCTTCTCGCCCTTCTCGTCCGTGATCTCGCCGTCCGGCGCCCGCCAGCCGCCCCGGACGGGGCCCTCGAACCCGATGGCCGTGCCGACGATGGAGCTGCGCCGGTACTTGATGGCCATCTGCGAGATGAAGGTGAAGAGCGCCAGCCGCCGCGGCTTGTTGCTCCAGATCCGCGGCACGATCCACGGCATCAGCGCGTTGCGCACGCAGGTGAAGAGCGTGTTCTGCGACGCCACCATGGTGAAGATGCGGTCCGTGCCCGTGAGCAGGTGCTGCCCGACGGGGTGCCGCTCCTCGTTGTACGTGTCGAGGAAGCTCTCCTCCTTTTCGCCGCGGATCACGGCCGCCATCTTCCACCCGAGGTTGATGGCGTCTTGAATGCCCGTGTTCATGCCCTGCCCGCCCGCCGGCGAGTGGATGTGCGCCGCGTCGCCCGCCAGCAACAGCCGCCCGTCGCGGTACCGGTTGACGCCGCGGCAGTTCCACCGGAAGCTCGTGAGCCACAGCGCCTCGTCGATTTTGAGCTTGCGGCCCATCATCTCCTCCATGAACTCCTCAAACTCCTCCACGTCCGGGTCGCCCTCGCGCTTGCTGCCCGACGCCCGCTCGCCCACCATGCGGAGCACGCCGTCCTTGAGCGGAAACGCCACCATGACGCGCCGCCCCAGGAACAGCGAGATGCGCTCGGCGTCGTAGTCGCCCCGCACCTTGGCGTCGCAGAGGATGTACTGCTGCGGGTACTGCGACCCCTCAAACGTCACGTCGGCGCTGTGCCGCACGATGCTGTGCGCCCCGTCGCACCCGACAATGTACTTGGCCCGCACGACCTCCCTCTTGGAGCCCGTCACGAGCGTGGCGCTCGCCCGCACGCCGTCCTGCTTGATGTCCTCGGCCGCGACGCCGCGCTCCACCTTGCCGCCGTACACGTCGAGCTGCCGGAGCATGGCCGCCTCGGTGTCGGCCTGCGAGATCCACAGCGGCAGCGGGAACTTTGTGTCCTCGATGCCGAGGTCGTCAAAGGTGCCCGTCACGAGGTGCCGCTTGTTGCAGTAGATGTTGACTCCGGGGCCCTCTGTGCCGTCGCTGAGCATGGACTCGGCGATGTGCGGGTGGCGATTGAGGAGCTCCTGCGAGCGGCACTGGACGGCCAGCGCGCGCGACTTGTCCGAGATGTCGGGGAGCTTGTCGATGATGCGGAAGGGGATGCTCTGCACCGACAGCTCGAGCGCGAGCGTGAGGCCGGTTGGGCCGGCGCCGATGATGAGGACGTCCGTGTTGCTCATTTTCGGCAGCGGCGGTGACTGTTTCTTGGTGGGCGACGGAGTCAGCGGTGTTTTTTCAGTAGGTGAATGCATTGGAATGATGTGGTTGTGATCTCTGGTTCATGTCGAGCAAACGACATCCCACCCCGGGACGAGGCGGGGGGACGCGTCAACTTAAATAATGAGCATGTTGCGTTGCCCTTTTCGTAGTCGTAAATGTTCCCTGCGGAGCGTTCAGGGACCTCGATATGCCTCAAAGGGCCTAGAGTTTCCATGCTCAACATCAGCTGAACGAGCCCATCGGGGCCTCGCCGTCATAAGCTCCGTGCTTCACCCACGGCGTACGTCACGCTCGTTTCCCGAAAGGACGAAGTATGATCCCGTGGGCGGCAAAGTAAGACGGCGCAACGTCAACGACGGAAAATGCAGGACTGGCTGCGCAGCGCCCGGGCGACCGTGGTGTTGAGTTGAGCATGTTTTTTGACCGGACAAACTGTCACTTTGGGTAAGAGGATTGCGCTGTGCCTGGCTTGGCTGAGCAGCATTATCCTATCTGGGAACCGGGTGCGCTCGCACCGAGTTGACGTAGCTGAGTTGGCGGCGGACGGCGGAGGCATAGCTAGGCTTCATGGTGCAAAGAGTCACGTGTGAGGTCGGCGGTCGGGCGTCAAAGCCCCCGACGTCTCCGATAAGTTTGTTGCCAGGCCGAATATGCAAGCCAAGCAAGAATCCTGCCCGCTCACTAACAGGGTTTGGCGATGATTGCCTGGAGGGACATAATCGTTGTTCCTCGGGCAATGCAGGAAAAACAAAAAATGCCCATTGTGGATACAGAAATAGCACTCGTTTACTTTGCGAGCTCGTTAAAGCGGAAAGAAGAGTAATTATGCCTTTGAGGCTTTGCTGGCGCTGTTTCAAGATGCATTTAACCAGAGGTTGTTCTGTAACCCTTGTTTGTTGGGGGGCAGGAATGCGTCTGATGTTTTTTTGCAGAGTCAAACCCGACAAACTCCAAATCTTGGGATCCGGGGCCACAGAGTTTCCTGCTGAGTTGGCCGCCTGCCACTGCACTCCATGGATGAACACTTCCCCAGGATCGCGCTCGGCTCTGACGCTGGCTTCGATGCTCAAACGCTCTTTTAGCGTCCAAAGGTTCGATTTTATGGCTCAATGCAGGTTGATGCTGGATGCATGGTCGTGCACCCCCAGTTTCTTCGCAGTTTCTTCGCCGTCTTTCCGATTGCCTAATTCGAACAGCTGCGTGACATGCCATTGGCCAGTTTTTTAGCTCGACCGGCTTGTGTGGCACCGCAGTCTGCAGAACAGTTCCCTTTACCGGCGGTTGGCTGTAAAGGGCTAGATCAATTTTTACAATGCAATTCTTAACGATGATGAACTGCAGCCACAATTTTATCGATACGGCTAGTTCGAGGATACTGTTTAACGTCTTGTCAAATCGTGAAATGAATTTAGCGACTTATTCACAACGAGTCGACAGCGTTGTATCGGTGCACAAACTTATGCAGTGTCCTTGGCCTGCCATCCTGATGCAGCTACTTTTCTAACCAATCCATCACATGAAAAGATATTCGTCGTTGGCAATTTGGCGACATTCCTCCGCAATCAGCCTGCGTCTTCTCTCTCCTTCAACAATCTACTTCTTCATCATTACCGTGCTATTACCTAGATTGTCATACAATAAAGTGCTCAAACTAAAACTAATATGCTGTAATCTATTAGACTAAAGCTAGTCCCTACTATGGTTCATTTTTACGTCTATCGTAGTGTACACGCTATCCTACATTTGGGTTTGTAGATTTTAGACCGCAAAGGCGGCACGCAAGGAAAGACAAAAGACATACTCAGTAGAGGTATAGCCATGTGTAAATTGAGCGTCCTCTTCATGCTCTTGAGATCTTAGTGCACGGACCATCAGTACTAGAAACCACTTCAAAGTACAACTCACGAGGTAATAAATTCGAAGAGAAGCTACGCAAACACGATGTCAGAACATCAGTAGCATAACTTGAAAGCTGACTTCAATGTACAACAAATAAACTCTTCACTGGTTTTTCAGTATTGTCTGGCTTTTAACGACAACAAATGCCTGGATGCTACAGAAATCTTATCAACTGAGTAAGGGAGACGTCCAATCGCAGGGAAATTAAACAGTCTAGCGTATGTTTTACTTGAGACAGATAGATGACGTGTCGTTAATTCTCCCTGCTAAGCTCGTTGTGCTAGCTGTCAAGCCTTGAAGGCTCCACTTCAGGCGATTTGCACTTCAGTACTCCTTTCGGCTTTCGTTTGTCTTAGAACTGCTGCGGAACGGAGCCACTCCCGTTGACTGTTAGTTTACAATCTGTTCCTCCCTCAGAGAAAGTCTCAAAGCATTCCTTACACCCGCTAAGCCCACTTATCCCTCGCTACATAAAATATCAGCTCGGTGTTCAATGAGGGCTGAAATACAGACAAAACGAATAACAAGGAGAAAAGAATGAAGAAAGAGGAAAGGGATCAGAGGGGCAGCACCCTTCGATACACAAACAGGATATTTTTTTCGCGGTGCTGTCAGCTAGCTGAGATTAATCATGTTGAACAGTTATGGAGTCGATTTCATTGGCTTATTGTGGTGAACGACCAGTCACCAACAAGATGCATTACTACTGAGAAGCACGCGTCATAGGCCTCAGGATATTACAAGAAAACCCCCTTTGTACACCAGAAACTCTCTCAACATCACTCATTTCAAGCACTAAGTACCAAGACCTTGCAAATTTTGCTCTTTAATTTATTCATTATTCACTGGAATATGCCCTCTGTCACTTAGATGTGACCACGCACCCACTGATCACCATGGACTCTTTGTCTCTGACCGGAATGTCAGAACTAGTGGTAGCTCACATTAACGCTCCCTATCACGTTGACGCTCTTCCTGGCGCTCGCGCTCACTCTCTCTCGCACGCTCGCGAGCTATACGTCGTTCTTCCAGGAGGGCCTGTAAACAAACCGGCGTATTAGTATCTTTTCATACAACGAATGATTCAAATGATGCTTGTTGCATCGAAATCTTAGTGTTCAGGTCATTCCACACCCGAGACTTCTGAAAAGGGGATGCTTGCCTCAGCCCATTCCCTGGCTTCTTCCCGCCTTTCGCGGGCCTCCTCCGCTCTTTCTTCTTTTTCCTTCCGCGACCGCTCGAGCTCGTCGTCGCGCTCCTTGTCATATTTCTCAAGCATCTTGGCAATAAGTAGAAGTTGGTCTATTTCCTTAATTGGATGGTATCCCCTTTTTACAAATCCAGCAGTGCGTTCAAGTAAGGGACTGACCTTATAAGTGATCCTGGAATGGTTGCTGGGTTTGGTTGAAGAGTGCTGCGTTTTCTTAGTTGCAAGGTTGTGTTGCTTTCTTTGGTATTTTGGTTGGTTTGAATTGAAGCGAATAATTCCGCTGTGGCCGTTCGAGTCTTTTATAAGCAATAGTGATGATTGCAGTCAATACATGTATTCCATCCTCGTAAGTGTGAATAACAAGCGAATCTAGTGAATGTCGAAAGATGTCCACTGGTCATAAACCATGTCGTTCGCTCATACATGAATATGGCCGTGCCCGATGGTAGTAGAGATGAAGGACAGCGGTTCCAATGGTTAAAGGAGTAGATTCTATGGCAATTGGATCGACATGTGTGAGAATTACACGGGTGGCACCAAAGATCTACGATTATAAGCATTCTCTCTTCATGCCACGATCAACAGAAATCAGATACGGCTGGTCAGCAGCAGTCTTTCCAAGGTCAATCTATGTCCGGAACGAATGTCAGCCAATCGGGTCACGAACAGAGTTTCGGCAATACAGATTCAAAGGTAAGAGAGGCTCTTCGACTATTGCATTCATTGAAGGATTTTTGAACGCAGCGAAAAGGCGAAGGCATTTGTTTCTGTTGGGCTTCTGAACCCGGGAAAAGGTGCAAGGTATTAAGTGCTTCCAAACAACGGACAACAACGATAGATCTGTATTTTAGCATTATACCTACGTTTTTCTACTGGCCGATAACGGCCAATTCAATCGTTTTGGCTCCTTTAAATTGCTCTTCGTCTTTGAATATTCGAGGCAAACACATCCTCATGAGCTTACCTTTACTAACTCTTCTAAATCATACTTTCCGTACTTATAATCATATTTGGTGATTGGAGTGGGACCGGAGTGCAAAAGATCAAGAAGCATGTCAATGAGCCAGCGATATGGCTTTGAGGTTATTTAGGAGACAGTACATGAATAGATTTTTATGTAATATCTTGTTCTCTTTAATTTTCCTGGTAAATGCAATGAATACCTCGGAAATTATTACAAATGAGAGAATGATGGTACGATGGCTAGATAATTCGTGACCAGCAAGCCCGATCCTACCCTACCTGATAGAAAGATCATAATGGGGAGCAAATTCAGCTTCATGACACGGCTTGATCACTGGTGAGACACAAACAGGAACCCGCACTTCAAGGGAGGTTCGTCGAGTACTTGTGTCAGGGAATTTCCTCTACTCAACTTCAACTACCGACACCTGCACTGGAATCGAGCACTTAACTTGTTTTCTACCTATCGTTTATGTCTCGCGTCGTTCGGGGAATAAGAAAAAGCTTCATGTCCCACGAACGCCTTCTTTCATGAGTAGCCAATGACTAGAGGCCTGTCCATAAGAATAGGAGCGATGGAATTTCTGCGGTTATTATTGATAACAATAAACAAGATCCTTTCATACCGCCTCTAAAGTCGCTTGCTAACCTATCCTGAACAATGAAGACATGGTCCAACCGGTACGTACCGACAGCTACGGTAGAACGTCGTGTAAACTGATTGATTGCAAATTCTAGTTATCTGGTATCTTCCTTAATGTTCTACAAGTATGTCCTAAATTGTTGAATGGATTCTCCCTTACCTGAGAGAACCCTGTGTACGATCGTAACAGGGTAAAATGTAGGGGTGAACCAAAGATGTGTTTCCGTGATTATCTTTCTAACTACAAGACTTGGCTTTCGTACACGAGATACATGATCTCGTACGTCCCTGAGTCAGTTCGGCAATGAATATACTTTCATCCCCTCATTGAATAACCGAGGGGCGAGTATCCAGTCTGTGACCTCTGCCATGGTGTGTGTACTTGAGTCGTGCGTGTCGTACAATCAGCTGGTGCTGTTATTCCAACTTAAATATTATTTTATTTGGGCGTTCAGTTTGATGATTTCCCATGGACGTGTTCCGTTGGAATTTTTTAAGGAATTACAACCTTACAGTCTTGGCTACAGCAACAGTGTTTATTGCACCTGCGTCTTCTCCTCCACTTTCTGTCCTACTTTTGCCCTTGACCTAGACATTGCATATGTTATGCATTTAAACACCCCCTTTCCTTTGCTCACTTCTGTATTGATCGTCTGATGGAATGGATTGAACGACTACGACGGACTGAGACGTTGTATTGGGAAAGTATCTGTTGCTATCGTAACATTGTTCTTTGGCGAAGACTTGTGGTGAGCTTTTTTGCGTTTTTGTACCTCTTGAATCTACCAGAAACGGAAGGACTTAGCTTAGGGGCGGTGTTGATTATACGATGATGATGACGCTAAGCTGTGTTGTACTCTAAATGGATAAGCAAATTATGTTTGTTGTATCCCCTTTTATTATTTGTGTACAATGACCCCAATCTAAACACCCTATGGCCTTTGCCTTATTTAGGCCAAATTCAGGGCGGCTCAGGCTCAGCTCACTTCAGCTCATCAAACTCAGCCCATGCTCACATGTAACTTAACTCGACTCACCCTACTTCGTCTAAGCTGAGCTTCTGCCTAGTGTTTGCTCACATATATCAAAGTAGGCAATGTGACAGCCTAACCCAGACGAACGTGGGCCAGTCTAGACGAGTGCTAGATACATATCTAGGACGAATTATGGTAGCGAAATGAGCGAAGTTCAATGGCACATGCATTTGGCACCTGGCAAAAGGCCAGGCAGCAGCCGAGGCGACAGGTCCAACGTTCACAACAAGGAAATTCTGTTGATTGACTACTTAACCACTCCAACACGTCTCTTTGCTCTCTATCAACGCCCCATTAGCCCATACTGCATTTACCGTGATCTTTCATTACTACGTCCCACGGCGCCAGGTACATCCAAATACACATAAGTGGACACTGCGCTCGTATCCCGCACGCTTTTCACCGGTTTCACCCTCAACCCTTGACTTGACGCTCGACCTTGTTACCATCATGTCGCGCAATCTATCACCAGCAAGCAAGGTGCGCTACCGTAGACAGGTCTCTCTCGACATCCTACACCACCATACCGATGGCGTCAACCTTGTGGCGCTGGCTCTAGAGAACCCGTCCGAGGTAAACGGCGTCAGATGCAAAGCCCTTCTCGGCCGCTCGCACTTCCTCCTCGACGAGATGCGCATGGTGCAAAAGCTGACCAACAAGCGGTTCAATTCATTTGAAACCATTTTGACGTATGGCATTCAGCCGAGTAGCCTGACGACACTTACCATTGACTGCTGGAAGCTTATTGTAATCGACTGCCGCCATGTTGAGGACTCGGCCGACCTTGACCGCCAGTACCGCGCCCAACTGCAGGCCGAGGAGCTGCAGACGCCTGAGGAGCCTGCCAGGGAGGCCGTCCGCTCGCAGTTGGAACGCACCGCACGCAGGAACGCCAAGCTTATGGTTCCCGCCCTTGAGAAGTTATCCCCCGAAAAGTATGCTATGATGCTGGAACGCAAGACTCTATACACCGTCTGGCAAAAGGTCTCGCCAAAGCCGCCCGCCTGGGTCTTCGATATCACTGAGTACTGCTACAACTGGGGCTTCGTCTTCTACAGGTCGGCCCAGGTCATGCAGCTCGTCGGCGACCGCTGGGATGACGCCCTCGAGCGCCTCGAGGGTTTCGACGAACTCTTCTACCCAGAGAACCCCACCGACCAGCCTATTTACGCCACTGCCGGTCCCAGCTCCATCCACAACGCGGGCGAGAACTTTATACAATACTGGTCTCCCGTCTGGATCGGGGACACTGCCTTTGCAGACGGCGATTTGCGAAATGCCCGAGAGTGGGCCCGTCTCGAGCCATATATTATTTTCTCATTCGCTTACAACTACAGGCACTTCAAGGAATACCGGAAGTCACTAGACGACACCGAAGGCATTCTTGACAACACCCTGATTATCATCGACTCAGACTGCGTTCACCCCGAGCTCATGACGGCCGAGGAAATCAACGCTCTGCCAACGATGGTATTTTGGGTCTGGGCCTGCGACCCTGACTGGAAGCCGCCTGCCGGTCGCGACGCCGACGAGGACGGATACCAAGGCCGCCTCAGGGTGCCCTTTACGTGCCTGCAGGCGTGGTTCTACGCCGCGAGGCTCAAAGACGTCGACATGAAGGCCATGTGGAAGAAGGCACAGGCCCACCCGCAGCAGCTGTGGGTGTGCAACTCACTGCCGCAGCAAGAGTGGAAGCACGAGCCGTATGTTTGAAGTATGTGATCAAATATCCTGAATTATTTTTTTTACATGCCGAGAGGCAGGATGAGTCCACGTGTGCGCCGTTCTCTCTCGCTTTAGTTTATCGTATTGTACCACGTAAATAACCAACATGCTCAAGGTCACTAGGTTGTTCAGACATGTGTGGCGGAGCTAACTAACCCACCCACCCCACAAGAGAGCCACCCCCACATCCGAGCCATCCGAAATTGCTGTATTGTTAAGAACATCCCTTTTTTCAAACTATTACAATAATTACTATTTATCGCTAAACAACGTTATCTTTTTAGGATATTTTCTCTATTACACTATAAAGCAATACACTAAGTTTGAGCTCCAACGAGCCCTTGTAGACATAGCAGATAGCTGCCCTATCCGCTAGGCTGCTTGTTACCCCCTTGGCAGGGTGGCCACTGCCAGCGTCACGTGATGCCAGCCATCACGTGGGTAGTGCGTGCCCAACTATAAGTAGCGGTGTGCACGTCAAGATAGACCTTAATACAATCATCCTTCATACATCTCTCCGACCGGTAACAAGTGGTAGCACAACCTCTGTACGGGTAGGGAGACAGGTGTATCGGCCGAAAGGCCAAGGAGCTGCCACCTCACAGAAAGGGCAGGAAGATAGCAACTTCTCAAAAGAGCCATAATTGCACCTTCACGTGAGGGCAATTGGCCGACCTTTGAGTCGGCTGCCAGACCTTCCGGTCAGGCCGAGAAGCGAACCTCGGTAAACAAAGGCTAAGGAGCTGCCACCTTACAGAAAGGGCAGGAAGATAGCAACTTCTTAAAAGAGCTATAATTGCACCTTCACGTAAGGGCAATTAATTGGCTGACCCTCGAGTCAGCCGCCAGACCTTCCAGTCAGGCCGAGAAGCAAACCTCGGTAAACAAAGGCAACAACACCTACGCCCTACACTCGTACGTTGCGATCGACCTCTCTGCAGTAGACGACACCCCTATCTGCCGACCTTCAATTCAACCCTATCTATCTGACGCGCTTACCGACATACTTACCAACGCGCTTACCAACAAACCCACCAACACGTTTACCAACACGCCTACCAACACGCTTACCGACACGCCTTCTGCCGTTGCAGAAGAAGGTTACCGGACTAGCCCAGTGAAGCAATAGGGACTATTGCTTATTAAAGCGTCGGGGGGCAGTTGTTACCCCCTTGGCAGGGTGGCCACTGCCAGCGTCACGTGATGCCAGCCATCACGTGGGTAGTGCGTGCCCAACTATAAGTAGCGGTGTGCACGTCAAGATAGACCTTAATACAATCATCCTTCATACATCTCTCCGACCGGTAACACTGCTTGTAACTGGGGTATACCATACCAGACCCTTCAGTATCAGCTATACGGCAAGCAAAGTAGAAATACTGCGTAGGTTGATTATTAGCAATTATCGCAGTTACAAGAGGCTAATCTAGCTACTTATATATCTACCTAAGCTACCCTAAGTAGTGCCCTTACTTATCAACAAGTAAAGGGCCTAGTAGAGCGTATAATAGGTAATACTTAGTGACCTTTAAGGAAGAGATAAATAGCTTAATTCTTATAGTAATACTTATTAATTAGGACCTAAAGATATTAATTAATTAATTTTAGGTAATATAAAGCTTATATTATAAATATTATTTAAGAATAGTTTAGTTATTTAGATTTATTAATAATTAAAAGTATTTATTTATTTAATTAATAAAATATAAATAAGACTAGTATTATAGAAAATAAAAAAAGTAATAAGCTAATATTAGGCTTTATAGTATTATAATATATTTAGAAAAAATAGCTTAGATCTAAGGTATAGATATTATTAATTAAATATATATCTATTATTAAGACCTCTTTACTTCTTTTTATTATATATAAAGGTAAATTAGTCTAAGCTTAGTAGTTTTTATTATTTAATTTATTTAGATATATTAGCTAATATTTTATAGTATTAGATAATAGCTAAATAAATAACTAGATTACTTTTAAGTAGCTAAAGAAGGTCTTTATCTTAGGGACTATACTTAGTTAACTAGATAAGGCTAGGCTATTAATTCTAGATAGCTATTATAGCTATATAATAATAGACTTTATATAATAATACTTTTAGTATTATATTTATTTATTATTTTTATTACTATATTCTTTTATTATCTTTTAGCCTTTAAATATATTAGTTTTTAGTTTATTAAAGTAAGTATATTAAAAAAAGGTTAGAAGTCTAAATAACTAGATAAATAACTTAATTATTATTAGTAAAAAAGTATTTTTAGATTATTATTTTAATATATATAAAGTAATAATAATAACTTAGAATATAAAGTTTAGCTAAAAATAGGCTAAGTTATAGCTAATATTTATATAATACTTTTTATTTAATTCTTTAATATTAAAAGTATTATTTAGCTAATTAATTAGCTAATAAAATAATAGCTAATAATAAGATAAAGTAATATTTACTATTTTATAGTTAATCTTTTATTATTTTACTAATTTATAATATTAGTTATATTTATTTAATTAACTAAATAAAGATACCTTAAATACTTATATTATTTATTACTTATTTAAAAAGCTGTAAAAGGGATATAATAAGCAGGCATTTAGACTAGTAATTGTAGAGTAATAAGCTAGTGATCTGTAGGCCTGTCTAGATAACTAGCACAAGGGCAAAAGGAAAAAGGTCCTAACATCTCCTAATAGCACCTTTGCGACAATAGCCTATATCTAGCGGGCACAAAATACGGATATCGGCGATACAGATATTCTAGATAAATCTAGCGTATCTGAATTATCTAGTGAAGCCGAAAGTTGCATCTGGGTGGTGGAAAGGGGCAGGGTTTCGCGTTTTCATTTTTCCTTTTATCAGCCTGCAGACACAATCACAGGCCTGATCAGATGTGACTAAGCAGGACCCTTCCAAGTACAAAAGGGGGCTCTAGTCAGATACTATCACAGAGATCGGGATCTCATCACGAAGCAGACAGAGAAGCTTGACATCTTTAGACAGGCACTTAGACAGACACGGACGAATTCATCACTTTGATATCTAAACAAGACGTGTAATAAGTGACTGTTGCTTTGTTTCCTTAGGCCTGACTAGACCTCTAAGGTCTAGGAGGGTATCCTCCTCCTCCAGAGATCACGACACACACATGCGTACCACTTAGCAACAAGGGCAAATCCGAACAGACTGCAAGACGTGAAGGATACACTTTTCTGGTTTGCTCATGGCCCTGATCAGGCCAAGGAGGACCTGAAAAGAGTAGTATCTCACGGTCTAGGCGTTGGGGTAGTCACTTGGGGTAATCGGTCACTCCAGGTGCACTCGTGACGATACTGGGACCTTGGTGTTTGGTGTGGTTTGTGTGTCAACTGCCCACTTGCTGGCTTCCTTTATCCCACGCAGTTTCAGTGGGTGGAAGAGGGAGTGAAATAAGTGGTGATAGTGGTAGTGATGGTGGTGCCGATGGTGGCTCGGATGTGGGGGTGGCTCGTTAACAGGGTGGTTGTGTTAGAGCATGCTCCGGCAGTAATTAATCAAGTCAGAAAAAGAACATCGCCGAGCCTATTTCCATACCAAACATTCATTCCTAGTTGGCACTGCAATCTTAAATACATTCCCAGCTGCCAGGCTTACTAGGATCGCCTTGACCCTTGAACACGTTTCGAGCTGGGTATCTGCAGTGTCTCCTTTGCATGTCAATCTCTCCTGACGCCATCTGTCGGCTGCCAAGAATAGAGTCCGGCGCGGTGCCATTTTCAACCCATCGGACAATCGCAGCCAATACATTGGCATCTGGATCGTACGAAACGGGCTTTGGAGTGGCTCCAATGATGCTGGCCCCGGAGCCACCACTGCAATGCTGCATACCCGAAATCCGGAAGAATCGATAAAAGTCGTCCAACTCTGCCGAAGAAAGATTCATCGTTCGTGAAACAAGATCATAGTATCTTTCTGAGTTTTCGCTGCTGATCGCGTTGTCCTCCAGGCCGTGGTAATGCAGGATCTTAACCCCATGCTCGCTTGCCTCCGATAGATCGCCTTCCCAAGTCGACATATTCCACGGGTCTTTTCGTGAAGCTGCTTCGTAATCTCGAAGGTTCAATGTTGAGATGTCCCATTCAGGATCGTCGTACACAAGATATCGCCACCAGTCTACGGGGTACTGCTGAGGCTGTCCGCTGAACATCCGCTCTGTTGCTTGTGCTCCTGGCTGCAGTCGAGGATAGACCAGCTGGCCTTCTGAGCCGTAGACTGGAGAGAACACAGCCCGAACCGTAGCAGCCTGCTCTCCGCTCAAACATGTCTTAGATGGGACGTCGGAGCAAATAAGTTCTTCGGGCCGATACTGGCAGAGATTGGGGTCTTCAATAATGCCGTCTTCTACGCCGTCCAGGCCGTCGCACTGTTTCAAGACGTCTGCATATACCAACTCCCACCGCGCAGCTGAGAGAAACCTCGAGGTCTCATTGGTCCCAGTCTTGATAAAAAACTGTCCGGTCCAGTACATGAGGGCGTGAAAATCGAGAGCGGGGGCACCGACAAGGATGCCATCAAAGTCGCCTGGGAATTTCTGTGCCTCTTTTAACCCTTGCCTGCCGCCGGTTGAGCAGCCGATATAGTAGGCCATTGTATGTTTCATGCCGTAAAATTCCTCGACTACCGCCTTACCTAGCTCCGCTTCGAGATGTACGGCGCGGTAGACGTAATCTTGAACAACGCCGGGGTTTTTGTAAAATGGAGCCCCGGAAGTACCGTCATGGCCATTGTTACTGCCAATGGTCGCAAACTGGTGCGAGGCTCCGTAGTTCAGATCACCATATTTGATGCAACCGTTCATGCCGCCGTTCCCCGTGCCCAAGAAACGGCCGCTCCACTCGAATGGGAGCCAAGCCTCGAGGGATATGTTGCTTCTAGGTCCGGTGATCGTACGGAAAACAACACGACAGATGTCAACGTCGGCAACCTGGAATGGAATAGCGCATGATGGGTGGTTGTTTGGGAGGGAAATATTGGTTCCTGCTGAGATGAAAGTTGTCTCGTGTACTGTTGTGTTTGGGAGGCTCAGCCGGCCTGCCAAAGATTCGCAGTCCTCGATGATCGAGCCACCAACAGAACCAAAAGCCAAGGAAATTTGAAGCAAGGGATTAGAAAACCTCATAGCTGCTGTGGGAATTGTGATAAAATGTTTGGGTGGCCTTAAAGAAATTACGTCCTGGTGTTACGCATGTAGCAGTTATCCCCAAGTGCTCATGAAGCTTAGAACTACCGTGTCTCTTACCGTGCTTATCTGCAGCTCGTGCTAGAACCCGCAATTGTGCTTGAAGCCCGTCTTCTGAAAGAAGAAACCCTGCAGGCTGATCACAGTCTGGTTGGTTCCAAACTCACTGACTACATTCTCGAATGCTAGGTCTGCAGCAATAACCCGGCAAAACCATGAAATAAAAGTTGGTCATCTGCCCAAACAGGGTTGGGAAAGTCTGCAGGCGGGCGGGGGCCGTTGTTTCTTTAGAGGGGCGCTTGCCAGATCATGTTCCCGTACGCGGGGTCATCATTCTTACGAGCGATCAAGATGCGCAATTCGTATGACAGACCCTGTGAAAGCCCGCTTCTGGTTGGCCAATACTTTGAGGGCGGTTGATCTCGTCAACACAGGGGTTTGTGGCATTGGAAAGTGGAGTCGAAGGATACGAATAGTCGATTCGAACCGTCGTGCAATTTTGGAGACAATGGCCCTTGTGGTAAGTCAATGTGGAACCGAAAAACTTCTCTGCTCGATTGCACATACACCAGGAAATATATGAAATAGCTCATTCAGACTTGTAGTCAAATTCCAGCTGAAGTTGTCAGCCTTGGCCAATAGTTCTTGCTAGCCATCGTCACCAGCGCCAAACCTGACTTCTCAGTGCCAATATTCTGAGCAGATAGCTTTCGACTGGTAATGATGTCCCTTGTCTCAAGAAAAACATGTCCACGGCTTATCTTACAAGAATTCCCTTCTCGTCGTGTGCATGTTACAATTGCAGTGTTTAACCTGACTCCTCGATTGCAGCCAAAAATCCACGCGTCGTTCGGTCGCGCAAGGCTTCCTGGAGCCACACCGGGAATCCTCTGAGCATCGAAACCCAGCCCAGGCTCGATGGAATACAAACCTGCGCCCCGTAGCCGGAGAAAATTTGGTTCACAATAGCGCTGGCGACATCGGACGCGCTCACCATGGGCTCCTTGAACTTCCCGGTCTTGGAAAGCTTCTCGACCATGGGCGTTCTGACCCAAGTAGGATGGATAACACTGACGTTAACCGTTTAGACTTGTTACGATAGACGACAAGATCCTGGATGATAGGGAACGGGGCTTACGTTGCACGCACTGCCGGCGCATTGTATATATGCTTCAGCTCTTGCTTCAGTCCTTCGTGGAAAGCAAGAATACCGGCTTTACTGGACCCGTAATCGACGTTGCGGGCCTGGGTGCTGAAGGAAGCCAGGCTAGCAATGTTGATGACATGTCCATGGTTCCGGGCGACCATGGAAGGGAGAAACTGCTGCACCAGCAGGAAAGGAGCAATCAGGTTGACACCAAACAGCTTCTGCAGCTTCGCCTCCGATACAGTAAGAATCGGCTCAGCATTTCCGATGCCAGCGTTGTTGATTAAAACGCTGGGCTCGCCGTGTTCGACTCGAATGCGTTCGGCCACTGCGGCAATCGCAGAGGCATCGGAAAGATCGATCTGATAGAACGAGACGTTGCGTCCTTGACCAATATTGATGTCAGCCTATGTTGTATTTTCGTGATGGTTTTAGACTCATGATGAGTAGCGAGGGTAGGAGCATACCAATTTTGGCCGCGGGCGGATTCAGGTCTAGAATGATGGTCTTGACGTTTCTGTGGTCAAGCATCTCAACGACCTTGGCGCCGATGCCGCTGCTACCACCGGTCACGACGATGATCTCCTTGGACCAATCCCAAGCTTTGTCAGTCACATTGTTGTTAGCCCTGGTAAGGGAGAACCATTCATTCACACGCGGAAGCAGGCCCAGGAGACAGAGGGTTGCTGCCGCGGCTTGCACTTTAGGCGACCTGGCCAGGTTGGTAGCTGTCGGAGCATATTGATGGAAGAGTTGAGTAAGAGCAGACATGTTGGGTATGGCAAAAAACCACAAAAGAAGCGGCGGATCGCTCAAGTCAAATGCAGATGAGATGGTGCATACATGATGCCGATTAGTCTCATCTTTATCAAGAGCTGTAGCGTGTCCAGCTACCCCGTGGGGCCCCAGATTAACGGGCAATTGGAGGATTTTTGCCGAGCAGTCGTCGCTTGTGCCGTTCTCCCGTTCTGTCCATGCTGCTGGTTAGCACATCTCGATCGCGACGGCCTCTGGTTGTAGTGCGCTCGCGCGACTTGCGGTCTGCACGGACGCTCGGCACGATGAGCGGCCTGGGCCGAAAGGAGGCGCAGGCTTTATTGCCGAGACACTCACCACCGGCAGATCACGCCCCTCTTTAGCTCCAGGCGGGGGAAACGAAGGACAGCAAAGCCGTCCGAGACACCGAAGTGTGGAGAAAACGCCCAAGCCAATCCCCGCATGATTCGCGTCAGGAACCTGCCAACGGCAGAGAGGCGTTGGACCTTCGGAGGCCACTAAACCTCACAGGACCCAGTCTGGAGGCTTGCATCCACAACTATGGCCGAAGACAAAAGAGCTTCAAGCCGAGTACTCCGGGTCGAAGCTCACTCTTTCGGCTATCGTGGGAGCCTGGCCCGAGCGAAGGCTCATGGCACCTCGCCACTTATTTCTAGGACATTAAAATCTACAGAGATGCTTGTCTCAAAAATCTTGACATTGTGTGCCTGGAATCAAGCACGAAGCCCAACTCTCGGACTTACACGAACCACTACCCCTACTTTACCTTTCCAACTCCACGATCTTGCTTTAGAAGCCTCGCCAACATGGCTTCCTCCCGAGATGTGGAATTCAAAACCTATGACGGCATCAAGCTCAGGGGCACCCTCTTCCCCGCTGGCGAAAACACACCTTGTATCATCATGAACTCCGGCGCAAGTGTCCTGTTCTTGTCGTTTGAAGCGAAGCTGACTTTGCGCTTCTACAGTTTGCTGGCCTCAGAATCAATTTCCTGCCCGACTTCGCCGTCCGTTTCCAAGCCGCTGGCATCACTGCACTCATATATGACAACCGATGTCTCGGTGACAGCGAGGGCAGCCCACGTGACGAGGTCGACCCTTTGTTGCAGACACGCGACTACTTCGACGCTTTCTGCTACGCTACCACCTTGCCCGAGGTGGATGCAAACAAGATTGTGTACTGGGGCTCGAGCATGTCTGGCGGCACCGCCCTCGTAGCCGCAGCCCTCAACAAGAACATTGCCGCCGTCGTCGTCCAGGTGCCGTTCATTTCGGGCGAGTGGATTTCCCAGAGGTCGGACAGTCCGCCCGACGCCTTGTTCCAAGAACGTGCCAGCGCCATCTCCAGCGGGGCACCGTCCAAGATCCCGAGCTTTCCCGAGTCACTTGAACACATCAAGACACGCACGTCCAAGGCAGTGATCCAAGACCCAGCCGCAGTCACGCTGACGGACGAAATAACGCGCCGGGGTCAGAATTGGGGCAAGTGGGCGACGGTACAGAGTCTCTTAAACTGTTCCATGTTCGAACCACTAGCCTATGTCCATCGCATCGCCCCCACGCCGCTGCTCATGGTCGTAGCTGAGAAGGATGTCACGACGCCCTCACATCTGCAACTCGAAGCGTTCAACCGCGCCCGCGAACCCAAGAAGCTACAGTTGTTCAAAGGCCAGAACCACTTCAGCATGTACTATGGCCAAGATTTCGAGATGAATGTGGCTTCTCAGATTGCGTTTCTCAAAGAGACTCTCAAAATTTAAATAATCAAGCTTGGAGTTGAGAGGGCTGGCGAGGGAGGGACTGTTGAAGAGGAATAAAGCGCTTATTCGGCTCTCAGGTAGAAGAAAAACAAAGACATCTACTTTTAATGAATTTCGAAAGGTCAGCTGGCGCTTACCAACAACGCCATTTGGCTATTACCCGGTGGGTGATGCCGAACCGTTTCATGCATCCACGGAGTCATAAGAATTATTTGCTCTACTGGCGAATCGTGCTGTCCCACTTAGACGACCGTGCCTCTACCATGTTGACACCATGTACATAGTAGCTACAGGGGTCTGTGTTAGCACTGATGAAGAATTACCCTAACTCTTTGCGGTGAGGCTTGAGCTTTCCTTGACGGATCCGCATTCAGCCCCGCTGTCGGACACCGCATGTCCTTGTCGACGTCACGGGACGGACTACCGGTAGTTTATTTGCGCCCGCTCGTGGGGTACATACTCTATTTCAATGCCGCCGAACCTCGCTCCCTATGAACGTAACAACGACCCACACATGGTTCAATAGCTATTGAGTTCTTGTCATCATGATGCCCAACCCAGTCACGGACGAGCCCAGCCGCAAGGCCGGGGCCAGGGCCGGCCAGCAAAGGGCCGCAAAGGCCTGTCTGGCCTGTCGACATCGTAAGGTTCGGTGTGACGTCCACAAAGTCAACCAACCCTGCACAAATTGCCAACTGCACGAAAAGAGTTGTCTCGTCGTTGGCAGGGCTTCTAGATTGTATACGATAACCGGCAGATCAATCCTTGGCCGAGATGGACTATAGCCGCTGACAAAGGCGCCACTTAATAGGGCCACTGGACGACGACGCGACCGCCGAGAGAACCCATCTCCGGATGGGATCGAAATAATCAACCCTCAAATAGTGTCATATACATTGCCCCGCGAACCTGGTCTCCGCAATTCGGTATCCGAACTTACGCACGAGGAGGCTGTCGAGCACCCTAGTGACGTCTTCTCGGGTGGTGTAAGCGACAGGGCTCGCGAGGGCTTGTTGGATGCTTACATGCCTGGCCTTCCCTGGGAGTCGATCAACTCCTCGACATTCGCCTCTGGTACCGACCAAGAGGTAGACAGTGGCTCGTGGTTAAGCCGCCGCGCTCACGCCGGCTCCCACGTGGCATCTACCGTGATCTACTCCCACCTCCGGTTTCTTACCATCGGCAACCTGCACAAGATTCCATCCCAGGACGTCAACTATTTGGAGTTCCAAGGCTGTCTGCACGTGCCGGCACGCCCAATGCTTGATGACTTCGTGGAGCAATACTACTTGCACATACATCCTCTTATTCCTCTCATCGACGAAGGTGAATTCTGGGACATGTACTCCCAGACTGAAAGAGGTGTCGCGTCAAATGATACGATGTCGCTGTTACTGTTCCAGACAATGCTGTTTAGCAGCTGCACAGTATGTACCACTAGGAGGCTATAGGGCTTTACCTTCACACATGAGGGCCACCCGACATTCGGCTTATCTATCATTGCAGTTTGTGCCGTACGAGACCATCAAGAAGCTGGGATATTCCAGCCTTAAAACTGCGAGAGCCGCATTCTATCGAAGAGCCAAGGTACGCTGATCAGATCAGTAACGATGAACGATGTCTCATGTGGGATGACGGCGTATGCTCACTGACAATCAGTTGCTCTACGACATGGACACAGAGAGCTCGCTCTTACCACTGGCGCAATCCGCACTCCTGCTCATTGCTTGGGTACCTCCCTGCAACTCAACCCATATCCCGTACAGGATGTGGCTTGGACGCGCCATCCAGCATGCCAAGAGCCTCAACGCGGACCGCTTAGACACGGTGCCAGCATTGTCCGACACAGCTACCAAAAAGCATCACAGAGCGCTACGCCGTCTGTGGTGGTGTTGTGTTTCTCTAGACCGCATCTCGCCGTTGTGTACCCGTTTCAACCCTTACATTACTCGCGAATCCTGCAGGTTTGAGGCAAACAAATCCCTCATCATTTCCGATCTCGAAGGCGAGGTCTACAGGTCCAACGTTTACAACCCCACCAGCAAGAAGCGCCTCGTCGGCCTCTTCAAGGTATATATCGATTTAACGATCGTCCTGACCGATCTTCTTACGCTGGTATACCCTTTCGAAGACTTGTTATGGTCGAGACATTGGCCAACTCAGGAGGAAGACGCAAAGATTCAGCAATGCGAAGCTGCTATGAAGGGGTGGTTTGTCCGAGCTAGCACTAAGTTCCCAGCCGTGAAAGAGGCACGGCAGACTACCTTGAACAAGAGGCACGATCTACACAAGTCCGTGATGCTGCACATCAACCTGATGTACATATATTACTAGTATGTAACAGTACCCAACAAATTCTTTCAAGAGCATTCAGCCAACGCCTAACCATCCGTAACCCAGTCATGCCAAGATCGCCTTCTACCATTACAGGACTTTCTTCTACATACACTTAAACTTTGACGGAAGTGTAGGGGGAACTCGGAAAACAGCGGAACTCAAGAAGAACCGCAGTGAGCTGCAAGATGCTGCAGCTAACATGACGCAGCTCTTCAAGGAGCTGACCAGGCGTCGCCTTGTTCGTTGGCTTCCAATCAGCGCGTAAGTGCAGTGCTCTTTCATTTGACTTGGCGCTTCACATTATTGTTGCTGATATAATTTCCGTACTCAAGGATGGCTTGCATCGCCATGCCGTTGGCCCTGAATCTCGTTAGCGCGCGGCTGGCCGCAATCAATGGCGAATCGAGTTTCGAGTCTCCAACTACAGCAGCGTCCAACAAAGCTCGCCTGGACGTCCTAATGGGGGCAATGAAATCGTTCCTGCCGCAGTACGACGGCGTTGAGCTCCTAAAAGAGACTGCGAAGCGTGCGGCTGACCTGGCCCAGGCTGACACGCAATCCCAGCCCGCAAACTCCGGACCAGTGATAACTGACTGGGCCCACCATCTTTTGAAGAACCCGAGTTTGTACCTGAAAATGATATTGGCCGTCGACTTGTCAATCAGCAAAGGGAGGATTGCTGAAGAGTACGACTTTCCGGTGTGGCTTGTCAGCCACATGACGGTCGGGCAGAGAGCCACTCCCACCGGGCAGCCCGTACCTCACTCCACGCCCCGATCAACGGGCCAGTCTGCTGGGACAAGGCGGGAAAGCAATTTCATTAATACGCATCTTCCCACTTCCTCCAAGGAGAAAGACGATCACGAACGCAGAGTAACGCCACCTCTCGACCCAATTGGCACTTCATGGGACAATGTCTGTTCTCCCCCGGAGAGAGTGATCTCTGAACCTTCAGGGGTTGGCGAGCAGAACTCTTTGGGATTCCCAAGCCTTGATGATGTCATGGAAACTTACTTCGGCGGCGTAGCCGACGCCGACACGTCGTACATCGAAACCATCCAAGACCTGATTGATTGGGCCTAACAGCTCGATCCCTCATGATGAGTTGGGACGATGTGAAGGCAGCGAAAGCGAGTCGTTGGAAGTCCAAGTGCAGGATATAGTATTATTGAGTGTAAGCAATATTTGCATGGTAGCTCAAGGACACAATGGATCATCTGTCTATCTGAACGAGGCACCTTGGCCCACGAGCAGCGTGTCTATGGGCATAAATCGCCGTGTTTGACCCCATTTTACTCCATCAGAAGCCGTGAGCACAACAGAGAGTGCAGCTTTGAATACTATAAGATGCCGACGTCAGACATGTTTTTTTTGTTTCAGTAAAAACAGGCTGGCTGTCAAGTCTATGGTAAAGGACATTTGCAGTGATGAGAGACATAACGACATCTAGCGACTACAACACTATGTTACGATTCACTAAAAGATACTTGTAGTCTATCAAGTACGCATTAGTCTAGACAGGCGGTAGAATGTGTATGGATCTCATCATGCACAGGGGTCTTATGGGCAGTTGTACGGTAAACAATGAGGTTGGCGCAGAATGCCCTTGATTAGTGTGACCGGATAGAGACTTTCCAATGTAGAGTATATTGTCTAGATATTTGCCCAGAGCTCTATACTTTTAGCCACCTCTGGTATCTGATAGTTGGGCCTTGAAGCAAAATAAGCTAAAATCGTATGGGCCTTAACGACATCCAAGAGCTCTAGAAAATTTTCCAACTCCCGAAAAACAACGCTTCTGGCCAAAACATATTCGGTGTCATCATCAAACTAATCATAACCGACTTCCTGGAAGTTCAGCTGGATGGTATTCAGCTTGAAGCTCTGAGCGAGGGTGGCCGCCACCAAGCTCTTCGATGCGATGTACTGCATGGTAACCAATTTCCTGCTTAGAAGGTTCTTGAGGCGTAACCGCGACCGGCTTTGATCCTCGCCTCCTCTTCAAGAACCAGATAAGACCAACGGAGAAAGCAATGAGCGGGATCCCGACGCCAAGACCTACGCCTAAGCCGACGGAGAGGCTATTGCTGTTATTTGAAGATTGGGGTTCGGAGCTAACGGACGACGTAGGTGCGGTTGTTGTGGTCTCGGCTGCGGTGTTACTAGCGGAGGTGGATGTACTTGAAGACGCGCTTGATGTACTTGAAGACGCGCTTGATGTTGTCGAGGCACTGATCGGAATGCTCGCAACCACCTTGACGGAATCCAAACTAAAGACAGCAGTGGCGTTGTTACAGTCGCAGCCCTGAAGCCCAAAGCAGCAAAACTTGCCCTTTCCACATGGTTGAACACCATTCCCGCCCGCTATTGACAGCCGGCTCATCAGCGCCAAGAGAACTTGATAGGATAATGAATCAAAACTTACACTTATCGCATTGACTTAGACAAGTATCGCTGTCCCAGTTTGGCTCCGTGCACCCATTGATGAAATACGGTGTCAAGGTGTCTGGATTGCTTGTGACGCAAAGCCCGTTGCTCGCGCAAGAGTCGCCGGGCGCACAACATGACTTGAGACTGCCGTTAGGGTCGCATGCGACAAGTTGCAGATCCTGGTTGCTGCTACGGTCGAAGCAGGTTGACATTGTTGCTTGACTGTTCGTCAGTCGCTCTCGATCGAGCAAAAGGGCAGGCCTCAGGTTTTTGCCCAAGGCAGTTTACGAGACATGCGTTGAGAGTATTGTCAGATGAGCGGGTGAGCGAGATTATCTGAAAACTTTGTGCTTCCGATTTGAAACGCCTAGCTGCCGACACTTTCCTTCTTTCAATCCTTTGCAGGGACTGCAATCCTATCACGGCCAGTGTTAGGCGCCATCCAGGGGATGTCTCCCGTTACAGCCATTTCCCGCCCCATTCATTTAGGCAGCCGGCCCAACCGAGGCACTAAGCTGAGAATCCTCCAGACTTTAATTAACGGCTAGCCTGCTGCTCTTGAGCATCCCTGGTCCAGCGATGCGGGTCATTCAACCAGGGTTCCAATACCTACACTACACATTGGACAGGACTTTCAACGCTGCCTATTTTGGCGTCTCGGTAGCCACAGGGGTCATCTGCCCATTAAACCAGCTTATTTCTCAACACCATGAGTTTGTGGCTGCTTACGTTGTCTGCAGCAGCCCGGTTTACCTGTTCCTTCACGACGATGAAAGGCGACAAGGGTTGCAATAGCAAGTGGGAGGTTGCTACAAGGCTGGATATAGTGTTACTGCTGTGTTGAGCCAGCAACACGGTGGTGTAAGGGGTCTGGCCGGTGATTGGTCAACGTAGGGTGGCTCAATTAACCGTATTCAAGCTAAGGACGGAAAGTCTAATTACTGTGTGGCATTTTGTAGAGGAAAATCCGGTGGGTCGCAAATAGACCCCCACAGTAAGCGCCAATTCTTAGATTGTCCGAAGCGGTCCAGCGCGTTGATATGTAAGGACACGCCGAACCATGTTGAAAGCGATGTTAATATCGACTTCGCCGAGGCACTAAGGGACAATGCCTGCGGGAGCCCGAGTTCGAAGGCCCTCTTCCCGCCAAAGCCTTCAACGACTAATCCCAAGGTGTCGATGATATAAGCAAACATCACTAGCCGAGCTCTAGTGAAGGAGGAAAAGCTGGTGAGGCTTAGGACAGCATCGAAGAGTACACGCAGCAAGATGATGACACAAAAGAACGAGAGCTAGAAAGCCGGGATCGAGGCGAACGCTCTCCTGGGAGCCTTGAGCGATGGATTCGTGACGACGCTTGACGATTTCGACGAAGAGACCAACAAAATGCTCCTGTCCAGACGATTCATCATCTCTATCTTTTGCCAGCGGCGCTTCGACACGGTCAACACAATATAGCTGAGCTTGATTCCCGCTCAATCAGTCATCTTTGACGACTTGCAGATTGACTAGAACCATAAGCTCATCAAGCAGCACTTGGTCGCAAATCACTTTGAGAAACGCACCGTGCAGCGACATTGGCTTTAAAGACCATGACCTTGTCTGTGGCAAGCGCTCTGGTCTCTTCATTCTATCATATGGCGCTCCGGGGGAACTGGGGAGACGGCACCGAACCGCCGGGGCTGTAGCTCAGGCTAATTACAACTCTCTGTTTATGACAGCGTGCGGTGACTTAGATTTGACACCGGAGGACATGGACTTCAAACTGAACCAGGTATTTCGCCAGCTTGACTGAAACTTTGTGCTTTGCTGAGCTGACCGCCCCGATTAGTCTTCAAATCTAGAATTCACACCGGTCCGTACTACGGGCCGCTCTCCAGATACCGGACGATCGACATCATCAGCGAAAACATTCGGAAGCTGCGAGCGGTTGATGATTGAAAGTAGAAACAGTCCCTGGGAATCACCGTGGAGAAGTCTCGGCTCATCATCAAGGCCGAGAGGATAATCGAGCACGCCTAGCGCTACTTCGACGAGTAAGTGAACGCGCCTCATCTCCGCTGGAACGGGTGGCAGATCCGCAACGCCTTCCAGATCGCTTTCTCGCATGCGCAATACTACATCCACGAGGCTTCGCTCATTCAACTTGACCTGGCCTCGGACTCATGGAGGTAGGGCGCCTTCCTGGTGCTCGACGAGGCAAAGTTCAACAAGGTTGCCAAGGCGATTGAGCGCTTCGGAAACTAAATGAATCACGTCAGGACTATGACGGATGCGGACCAGGTGAGGCTCGATGCAACCCGGGCCGATGACATGCGGAACCATAGCCTGGCGCCAAATGAAAGGGAAAACAGCACCTTTGCAGCGCCTGGGACACCGCTAAATGAACTTGATCAAGACGGACCGCGAAAGGTTCTTACCGACTACAAAGGGCACATTCCAGCTTTCAAGATACTAACCATAGGTACAACGCAAAAGCCCGCAGTCAAGTTCGGAGAAACCCTCAAAGCAGAGACATAGAAATATGGCGCAGTCACAACGGGGCGGAATGAGGTTGGGTGAGAGATCTGTGAATAGCCCAGCGGGATCACAAACACGATTCGCAGCACCAGACAGAGCGTAGGCGACGCAGGCGGCACTCAGACGACATCCATAACCTGACTTTAAAAATCGCTACAGCGAAGGGGCGCACATACAAGAAGGACTCGACGAGTTCCTGGCTTCTATTGTGAGAGTGAGATGTATGAGGGAGAAAGTTTTGACGATCTGGAAGAAGCTCATGGGTGAGGTTAACAATCACAAGTAACAGGGGATGACTATGGTGATTAATAAGAGAGTAGGTGTAGATAATGAAGTTTGGTGTCACAATGAAGTACCACGTTGATGATGAAGAGATTCCATCAAGAGGAGTCTGCGTAGAAAAGCTCCAATCTCCGTGGCCTTGAACAAGAAAGCAGCTGCAATCCAGTTGCCGGAGGACTAGTCGAAGCAGTCCCAGTTCAAAGGTTGCGATTCGAGTTAATTAATTAATATTCTTCATGTTATTCAAGCCCGCCGACCGTCGTTCATACTGAGCTAACGATGCAGCTGAAAACTCATGCATCAAGAGCCAACTGCAAACAAAGACAGCAAACTCAATAATTCTAGCAAGCCAGAAGATGGGACTGTTGGTCAGCCACGCGTTGTTTCGCGGTTTCCATGCCCTGGTAGACAGGTGGGGCTTCCGTTCCGGACATGGAAGTTGCAACATCCAACCAACAGACCACACAACATCTTTTGAGCAACCAGTACAAAACTGTATGCAAAAGCGGAGTAACAGTTTATCAACAGGGTTCTCCTGAAAAGAGGGGTAAACCGAAATCATCATTCTCTCCCACAGCCACTTCCGAAAACACTTGACCAACCAGCAGCCATATCACATCGGACCAATCGTTCTAAAGCCAGTAAAAATGGCTATTCAACCGCATGGCCAAGTATCAGATCATTCAGATGACTCCTTCGTAGATTCTTCTAACTCTATCAGAGATTACTTGACGAGCAAATGGCATACGTCGCTGAGATCAAGTATCCTGGACTACCGCCGCGAGAATGGAAGAACATACCACCGCATGAGTGACGGCAAGTATGCATTTCCGAACGACGAAGAAGAGCAAGATCGACTAGATATCGTCAACCATCTTTGGATGTTGACTCTCGACGGGAGTTTGTGCTTGTGTCCAAAGAACGCCTCCACCACCGTCAAACGAGTCCTCGACCTCGGCACAGGCACGGGCATCTGGGCCCTCGACTACGCTGACGCGCACCCGGAGGCAACAATTATCGGTGTTGACCTCAGTCCCATACAGCCAGGATACGTCTCTCCTAATTGTATCTTCGAGATTGATGACTTGGAAATGGAATGGACTTGGACCGAGCCTTTTGACTTCATCTTTGCCCGCAACATGAACGGAAGCTTTGCCAATTGGGAGGGCGTACTGGAACAAGCATACGACCACTTGGAACCAGGAGGCTACTTGGAGATCCAAGATAGCCTCTGGCCCCCCGTATGCGATGACGGCACCTTCAAGATGGACTCTGCACTCTACAAGTGGAGCCACCTCATCGTCGATGCTTGCAACAAAGTCGGCCGCCCCGTTGACAAGACGGACCAAATACCGATGATGATGGAAGCAGCTGGGTTCGATGACATAGAAACGAGACGGGTCACATTTCCAGCTTCTCCGTGGCCGATGGACAGGAAGCTTAGGGAATTAGGCATTTGGAACCAGGAACAACTGCTCCCTGGCTTGGAGGCATTGACCCTTGGACTCTTTACTCGCGTATTGGACTGGTCAAAGAATGAGACATTGGTCTTTTGTGCTAACGTGCGGGAGGAGCTAAAGAATACAAACACGCATGTTTACTGGAATGGATATGTTGTGTACGGCCGGAAGCCATCGAAAGTTGATCAGGAATAGCCTCCAGAGACTTGGATCTGTAACGTCGTTTTCTTTTCTATCAGCGCCCTCTGTTGGTGTAAGCTAACCACTTTACGTTAAGAATCAAAGTTCGAGTACTGTTGATACAGCATCCTTTGAAAGAATCTCACTATTACGCCCACTGACTACGGCTACTCATGTTTAGTCGCTGGCGTCTAGTTTCAATTAGCAGCCAAACTCTTGTGGTAAAACTTATTCTGTTAGTCATCGGTAAGAACAACTATGCTAATAAATCCTTGGACAAGGATCACATATGTTCCACAAAACATGTTTGTTGGCATTTTGTTGAGATCGTCTATTGGCCTTACGCATCGAGTTGACAACGGCCTCATGCATCTTCTAAACAGCCCGTAACAGCGGCATCCGGCTATCCTCATCTTTCGACTCAAGGTGACCTTCTCAAGCAGTAGTTAGACAACATCCTCAAGGCCGTAATCAGCAGCCCATAACAGCAGTGTCTGGTCATCCCCATCTTTCGACTCAAGGTAAGCGCCCTTCTCAAGCAGCAGCCAGACAACGCCTTCATGTCCGTTCTCGGCAGCCCATGACAGTGGCTTCCGGCCATCCTCATCCTTCGACTCAAGGTCAGCGCCATTCTCAAGCAGTAGTTGGACGGCGCTCTCATCCCCACCCTCAGCAGCCCACGACAGCGGTGTCCGGCCATCATCATCCTTCAAGTTAAGGTCAGCGCCCTTCTTGAGCAGCCGCTGGACTGTCGCTATATCCCAGATCCGTACCTCCCCATGGTTCCAGCTAAAGCACTCAAGAATCCTAAGACATTGAAATGATGCCATATCCCAGAGCCGTATAATATTATCCTTTGAGGCCGAGGCGAGCATCCTAGCGTCAGGTGAGAAGGCAACAGAAGTAACCCGATTGTCATGGCCCTCTAGCGTGATTGCATGAGAACCTGTCGCCACATCCCAGAGCCGTACAGTCTCATCGGTTGAGACCGAAGCGAGATGCTTGCCTTCGGGTGAGAAGGCGACTGACCAGACCGTACCACTATGGCCCTCAAGCGTCATGAGATGTTGGCCCGTCGCTGAATCCCATAGCTTTATAGTCTTGTCTTGGGAAGCTGAGGCGAGCACCCTACCGTCGGGTGAGAAAGCGACCGACGTGACCGTACCACTATGGCCCTCAAGCGTCATGAGACATTGGCCCGTCGCTGAATCCCATAGCTTTATAGTCTCGTCGTGGGAAGCTGAGGCGAGCACCCTACCGTCGGGTGAGAAAGCGACCGACGTGACCCAGTCACTATGGCCCTCAAGGGCCATGAGATATTGGCCCGTCGCTGCATCCCAGAGCTTTACAGTCTCGTTGTGGGAAGCTGAGGCGAGCATCCTACCGTTGGGTGAAAAGGCGACTGCCATGAACCCATAGTCCTCTGAACTCGACCCATCTCCCTTCCCAGATGAGGCATCAGAGAAGACCAGCAGAGCAGATGCCAAAGAAGCAGCAGACAGCCCACCATGGGCCGTATTCGTGTTGCTCCCGCGTGACGATTCATCGTTGTCGACACCTGAGCTGCGTGGCACCGCAAAGCATGCGAGTTGTTCCATATGGAATGCCATGTGGTTCGCGAGCCCCTTTTTGAACGGACCAGCTGACTGGCAAAAGGGACACACGCTCCGCTGTTCTACCGTGCTCGTGTGGCTAAGTTTGGCTATCTCCTGAATCTGGACCGGGCCCAGCAGGTCGTCGTGTTCGGCCTCCAGGTGCTGCTGCAGGGCGTCCTGTGACTTAAAGAGCGGCTCCAAGTGCCCGAAACAGCGCCACACCCGGCGGTGGACATCTGCCTCGTGTGTCAGCCAGGCTGACCGGGTCGCATACAGGGCGTCGGCGTCGGAGCACTCTTCATATGTGCACATGTACGGCTGAAGATCGCGGAGGATGTGCTCCCTGCAGAACCCGGATTAGCAGTGCGGAGAAGCAATACTACAACACAAGGAACAGATAAACCTACCGCCAATATTTGCCTTTGGAGTGGCGCGCCGGGCAGGTGACCCAGCAGTACGGACACTGGAACTCTGTCTGGGACGGCTTGACTGGAGGAGCTTGGGGCAGGTCTGCAACGGTGCCGTCAATGTCGTATGTTGTCGATGCGTACGATACTACCGAATGAGTATCTATTTCATCGTCCAGCTTCCGATTGTACGTTGACACTTCAGTCCCGGAAAGGATACTCTTTCCGGCCAAACTCGGAGCCACCGCTGCCGGAATTATGACGGCGGCCGCAAGAGCAGCAGCCGGTATTGGCATAGGAGTAGGCTGTGCCTTCATAAAGTCTTGTAGTTTGGACTCGGCCTGGTCCGGTGCCTTCTCCTTGTCCTCCCTAGCCAGCTTCAGCGCGTGATTTTCCCAATAAGCAAAATATCGGCGGCGATTCGTCAGGGATCTGCTCCAGCGATCGATCAAGAAGCCATGTTGCTCCTCTCCCGGCTCAATTACCGGACCCTCAGACGCTGCAAGCTGTGGGCTCGTCTCATTGGTGTCGCTATCGGCCAGAGAATCATACGCAGGATACACGTCTTTCAGTCTTGGTCTTCCATGGACAGCGCGTCGCAGCTCACAGAACGCCTCTTCGATGTGGCCGCGGTCAAATCCTGCAAAACAAGCCAGTAGATCCACGGCTGTGGTGTCGTCAGCATTAACTGTTTGCTTGAAGAGAAGCGGCTTTATCACGGATTGTCCACTGGACCGTGTTGCAGGGTTTCTAATCTTGAAGGAAAGCCTGAACAGGTCTGAGAGAATTTGCATGATTGCAATAGTGTTTTGACCCAGCTCTGTTCGCGTATTAATGCCTTCTTGTTCATCTGAGCTGCTTTCATCGCCGGAGTCTCCCCACAAGTCTTCGTCTTCGTCAGCCGAAGTCAATGACTCTTCGAGTGGCTTTCTGACGCCGCGGACCACTTCGATGCCTGTTGCATACAGTCAGGGTCATATTGCCATCGTGCTCAGCGCGGCCTGACCTACTGCTTATGACCGTCTTTTCCAACTGTTTCAGGAGCTTGTGAACAGCCGACTGCATGAGGATCGACTCCTGAAGACGGAAGTCTAGCGAAGCTCGTCCTTCCTGAAGCGCACCGAGATTACCGGCCCATATTTTAAACCGGTCTCGTTGATTTCTCAGCGTCTGGGGTGGCATGAGAGATCTGTACTCGTTCCCGGCCACTTCCAGTGACGATAACAGCTGGTTTAACGCCGCGAGGCACAACTTGCTGGGTGCCACCAGCGGGAAGGCCGGAGGTATTTCCATGCTGTCAGTTTGAGGAATAGTTGTCATCATCCGGCCAAGTCGAGAGATTTATTTGCGATTCGTTCCTTGGTCAGCGCTTGGAAGCGGCAGGCCATCAGGCTGCCGTGCAGGACGCTAGCCGTAAGCGGTGACGGAGAAACATCTCTTGCGCGTGCCCGGCGACAAGTTCGTGATATTCCCGCATCTCGCTGTTAGCCTCATCGCGGCAGGGAACCGTGCGACAGTTTTGTATCATGGCGGAAATCGCTGGTCTGGTCCTGGGTGCCGTTCCCCTATTGATATCAGCAATTGAGCACTACGAGGACTTTGTGGAGCCGACGGTAGCCTTCTTCAAATGGAAAGGTCAGCTGTCCAAAGTAACCCGACGCCTCCTGATGGGACACACAGCATACGAGCAGAATGTCCGCCTGTTGCTGAAGCAGGTCGTAAGCAACGAAGACCTCGTTGACATGATCAATGATCCGCAAAGCGACGACTGGAAAAGCGAGTGGCTCGTTAAGGACCTCCGTGAGAAACTAGGCAACGCGTACCAGCCGGCCTTTAGCACAATACAGGAGATCGCCCGTATCATGATTTCTGTCGCGGCAAACCTCAACATTGACGGTTCTGATAAGGTTCGATCAATTCATCAGGACTTGCTGCGGGCGACTTGAGCTGACATTCTTGACTCTTGACAGGTTACACAGGACGGGTTGGAGGCGATCGTTTTTGCCAATCCTCCAGTCTCTGAAACGCCTATTTTTCGGCAGAAATTCCACTTCCGGAAGCGCGTCGCTTTCACCATGAAGCGTCGAGCCGTGGGCGAGAAGCTGGAACAGCTCGACGAGTGTAATGCGAGACTGTACGGCTTTTTGGAGAAGGCTGCGAAACTTCAGGACAACGTGCAAAGCGACTCGTCAGAATCGCGGGTCCGGATCCGCTTTGTAGCACCGCTGCAAACTATCCAGCAAAACGCCTCTAGGATCCACCGAGTATTGTCGCGCAGCTGGTGCCGGACTCATGGCGCCCACGAGGCCGGGCTGCTCCTGGAGCAGAGATTGGTGCGGCGCCAACGGCGGGCCTGGAGAGGTTCATCCCGGGCGGTCGGCTCGATGAACTGTTTCGGCCTGTGTATCTGGAGGGAATCAGTTCTGACCTGGCTCAACACCGAGTTCAACTTGGATGACAATGATGGCTCTGATCCTAGGTGTGTGATTCGACTTTCTACTCCTAAGAGACTGACCGGCTAAGGCTGGAAACACAGCATCCGCCCTGGGGTACCAACGATAACATTCTCTGTTCCTGATCCTCAACTCAGGCTGGTCCAGGATCCTGCATCGATCCAAACCATTACCGAAATCTGTTCGAGAATTCAGGCCGCTGCACACCCATTTGTGGGCTTCAACCTCGACTCATCAGACGAGCTGCGTGGTCCATGCGAGGTGCAAAGCCCGCCGTGCGATTTGATCGCCAACGGCGTCTCGCTAGGTGACTACTTGCCAAGTCTCAAGCAGAATATCTCCTTTCCGGAACTCTACACCCTAGCCATCACCTTGGTCTGTTCCGTTCTGCAGCTTAGCGAAGCCCCGTGGCTCCGTGAGCCGTGGAGCCGTGAGGATATTCTGTTTCTGCGACCCGGGAGCGCGGATAACGGCCCAGTCGATGTTCGGCACCCATATCTGACTAGGAGATATCCTGTAATAGGTATGTTGCAAGCACGTCCTGCCTGTGGAGTCCCCGTTGCGATTAAGGTTAATGGAGCATCGAAGCAGATCTCAAAACGACGGAACCCAAACTAGAGGACCAGCCAGACAGGCTGAACTTGCTCGCCCTGGCCGTCATGCTCCTGGAGATCAACGTCGGCAAGCCCATAGAGAGCCTTCGTATGCAGCAGGACATGGGGCGCGACGGGAGTTTTAACATGGGTGCGGACCTATCGACAGCGCAGAGATCTCTCGAGACGCAGGTGAGCCAGGGCAAGTTGACGTCAGCCTTCACAAAAGCCATCACCTACTGCCTGCAGTGTTATCTCGATCCGACTGCGTCGCTCCGCAACTATGAGTTTGCAAAGACAGTCGAGGAGCGAGTTCTGGAGCCTTTGGAGCGGGAGATGCAGTGTCTTCTCTGTTGAGCGGCGTACACTGCAACCTTCCAGACATGCCTCTAAAGCAATGAGATTAGCTTCCGAAGATGACGTCTGTGTTTTCGGCCTTATATATAGATGCTGTAACCTTAGAGCTCTGCCACAGGTGATTTTCTTGCCCTATTCTCCTAGGCGTATCGTTTATTTCTCAACTCTAGTAGTATTTGTTATGCTTATCTAATGAAATATAAGCACTTGGCTACATATCAACTAGTTATATTTCTACTGTTCCCATGTGGACGATTAGTGCTTGACATGTCGTCTACATGCATGTTTCCCATCCATCGTCTATGACAGTGAGGTTTCCATAACCCGATCTCACAACCTCAGTGTCGACAACAAGAACAGCAATAAGTCTCGCAGGACTCTCCTTGCTATAGTTTTCGCTGACTGTGTGATGACAGCCCGGCAGCTCCATGAAGCTTTCTCCCACCCCATACACTTTTGGCGGATTTCCGTTCATGCCGCTGAGTATTTGTCCTTCAACTACAAGTCCCACCACTGTAGCACCGCCGTGTCGATGGGGAGGAGTGAATCCACCTGGTTGATAGGCCACTTCGATACCGACGATTGACTTTCCCTCCGCGTTTTTCAGCTCGTGATCATAGAGTACCTTGACGGTTTCTCGTGGCCGAGATACTCTGCTTCTACGTTTTAGCTTGGCACGGAGGCTCTTGGCTTTGATTTACTGACCTGGTTGTTCCTTTCTTCGAGTCCATTTTCCTAGTTGGTTGTTGTGTAGAGACTGGAGTGAGATGTTTTCCTTCCTTAGAATGTTGCAGTTCGAGTTCATTTATATAAGTTTTCAAAATATTGTCGTTGGGGAAGACTAAAAGTCGGGCCTATGGGGTGTAGGATTGGTGTCAATGGCAGCGTCCGAAGGACAAAAGCCCGGATCGGGTCACCGTGTTCGAGTACGTGGATACTTGGCGTACGGGGTATCTGGGTACAGGTACGTGCCCGCGGGTATCCGGGAAACTCCACCCTGGCGGATTACCGCAACGGCTGCCCGCAGTGGAAGTCCACAGACAAGGGCAAGATCAAACAATAAGGGCCACGCACATTGCTTTCAACTCCCATCGACTTCTTATGGGTGGCTCCATATAGGACCATACGATAATTCATCGTCAGTGACTCGGTGGCAAAACCAGTGCCACAGACTCCACCAGAGCTACCTCAGACAAGATGAACGCGGTTGAGGCCTTGGGAGACAAGAATGCACCGGTTGTCAATAGAGTACACGATTATCAAGACCTAATACCCATGATGCAGAGGTTCTAGCTCAGATTCACATGCTTCGACCGGCAGGGTAGAAAGGGCAAGGGAGAACAGGAAGCCGCGCCATTCTGTTGGGTGGATAGGGCGATTGGACTCCTCCATATTGATGGATGCGAAGTTGAGTTTGAGAGAAGATGGGATTACCGCCGCTTCTATGACAGATGCGGGGACTCGGCTATTCGGGGACCCGTTGCCAATAGCCCGGGTACCGATGCAAGCCACCACACTGACGACAAGGCATTGCACTACATTGACATACTCCCCAAGTCATTGCGGAAATCGCCATGTCCAGCGGTAGGCTAACAGCTCTTTGATCTGAAAGATTAAAGACTATGGTTGTGGATGTGAAATGTCCGAGAACATGGATGCAAAAGTGTATAAACTGCTGCGAAGCGGATGTCCGACCATTCGCTCTATGTGACAGCAATTATCAACGCTGTCGCATACCTGAGTTCATCTAAATGACGTCTTTCTTCAATCTCGAAACCAAGTCCAGACCGCGAGTTTTGTTGGAAACCCAAAGTTGACGATGACCAGTAATATCGTCATTTATGGTGCCGGTCTGACCGGTGTCAGACCATGGAATGAGTCATCAAGACGCGATTAAAAAACAAAGATCAATTTAGAATGCACCCCGTCCTGTTCTCTCTCCCTTCTTCGATCGTTCATCTCATCTTTCCGTGCATCTCAATCAAAAACTATTTTACCATTGAAAATCAATGCTCCAGAGAAGAGCGCCCTGATACACGCCCCTATGTGAGGGATGCCTGCACGCTACCGGCCCGCCGCAACGGCCCCATGTGGCTCCGTCCGTGCGGCGCCCGAGTCCGAGTCCAGCCGAAGCGGAGCCTACCCCGCCCGAGCAGTCCGAGCATCCGCTCCGCCGATGGCTAGCTGGACATCCACCACATCGGCGCCGGTCTCTACCCCTAGCAGTCTCGCAGATAACGGCTTCGGGAGTCTGGGAAGGGCTCGGTACACCGAGGTTTATGTTCGAGTTTCCTTGATTAAGATGATGGATGGAGAATGGCCCCCGGTGCTGATGGCGGCAAGGATGCGACGTGCTGTGGATCGTGGTGAGTCGTAGCTGAAGCCGATGTCGGAGCGGGCTCTGGTAGACGGGAATTGTTCATAGATTGCAAAGGAGCAAGAACTTGATGTGGGCATCGACAGAGCTTCGCGCCGGGCTTTGAATGTGGCGCTCGTGATCAGTGTGGAGATCTCGGGAAAAAAGCTAAAATGGCTCAAGGTCAGTTAGCGTTGTGGAAGATCCCGTGTGTGAAGCTGGAATTTGTATGATCCATGGTACACAATCCACGAAAAAGGTCATCATTGTCCATGAAAGTCGCAACCAAGTGTTCTCGAAATAGTTCTTCATTATGCGCATTTCTCATGCAAAGGTAAGAAAAGGGGGGAGGGGTAGTAACGATAGCCCAATGCCTCAGCTTAGCCGCCAAATCCAATACAACAGACGTCCCAGTTCGTGAACAGATGTCGTTCGTCCCGAACTCCCATTAAACGCCCTTTTTGATCATGGTGCAAACCGCATTCATCCCTGTGGTATACAATAGCTTTTCTCCTGAAAATCACAAGAGACAAGACACCATCTTCCGTACCGTGAAAACGCCGTCGGTCGAAACAAAAGTCGCAAACAGCCCACTTATCGTCTCCAGAAGTCATACCCCTATCTTCTCTAACCAGAGTTTTCTCTTTCCGCGCAATGGCACAGGCCGTTTCGACACACCTCTAGGATGGATTGTAGTGTTTTTTCATGTATTTTCTTTTTTCAGGTCTTGTTTCCTTTGCCGAGGAGACTAAAACCGAGGCGCTCACGCCCAGAAAGGCCCCGCCTCAGTCTGCGCCCTCTGCCACCGCTGCGCCTCGGCGAGCCTCTTCTCGAGCTCCTGGTTCTCCTTCCACAGTTGCCCATTCTTCTTTTCCAGGTGCGTAATGTACTCGGTCGCCTTGCTCAGGATCGTGGCCTTGTTGAGCTTGCGCGCGGGCATCAGGCCGCCGAGCTCCTCAACGACGTCGAACGGCTCGTCGCTCTCGGCGGCGGCGGCGGTGGCCTGTGGGTTCTCCGTCTGCTGGACGACGCATCGCAGCGAGGGGACGGCGTCGCGGAGGGCGATAATCTTCTCGTTGATGTTTACGCGGTACCGCTTCTCGATCATGTTGTGCGGGTTCTTGGAGGGCTCCGCGTGCTTTGTTCGGCGGGCGGGGGGCTCGGGGGACGCGGAGCGGGAGGAGGCGGAGGAGGCGGAGGATTTGCGCTTGAGGTCGTTGTTGCGCGGGGAGGTCCTTTGGGAGGGCTGCTGTTGTGATTGTTGTTGGGGCTGGGGGCGAGAGGCGGAGGCGGATGTTGTCCTTACGGGACGCGGGGACTTGATCTGCTGTTGTTGAGGTTGGGGTTGGGGGCGGGCGGGCGCGTCGAGGGACTGGAAGAGGGGCTGGGTGTCGTTGATGCCCTCGCGGCCAAAAGCGACGGCGTCGGACATGAGGTCGGCGGGGTTGGCGGTGGGCTGAGGGTGATGTTCTGGGAGGAGAGGAAAGACATTGGGCTGCCAAAGGCCTCGCCGTAGAAGACGTCGAGATCTGGGGAGAGAGCAGGCTTCTCGAAGTAGACGGGCCAGTCACCGCCGGAGGGGAGCTGGAAAGAAGAGGCGGGGAAGACGGGGGACACGGGCGAGCCACGGGACGGGGCAGAGTCGGCGCTAAAATCGGCCTGGTTGTCGTAGAAGGAGAGGGGGGAGAGCTCGGGCGGGCTCTGAAAGGGTGTGTTAGTGTGTGTCGATTGGATTTATGAGAGTGAATTAAAGGTTGTTCGTGAGACCAATTCGCGAGGTCTAGTGTAAGGCGGGAAGGGTGATTGGTTAAGAAAAGTTTACAAACCATTGATTGTGGCATCTGAGGTACTTGATTGTAATCGAAGGATTGTTGTTGAGCCATGGTGCGATTCATGAAGGAGTAGGTTGACTAGGGTAGGGACGGGGTCTGATGATGGGTCGTTCTAAAAGAGTCGGCGTTGAAAGAGGAGCGAGGGGAGGTGGCGTTATTCTCGACGAGCAGATGGAAGCTTGTGTTCAGATATGTTGTGTGTTGGGGTGCCAATGGCGAGAGGGAGGTATGATGTTACTTGATTGAGGCTGATGGTTCGAGCATGGACAGGTGGGGAGACATAGACAGGAATGCAAAGCTATATACTAGACAAGTGAAGACGGGCACTCACAATGGCCAGGGATGCACACCCTTGAGCCACGAGCCGGGGTCCGGCTCCCGGCTGGGATGCGGGTAGGGTGGGTAACGAGAATGGGGTGATGGTAAGGCGGGTGCGGGTTGAAACGGCCACACAACTGGCGATGGACGGGTTCGTCATACGACAGAGAGATGGGCACGGGGTGGTCGACAGAGGAAATTGTGACGAAAAAGGTAAGACGGCGAAGACCCCTAGGCTGATGTGGTGCCGGGGGCATCTTTGGTCTATGGTGCGGGCGGACGGATCCGACGGTGGAAAAGACCTGATGATTGACATGAGATGTGGTATGGGAAGTCCCTTTGACACATGCACGAGGGGGGGCAGTGGTCCGCCGGGTCTGGGCGTGGTGAGCAAGCGGGCCATACGGACGGCGTACGGCGTGCCTGGCAAGGATGCAAAGAGGGCGACTTGGGGAGAGGTCAGGGATGGCACATACAAGCACACACACTGCTCGGCTGCATACAGGACTACCGGGTGGCCACCTTTACTCGCCGGACCAGCTCCGAGCGTGTGTTGTGCGTGGCCGGGTGGGCATCCGGTTTCCCAACGAGCTTCTCGAGATGCGAGTTGTACGCCTGTATTTCTGATCCGCTGAGGAGGTTTGTGCTCAATATGCTACAGTCTTATGTGCACATGTGCCGCACAATATGGGCTCAGGGGCAGAATGAGAGGTGCGTTGTTCGTGGATGACTGTACACAATCAGCACATGCTCTAGGTATGCAGAGAAGTTTTCAGTGGGATTATGCACTGCCTACCAAAACACTCAGCCCTGGGCTGAACGATGTTGGTGCTGCTTAGCTACTCACACCACCCAGTCCGGACTCGGCTAGGCGCGAAAACATAAAAGAGTGCGTCAAAGTGTCTGAGTGACCAGGGTACGTAGACTAGGGTAGACCAGGGTCAGGGGAGTGTTAGTGCAAATCCCGGAACGAGACACGACGAGATGGAAAGAGAATAGAACGATGGAGGGGCATCTCGGGAACTTGGCGGGACTAGGAGCCTGCTAGCTATCTTTGCGAGACGGCTATGTTGACTAAATTGCGGAATGCCCACAAGGCCATGGGGCATCGGAAGCGAGCGCCTTCATCGCAACCACCCGCAAGCAACCGGCACGGCATTCTTTGCTGCCAGTGTGAACGCCGCCAACATCTTGCGTGAGATCTGACAACGGGAAGTTGGGCAAGTAGCGGTTCATCTTTTGCGGTTGCTCGAAACCCTGGGACCCGACCATGTTGATCTTAGGTGTGGTGTCCCCTGGGCTTCCAATCCCATGTGAAGGACGATGGGACGATGGGCACTAAACATAGTTCAATGACCCTGAAATCCGTCACAAACCTGTCAAAAGTGCGCTCAAACGCTCTCAAAAACCAAGAGCGAAACCCAAAATCCCGTACAGACCTAGATTGGGGAGAGGGGTGTCCGTTGCGAATTGGGTTGCGCTCCATGAAAACCATCGAATCTGGACGTCAGGCATTACCTAATTGGCGGACGGGGCCGGTGAAGGTTTCTTGGGAACCGGCAAATGCGCTGATCCAGGGTGGCCAGGACGTTTCCTGACGTGCAGAATGGTCATGTAGTGATGCCGTGGACGGCAAGACTGACGTCGTTGCTAGATGTTGAAGAGGCTTTGTTTCCTGGCTAGACGAAGCTATCTCTCGCTGCTGTTTCTGGCGGCCGTTGCAGATTGTCTCTTTGCCCGGCGCCCGTTTGACAGCTCCTGCGTGCGATCGAGATCTCCAGGGTCCCCTCCCACCCATGCGCGCCTCCGGCTCCAGCCCACTTCCCTGGCACGGGGAGCAGAAGTTCCAGGACCCAGTCTTTTCGGAGGGCAGAGGATTCCGAAGGCTTCACGGCGTGCCATAGAGGCAGTGATTTGCTGGTAATTTGCGCCGCGCAAGTAGAGCGTGATTCCCCCGGGATGATGCCCCAGACATGACCCGAGTGGTTGGCAGCGCAGCGTAGCTGGTACACACGCTAGTAAGTGCTGTCTGTAATCTACAGAGTACACCAGTGCATAGCTGGGGAGCTGTGAATGAGAAACATGGTCGGGGGTGCTCACTCAGACCCCGAAGACACTGGCTACAGGCCTCAAAGGATTTCCGCACTGGAGTGCGAGAGCCCCGCCGGTCCTCGGTAATGGAAGAGTGATGCCACAGAGAATTAGACGAGGCACCTGTCATCGCTACGCGTGGCGGCGCATGGCCGGGAGACTGGAGTCTAGGCAGTTTGATGGAGCCTCATTCATTCTCGATGATGCATGCATTGGAGATTGGGTGTAAAAAAATATTAAAAATTAAATAAAATGTGTGCTCAAGGTCGATGAGGATGGTTGAATAGGTATGGTCCCGCAATCCCTGGAGCAATTGGACCGCATCGCGGGCATTCAAAGGCGCGCGCCGGCGCCCACGAGCAGATGAGCGAGATGAGTGAGTGACTAAGGTGTGTGTGTTGGTTCCAAGGTTAGGTGCGTATTGGGGCGTGGAGGGCGTGTCTTGGTTCGACCAACGAGTCAAGGTGGTCTGATTTTCCTGCAGTGTCGAATGTGCAAAATCCAACAGCCCATCCGCCCAGAGAATCGAACGAGCGCCGAGTGGCCCGGCCCAGGCCGGAGCCAATAGGGCGGCCGGCTCCCACCCAAAGTACCCCGCCTGCTGATTTGGCGGCAGAGGTACACGGTCGAAATGTTCCGGTGTTTGTGGCAGGACCCATCCCGATTGTTCCCGTGCTCCTTCTGAAATTTCTCAAGTGGCCGTGTTCTCGATCCATCTTCGATCCATTTTCGAAAATCTCCATTTATGCCTTGTTCATGCTTTTCTTACTTTTCTTCCGAGATGCCTTACGGATGGATGCCTAGGTCGGCTTTCCCTTTTCTTCGCCTCCGAGTCCCCGGCCGGCCGTTGGTGCCATTCTTGGTGACGACATGCATTGGGTGGGTATCTCGGTGTACATCCATCCATCTTCGTCCAAGTGACTCCAGGGCCGCTACGCTATCCCTGAACCGGGCCTTGGACATGTGCAAGCCCAGATACGATGCTCGAACAACGCTCGTCATTGTCGACCATCCGTCAGCTTTACTCTAACAACATCAACATTGCAATGCGCTCGCCCACCGATGAACGATGGGATTTGCAGCGGTGCAGCGGGATCGCCTGTGGAGTGCCTCTCATCCTACCTCATACCTACCACGGCGAGTACTGATCGACGCGGACGGGTAGCTCTTATGCTACCCTGTTCCCTGCATTCGCGTCCATCCTATGCCCGCTTCTCCTCACTTACACGCATCCTCGCAGAAGTCCAGCTCCATCTCCAGCTTCAGCTCCTGCAACTCCAACCCCCGAACCCCAGCCAGCCTGCCTTGAGAGAGCCCCATCTCGGTCTAGGCAACGTCTTCTCCTCACAGCTCCCCCGAGAAATACAACGTCGAAGTATCACATTTCACTTGTGACTTCGTGGGCAATGGCAGCAACTAGCAGTATGCGAAACAATTGGCGTCTGGACCGAGCGGCGGAACTGGGCCAAGCCCAGAGTCGACAACTCGTTTCTGCATGTCGCGTTCAGAGGAAATTGCTGCTGATCAGGACACGGGCGACAGATGCAAGAAACGCACGCCTCCTGGGTGTTGTAGGAAGTTTACCCAACACACGCGCTCGGTGTATGTCGTTCATCTGTTCATCAGCAACCCTCGCGGGCTCCTCAAACTCCGAAAGCGCCACTCGCCGTCCGTAGGACTTCGGATCCTACTGGTCATGCTACAACCCTCTCCATCCATGTGCCGTATTCGTTATGCGCAAAGGAGTTCAGGACGGCACTCCTGTCCACCTCTGCCACTCACCGATTCCTTACAGGAACGCAGGAATTTCGAAGGTGGGGACCGAGCAATGCGAAGCTGTTGTGTTCGGCAAATCACATGCCCAATATTGCGACGACTCGCAGCCGCGAAAAGAAAAACGCAATGCATCTTTCTCGTCCGTCCATGACTATACGCGCCACGAGGCCGTCGTCTATTCGCCAGCGGATGGGTCCCGGACGGATTCGCCTGCAGGATCTAAGCAGCGAACGCGCATATAGGACCCTGCAGCCACGTCCGAGAGGGCATAAATTCCGTCAGGAAAAAGGGGGGTTCGCGCTGCACACTCAATTTTTAAATTGAGTTGGCGTCCGAGCAAAGGCTCTGGGTGCTCATCAGTTCGTCCGAATGTGGCGACTTGCCTTTCCTTCCTCAAATCCAACGGCGCGGCGGCCGGCTGCTTGCTTTCCCGTATGTGCCAATTTCGGATTGTTGCTGCGGGCCGTGGAACTTTTTTTCTTCTTTTCCCTGCCGGTTGGCTCCACGCCGGTGTGCAGCTCGCTGTCACGCTCAACAAACTTCCAACGGCACCGACTCACGACTTGCAGGTTTTGTGCACAAACCCGACAGTCAATGTGATGTGGCGTCGGAAGCGCAAGCTGACTTCTGACTGAACGAAGAACGCTGCGTTTGCTGGAGGTCGGAGCCTTGAATCAAGCGATTCATGAGTATGTTCCTAGAACTCTGTTGCTTCGCAATCACTTTCAGAGTGATAACAGTGACTGTGCGGAAATCCGTTTGGACAGGCTCGCGATGACTTTACCAGAGTCATCGCAAGATCAGAAGCACAGTTTGGGATCTATATAGCGTTCAGCTTTGATGCGGGAGCAAGAGACTGCTATGAGAACAAAATCAGAGACACTTAAAACCCCAGCTACTTATCAAAGCCAGAACAATGCCTAGCGCCAAGAAGCCCTCCATGGAGCATCCTCCTGCGCCCATTGCCGACCTCGTTGACACCTTCAAGCAGGAGATCCCTGTCGATATCACCGACACAAATCCTTTCTCCCTAGACATGAGCCAAGGTATGCCGCGCAAGGCCCTGCCGCCTTTTACTCTGAGCCGGACGCCTGTTCGTCCTCGCACCTCGGCTGAGATGTTCGCGGAACTCTTGCAGGTTGACCAGACCCCAGAACACATTCCCTCCCGCCCCGTGACGCCGACACCGTACCGTCGCCCTCAAACCCCTGTAATCAAGTCCTCCCCCAAGTCGGGGTCGCCGCCCTTTAGGACACCGGAGAGCAACCGCACCATCACCCGTCTGCGGGTTGTCGAAATGGAGACCAGCCCGACGTCATCGTCGGGTTCCCAACGGAGCTTCGACACCGAGGGCGACGTGCGGATGCGCAACGGCACGTGGACCAGCCCTGAGGCGGCGCGCTTCCATCAGCGAGAGGAGATTCGGGCCATGGTCGTTCAGAGCGTGCACGACAACTTCGAGTTCGAGCGGGACCGGTTCGGGGACGGGATCCAGGGGCAGGTTCTCGCGACGATCGCAGAGGATGTCAAGTGGCTCGTTCACGACAACTTCGAGGCCGCGCTGGCGAGGGCGATGGGGCGGCCTGAGGAGAACGAGACGGTAGCGGTGCAGCTTGTCAGGGAGCGGCTGGGGCGGCTGAGCGACGAGGCGCGGGTGAGAGTGTTCTGTACGCCTGAGATGCTGGAGATGTTGAAGAGGCTGGTTAGTTTGGTGGACTTGGAGATTAGGACGGAGGCGTGGAGTTTGGTCGAGGTGGATGACAATTGGATCGGATAGATGGGTTGGAACTGCCGTAGAGAAGGTAAGTTTCGGTAGCATAGGTAGGTCCCATCCAAGGGAACCCAGTCAGTGAGTTCAATGAACAAGTTTTCCCATGCATTTACTTCTTAGCCCACAAGTGCGAAGTCGAGAACGACTCTGTTTCGCGACAAAGCTGTAGGAGACGTGCGCCGGTTGCTCTTTCCTGTGCTCCTGGACCTCATCGCGCCCGTCATGACATACCTGACAAGAGAAAGGGGTATAGACCCTACAGTCTTATGCAGTGAGATGTGCCAGATGGGTTTTGCGTCTCGCCATCAAGGAGAGCGCTGCAGTGAGGGCAACACTGGACTGTGAAGGGCAGTACACACGATGATATTCTCATATACGAGCATGCAAAACCATCAGGAGAGTCATCGTTCAGGAGGGACAGTTTACAGGTTTACTTACACGCTACACCACCAGACACGGCAAGATTAGGATCGTCTTGCGCACACTCGCATGCAGAGCGACTAACTCCGTACACCAGTCTATGTAGGAATTGATTTTCTAATGATCTGGTTACCTTGCGGATTTAGCGGCGATTTCTAGGTCTAGCTCCGTTATACAACACTGGCAACGGGTAGCTGGCGGCGTTAACGGGGATGCAGACTTAAAGGCGTCTTGCTAGGCCTGCATTAACAGCACTGGGACGTATCCGGCAAGGATGTGATTGTCACGTGACGCATATCCGATCGGCGTTAACAGTTGATTTGGTAGGCTCAGCTTCGTAGTAATTACAACACTGGCTGGATAGAGGTGTAAGTGGACGGCAAGAGCTACAATGCAATGTGTTTCACGGAAATCATCTCCGGCCATGACCTCCCCGCATTTCAACAGCCAGATGTATATATATAATTGCTCTGTGGCGGTGTTTCCAAAGGCCACTGAGTTGCATGTCAAGCCGAAGCAACTGAGCCATACGATTAACACCCATGTCTCTGTCAACACCTTCGCCTCCCTCGCCTGTCAATGGCATAGAGAAACCAAAATCCCCTGAGGAAGATGGTACTGCTACTGAAGAAAAAGCCGAGGATGCTCCGCAACCACCACCTGTTTCTTACCCGAAGGGTATCGAAGCCTTTTTCATCATGCTTGCCCTCATTCTCAGTATCACCCTCGTTTCTCTAGATCAGGTAAGTTCTCCTGCTCCAAGTTTCTCCACAGAGTCGTCTTTTGCCAGTCCGTCACACACCAGTAAACTGACTTTCTCGTTCCAGACCATTGTTGCAACCGCTATTCCCAAGATCACCGACCAATTCCACCGGCTCGATGATATCTCGTGGTACGCCTCGGCGTATTTCATGACGCTCGGAGCGTTCCAGTCGCAGTGGGGCAAAGTGTATAAATACTTTCCCCTCAAAACCAGTTACTTGGTGGCCATCTTCATCTTTGAACTGGGGAGTCTGGTTTGCGCTGTTGCTCGAAACTCCATGACTCTGATTGTTGGCCGTGCAATCTCCGGCCTTGGTGCCTCGGGCATCGCGCCTGGGGTATACACGATCTCTGCCTTTGCTGCCGAGCCCACGAAAAGAGCCACCTATACGGGGGTCATTGGTGTGTCGTATGGTGTCGCCGCTGTCGCTGGGCCCCTCATTGGCGGAGGGCTTACAAACGCGGCCTCCTGGAGGTGGTGAGTCTACAATGTTTTGTTGCAAGACGAGGCACTATTCTCGGTCATCGACTGCTGTTATGGCCGGACCTGAGCTGATACGACAACTTTAGGTGCTTTTTTATCAATCTTCCAATCGGCGGTCTAGCCGCCTTTGTCATCCTGCTCACCTTCAAGAACCCTCAAGCCGCCAAGGTGATCGATGCTACGCTCAAGGAGAAGCTTCTACAAATGGACTTCTTGGGGACGGTGCTGGTAATGGGCGCATCCCTCTGCCTGCTTTTGGCACTTCAGTATGCCGGTGTAAGCCATGCGTGGAATTCCAGCATTGTCATCGGTCTACTAGTCGGCTTTGTTGCATTGATGATTGCACTCGTCATACTAGAAACATGGCAAGGCGAACGCGCCATGCTAACCCCACGGCTTGTGCGCAAACGGACCGTCTGGGTCAACGCGGTATACGGCTTCTTCTTCGCGGGCGCGTATTTCGTCACGCTCTATTTTCTGCCCATCTATTTCCAAAGTATCGACAACGTCAGTCCGATTGGCTCGGGCGTGCGCAACATTCCTCTCATTGTCCTGTTCAGCATTGCCACATACGGCTCGGGCGTAGCCATTACGAAGACGGGTATTGCAGCGCCTTATCTGACCGTTGGCTCCGCGATCATCACCATCGCCGCTGGGCTGCTGTTTACTCTCGACGTCGGGACCTCGACAGGCAAGTGGGTTGGGTACCAGATCTTGGCGGGCTTCGGATACGGCCTCGCCCTCCAAGTCCCAGTCATTGTCGCGCAGGCTTTTGCGGAGCCAGCCGATATCGCTCCCACGACTGCAATCATTATATGTGAGTGTGTCCTTCGCCCTGTTCTATCGCCGAAGCTGATTGTGTCCCCCGTGCACAGTCGCTCGATCTCTCGGGGGCACATTCATGCTCGCAGCCGCGCAATCCGGCTTCGTCAACCAGCTCGTCCACAGGCTTGCCACCACCGCGCCGGGCGTCAGTCCCGCCCTTGTCACGGGGACCGGTGCCACGGAGCTGCACCAGGTGTTTTCCGGAGCCGAGCTGGACGGCGTTATCCGTGCGTACGCATGGGGTATCAAGGTTGCCTTTGCAATCACTATCGCGGCCTGCGGCATCACTTTCCCTGTCAGTCTGTTAAGCAAGTGGGATAATGTGAACGCGAAGAAACAACCCGCTAAGGGCGGTGCTTGAGACCGCTGTTCTGACGATTGTGCCAACGGAGAGTTGCCGTTCCCCCTCTAAGGAGACTATCCATTATGTACGACGATGTGGATAGCTTGAAGGGAACGGAACGAAGGAATGCATCCAAGGAAGGAAATTGAGGGTGCCTATTCAAGGCCGAGTACCTAAATAATGTATTGAGTAGGACTGCATGGCCTAGGGAGAGGACGTGTTTGGTAGTCCTCATGCCATTGTCCAGCTCTGGTGCAGCTCCGATATATCTTAGGCGCTGGCAGGGCACGCCAGCTTCCCACGGCCGGTCGTACGTCCCCAAGTTTCTAGCGTTCTCACGTTCTTGCGTGGGTAAAGAGAACCGTAAGATATGGGTGCGATGTCGTAGAGCTGGCTGTTCTCAAAGGGATACACCTCTGAGAATTCTACGAGTCCGAGAGAGGAATATTCGGACACCTTGTTAGATGTGAGGGAGACTCTTGCGCCACAACGTAATAGAACTAAAAGTTTGAGGAGAAAAAGAGAAAACTAAATGGTTTCTTAGTCAAAACCGGATGATTAGTTGCTTCAATTTGGACAGGTTCCCGGAGTTCCCCGTCAAGTTATTTTTCGGCCACTTGGCTCTACTAGTCTTGGAAAGTACCAAGTCGAGTCAGATTCGTTTCCATTGCCATAAATGTGCTGGATATAACTCGCCTATATCCATGTATTTAAGAGCTATATCTTCGATTGGTAGAAACAATTCCGCCGAGCTGCACAGCAGGGCATGTTTCACTTACAGATTGTGATTAGGCATACGGCTTATTTAGACTACTTGAGATCAGTGCGTTGTCTACGTAGACTGTAAATACTTGCAATCCGACACAACTCATTTCCATCTCGTTTCAAAATCGTTGAAGTGCACGCGAGTGCCGTCTTTCAGTCTCAAGGTCGATGATGTCGTCTTGAAACTCTCGGTGAAGGCGTCATCGGCCAGGTGAGGAGGCTATTAGTAGGCGAACAGCTAGCACAGGCATCCTTGAGCTCCAGCAGCAAAGGACGCTAAAACAGCTCCGGACTAGCTAAAAGGGAGAGCTCCCGATCCACTTTTTCACCCGGAGGTCTGGCTCACCGTCACCCGCCGTTGAACCGTCTGCCACCGCTGCGGTCATCGCTGCTGCGTCATAAGGTAACAGCTGGCAAGTCCTCTTTTTTTTTTCCTTTCCAGAAGCTCCCGCCATCCACGTCGCCCCCTCCCAGGCTACCAGCCTCCCGATCCCGTTCCTTTCAACATTTTGCTTCTCACGGGGGTCACAACGACGGCTCTGCTCGTCTGTATTCCACCTTGCGCATTGCATCGCATCGCATTACCTACGACACCTTGTCTGTTTATTCCATTTGTTCCATCTTCTTCTTCCCTTTATCTCTCCTGTCTGTTTCAATACCGTGGGCAATGCCGCACTGAAGTCGGCACGTGTTCGCATCATTCTTCGCCATGGTCTCCTTGTGGCCCTGGAGGGTACGTTTGCGCCGCTGCATCCCCTTGCATCCTCTGCGACGGATAGTTGTAGAGTGCTTGACTGACAACATCCCAGGCCAACGACTCCTCCCCCGCCTCTTTTGAGAAGACGCTTTCCGCTCTTTCGGCGAAGATCACCGACACCCAGGCGAGGCTCGATGGCGCGCGCGCCACCTCCCGTCGCATCAGGGTGCTGTGGTCGCTGTACCTCGCCTTCGCATACCTCGTCTACTCGATCGTCATCTTCCTCGTGGTGGGAATGAACAGCATGGGCATTTGGGAATGGACTGGCGTCGCTGGAGGTCCGGTTCTGTACGTGGCTTTTGTCTCGCGGACCCCCGTTTGCGCCCACCGCGTGCTAACGATCATCACACAGAATCTACCTTACGCGAACCACCGTCACTGCCCTCTTCAATTACCGCATCGATTCGCTGTCTGTCCGCCTCAAGGAGCAGCAGGCCGAGCGTGCAAAGACCATCCAGAAGCTCAAGGAAGCCACCAGGTACGACACCACCTTGGAGCTCCTTGAAAAGTATGGCGGCGGCGAGGGCAAGGGCAAGGGCAGGAAGCAGAGCGCCGGCGATGAGGACAAGAAGCAGCGGCAGCAGCAGCAGCAACAGGGAGGCGGTCATAACAAGAGCGCCCCGGGTGGCCGCACGAACATGCCCCCTCCGCCCACCGCCAACATCCAGCGACGGGACGGTCCTTTCCCCGGCCAGGGTTCGCCTCCGCCCGGTTTCCCGGGTGGGCAACGCCCGCCCCAACCTCCGAACGGTCTCGAGCCCACGGAAGAGTTTGCCCCGAACGCATATGCCCACCCGCCGCCCCCGCCGATGCAGTCGCAGCACTTTGCGCAGGCCGATGGCATGCCTGGCTCGTCGCACTGGTACGACCGCATCATGGACCTTCTCCTCGGCGAGGACGAGACCGCGTCCAAGAACAGGATCGCCCTCATCTGCAAGAACTGCCGGTTGGTCAACGGCCAGGCCCCACCGGGCACGAAAGCCCTGTCGGAAATCGGTACGTGGAAGTGCATGGGCTGCGGGGCCACGAACGGTGAGATGGACGAAGGCAAGCGCATTATGCAGGAGGTCCTGGGCTCGCGGGCAGGCGGCGACGAAGTGCCCACGGGCGAGGAGTTCAAGGAGTCGGATAGTGATGATTCCGACGCGGCGATCAAGGAGGAAGACGGCGACCAACCCAACGGCGCGAAGGCGACGGGCCGACAGGGGCCTGCGGCGGGAACGAAGAAACGCAAGGGCAAGGGCGGGAAGTAGAACATTACGCAGCGAATTACGCCGCTAGCTACTTACAACAAGATTCCATAACATAGTTGCAGCTCATGAAGACATAACATCCTAAGCGCACCCATGCGGCGCATATCCTGGATACAATGCGGAATTGGAGCATCTAGTCGCAAATGTGGCAGAGAGGCGAGGTGTGCGGAATGCGCGCGGCGAGCCAAACGAACGTACGGAGCCGGCACTGACACAGTCACTGGCACTGGACATCGGGGCCAAATGTGGCTAGTGCTGAGGCTGAACACTAACGCAACGCAGAGAGGTCCCCACACTATGGGGGGGGCCAGTCCAGTCCGTGCTCCCGGTTCTGGCAGTTGTTTGGCAGAGAAGAAGACCTGGAACAGCTACTGTGCGTAAAGAAGGCTGAGAGGACACTTGTGAATTCCATGTACGAAGGGTCCCTTGCATCAGTTGCCGTTTCCCATTCTCACTCAACCCATCCCGAGCCACAGACACGCTGCCACACACATACCACGAAAGCACCCGTCGCACCCCATTGCCTTTCCTTTCCATCCTTTCTTCAACCGATTTGCGCCACCAATAATGCAGTGCCCTTGGATCCTCTGCATCGACGTCCGCGCATAGCTCTTTTGATTTGCTTACCTTACCCTGCCGCCAGAGCATACGATTCGGTCCATGGTCACAGGGTAATCCCATCATCCCTAGACCGGCAACATGTTCCAGGTTCGTCTCTGGTCCCAAACCCTCTTCACAGACCCAATGCAAACCTTCTGCGTTTCTCTTCACACACATCGCTTCTCATCGTCCTGCATCTCCGTCGTGGCTAACGACCTATGATGGGTTTCCAACAGAGGCTCAAGGGCGCCATCGATCGGACAATTGCGGAGGAACAGGCTCGACAGGAGCAGGCACGACAAAGGATAGAACCGGCAGGCGGCACGCCGCGCAGATCCGATTCCACCTCGCGGAACAACAATCAGTCGCCCGCGAGACGACCTCGCCCCAAGAAGGCAGGCGCGGCAGCTGACGTATCCAAGGACGACAACGGCGGCAGCCCCTCGAACCCCGACCCGGCCGTTTTTGAAGCGGCCTTTGCGCTCGACGACGGCGAGGAGCCCAGCCGCGCGGGAACGCCCAAGCCGGCAGCCGACGCCATGGACAAGGGTGACGAGAAGGTGAAGGAGAAGGCCGAGGAGGGCCAGAACGGGGAGAATGAGAAGGACAAGGAGGCCGAGGGCGCTGCGGGTGCCCCGCAGCTGCCGCGGCAGAGCCCTCTCCCGAGGTCCGCATGAAGCTTCGCAAGTTGGAGAAGCTGGAGAAGACGTACCCTGGTGCGTATCTCGTCTGCGATTGATTCCTGTCAGAAGTCGCGGTGCTAACGGATTGCAGAGCTCCTCCGATCCTATCGAATCGCCCACGGCCGTGCCACGTCGATTGAGCCCTTCGAACGGGTGCTCAAGGAACACACGAGCGTCGGGTCGATCCGCGAGCCCGAGGCGTTGGTGGAATACCTCAACTCGCTGAAGCAGAAGGAGCAGATGATCATGGACGAATACAAGCGGGTCTCGCTCGAAAAGGACGATTTCAAGAAGAAGTTTGAAGCGGCCGAGAAGGACGTGGAGAAGTTCAAGAAGGAGGTCGAGGAGCTCAGGGCGGCGCAGTCCGCCGCCCCGGCTGCTGGCGAGAAGACGGAAGAGCCCAAGGAGCAGGTCGATGCCGCGACCAGCACCAAGGACGACGGCTCGGTCAAGTCGCCCGACCCGTCCGCTGCCAAGTCGCCTCTGCAGCAGGCCCTCGGCATCTTCTCGCCCAAGCAAAAGGCGCAGGAGCCTGCGGGCGAGAAGCCTGAGGAGTCTGGAGGCGACTTCTTCTCCTACGATGAGGAGGCTCCCAAGTACGAGGCCGACATGGCTGCCAAGGAGGAGGAGATTGAGAAGCTCAAGACCGAGGTCAACTCGCTCAAGGCCGATCTCGCCTCTGCCAAGGACTCCAGCGCCGACCTCACTGAAAAGTTTGAGAAGGCGACAAAGGAGGCCGGCGAACTCCGTGATGTGGCTGCTGTGAAGACTTCCCTTGAGACGCAGCTTGAAGCGAGGAACAATGAAATCAAGTCGCTCACGGAGCGTCTGGAGACCTCGCAGAAACAGCTCAAGGAAGTGGAAGCTAAGCTCAAGGGTGAACTCGAATCCGCCAAGAAGGAGGCTAAAACCGTGCAGTCGAAGCTCAACGAATCTAATGCTCGTGCAGACAGGGAGGAGGCACGCGCCAAGGAGGCTGTCACTGCCAAGACTGAGGTCGAGAAGAAGATCACGTCATTGAACGGGCAGATTGAGAATATCAGGAAGGCCAAGGCCGAGCACGAGAAGAATATTGCAGAGCTCACCAAGCAGCTAGAGAAACAGGCCAGCGAGGCCCCGCCAGCCACCCCTACGACCCCAGGGCCTACGGACACCCCCGCAGCCGGCGCAGGCAAGAACGCCAAGAAGAACAAGAAGAAGAAGAAGGCCGGTGCCGCTGCAGCTGCTGCTACACCCGCGACGACCGCCGGTACCGACACTCCCCCAGCGGCCGACGAAGCCAAGGAGTCCGATACGGAGGCCTTGGAAGCGGAGATTACGCGCCTGAAGGAGGAAGTCACAACAAAAGACTCTCAGATTGAGAGGCTGACGAAGCAACGCAAGACCGAGGAAGATCTCCGCGAGGAGATTGAGACGCTGCGCGACGAAGTCACCGAGATTGGCCAGGAGCACGTGGTGGCCAAGGAGAAGATCAAGAACCTTGAGGCCGAGAAGAAGGCCCTGCAGACGCGCATCGAGGAGCTCGAGAAGGAGCTCGGGTCCTCGGCAAACGACGCCAAGGCGAGCGAGAAGCTGCAGAGCGAATTCGACAACCTGCAGCGCGAGTACGAAGACCTCAAGAGCAAGTCGTCGACCCTGCAGTCGGATCTGGGTGCTGCTCAGCAGCTGGCCCAGACCAGATTCAAGGACCTCACGGAATTGCGCGAGGTGCTCCAGAAGGCCCAGCCCGAGATGAAGAGTCTGCGTCAGGACTCTGTCGCTCTCAAGACGACCAAGGAGGAGCTGGCCGCGAAGAACACGGAACTCCGCAACCTGGAGAAGAAGGAGAAGGACCTCAAGGCTGACGTCGCCCGGGTCCAGCGGCTGGCCACGGATCGCGAGACGGAGATCAAGTCGCTCCGCGAGAAGCTGGCGAACGAGACGAACAACCGTCTCCGTCTGGAAGACGCGCAACGGGTTTCCGCTCGTGATTTGCGTCGCTCCGAGGCCGAAAAGGTGGAGATCAGCGCCAAGGAGGAGAAGACGGCTCGGGAGCTGCAGAAGGTGCAAGAGGAGGCCAACAAGCTGCGGCCCAGAGTCAAGGAGCTTGAGGAGCAGGTGGAGAAGCTCGAGAAGGAGAAGAAGTCTCTGCAGCAGGAGGCGGACCTCAAGACGCAGCAGTACGCCAACGCGCAGGGTCTGCTCGGCAGCATGCGCGACCAGACGGGCGAGCTGACCATCCAGCTCAAGGAGGCCCGTTCTCAGTCGGAGTCGCTCGAGGAGGAACTCGCCGAGATCCAGAAGCACCTGTCGGAGCGGTCACGGGAGGCGGAGAGGATGCGCGGCCTGCTCGCCGACGTGGACGAGCGCGCCGACAGCAAGGTGCGCGAGATGCGCGCACGCATGGAGGCGGCCATTGAGGAGCGGGACCGCATCGAAGACGAATCCAGCACGCTCGCCCGGCGCAAGACGCGCGAGACGGAGGAGCTGAAGCAGAAGATCCGCGACCTGGAGCGCGACATCAAGACGCTGTCGAGCGAGAAGGACGAGCTGGAGCGCAAGGAGCGGGAGTGGCGCAAGCGGCGCGAGGAGCTCGAGGCGGTCGAGGAGAAGGCCGAGGCCGAGGTCGAGGAGATGCGGTCGGCGGTGTCGGACCTGCGGTCGACGCTCGACGCGTCGGAGCAGCAGGTGCGAGACGCGGAGAAGCAGAAGTCGGACCTGCGGCGGCTGCTGGAGGAGTCGAAGCAGCGGTTCGACAAGGTCAACAAGGAGCTCAAGACGGTGCAGAGCAAGTTGGGCGCCAGCGTCACGTCGGGCCGCAGCTCGATGGACTCGAACCGTTCCGGACTGAACGGAGCCGGGTCGCCCGGGCCCGGCGGCGGCGGATCAGCGGACACGATGTACCTCAAGACGATCATGCTGCAGTTTTTGGAGCAGAAGGACAACAAGCTGCGGGAGCAGCTCGTTCCCGTCTTGGCCAGGATCCTGAAGTTTGACAAGTACGTTATGTGCGGTTTTATGCAGGCCTCAAGACCACGGTGCTAACGCGATGACAGGACCGACGAGCAAAAGTGGAAGAGCGCCATCCAGCACATCACGGTCAGGTGAGGACGAGGATGAAAGAGGATGAGGATGGACAGGTTGTATTGGTTTGTATGAGTAAATACCCCCAGGATGGACCTGGTTCCCCCATACACATGGCCTCGATGTCGGCCCTGGGTTGCGATGGCGAGGGTAATAGATTCCATTTTTGGCGCCGCACGCCGGAACGCTGCTGCTGCTTAATGCCCGAAGGAGTGAGGTCGTGAAGGTATTGAGAAACAATGGTACGTACCGGGGTGTCATCGGGAGGCTCAACTAAAATAAGCTCGATGACGGCCCAGGACAGGTCCCGGTCTGGAACGGGTGCAAACCGGCGGGGCACCTGCGGCCTACAGTACGAAGCGCAATGCGGTGATGTGTGGTGTACAGCTCACCCGATACATCCTAGTATCTCAGTACCTACCTAAGGTATTATGTAGTGGTATACACTCTGTACCATATACACTTGCCTCATAGCGGGGAAAATGGGATGGGATAACACTATGTACATACGTAGTGAAAGAAATAAGGGTTGCCCCACCACAGCTCCCCGCATACCCCCGCCCGCGCGGAGCCCGTCGCACACGCCAAGCGGTGCAGAGCTGTGCTCTGGGCGGATGTTTCGCTCCGCGAGGGAATCGGCGCCAAAATCGCACAGGGATTGCCGAAGGGTGTCGTCATGGAGACTTCACTGACCTCATCCCGCCGCGGCGGGAGCGACCGCAACTCACCTCATTGAGACGTATTGATACGTAGTTGGCCCCGGCGGAGGCCCAGGCCTATGGTCTTTTTTGTCTTTCTTTTCCACCGCCAGCTCGTAGTACGGTACCGGTATGCGATTCTCCCCTGTGAATCTCGATGGCCGGGAACGCGATTCCCTTGCCGTCCCGGCCTGAGAATAAGAGAACCGCTTGGGCGTTCTGTGTGTGCACGAGTTTGCATTGCGTTAGTGAGGACCGACCTGCTGTGCTGCTCTCTTTCCCCTCTCTCTTACACGCGCATTTCGCCTCGCAAATTTTTTTTTTTTGCCTCTTGCTCCATTCCATTGGACGCTGCTCTGCCCTCGGAGCTCTGAAGTCGACTCACATTAGACGGCTATGAGATCATCAGCCCTTTCCGCCTTTCGCCTCGCTGCGAGGACCAGGTGTTATAACACCCGCCCTCTGCACTCGACCTCGCTTCTTCCCACCATTACCAATACCATCAATACCATCACAAACAAACCGAGATTCCTGTCCGCCTCACGCACAGCAACCTCATCTTCCGTGATCTCACCAGCACCTCGCAACACCTCCCACAGATACCCCCACCAACACGCCAGCATGTCGACAGATCAAAAGACGGCCGGCCCCGAGGGCAACAAGCTCTTCACCCGCAACCACCTCTTCGACCTCACCGGCAAGGTCGCGCTCGTCACGGGCGGCGGCACGGGCATCGGCCTGATGGCCACGCAGGCGCTCGCCGCCAACGGCGCCAAGGTCTACATCACGTCGCGCAACCAGGACAAGCTCGACAACACGGCCAAGACGTACGGCGGCGAGAACGTCGCCGGCGAGATCATCCCCATCCAGGCCGACGTCACCAGCAAGGCCGACATTGACAAGCTTTTCAAGGAGATCTCGTCCAAGGAGGATTGCCTCGACGTGCTCATCAACAACGCCGGCGTGTCGAGTGGCGCCGTCGACGTCGAGAGTGACAGCGCCGAGGACATGAAGGCCACGCTCTTCGACTCCGAGTCGTCCAACTTTGAGGACTGGACCGACACCTACCGCACCAACGTCGCGGCCGTCTTCTACGTCGCCGCGAGCTTCCTGCCGCTGCTGCAAAAGTCGACCGACACGCGCCCCGGCTGGTCCGGCACCGTCGTCAACATCAGCAGCATCAGCGGCATGATCAAGAAGTCGCAGCACCACTTCTCCTACAACGCCTCCAAGGCCGCCACCATTCACGTCAACCGCATGCTCGCCGAGGAGATTGCCTCCAACGGCCTCAAGATCCGCGTCAACAGCATCGCCCCCGGCGTCTTCCCCAGCGAGATGACCACCAAGGAGCCCGCCGACGGCCAGCAGAAGAGCGCCATCCCCAAGGAGAAGTACGCCGACAAGGTCCCCGCCGGCCGCCCGGGCAAGGACGAGGACATGGCTGCCACCGTGCTGTTTTTCGCGTGTAACCAGTACCTCAATGGCCAGACGCTGGCTGTGGATGGCGGGTACACCCTCGCCGCTGGGTTGTAAGCGTGGAATGGGGCCGTGTACATCATGAGATATGAAAAAGATCATGGGTTCGTTTGGAGTTGGGGTCTGATTTGACCAGGTTGGAGATTTCATGGCTGTAGTATGCGACTATCATGTCACCGAAGCGAACTTTCAATCAAAAGTTACCAAGTTGATGCTCAATGCTCTTAATTGTGTGTGACCACAATGAAGTGCTTTGAATGAAACCTCTTCCCCACATTCTACTCCCGTAAAGAAAGGTCTTGTGAAAATTGAAACAAACAATGCGATTGACCTGGGAGGTAAGGGGTTGTTGATCTTTTTATGTTTCTCGTCATCATGACACTACGCCCCGCCACAACGTTTTACCGCGTCACGCTAAGCTCAGGGCGTTTAAGTAGTCTCACAAATACCTCTTGTTAGGATCTCCAATACTACCCCATTCCTATCCAATTATAAACAAAACCGTAGCGTTTAAACCGTTTCCTTCTTGGGGGCTGGATGAGGCAAAAAACGCATTCTGCCAAGCGGCTTCGACTCTAGGGGGCGTTAGTGTATAGATCGACCACCGATCCGGGTCAGATTCCTTCTTCAGGGTAACATCTCAACTGGGCTACCTGGACCCATCGGCACGCCTGTCTCCATCATGAAGTCAAAGACTGGGTGCATCGGACGGTGGATGGTGCCTTTATCAGACCTTTGCGGGAACCAGCGCTGCAAGATGTTGGACTATGAACATATCAGCCGGGTTCTATGCGTATTTGATGTGAACGATTCATTGGAAATGAAGGAAGACGGGCGTAGGAGGTCCATTTGCGAATTTTCTGACTGATGCGATCAATAACCTCGTTCGAACGGTTACGGTCACGGGACTGCTGCCTGATCTACACGAATATCAGAGTGCCGTCCTCGAGGCTATCTCGTAACCTTGCAGGCATTGTCGTCTACCTCCCCGGCACCGGTTCTCAAAAAAGTAACGCGTGCTTCTCACACGCTGTGCACAGTAGTTCATAGCCGCGGAAGTTTGGTGTCTTACCTTGGCGTTCTGTTGGATGACTTGGCCTATTATGTGCCCAATTGTACGATACTCTAGGGACAAGACTCTCAGGCCGGAGCCGACTAGGTGATAACCTTGGTTCCACGCCAACTGACTAATTTCGTCTCCGGAAACCAATCTGTGCTCTTCCGTTGCGCTTCAGGATGCTTCGATTCGGCAACTTATGGTCTCGATGGCTTCCAGTTTCCAACTCCCCAACAGCTTTCAAGCCCCCTCCAAGTGCGAGTCGTCCCCTGAGTAATTTCATCTCCCTACACCATGCAGAGGAATAGTCAAGCGGCCAATGACACGTCCACACCCTGCGGGCCGCTTCGCCAGATTCGGGGCCGATGGCTCCGGTGACGGGAAGCTGCACGACATCCGATGCGGGTGTCCTCCGTTTGCACCAGCGCGTCGCAACGACTCAAGTCGGAGACCGCTTGGCGAAGGGAACCAACAGACAAACTGCAGCGGCACCCGGCCGTAACGACTGAGAACTGCTACGCTCTACACAGCAGGATGGGCTTAGAAAAAAGAGAGGCCCCCCGAGAATCAGTCGGGTTGGGATCCTTTTTACACTTGTCTTTGTTGTTTCACTGCTTGTGCCGCCCTACCCACAAACTTCTGCCATTTACACTCAGCGGCTATGGCGTCGCCAGCACAGTCGCTGACCAGCCTGTATGGCTCTTACAAAGAGTCCACAAAGTACGCACTGAGCTGGATCTGGATAAGCTGCGCCTCCCACGCATCGGACGCCGCCTTCGCGTCCTTCAAAACGACAGAGGACATCATCCATGCTGCGCGAAGTATTCGCCGCCAGGGAACGGAAGTCCCACAATCGGTTGTCTCGGCATTGATCGATGCGATCAAGAAACGGACCCAAGTCCTCGACATCTATCGAGACCTGGGAGCATCGGCCGAGATCGAGCAAGACGCCGTCGCTGACTTCAAGCATGAAATATTTATCAAAAGGTACGTTTCGCCACAGGGTATGGCTAGAGAGAACCTTCAGTTCCGCTAACAACGGTAGACTGGTTGACGTACTACAGGTCTTGCTGCCACTGCGTGCGAAACAACCCGCTGGTGCCCAAGGTCAAGAGGAAGCGTGGCCGACAGCCACGCTCAACCGTTTCGCGGCTCTCAACCATCTGGATGACGCCACCGCGGTTGATGTGGGTGTTGAACAGCAACCTACTGCGGCATCATCCACTCCTGTCAACGCCGGTAAGCCTGCTGAGAAGGACAACCCATACGAAAAGCCGGCTTCTTCTAGTGAGCTCCTGCTTAAACATAGCGACTTGGGGGAATGGATCGAGTTGACCTACTTTGTCTATGTGAGTGCCCAGAAACAAATGGTTTATGTCGTAAATCTCTGACCTCTCAACAGGAATGGGACTCAATCTGTGCATACATCAATGAGGTCTGGGTTGACGTAGCAGAAGGCCGTGTCCCCATTCTAATGGCAGTATGGCTGTCGAACCTCGCACTCCAAAGGTCCGGCGTGCTCTTTGACTGCAAGCTTGACGGAACGGGCATCGATGAGCTCATTTCCAAGTGGAAGAAACACTACCTAGAAGCCAAAGGAATCAACCCCCGCTTCAGCAGCTCCAAGGGAGACCTGCTGTTGCACCAGGGCACCGGGCGTTTTGCCCACGGTGTCGGCCTCTCACACCCCCACGGCATGCTGGAGCGCTGCAGGGGCCATGAAGACTTCTGCGTGCTGAGCCCGGCGCCGGCCAGCGACAAGACCCGAGATACGTCGTCCGGCGGCCCATGGGGCCCATCACTCGCCCGGTTCAGCCTGGAGACATTGAGATGGACGATGTCGTCTTCCACGCTATGCAGGAAAGCATGCGCCAACTTCTCAGCACCAAGCGAGGAATAGCATCCATCGAGCAGGAGGGCATCATGTCGGAGCCGTTGCTTCCGTTAATGCACCATGCGTTGGAAAACGTCGACGAAATTCTCCCGCCCAGCCTAGTGTTTAGGTCGATATGCTCCTGTCGACGTACAAGGCCTTCATGTGGCCCAATTTCTTAATGAACACGAAAAACTGCCGCCTCATCGCTCTTCTGTTCGCCAACGATGTGAAGAAGGCCATGCCCGAAACCATCCCTGTGCTGCGCCAAGACCAATGCTGCTGCAAGAGGCCACCGTCGACTGGTGCGTGACTCACTTCGAAGAGGTCATCACCTGGTTAAATACCTTTACGAGTGAGAAACGCTTCGACTTGTAATACCAGGTGCCCTGGATATCTGGATGTCACATGGTTGAGATCCTCAACCTGTCGTTCGAGGAGGGCCTCCTGCTGTGCTGCGACGTCAGCTACGTCCCCGCCGCCCTGCACATGTACAACGCCCTGCGCCACGTGGGCTCGCCAATCAAGAGGATCCCGCTCCTGGAGGACCTTTGCGAAGTCTTTAAAGACCTTATGTTTCTGGGAGTCCTCCCAACGCGCAACTCTAGCAGCAATTTCCGCCGGGCCATGGGTCGGGGCTTGGAAAAGGTCAAAGGCCCCAACGGGACCCGCACCGAGGGCATCGCGGAGCCCGACTGGCATTCCTCGCGCCAAAGGCGGGCCGACCCGGCGAAATCGTCTCTGTTCTGGCAGCTTGACGCGTGGAAGTACTATCCCAATGCGGAATAGTGGCTCGCCGTCCACGGCGAGCAGCACGCCGGAGGGCCCAGCCAGAAGCGCATCGACCGGTTCGAAAGAGAGTCTCACGCGGTGCCGTTAAAGGTTCTGCTCGAGACGGTCAAGAAGGCCGTCCTGCCGAAGTTGAAGGGGCCTCGCCCCGTGGTGTGCATCAACTACTTCGCCGTCTCAAACCACTGCACCCGGCTGCTCAAGCAGCTGGGCGGGGTCCAAGGCATGCCCGTAGGGATGGAGCACATGGACGGCGGGGCGACGCTCGGGTACCACTTTGTCGACAGCTTTCTCGAGGACCTGATGGTGTATCTTGGGGACTACGGTGACGCGAGGAAGAAGGGGAGGCCGGCGTGAGGCGAGCTGGACGAGACGAAGAAGGTGTTTAACAACCTTGACGACAAGGCGTCCCTCGAGGACTTTTTGTGGTTGATTTAGCGGCATAGGACAGTCGCCCCAGAGAATGGTGATTGTACATCCCGCCGGAGTGTAATTGAGACTTTGAAAGTCATCTAGAAAAGCATCACTTGATGGTTCTTGTGCACAATTCTACAATCACTTGCACTGTCAACATTCAGGTTCTCCGAGCCGAACTGTATCAAGGTTGATTATCTGGACCGTATGGGAATCGAATAACAGGTGTCCGAAGCAACACCCGTGATGTGTAAACCACTTGTCTATGTGAGAGCCTCAGTGTCATTCTTGATTCCCCGGCGGCACGAACACAGAAAGAGAACCAACTATCCATGATAGTCCTGGCTAGCAACAGATTCCGTCTCTATACTTCATCAAGGCTGAAAGCAGCAATTAGCATACACGTTGAACAGTATTGGAAGGGGTGAGTATAACTTACATGTCTCTTGCCTTGATTCCCAAGGCAGCTCCTTGCTCGCTAGCGGGCTCAATCATGATGTAGTTTTCGATAACGGCAGTTCCCGCACGGAGTGCTGCAATCTGCTCGGAGCTACACGTGCTTGTGTCGAGGATGTAGCAAAAGTCTTCGTACTGGGGCGGAATCTCATTCTTGATGCCAAACGTATCAGCAGGTCCCTGCGTGCTGTAGGTCTGATTTGTCGCTGTGTCGATGCGCCCAGTAGCAATGTCCTTGTTGAAAAGAGCACGGTTGAAAATGCGGTACGCCGACTCGGGCTGGTATGACGGAACGGCGTGACCGGCCTGATATACTCGGATATAGGACAGATTTCCGTATTGCCGGACCTGGCCGCCCTCGTAGGTGCAGTTCGTCTGGAGAGGTTCGTAGCCCGCCGCAGCAAAGTTCTCCTGGTCCGCCCAGGGAATCGCAAGCGCGACCTCCTCGCCCCCGATCCAATTGCATGCGAAATCCCGATCACCGTACATGAGCGAGACCTTGACGCCATTGTGCAGCAGATAGGCAATGTCTTCAATCCAGCCAGGGCGGGGGTAGTCTCCGATGCCACGGAATGCAGATGCAGACGCGCTGGAGCTGCCTGTCCAGTTCAGTGGCACACCGAGGGCGGACTGCACATATGGCTGGTTGAGGTAGCCGGCAGTGAACGGGGGCGGAAACAGAGTCGGGTCAACTTGGGTGACATCGTAGTAGTCGCGACCGGCAACGTTAAGATATGGGTCGCGGATGTATCTGCTGCAGTACGTCTCAGCTGCCTCGCAGATTCTGTTGACTGTGGCGTTGATGCCGATGTTCTCTGGATCGTAGACTGCTGACACCTCCCGACAAGCGTCAATTTGATCTCGGCAGCCACCCTCGCTGTAGTAAGCATCAATCATGCCTCGGTATACCGTCTCGTTGACCGTTTCGATACCATACGTGTTGTTGAATGCCATTTCCGGATACGACGGCCACTGAACCTGTCTGTCGATGCACCCATTGACGATGAGAAGAGTGTCCATGTCCAAGATGTACTTTTCGCCTTCAGTGCCCTCCCAGGTGCCATTCCTGATTTTCTCATTCTGCTCTTGGAAGTAAGCAGCAAATGCGGGGCCGTATCGGCCACCGTAAGATTGTGTTGCGATGCTAATGCGGCCATCGTTGGGGTGATAGCCGGGGAACTCCTGGAACCAGACCTGGGAGAAGTGCCACAGAGCAATAGCAGCGTTGCGACTTCCCCAGCTGGTGGTGTTCCTGTTTCCGCTGGCCAGAGTCCCCGTTTGGAAGGTCACATTTTGCGATGGGATGGGGCTTGATACATTGAGAGTCTGGGTGCCTCCAAGAAGGTTTCTGGTGACATTTCGCAGCGAGTCATACGAGAAACCAACTTGAACTGGTTGATCGATGTACAACATGTTGACTGGAACGTGTGAGCGGCGAAAACTCCAGATTTGAATTCTCACCTTTGTTGTTCCATGACCACTCACTAGGTCGAGTCGAGTTGGAGTCTAGATTGATGTAGCAAGGGCCGTTCTCATTGAACAGGCCGGGCATTGACGAGCTACCAGGTCCACCGTTCATCCAGATTGAGAGGGGGCATTCTCGGGATCATTCTTAGCCTCGAAGAACCAGAAGAACGTGTTGATCTCATAATCTTGCTCTTGGCCGACCCCTTCGAGTGTCCCGGGTGGAAGCTTGATGTATCCAGCGTGGGACTTGACCCCTTCTGCTTCCTCACATAGACCGGGCTGGCCCTATCAGCCTTTGCCCCACGTGTGACTAAAGATAGGACACATACCTCTTTGTAGCTGATTTCGATACCTTCACCGAATTTGGATTTCAACACCGTGACTCCTTCAGGCGTTGGAGGGAATTGGGCCACCGACGAACGGAGGAGAGTACCCGCGAGGGCGAGGATGGACAGCCGAGACCTCATCTTGACTCATCTAAGGACAAGCTTGACAAACAATGATAGCCACAGAGACGAGAAGTAGTCTCATGAACACTTGGATTACAACGATGAGCTACATTATATTTACATACCATTCATTCTTCCCCGCTCATACCAGTCAGCACCTTCCTACTTGGGCACATTGGTCGCCGTTGAATCGTTATCTCTCTATAGGCCAAACTGGTTGCACCGCCAAGATAGTCGTACCATGTTTGCCCGGAAACCGACTCGGTTGAGATGGAAAGTTGCAGGGCCTGGATGATGCGGGGTCGATGGAAAGCCAGAGCACGGCCAAGACTCGGCTGGAGAATCGAGCATTAGTCGCCAAAACGGTGCAATGCATTGGCCAATCAAAGAGGCATTGGCATGTTGAATTCCCGCTTTGAATACACCGTTGAGGACCAAAAGTCCCTATCAGCAATCCTAGCCAAGCTTCGGCTTCTTTTTGCGTCATGTTAAATGATGGTGACTGCGTAGTGTGGTAACTTGTGGTTTGACGGGTCGCGTTGTTCTATCTGAGTTTCAGTCCACTCCTGGATTAGTGTTGTGCCCATGCTGAGAGCCTGGGCGATGAAGCTGAGTAAAAGCCACTCGAGAGGGAATAACACTGAGAATGAAGGCCCTAATTTCCAGTGAAACTCAAGGAACTTGTCTTGTTTTTCGATTCCAGAGTGAATTAAGCTTCAAGCTCGTAAGGAACCGAATCGACTCCGCCGGTTTTGTGGGTCGCGACCGAGTGCACCGGCTCGGACAGAGTGGAGTCCCGGCCATCAATGGTGTCAGACGCGGACCTGCTGCTTATGCGGAGGACGGCCGGGCTTATAAATGTCCGATGCCTAGCCGGGGCCACAATCACCGTGCTTGGCTCTGCTTCGAGCCACAATTTTAAATAAACTCGAGCTGTGCGCCACAGGCGATCACCGGTTGCATCCAAAGAGATTGGCTTCTGATTGCGACATCCGCGGGAAGATGACGCTGCCGAATCGCGTTTCACTGTTCCCCGCAAAGTCGTAACATACGCGGCATGACGCCTTCTCAAGCCGAAATGGCAAACTGGGCGAAGCTAATGATAGCCATTGAGAGGTCGAGAATAGTTACTGAGTTAGTATGACAAGTGCAACTAAAAGATTGTCTGACAAATTCAATTCACAATATAGTAATTATCATTGGTTCACTTCACAGTGTCATGACTTTCGTACAAGGCGTCCACCTCGGAACGAGCTTCCGAGTCAGCTCGTCATTCGATGCTCTCCACCTACGAACGCTTGAGTTAGTTTAGGGGCGCCATCCCATACAATTTGAGTCTGACCTGGCAAAAGATAAAATCACCTAAAGTCCCAGAGCGACCTCAGCTGTTGTCGTAAACTTATGAGAAGCATCGCTCCCACACAACAAGTAGCATAAAAATATGGCCGCCGCTGCAGTTCAAGCTCCATCACTTCCTGGTCCTCCGGGCCAACCAGACATCGCATACACCCCTAACCACGATAATTACCTGGCACGGATCAAACGTCGCCAAGAGAAGGAAAGTTTGGAGAAGTCATTGCCAGAGGGTTTCCCCCAGAAGCTGGAGTCAAAGCTAGTTTGGGATGGCAACACGCTGGCTGAGCACTACGATTGGAACTACATTCTTACTGAGGCCGACAAGAAAGAGATCGATGAAGCACTCAATTACTTCAAATGTAGGTGAATCTTACAGCTACCTCTTGAATAGAGCGAGCTAATTAGTCATAATGTAGCTTTGAAGAAGCCCCTGGGTGAGATAAGTCAGGAGACATTCCCTTTGCCTAATCTTCACAAGACCCTTCGCGCGATCTCGGATGAGATCCACAACGGCCACGGGTTTAAGGTCGTTCGTGGGGTGCCCGTCGACAAATACAGCCGTGAGGAGAATGTCATCGTTTATGCCGGGATCTCTTCTCATGTGGCGCCGATTCGTGGTCGACAAGACAACCAGTTCCAAGGCGAACCGGCAGATGTAGTGCTCGCCCACATCAAAGATCTCACCAAAGTCGTAGACGCACATAAGATCGGTGCGCCGGCATACACCACAGAGAAGCAGGTCTTTCACACAGACGCGGGCGATGTGATTGCCCTCTTCGCTCTTGGTGAGGCCGCTGAAGGTGGCCAGAGCTATTTGTCGAGCAGCTGGCACGTCTATAATGAATTAGCAAGAACCAGGCCAGATTTGGTTCGTACCTTGGCTGAGCCATGGGACGCCGACGAGTAAGCATTCTCCACTCAATACGCATATGTAGCTAAAAATTGGCATAGGTTCGGGAAAGATGGCAGATCCTATAGCAGTAGACCTCTTTTGCATCACCAGCCAGCAGCTGATGGCAAGTCCGAACGTCTAATTATCCAGTACGCTCGACGTAGCTTCACCGGCTACTGGGGCCTCCCGCGATCATCAGATATCCCCCCCATCACGGAGGCACAAGCCGAGGCCCTTGATGCCCTGCACTTTCTCGCCGAGAAGTATGCCGCCTCCTTGGATTTTCTCAAAGGTGACATCCAGTACGCCAACAACCTGAGCATTTTCCACGCCCGTGGGGGTTTCGTGGACTCTGATCAGAAACAGTAAGTACTGCATCAAGAACGATTCCTGGTCCACTAATGACTGTGTTTTCAAGGCGTCATTTAATTCGACTCTGGCTTCGGGATCCCGAGAACGCTTGGAAGACTCCAGAGGCGCTGAAGGAGCGTTGGGATCGTGTCTACTCTCGCGTGACTCCGGAGAAATCTGTTTTCCCCCTTGAACCTCAAATTCGTAGCGCAAGTCGTGGGGAGTTTAAGCCTGAGGAGAATGCCAGCCCAGCTTCTTGATGGACGATAAATTTGGGGCTACCGGTTCAGAATGGGCAACCGACGAGCCGATACTTTTCAGTCCACGCTGAGGTCGATCGATGAATTCACGAATGCTGCTTTGAATCTTATAAGTTCTAAATGAATCCTAGTATCTTTACAACAGGAAAAATGCGAATAGGACTTGTAAACTGTTTCCTGTAAGGATGCCTTGGTTTGTCAAGAGGTTTTGCTCATTCACCCCAAATCAAGATTTGATGTTCTACTTAGCTTGGTAGGTAATGTGGATCAGATATCGCTCAATTAGTGCAGATTCCCGAGCCGCACTTCAACTTTGAATACCCATCCGAAAGAAAACCTACGGCATATGGTATGGCAGAAGCCCTCCACAGAATCATGTCCTCATGCGGGAGACATAGAAATGCTTTGGAAGTGGTGAGCTGAGAGAAGGCATTTTCAAACCAGAGCCATCCAATCTGTACCTTTCTTTGTCTACTATGGCTTTGCTGACTAGTCCCTCAAGATCTGGTCCGTCAGATCAGAAAGAGCGGATTGGTTACGTTACTCTACACAATGACCATTGTAGCTTGGTTTGCTGATGGTGATACGGCATTAGTGGAATCCTGCTGATAAAGACTGGGGCTAACAGTATTATACCAGTTGCAACAGCTGACCTAGCTGGGGCTGATGAAACTGGCAACCTCAAGCAGTCATCACAAGAGCAGGATTCTGGAGCTTCCTCATGGTGCTCGAAATTAGTGTTCTCTAGGAACTCCTTTAGGAATTGCAGACACTCCCAAGTCATCAAAAGTGGCACTTGATGACCGGTGAACTTACTACAATAACACTTGTCTTTCCAAAACTGATCATGATGCGTAAGTTTCATCACATTCCACATGCACTACGGGCTATGCTCATCGCTTTACAGTTCTCCTTCAATATTTCCCCCAGGAGTCTTATGATTTGGGCAATTGAACAAGTGCAGAAAATCCTCAACATCAGTTTGAGCGAACCAAGGTATGAAATGTTAGAACTGTAGCGTTAACTACTGCTAATGAATTCGTTCTGGGCATACTATCGTGATAGGGGTCTATGTGTCGCCACTATTACCGCTGATCCGGAAGTATGTTATATCTTTGCTTCGGTAATTTATGGATTTGAAGGTATGGATACTTTACTTAGGAATCTGTTTTGCATGACATCCTTTTGGGACGGTGATTTTTGTCGGAGGCTTTTCATAAAACTTCGGTATGCTACACACGGTTTGCATTTGGAAACCACAACTAAGATGGCGAACATGATCTGTTTGAGCCGTCAACTACAACCCAGCTGGGCTCAAGGTCTTTTCGCCTCGGAGCCTCTTGAAGCACCCACCTCGTCTACACCTATGATTCGACTTAAGGTTCATTGGTTAAAGAAAACTCGAATTTCATCAATGGTCAGCATGATTTCTTTCTCGACAGACCCACGCGACATATTTATCGAAGAGGATGAGCGGATTATAAGCTCACGTCCGATTGAAGATAGAAGTATCATTGAAATTGTTGCTGAGAGCGAAGAGCAGCTGCCGGACAGAGACCTGCTCCAACTTAGATGGATTCTTATGAGAATTCATGCTTTGTCCAGAGCTCCAGATCCTCGAGTTTATCCCTTTGGCTATGAGGGGATGTTCGAAATGATGGAACATGGGGGCACGCCAGACGATAACTAGATCGAAGAAATGAGGGGCAAATGTCATCCTGTCACACTAAGTGCACCCCACTAGACGGGAAGACATGTTTATGAAGCAGAAGGATGACAGTTTATCACATGATTGGGATACTCGAACATTGGCTATATAGAACGAAAGATTTCATCTCGTTCTCCATTCTGACCGGATGCGCTGGACTTTTGTATTGTGCTAGACTCGTATCAAATTAGATCCATTAGGGCCTATACCTCTGCGAGGCAGAAATGCGAAGCTACCTAGCGGGAACCAATGCTGCTGCCAATAACAGGGCTAGAGATGTTCTTATCAAACTGTCTGGACCTCAAGATCTTGTCCCTGCACGACTTCAAGAGGTTTTCGTCATTGGCGTTGACAAGTCCTCAAGCACTTTCCATTCCGCCAACCCCGGGTCACGAACAATAGCCTGGGTGATGGAACGCGACCTAGCTTTTCACCAAACACTTGTTCATCCCGTAATGCGCCAAGGAATCTGGTACAAGAAGTCGCTCGACATATAAAGTAGGTCTTTGTTCGCTTCCATAGCACCACATGTCACATATATGATTGATAGCGGCATGTTGGTCAGCCCTCCCCGCCCGCCTACTTGATACGTTTCCATCTCATGACCCCCTACTCTACCGTTGACAATTGGATTAGGTTGCAATAAGTTTAGAAGGCTTCTGCATGGTCAGAGACAGCTATGCAAAACACACCAGAGAACACATCATTTCAAGACTATGTAGATAGGCAGAACTACTTCACACCTGGAAATATATACATCTTCAAACCTTCTTTACATAAGTTTGCCAGCTTGAGTTTACCAGCTCAAATCGAAGCCACCGATCAGCCCCTCAAAAACAAGTATCTTATTCCTATACCTCCCTACACGCACTGAGAGTACCAATCGTTGACGTAGGTGCACTTGTAAGAGCCCTGTGTCTGCGTTAGCAAGTAGTCAATACAATACGGGAAATGTCCTCAAGTACCTGGCAAGTAGTCGATCCAGTCCAACCGGTACCACCGCACTGTCCCCATTGCGGAATGGTGCCCCCACCACTGGAGGGCGGGGGTGTGGCGGGAGGGTTGGTCGCAGGAGGGCTATTACCGGTGGGGTTGGTAAGAGTGAGCAAGCCTGGCCGGTAAGGCAGAAGGCCGTAGTCGCCAGAGGAGCTAGGCGAACGTCCTTGGTAAAGAAGTTGGAGTTTGCAAGGATCAATGGTCATGGTCTGGTCGGCGCTGGTGCGGATGAGCTCGCCGTGACTGATGTCATTTGTCCATGTGGCTCCGCTGTTGGCCTTGCCGGCAAAGGGGTTGCTCTCGGTCGCAGCTTGGGCGGTCCAGGAACCGCCCAGGCTACTGGCTGTGAACGAACGGAAGTAGCGTCCGTTGGAACCAATCGCCTCAACGATCATGAGGTATTTTTGCTGACCCTGCAAGGTATACACCTGAACAGCCTCAAACAGGTTGTTGGTGGTGTCACTCATGACAACAGTTGAAGATGAGCCGAAGCTGCCTGGGAAGTTGCCAATAGGCATGCTTGCGCGATATATCTTGCCGTTATCTCCGCAGAAGAATAGGTACATATTGGTGCTGTCGCCGATAACTGCCTGATCAATTGCACCCGTGCTAGAGCCAGTGATGGTGCCGGTGAAGAGTGGTTGCGCCGCTGACCAGCCATTGGCATTGGTTGGGTTCGTAGACGTCCGGTATGAAAATGTAGTCGGGCCCCATTGATGGGCAAGAATCCAGATGCTCTTTGGGGCGAAGTAAAAGAGCGATGGCGCAACGGCGCCGGAACTCATGCCATTCTGGGCTGCCGAGGCCAATTGAGACCAGTCAGAGACGAGGCCGAAGTTCATTGAGCCCCAACTCGAACCGGTGTCATGGGTTGTCGCATACACGAGATGCTGGCCGTTATACGGAGCAGTTGTGAAATCCTTGAGCGATACCCATCCAGACTTCGGAGTAGCGAGTACGCCGGACGATGACCAGCGGTATGACGACGGAAGGCTGCATTGCGCCACGACAGTTCCTGCTAAGGCTAGGAGCGTGACGCTGGCCAACAGAGGCTCAGCGTTTGTCTGGAAAAGTCTCATGGCGACGATTTTGCTTGGATGGTACAAAGCTAAGTTAACAAGGGCCCGGCTTTATTATGCATCTCATTTAGGGAGTTCATGTGGAAGATGACGGACTATATAAGCCAAACCATGGTTCCATGGGTGTTCGTGCCTCACAGCTTAGATTGCCTCGGAAACTGGACTAACTACATAGTGAGCAAAGTACTAAACGCGTCGCCTATGCGAACGTCTCGTATAATCCGGTAGATGCTTAGTTTTCTCGGATCCAAGCCCAGTCCATCGTTGCGGGGCCGCGGATGACCATTCGCTAAATGACCTTTGCAGAATCACGGACGCAAAATCCCCGAAGATTCTTTCCGGTTTTAAAGCTGGGCGCAGGATCTCCGGCAGTGTGCGGTGTCTGTCCCGGCTGGTAGCTGTTTCCGCGCCAATGAGAGTCCTCTGGGTTAATTGGGTAGGTACCAACCTACAAGAGCCTAGGTTGTCAGTCCAGATGCCGATACAAGCTAAGAGTTTAACCAGGTTTTCACAAGAATTGTCAACTTATTATCCGGCTACGACCAGAAAGAACGACCACATCCCCGAATCCTATAGATGGAGGTCAGCCGCACCACTCGGAGACTTGCAAAGCACATTTTGATGCCACGATAAAACTTGCAAACGGTGCCACATCAACATGGATCCGCTGACTCTCGGGCCATGATTCATCCATCCATTCGATGGCCCTTGTTCTATCATGACCTTACGTCAAGCTAGGCTTCACATCGAGAAATGGGCATCATAGGGCGTCTAATTGAATGGAGGAAAGTATGTCAATTTTCTTCGACCTATTTCTTTCCGACGTGCACAAGCAACTAACGCACTTAGCTAGGTACTGGCCTTACGCGCATCAGAGGTCAATGAAAGGCACCCTGGTGAGGCGCTTTTCTCTGAAGTGAAGTTATCATGAGTTAGAAAAGGTCTGTGTGGTGATATACGTGGTCTGCCATCGTGCGTGGACTTTGGCGCAACGGATTAGCAGGGGGAAAAGTGCGCAAAACACCAACAGCTCTATCTCACTACCTTTTTCAGTCTACCCAAACTGGTCAAGCAAGTGGGTTTCCATTGACAAGCCGTGGTGTGTTGTTGGAACTGAATGCTGACATGCAAATTGAAGCCTTCGCTAGTGCCGCCTTTTTGGAATGAAGCCTCTTTTTTGACAACAACGGTGCTAAAGCGCCGACACGCGGGGTGCGATTCAATCCATGGTTCTAGGCTAAATACACTGGCAGGCGAGCTCACGCGACGTTGTGGGCGGCAAGAATAGGGCGCTGAACGGACCCATTGGTGATTATAACGGCCCAGTCTACTTGTTGGTAACGTCGTTCATCGTCGCTGATATGCGCTACAGCATTTAAACTGACGATGGGTGATAGCCTTCAAACAAAGCCAGAAAAGACTGTACATGCTGGTGATACAGTCGTGACTGTACCATTTTCCAAAGGGCCCTATGTGGCCAATCACGCAGTTGTAATTGACGGCATTTTTGACTTCTGACATTATCCTGCTATGCGGGGTTAGATGCAACTGAACTTGAAAGTGGCCCATTTGGGTGGCCAGGTTCGTCCCAACTATGTGCCTGACTTTCTGATGTGGGTAACTAGACCCACTTCAGTGCCTACATCCTTCGCCCCGTCACGACGGCTGGCACTCGGTCGATGCAATCGCGGGGATGACCCTAAGAGCCATGGCTGGCTCTATTGGTGCAGTACATCAAGAGCACCACAATGCGCATCTTCGCGCACACACACATACAGAATGCATGACGGGGTGGATTATAAACTTAGTGAAATGAAAGTACGAGACTTTGGAAACCCTGAACACTTCAACCGCCTTCCTCAACGTCAAGATATAGCTTGAACAGCAATCACGTCCAGTTTCGGCTCGCGCCACAGAGTTTGATTCAGGGTTACTACAGAGGTGTTCAGGTGCTATTATTTAAGTTTTATAAATGGAAGATGACTTAAGTATCCGATAGCTAAAGCTACAATAATCAAACCGGTGGTTGATGTCGACACGGAATTGAGCGTCCATACATCTGACTAGTTACAAGGATGACACTCTATTCATTCAATCTCCATAGTTTACGGTTTGAAGTTAGTGTTATGGGTTCTGTGAGACGTTTCCCCCCAGCGAGTGCTTCAAGCTCTCTCTTTGTTTTTACATTGACTAAATCTTGACGTTTAAAGACATGTTTGTTTTTTATGCTTTTTGTGCCCCAGAGATCCGGAGGAAACTGCTCAAATCACGTCTCTTCAATGCTCGCAATCCAAGCTAAATTGGCTGATACATAAACACAAAGATTACATGAACCATGGTGTTAAAATTCAAATCATCCATCAATGGAAAGTTATAAGCGGACGTGACTGCTGTCACAAACATTTGGCATGTCATACTCAACTATGATTAAGAAATGATCTTGAATCATGGAATGCTCTTTGTGCTTTGATTGAATGTGTAAAGTCGGTTTCGAAGTATTGGCCCCCGGGTCTTTTGTATAAAAATCACCCCTTGCTGCTATGATTGGATAATACGAATCTCTGAAAGTCGCTCTTCATTGTTAGAGTCAACCCGGTTGAAGGGCTTTACCTTTCATGTTTTTGACCACATATGTTCCCTTGCCGATAGTTCTCTGCATTTATATTGACACAAAGCAAAAGATTGTAAGAATAGAAAAGCCCCCTTGCAACCCCAAAAATGATTACTGAACAAAGCAAATGGCTTGGGATTATCCCCGTCAGCACTATGGAGTCTGGAGCTTTAAGATGACCTACCTACCCGCCCGAACCAAAATAGCTAGCAGTTTCTCCCGAAGAGTCACATTCAAGGTTTCTAAGCCACAAATTTGCGAGCTGATCTTCATCAGGATGCACTTCAGTCACATTCTCCTAGCGATCCTTGCCAACGCATCCTTCGCTTTTAGCGTTTGCTTCGCTGAAGGGAGGGAAGGCGGGTATAACAAAAACCAAGATATTCTCAACCTTGAGGATGTGTGCGATCAATTGAATGGGACATACGACAGACTGCAAGTAATGAGAGCCTGTATAACTGACAGAATCAATACCTCATGGAGTTTCGAGCTCAAGGTACCATTCCTTTTCCTTTCTGAGTCTTTCTGGTTCTTTTTGTCTTCGCCTTTCGCTAGCACCCCCATTGCTTCTTTCCAATGATTCAAATGGACTCGACAACTCGTTTTCTTAGAGACAAACATTGACCATGCCAGATGATTGGTCCTCAGGAGAAGCGTGAGATTTCTACCAAGGAGTGTATGAACGGAATGACTAAAGAGTTAATGTGCAACAACGGCCGCGGCGGCGTGAGGACATACTGGAATTGGAGATACAAGTAAGTAATTCACTGCCAGTCATTCAAAATGTCTTCTAGCGGATTGAACGCTAATATCTCACTGAAAGGGTCAAACCCAATTATGGCGATATCTGCTTCCCTCCTCCTTACTGGAAAGACATCAATGCCTACGACCCGCAAGACGAGCCAGAGAGGTACCTCTGTCGCGTCCATCCGATGAGATACCTGGGCTGTTGGGAGGATGAATGGTCTGTCCCTAGTCCACTCGAATGATTTTTGGGCTTCCAACAGACGTGGTGAAAAGCTGTGTCTTCTTCTTGCATTTCATATTCCCGAGTTTAACCGATAGGTTCATTTCGTTGGTTTTTGTTTTTATTTTATCTTCATTTCGCGTAAGCTCCTCACATCAAGACGCTACTTTTAACAACGCAAACGAGCTTAAATTTTGGGGCCTGTCTGTTCTGTAACTTAGAGCAAGAAAATGCTGTGTCGAATCTATCAACTGCCAGAGATGATTTCGTCAGTTGAAAAATAGACAATGCAACTCCTCGGTAGAACAATGTGTTTTCCACGCACGGCCCAGTTTTTCTAAGCAACGACAATCTGATGTCTATTGACCATATTCAGCCGTCATCAGCGCGACCTCCAGGTGAAATATTCTCTATTGGGATAGGTAGTCCTCCCAATGCTTTAAGCACTCTTTCTTCACACTTACAATCCTGCCGAAATTGAACACTACATCGTCTTTAGTATTGGAACCTCCATCTGGGATCCTTGTCTCCAGGCCAGTCCTCCAAATCCCCAATAGCTTGAACTTCCGGTGCGATTGCATCCCTCCTAGTGTTCTCACGCTTAAGGACGACGTATAAGATGCCACAGACAACAATGTTTGCAAGGAGGTACCCCAGTGCAAAAGAATGGCCCACGAAGTATCTCGGTCCATCATTGGAACGGTAGAGCTGCGTTCCAAGTACAGCTCCCAAGTTGCCAATGGTAATCTGCATGGCATTTCCGACAGCACGCTTCGTCTGACCGGAAACGTTGATGGCCGGCCACGAGAGGACGAGAGCGGTGGCTGGGTAAATGCCTCCAGCAGCGAAAAAGGTACCGAGGTAGGAGACGCCTGGCTTTCCAGTCGGGTCGCCGTTGGCAAGCAGGATGATGTAGCCAATGGCCGCAAAAGCGGATGATCCCATGATGAAGAATGCGCGGCGGCCGGTCCGCTCGGAGTAGATTGCGACTGTCAAGGTTGTGACGAATGCGAGAGCGTATGGCGGAATCGTCAGAAGCTGGGCTACGGCAGCGGTGTAGCCGAGGTTCTTGATGATGGTGGGCTAGATGCTATTAATATCCTTCTTCTGTCAAATGCCCGGACTTGCCAGCAAACACTTACGATGAAGAGGGAGAACGTGTAAAGCGGTAAGCTCATGGTGTGAAATCCGAGACCGTACAGCCAACACTTGGGATCCTTAATGGCGTCCATCACGTGTCCCCAAGTGAACTTTTCGTTGTGAGTCGCATCGCTGTCAGCGGCAAGCCTGGCCCTGATAAAGCGACGTTCCTTGTCCGATATGAAGATGGCGGTATCGGGGTAGTTTTGGATGAACCAGTACGCGCCCGTTGCAATGATAACCGTCACAATACCCTCCTGGTTTCTGTTAGAATTTATGTGGAGTAACGAGATGGGTGTGAAGACAACAGACCAGAATAAAGATCCATCTCCAACCATTATCCCAAACAACTCGCATATGACCAATACCCTGGATAAAGTTAACATGTTGTTATGGGCCGGAATGAGTTGCTTGGAATGACGTACCCATGCCAGGATACCACCGAAAGCACCGGCAAGAGAGGCAGCACTGAAGAACAGCGAAATTCGGTACTGTCTCTCACGGCGCTTATACCACATAGAGAAATAATACACAACACCAGGGAATAGTCCACTCTCCGTGACACCGAGGAAGAAGCGGGCAACAAAGAACCCAGCCATATTCGTTACGATACCCATAAGCGTGGCGACAATCCCCCAGGCGATTGTTAGCGTGGGAAGCCAAAATCTCGGCGTGGTTCTCTTGAGGATGATGTTGCATGGGATCTAGCTGTGGGTCAGCATGTCTAAACATTGATCAAGGAGGGTAGCATCAATGACTCACTTCAAAGAGGACGTAACCGATGAAGTACAGAGTCAAACCAGTAAGGTACTGATTTCCAGCTATTGCTCATTAGTTGACCTGTGCATTCCCAACAGATTTCATCCATTTACTTACTCATATGCAAGTCATCGGTGAGACCTTCAATTCTGGCATTACCGACTGCGATGGGTTAGAATTGTACACATCGGCTTTTGGATCGTGTAGTTGAAACCTTACCATTAGATCGGTCAAGGAACGATAACAAGTACTCAACGATTCGCTGTTAGTTGACCTCTCTCCAAAATGATTAGGTGTTTTGAGCATACTCACCAGAATGCCGACCGCTGGCAGTAGTTTGGCGTCTAGCTTTCTCAATAACGTTTTAGTGTCGACCGCCTCGTCTCCAGCTTCAATTTCAGAAGGACTATCCGCTCCATTCGTATCCTTTGCCGGTGTCTCAACCACCTTTTCAGGCGAGCGGTCGGTTGCCGCGCTCATCGTGAGCCAAGCCTGCTGTGTTGTTGATACCTTCCTTAGTTCTCGCTGTGTCCCTTTCTCGGCGTGTTGTTTGAGAAATATGCTGTTTCCTCAGCAGAGAGAGAGGCCCGTGTTTTCACCTGAAGTCAAGTTTGAAGCCAATGGTGTATTGAAAGAAACTTAGAGGCCACACGCACGGCTTTTCAATGCGGCCCCCAAGAGACCCAGGTCAAAACGTCAGAGCAAGCTTTTGCAGGTACTGAGATGAGATTGGCGAATTGATTACTAGAGTGGGCTGGACTCGTTGGGTACTCCCCGGTTTGGTCTTGGGTGTGATCGCTTTTTATCACTACTTTGTGCATCTTGACAGCACTTTTGACTGCCGTTCTCCAAGGTCCGCATGGCATCATCAATCCATGATGACATTCCCCGGCGTCTCATTCCTGTAATCGCTTAGCTGCCGTTGCAGGTCGACACTGCCGGGTGGGTTGCGCCAGCAGCGGTGGATGATGAAACACATTTGCTGTTCGTCTGATTGGTCGATATTGATCACGACATGTTGAAGTCGATGGCGACATCACCGACTGGGTCTCTCATTCCCCCTCAAAGTTCTCCAACTTCCCCATCTGGTGGGTTTTGTTAAGTAGTTAGGTTTTTCCTTGGCAACCTAAAGACGAACCCCCACGCCTTTTCGGAATGACCAAGATCTTGGTTCTCCGCATATTGACTATGTAAGGCCAGGCCGGTTGGATATGCGCCTCTCCGTCTGAAACTCATCCAAGCCGGGATGGCAGAGCCGACCGGTCGGCAACAGGGACCCACTTCGGCCAGTACCAGTAAACCTTCTCTCCTGTTGTCTTCCCCGCATGATCCCGATTCCGTTACCGTCGGTAAACCATCTATTGTCGATGCTGTCACAGTTAATCAGAGTGTTGGTCTCACATGAAGCGATACTTGTACGAGTAGTAGCAGCGATCACGTCAAAGTAGCAACATTGCTAGTTGTTACATTAAGGTATAGAAACAGGAGATCTAACCGCGTGGTCAGCGGTAAGGTATAAGGTATAGCCTATTAAACTATTCTTTCTATTTACCTACTACCGTTCATTGCCTTTTCCTTTTCTTTTTTGATAATTGTAAATTCTCTTTTCATAGAGGCTAAAAAAGCAAATTAAGGCTGTTAATGAAATCTGTGTCTTATTCAAACTCTGGGCTGTCAATGGTGAGTCGCTACGCCCGTTAAGGTTAGTTGCAGCAACATGCGAGTGGTACTGTGGTAAACTCACCTGACAATCCAATAGGTATCGTGGGGGCTTCTTTTCCAATGACAACCTTTCACAGGAAGCTCTTACTGTTCCACAAAGTTAGTGATGACGAACTTGAGTATTAGAAAAAGAAACCTCAAGGTAGCACATAAATGCAGTCGGCACATATAATCGATTCCCCAGCAATCTCCTCGCCGGACTGAAGCTTCACCACGCAGAGTCTGGGTCGCAACTCTCCACTACAACGGGAATAGACAACGACTGGGCCGTCATTTGGCGTCTCTCATGATGCAGCCTCTTTGAAAGCATTATGTAGATCAACCCTTGGAAGTTAGCTTCTACATTTGAAGCTGCATATATTACTGCACGCCCACCTATGGTAAACTATGCGTTCCTACGCAGCGGGTCATTCATCTTCGGCAAATGATTCCCTTTGAAGCGAAGAACCTTCAGGGGTACTTGCTTCGTTGTGAACTTGAACCCAACAAACCGAACCGAAGATTTGGAGGGGCCCGAGTGTAAGTCACGGGTGATCGCTGTGAACCTGTGAGACTCGAAGCATCACCCGGATGCGCGGAAAAACATTTTTCAGGTGGAAATATTGTGGCAACAATCAATGCATCTAAAGAAAGCGATAACAATCGCAATAGTTTAACCCAAGTCAGACTTTTGCTACAGTTCTGTAGCAGTCCAACACGTATTTGTGTTTGCATTTGCATATTCACATGACCTACATCTAACACGGCCCCCACCACTACTATCATGGCCATTGAAGGTGATTATATAAAGATGGGTGGCTCAGATTCGTCTTTTGATGACTGGAGAGACGAACTCCTTCGTGATAGCTACGCCTTGAACACGGGTGCTATCCTAAGAAAGCCTGCCGATGGCTACGCCGACAAGATGTACTCACTTTTTGAGTCTTGATAGTTGACTTTTTTTCGAGAAAAGACTGAATGAAAAATGAACAAGCTGGAAGTGGTCTTGGATATGACCGCAACGACCTTCTACTGCGTACCCTGACAAGCTTCCCGTTATCAGTTCACAAGGAATATCGTGTCTATGCTGAAGACCCTTGGATTTCTATTCACGATGACGATAATACAGAGAATTTCACACCCGCTCCTTATCTAGAGCCTGACACGTTCCTCCGCATCACTACTAACCATATGCCAAGGGACGCATACAGAGAGGCTTTATGTTCGGCAGCAACGCTAGCATGTACGACATTTTGCTTGGTAAAGACAATAAAAAGGGCATAAGCACGCGACAATTCGCCATCTAACCTAATTAGCAACATGAAGGGACTTTCGTCTCCCTACTCCATAGCGACGGGCCGCGATTCGTTAAATCTAAGAGATCGTTCCTAGACAACGAAGAAGTACGCATCTACCTCGGGCCTTTTGACATTCAAATTCGGGTCCCTGATCGGGACCTACACAAAGCTGACTTTCAAGAATGCTAGGCCGATTTCAGGGCGAAGTGCGGCAGTTAGCTCCCAAATATTCAGTAACTAGAGCTAATCTCCTTGCCTGGCACTAGTTTAGCGTCACCAAAGATAGGGAGCTATCAGCATGAACGGCTAATTAAGCCTGGCGAAGACAAAATCCAATACTATGGAGAAGTCTATGTACGGTTCCCAGACTGCCGGCATGTTCGGCTACTCCTACTTTACTGGTGGCTTTACTGGTGGCTAGGCTGAGTATGTCCGTACCCTGCTCGGCGACGTGAACCTGCTCGAAATCCCTGATAGCGTTCCTAACGAGAAGGCACTTTACCTTTCCAACATACTCGCTACCTCGTACGACGCCGTTAAAAACACTATAGTCTACCCCAATGACCAAGTTTTCATCCCCCAGAGCTCAGGGATCACCGGAATTGACAATCTACTGAGGGAAAAGGGGGGAAATGATGCTGTACAATATGAAAAGCGGTAGCTTGAGCGGCTATTGATAATAATGAGATACGACTGATATCACCGTAACTGTCTTGCTTAAATAAGTCTCACTACACACTGCGCCTCCTTTCGCTGCGGTTCTGTAATATAAAGGCGAGATATGGTACTGTGGACAACATACGGCGAAGAACCAACCTGAGTCCAACCCTCGGGTATCCCCTGCTCCGGTGTGAGAAGTATTCTCCCGAATTCGATTTTAGCAGCGCCAACTCGCCGATAATGCCCAGGGGCTTGTTCCTTCGAAACCATAACGGCGAAAATTGCCAAATTAGTAGCAAAGAGCGGCACCATGTAGACACCCCTCTGTTCAGTCAAACGTATTACCTCTTCTTTGGAACCTTCCAAGTCCAGGTGGGATCCACTTTCGACGACATCGTCGATGACACGGACGCCGGCGACCCCGAACTCGGCGATTGTGTCCCCTGCCCACTTGATGAAGTTCAACCTGAGAGTGACACATTCCAAGTCGATTCGGCCCTTGGCGTGAAAGACCGAACTCCCAACGAGATCAGGCGTCGGGTGTCCCAAAACCGTAGCAAAATGTTCGATGACGTTCTCAGAGGCGGAGGGGAGAAATATTTCCCCTTCAACAGACATCCAGGACCAGCTAGGAGCGCGGTAAGAAGTGGTACTCGACGGCCATGTCTCACTATCGGTACCGGTACGATACCAGCCTAGATCGTAGATCAAAGTGCTTTTCCACATCCCAGCGAGGTATTCGTCTCCAGTGCGCGCTTCGACCATTTTGGCAACTCCGCTGAAGGCTACAAGCTTATCACTCTTGTAGGTCAGATTACATCGGGAGTACTGGCTGACAACTTGGTTCCATGCCTCACGGAAAGAACGGCTGTCAGACTTGTCCGGTATTTTGTGTTTCATCAGCGCTGATAGAACCTCGGATTTGGATTGAGACAGGAGAACAGAAGGTAGTCCGGCGGGGAACATCTCGAGCGCTGTGAGTGTATTGCATTCCCATGCTAGCTGTCGGTTCCCAAAGTGCAACACCCTTGGCGCTAGGAAACGTTCTTGGAATACCCATGTTCTTCGCATCAATGGTGTTTCCTCGATCTCGTCGCTCCAAAGATCACCGTCGACGAGCCAGTAGGATTTACTGAGCCCGTCGACTTCCACGGTGGCTTTTGTGGGGCGGAAAACGTCCCATGGTTGCGGGACGTATAGAGGTTTGTCCTCTTCCGCTCCAAGGTGGGACGCAGAAAGGTTGAGAAAAGAGTTCGAATAAACTTTTTCCATGAGCAAAGCTTCCAATTTCCAGTCAGACATGTCGGGGTCTTGTTTTATGCAAAGAGAGTCGATCCAGAGATACTGTATCCCAAGGTGCCAGGCAAGCGCGATGGAGGCTTGAAAGACTTTTGGAAGCCTAGAAACATCAACATGCAGTTGAAATTGCTGTATGGTGTCTGAAGTCAGTTTGTCGTATATAACATTTCCCCAACGATGGCTGAGAGTAATGTAAGAATGCCGCGGTGGAGTGTCCTTGGTCAAAATGAGCCTTGCGCTTTGGCCTTCATTGCTTATATACAGCAAGCGAGTCGGAAACCATGTTCCGTGGGTTTTGTGTTGACATTGCTGGTGATTCTCCGTGCAATTGCGGATCCAACGTTCGATCAGCTCATAGTCGATGTTGCTTTCAGAGGGCATTGAACCCTGGACACTGATTTCCAAGTCATCTGTGTTGAATCAGTCACCCATGACTCCAAAGAAAAGGCGAATTTTATAGATAGAATATATGTACCATCAGAATCGATGAAATTGACTTCAATCATACAACCCTGAAAAAAGTCGACGTTGATGGGACAAAGGCTAATTTGGAGAATCAGAGCATCTTTACGATTTGACGCGTCTTGGGTAAAATTGTAGTTGGACAGGATAAATCGAATCTCGAGAGATTCTCGTTGCCAAATATCAAACAGTGCCTTGTGTTCCAACTGCATCCATTGCGAGAACTTGAGGCAAATCCAGCACGTCTCAGCAGATGATGGACTGTAAGGTGGATATGTGCTTTTGCCGAGGTTGCTGGGGTTCGCTCCGAGACGCAGCATGCGAATGGATTCAGTGCAAAGTGTGCATATAGCCATGAGTATTTTGACAAAGTATCAAAACGTAAAAATGCGTCGCAAGATGTTGCCTCGATGAGAATGCGTAAAAGGGAGGAAGAAAAGAGCCAAGCAAAAAGATGTTCAACTGCGTCTCGGGTGTTGGGGACCGACAAAGTAGGAGGACCAACAACCAACTGCCTTAATTAACGCATGATGGAGTGGGACTTTATATCTCCTGTGCTGAATAATGCAGCACTGTGAAACTCCACCAACCTGGATATTGCGGTTACTTTCAAGGCAAAGTGCCAAGCCTGATTTGCACGATGACGATCCAACCAACCACATACTGTTGGTTGTTGTGCATATTCTGTCGCATGAATCGTATGATGACCTATGGGTTTGTCGCCCAAACTCGAGAATTGAAGTGGATATTACTATTCTCAACAATGGTAGCACTGTTTAGTAACTAGCATCTTGCAAACAGTATGCTTACTGTCAGAATCAGATACATCCTAGAGTGGCACACAATTATAGAAGTGGGATTCCGATGGGGGGAATGTCTGCCGGATTGAGATTTCGCTGCATGCTACCTCCGATAATTTTGATGTTGCGGTTATGTCGGTGAATTGAGTAATCCCCAATGGAAAGTCAATTGGGAGCAATGAAGAGATATGTGAGGGGAGTTTGTTGGCTGAGTTATGAACGTGAGAGAGGAAGTAACAAAGGACCAAAGCACGCACTCAGCCCAGAGGACCCAATCCAACTGTTACGATCAACAATCATATATCCTTGAGTTCAAAACGACAGAAGCGCCCATGAGCGAGCAAGTTGGGTTTGGATTGCAATGAAACCGGGCCTTGCCGAATCAACAAGAAACCGATTAAGCCTGCAATTAGCTGAGGTAGCTGGTGGCGTCATCGTTCACAACCCAGAGGCTGACCCCTACGGCACGGGCACTGGCGGCAAGAAGTGCTTGCGCGAAGCCGACGATGTCGTCGCCACCCGTGGCCACGCCGCCGCCCGTCTCACACGCGCTCAGGACCACCAGGTCCGCCCGAAGCCGCTGCCACATCAGATCCTCAACCGTCGCACTTGTCCCGCCTGCTAGGTAGATCGCCGACAGAATCGGAGACTCGGCCGAGAGGCTCTCATGCTTGGCGAAATGCAACACTCGGTAGCGGCCGAGCACGGCTGCCACTAAACCACCTCTGGTCAGCCGCTAGTGCCAGCACTTCGAGCACTCTTGATACCATGCACGCCATTTTATTTGACACAAACTTGATTTGGGTGCCCGGCACGCGCCCTCGAAAAAAGAAAAAAACAACAACGACGCCGGTTTTGCCCCTACCTTGCCCTCCCGAACCGGCGGTGTGTTCTTGAGGGCGCGTGCCCGGGTTCCTGGCCCAACAAGTCGCCTCCGAGAAGACCTCTTTTAGCGTCGCACGGACCAGCACAGAATCATGCTGCTTTTTTCACCGAGTCTAGAAGGTTATGTAAGCCATGTGCTTATATCATTGGTAGTTGGCCTTGTTGCTGCCGAGACGCTAAAACGGGTAGCCATCGGGTTCAAATGGCCATTGAGAAGCAGGCGCCAGGCTCAGTCGATTCCAGGCGCGCGTGCGACTCTTATTTGGGGGCGAGACGTCCCTCATCATGCCGCTCGAGCCGTCCGGGTACAAACCCCGACATTTTCATCTCTTCTCTTTCGTATAATGCATTGCCTGTTTCTGCTTCTGTCATCTATCTCATGTTGATGGACTCTCGCCACAACAACTGATTACTCTGTCTGCTGATCGCCGCAGACCAAAGGTAATGTCTCGAAACTGGAAGCTGAACCGGGCGAGGACAGTGCTCGTTTGTCAGTTGTTGAAGGTTCCTGTTAAGGCAGAGGATGAAGGGTCAAGTGGCTGCAACCCGGAAGACCGGTTAACTCTGCACAGGCCATCCACAGTGCATCAGGTTGACGTGGTGGAGCAATCTCATCGTATTCTCGTTTCTCGCCGTGGTTCATTGGAGCCCCGCTCCTCTGAAATTTGATAAGCTTAGGAGCTGTGATCTCAAACCGGGTCAATCCGACGAACCCCCAGGCCTGGGATGACTCGGTTCCGAGCCTGGACCGGCCTTTTGGCCAGGCACCGTCCCGGCCAACGGCTAAATGCAGCTGTCTCATTGGTGGAAAGGCACGAGAAGATAGCGGGCTAACGATCTAAGCCTAGCCCAGAGCTCAAGGCTGCGGGTCGCCAGAGCGTTCCCGCGATGCTTGCTGGGTTGGGCCAAGCAGCCCGACACTACGGTAGGGAGGCCCCCCTAGAAAGCTTAGCCTAACTCGATCCCGCGTCCGGCCCCATATCTGGGCGACTCTTACCTCCAGGGACGCAATTCAGCCGCGCACAATACCCCATTCATCAGGTGGTGTCAGCCAAACTATTGACTCTGGTGGGCGCTGAATCACGAATTCGTATCACGCCTCAAACCCGTTGGGGACTAGTCTCTCTGCTCACCAGACTACTGTGGATTCGGCGAGACTGGTGACGTGGGGACACCGGCTGGACGGGTCACCATGAAGCATTTGCTGCTCCTCGAGTCCAGGCCAGGTCTATTTAGGACTTCTCTTGCTGGGGTCAAGGGCTGAATTTTTCAGCTCATAGATTCTTTGCAGTTAATTAACACGATAGCAGGGTCCGGACGCCCCGAGCATCAATCATGAGGCTAGGCAAAAAAACATGCAGTCCAACCAGCCCTTGAAAGGTTGTTATCTTGCTACGCAGGCGTGCTACTATTACCCATGGAGAAATTCTGAAGCAAACGATTCCCGCTGGATCCGCGTGCTAATCTGGTAATTCTTCATGGGCTAGGTTGGAGAGGCACGTCCGACTTGGGGAGTATACAAGGACCCTCCTGGGCAGCTCCAACGTCTCAATTCTCGATCTTGGATCTCTTGCGCCGCCTTCCTTCATTACTTTGTGAGAGCCAGCCATACCTGTAAGCAGAACAGCCTCTGTCAACACGATGGTCATGATCGTGCCCTTGGTGCTGCTCAGCCTCTGTGCATGGAGTGCCGCCCAAGAAGGTTTGAAAAGTGCTTCTTCTGTCTCACGTGTTCCGGCTTGTAAAGCAGGCGCGGTCTTGATCCCGTCTACTCCCAGTCTCACCACCACCGCCAGAACATCACTGTTGCCTGCTAACAGTTCCACAGCTGTTACTGTTGCTCTCGACGGAACTGGTCAGTATACCGAAATCAACTCGGCTATCTCTTATGCCCAGATCAACAATATTGCTACGGTTACTGTCAAGGCCGGCACATACACTGAGGCCATTTCGATCCAGGCAACCGCTACCGTCACGATCGTTGGCGAGACCGCAGCTACCGGCAGCAGCTACTCTGACAACCTCGTCACAATTACCAACGACGGTGGAGATGTGCCGCCCGTAACATTCGTTACAAGCACCTCCAAGGGAGTGGCTTGGAAGAACCTGAACTTCGTCAACTCCAATGCGAATTCTGCCGCTGGAATTATCTCCCTCCGGGGCTCCCGGAACGCATTCTATTCTTGCCAATTCACTGCCGCCGGGCAAGTGGGTTTTACAGGCAGCCAAGCCACGGGCATTATCGCGAACTCGTACATCCAAGCCGCCGACAAAGCCATCTACTCTTACGGCAGTTTATATATTTACCAAACTACCATCACTGCCACCAACAGCAACGCCCTTCTGGTGTACAACAAGGGCGCGACCGATTCCACTGGCAAGCAGTACAATTCCACAGTCGTTTTCGATACTTGCCAAGTAATTCAGAAGCCGGGAAGTACGAACACGAACGTCTTCTTGGCTGCTGCAAATGGCGCAGGCTCTGTGGTTGTGTATCGTGACACATCTCTTGCCAGTTTCATTGCGAGTACTGGTGTGCATGTCGATGCGACGACGCAAGACTTCCGCAACACCTACATTGAGTCTGACACCACCGGCCCCGGAAGCTACTCGAACAAGCCTGCTGCTCGTAGCCCCTACGTCTCACTGGTCACCGATGTCACCGGCCTAGCTCCTTATGACATCTCGGTCTTCTTCAGCAATGTGTATCCTACTGTTGTGGCCACTGACGTTGATTGGGTTGACGCACCCATCCTGGCATCAATCCAGAGAAGCACATCGGGGTCAACCACCACCTCGACATCCTCATCCACAACGATCTTCCAGGAGTCGAGCACCTTGAGCACCATCGCCACAACCAGCACATTCAGCACACCTAGCACCTCGAGCGCCATTAGCACTTTCATTGCAAGCTCCTACTCGACTGTTAATTCCAGCACCACAACTTCCGCTGATACTCAGAGCACTACTGCCAGCCTTGGCACCAGTACTGGTGTCGCCGCGACTTCCGGAACTTCATCAACTAGCGAAGCTACGATTTCCAGTTCGGCCGTGATAACTACAAGCGTCGCGGCCTGTCTTCCGTCGTCAATGCCGTCGACAGCTCTAATTGTCGGCCCGGCAAACTCCTCGTGCGCCACTTATAATAGTGTTACGGCTGCAATTGCTGCCCTGCCTGCTGACACAACCACCCAGTACATCTACATCTTGGCCGGTACTTATAACGAGAAGGTGTCTCTTGTGCGGACGGGAACCACCATCATCCGAGGAGAAACTGATAACGCCCTCTCCTCGTCGTCCAACAAGGTCACCATACGGAATGCATCGGGCGTCCTCTCCAGCGCTGGTAACTCTGCCGGTACCGCCACATTCTCTGCCAACAAGTACGAGGCCAAGCTAGTCTCGTTCTATAACATCAACTTTGAGAACAACTTCCCCTCGCAGACGAACTACATTGCGCTGGCGGCCTACTCCAAAGGCACAAAGGTGGCTTTCTACAGCTGCAACGTCAAGTCTTCCCAAGGTTCTATCTATCTCGACTACGGCAATGTCTTCTTCAGTGGCGGCCGCATTGAGGGCACAACTGACTTTGTCTGGGGTATCGGCGCGGGATACTTCTACAACTCGGTCATTGTGTCCACGGACACTATCATCGGCCAGAGCATCGCCGCTCAACGGTATCAGAATGCCTATGGAGGTTCCCAACTGGTATTTGACGGGTGCGCTGTAGTGCCATCCGGCCAGGCTGTTTCCCAGCAGACAGTTTACCTCGGCAGAGACTACAGTACGAATGCCCAGGTTGCCTTCATCAACTCCTACCTCGATGCGCATATCTACGCAGCCGGATGGAAGATCAGCAACGCAGCCACTTTCACTGGCACTTTTGTTGAGGCGAACAACACAGGCCCTGGAGCCAGTGCTTCCGGGCGCGCTTCAGTTGTTCAGATTCTGTCAGACACCTCGGCATATACCGTGAAGAATATTCTCAGCGATGATAGCTGGCTGGACTCTGCTGCCATTGCTCCTCACCAAGTCTGGCCTAGCTCAGTTTATGCGGTAGCGACGACGACTCCGTCGAATGTTACAACCACGACTGTGGCCACTCAGACTGGTTCGGCCGTTGTTACGAACACCACCTCGTCTATGTTGAATACCTTCACTGTGGCTCCTTCCCCAGCCAGTGGCGAATACAGCACGGTGTCTTCCGCTATTGCAGCTCTGCCTGCCGATGGCAAGGAATACACCATCTTCATCAAGGCCGGAACCTACGAGGAGCAGGTCAGCATCACTCGTCGGGGTAAGGTCACTCTCCGTGGTGAGACGCCGTTTGAAAACGATTTCACCCAGAACACTGTTCTCATCAACTTCAGTCGCGGTGTGTCAACCTCTCTGGGCCAGAACGAAGATACACCCGTGATGGACTGGAAAAACACAAACGGCGATGGCCTTGCGCTGTATAACATCAACTTTACCAACACATACCCGCAGCAGGCGAGCACTGCTGCCCTTGCTGGCGACTTCTTCGGCACCAATATGGCGGCATATGGCTGTGCCTTTAGTGGGTTCCAGGACACCCTTCTCGTGAACCAAGGCGTGCAGGTGTTCAGTAACTCGTATATTGAGGGCAGCGTCGACTTCATATGGGGCTATAGCAAGGCCTACTTCCGGCAGTGCTATGTGGCTTCCAACACGCCGAATACTTACATCGCTGCCCAGAACCGGCCAAACGCTGATTGGGCGGGCGGTTTCGTCTTCGACAAGTCCGTCATCACGTACACGTCAAGCTTCGGTTCAAACTTTGGCACCACTTTCTTAGGTCGTCCTTGGTCCCAATATGCCGTTATCGTCTACATGAACTCTTTCTTGGACAAACATATCTCCCCTGCTGGCTGGAGTGTTTGGCAACCGAGCAACCCACAGACGTCGAACGTCCTGTTCGGTGAGTACAACAACGTTGGCGGGGGCAACTGGACCGACGCCCGTGCCTCTTTTGCGACCGATCTCACCGACGCCCAAGCCGCGCAGTACTCTCTGGAAAACTTCATTGGCAACACTGGCTGGATTGATGCGAAGGCTTACGCCTACACGCCTAGCTACAACCTCACTGCACTGGCCAGTGCCTCTGACACCACCGTTCCCACCTCCCCGGTTCTGACACACCCTACAAGTGGAAGTGAGCCACCGGCAGGAGCAGTGCTAGTAGCAGCTGATGGAAGCATTCCAGGAGCTTTCACCAATTTGACCGCAGCTCTCGCAAGCCTGCCTTCTGACACGAGCAGCCAAGTTATTTTCATGTACCCTGGAACGTACAACGAACAGGTCCCTTCCATCAACCGGCCCGGCCCCATCATGATCATTGGATACACAAGCGATGCCCCTGGCAAGAGTTACAAGAACAATCAGGTCACGATAACCCAAGCTCGCGGTCTTTCTGTCAGTCCCGCCCCGGTTGGACATAGCGATGCAGAGACGGCTACGATTGCCACGGCCAGTTCACAGATCTCTTGGTACAATATTGACCTGGTCAACCGGGATAACCTGGATGGTGCCATCGCTAGCTATGTAACTCTTGCTGCCAGCATCTACGGAGATAAGATTGGCTTCTATGGTTGCTCCTTTGTGGGATGGCAGGACACGCTGCTCACTGGCGCTACAGCGGGCACCCAGTACTATGAGAGCTGCTACATTGATGGAGCTATTGACTTTATCTGGGGTTACTCCAAAGCGTACTTCAAGGGCTGCACCATTGCTGCCAAGCGAGCCAAATCTGCCATGACCGCTCATAGCCGCTCCAGCCTGTCATCCATCGGCGGCTATATTTTCGACCAATGCCTCTTCACTGAGGCCCCCACTGCCACTGTTGATCTCAAAGGGATGGTCTACCTTGGCCGCCCATACTCTCAGTATGCTCTCGTCGTCGTCAAGAACAGTTATCTCAGCGATGTCATCCAGCCCGCTGGCTGGAAGACTTGGTCCGCCTCGGACCCTCGCACCGATCACGTTACCTTCGCGGAGTACAACAATACCGGCCCGGGTAACTGGGAAAACAACATTGCTGCGCGTCAAGCGTTCCAGAACTGCACCCTCCTCACCAGCGATGAATACCCTCTGAGCAAGGTCATGCCAAGCACGGACTGGATCGACATGACCTACTGGGACCAGATCCAGATCCCTGAACCTGACGTTGTGCCTGTCACCCCGACCACCCCCACAGTCTACGATGGTACTAAGCCTCCTTCGGGTGCTTTCATCGTGTCCAAGACTCCGATCGAGGGCCAGACTACATACGACACCATTCAGGCTGCACTCAACGCCCTTCCTACTTCGAGCAAGATCGCTTCTACAATATTCATCTACCCTGGCACATACAACGAGCAGCTGACCCTGAACAAGTCGGGCACTACCATTCTTCTTGGCTATAGCTCTGCATCTGGTGACTACTCTCAGAACCAGGTTACCATCAGCTTCAACAAGGGCATCGACACGCAGGCTGATGCTTCCAACTCTGACTCGGCCACTGTTTACGCGACAGGTAACTATCTGCAAGCAGTGAACATCAACTTTGCAAACACTTTTGGCACTGATAACAAGTGAGTTCCTGCGCCTTGAATTTCGTCTCGACTGATTCATGACTGATCCATTTCAAGCTATGCTTCCCTTGGCTTCGCTGTCAAGAGCAGCAGGTACGCCTCTCTGTATGGTTGCCAGGTTTACGGAAACCAAGACAGCTTGCTCATCAACGGCTTCTTTTTCGCATCGAATTCATACATCGAAGGCAACATCGACATGATCTGGGGTGCTGGTGCCGGTTATTTCCTCAATAGCACCATCGCCCCCAACCGCGACGGCATTGCCCTCACTGCCAGCAAACGCGCGACGAACACCACCGCTGCCGGCTTTGTGTTCGACCAGTGCACCATTACACCCGCCAAAGGAGCCAAGTACACGTCTATATCTCTCGGCAGGCCGTGGAATGCGTTCGCTCGCGTCGCTTACATAGACAGCTATCTTGACTCATGTATCAAGACGACGGGTTGGGATCAATGGACTAAGACAGACCCTCGCACGGATGGGGCTGTCTTTGGCGAGTTCGCCAATGACGGACCTGGCTCTGAATTATCGTCCCGAGCTCCCTTTGCCACCAAACTCACTTCGGAGACCGCCGCCCAGTTTGAGCTCGCAAACTTCTTCAGTGTTGTATCGTGGATCAACATGACCCTAGTATCTGCGACGCCGTTCCAGGCTGGTGCCATCGTTATGCCTACTACCACAGTGACCAGCACTAGTACTTCAATCACGTCGACCGAGTCTAGCAGCATTCCGGTCACAACCACGACTGTCTTCACCACCCAGGTATCTACACTGACGGGGACCTTGCTCGTCTCCGTTCAAAAGCCTGATACCGTTATGACGCTTAAGAGTACTTTAACGATCAACGCTGCGACTGCCATCACCCCCCCTCCTGTGGCAAAGACGACCGTCGTCAAGTCTACAACTACCGAAGTTGCTACTATTCAAGAGCCGGATTTCACTGTTACCCAGAAATTGGCTACGACTGTCAACGTTGGCACTACAATTAGTCACGATCCTGTCGTAGCTACCTCCACTTTGGTCGCTACCTCAACCCGCACTGAGGTTATCACCCAGCAAGCTAAGCCTCGCACTATTACATCCACGATCACCACCACTCGCTGGACCACCAGCACCCCCAAAGTCGTAACTACTACTCAGGTCATTGGCGCCACACAATTTTTCACCAAGACCATAACCCCCAAGCCTGTAATCATCAAGAAAACTGAGACGCAAACTATTGGCGACGGCGGCGCAACAACTATCACAGCCAAGGCTCTTGTTACCACTGCCACAGTTTACACTACCATTACCCGTGTTGCCGAAAAAACAACTACAATCAAGTGTATCCCTACCAATGGTCTGACCGAGAGGTCATTTGCAGAATTTGAGGCCAACGACATGGACATCGCGGCTGGATACCTTGAGGCTCGAGCCGTTGGCGATTGGACGGTGACTGTCACTATACTTTCCACTTTCAGCACCAACATAAAGACATCAACAATCTCCTTGCCCGGGAGCACCGCCACGACTGAGCTCATCACAACCAAGACGGAAGGAAAGCCTGTCACTTTGAAGCCTGCGACCATTTTTGAGACAAGCGTGGCCGTGCGAACTCTTACCTCGGTGACTACTCTGGCCGGAACCCCTTCCACGACAACTATCTTGAAAGTTGTCTCCGCCGGCAAGACCACCACGCTCAAGCCATCAACCAGTACTGTCGTCGTTGAAGCTACGCAAACGGTGGTCGTAAAATCTACCACGAAGCTGGATGCCATCACCCAGAACGTGGTCAAGACGCAGACCCAGGTTGCCACCAGCGTACTCCCTCAGCAGACGGAGATTGTGACCCGTCAGGAAAACTCATCGAAGACGCAGACTGTAGTTCTTCCCGTCCAAACGTCGACGGTCTGGACGACGGTACGCTCTACAGCGAAGCCCTCTGCTACCATCACGAACCGCTCAACGATTACCAAGACGAAGACCCTGCAGGTTGGCGTGACGGTGACCAGCTGGGCGACCCAAACGAGCAAGAACGCCAAGGCGTGCACAGCGGCCTAGAGTATTGTGGTTAGGAGAGCAGGAATTTTGAAGTATTCTCTTGTCAAAATTAATCACATTACTTTCTTGAACTTTTCTTCTCTTCTTTTATTTACAGCAGTTGTCTTGGAGATGTCACTTCAGACCTTTACATGCTACTGTGCAAGCTCGTAATTATAAATAGAGTCAGTTAGCTAGCACTGATGTAAACTACCTTTAATGGACTGCCTAGTCTTTTTCCTAGCAGATATGTAGAACAAGACAACTGCAGCACAAAGATGATTATGTTACGTCTCTGAAATTCGTGCTAGACGCGGTAATCCCAGACGTGAAGACCATCATTCCCTGGGTTAAGCAAGGTCCTGGACCGCTGGCTGAGCAGTCAACGTAATGGTCAACAATTGTTGATGGCACAGGGAACCGCCAGGTACAAGATATTGACTATCTGGGGTCGGAAAGGAGGTTGATCATTTGGCTGAAAGAAGTTTAAGAAGATGGGCATGCTATGTACTCGTAGGGTTTTGGAGCTAAGTGTTTAACAATGCTGCTCAAGGTTGTAGGCAAGCGACGTCTACATAATAGCATTAAGCGCTGACTTGCTGTGATAGGAAAGCTGGTGGAGATAGGCTTGAAGTAGACGTTGCGATTCTTAGCATTGTCGTACATCTTGTTGCACACCAGCCCTCTGCAGGGCATTCCGTTGCATCCAATCCAGGTATCGAATGGCATCAGATAAACCACGTCCTAACTACTAGTGATCCCACCATACTGGGAACAGCTGGCTGGTAAAAACAGCCAAGTCGATGCTGTTAAAGTTCAACCAGAGAAACAATCTCTCTGGCATAGTTCAAGATTGCAAGAGGTATATCAACATGTGAGACGGCTTTTTCGGCTTTTTGCATCCATTTTCGTATTTGCCCCATTAACCAGAGGCTGCGAACTGGGAGGATCCCATTGTTGGAAATTCCCACTCTAGTTGAACCAGGAGTAGAAACATCATGTTCAACTCAAGTTCACTTGTCACATTACAAAAGACAAGCCAGGTTTTTCTACTGCAATTCATTTTTTGGTACTTATTATTGCAAGAGCCAGTTTTTGTCGTTTTTGTCCTTTTGTGTATCCAAACGAGCAAGGTAGTTAATGAATAGAAGTATTAAGAAACTTCACACGAAAAGCCTGTCAGGTTTTCCCAATCAAGAAAGCAACCCGTCTGTAACCACACATGTCGGCTGTACATCCCCAGAAACCAAGCTCAAAGCACAGTGAGACAGCTTCTGTTTTCGCTGCCTTGCCGCTGCTACCAGACTCAAAAGAGCAGCGTACAGCTTACTATCTGCCGGTTTCAAACTCTGGGCTCAGGGTTGCTAGGCTTGCCAGGGGTAAGGGGGCTAGGAGAGGGAGGAGGAGGAGGACCGCTCTGACGGCGCTCCTTAGGGCCCTGGGGAGCTGGGGGCGCCGGAACGAAGGAGGGGCCAGGAGGGGGAGGAGAGCCAGCCTCGCGGCGCTTCTGGGCCCCAGGGACACCGGAGCAGGCCTTGTCGAACACCTTCAAGTTGGCATTGGACTGCTTGGGGACCTGTGAGGCAGGGACGGCGTAGAGCTGGCACCGAGGAGTGGTGCTAGACGGATCTTGGCCGAAGACGAAGCTTTGGCAGCTGGGGTCAGCCTCGCATTGCTTCTGGCAGGCTTCCGCGGTGGCAACGTCTGGCTGGGAGCTCGGAGTGACGTTGTTAGCCGGAGAGCCGGTGGGGGCGGCGTTGCAGACGTCGCGAATGGCGATAGGACCGGCCTCAACGGCGGCGGCGGCAGCGAAGGCAAGAATAGTAACAATAGTAAATGACTTCATTTTGCTTGGTGGCGGTGTGAGTTCGAAAAGACTGGAAGCGTAACTCGAGTTAAGGGAAGCTGGTTGCGGAGGAAAAAGGAATAAGTGAGTGATTTAAAAAGTGAGATCGTTGCGGATGATGAGGGAAGACGAGTTGTGGTTTGGACAGGATGTACGAGGACTTTTATCTTCGTTGAGCGTCTCATTCCAGCTGGGTGCCTGACCGGATGGCAGATGATCTAAATAGACTAGAGGCATCGAAAGATCGCTTTACGGCCCCTTCAGGCATACCTACACAGCCTACTTTTGGAACGCGTGGACAAGCAGATGATCGTCGTTTTGGATACCACTGTCAATATGAGGCTTCGTAATACTATGCCAGAAGTTACCCTCATGAGCCACAGAGAAGGTGTCCTGTCTTTGCTTTCCACTCTCGACATGGTATACTTGACGTTTTCACGCTGATAGAATGGCAGTGAAGATCGCGATGCGATGTGGGTGAACACCCTGAATGTCTCGGAAAGAGCGTCCACCATTTTTATAAAGTAAAGAATATCTCCTTGGTGCCATGTTCTGAGGGCGAAAGACGGCCAGGCACAGTAATTTTCGAATCTGCGTGGCTTGATGACGGTATCCTGGCACGTTTCCGAGATTTTGTAACTCATGACGCTCAAAGATATCTACCCTCACAAGGAATGACTAGCCACAACGTAAGGGACGAGCATCGTATCACAACAGTCATAAATATAACTATCCCAGCCACCCCACCTTGTGCAAGACACATGCTTGACTCCTCAGCGTGAGGCTTAGTCATGAAGCTCTACTTGCCGACTTGATATCAACGGGCCGCTAACCGGGCGCCGTCTGCGGCACAGTCGGTGACATAACAGGGGACGTGCGGGAAAACGGGGATAGCCATGCATCACATCCCAGCCAAGCTTTGCGGCTCCCGTCCTCTAATCCCCCACATTCCAGAAAGGTTCCCATCTGGGAGGTGGGATCCGGAAGGCTTCTACCGTTTTTTCAAACCCCCCTCCCTATTTCATGGCTGAGTGGATTCAATTTAGTTAGAGATTTGCCCTAAAGTTGGGTACTGTGCGAGGTACCCGCAGTGACATTCTTAGTAGAGTATTTAAGACCGGAAGGGCAGCTCAACTGCAGTGCAGGGTCCCCCAAATCACCTTAACGCAGCTCAACAGGAAACTTCCGAGACTATGCTTGTATTTTCCCTCAGCTCGTATTGGCTGCAAGGTTACAGATTTGACGAGGGCCCTACCCATAGCGCAATCGGAGGGCCCTGGTTACTTGCAGCAAGATATTAATAACTCTAGATAGTATGTGTGCGGGTCGGTCGGCATCCCTAAAGCTAGGATTAGCCTGTGTTCAACCGACTACTATGTGAAGACTCCTACTTTATTAGTATTTCCTCGAGCTTGATGATGCTGAAGATTTTGAAACAAAACATTTAACAAAGGTGGGCGATTGAGATGCCTTACACATGTGAACCACAGAGAATGCGTCGCCATCAAGTCCAAAATAGACCTTGTCTAAAAAATGTCTGTCGGTCACAATGTTGTGCCGCGTAGGTTGACAGTTGTGCTAGAAAATGATGATCATCGCCGAAGTCCACTATCAACATGTCCACAGCGCTTACTAATTTGGCCAACACGACTCATGCACAACGCTCAGCTGCCAAACTGCCAAACCAAGGGTCAGAACACGGAACATATAACTACCCATCATTATGACATTGTACGTACGCGCTGCGTAATCCGAACGACGATCACGACGACCTAAGGGGGTGTTTTCTAGAGAGTATAAAAGCGGTCAAACAGTATGACGCGTCTGTTGGGCTTGAAGGCCTTTAAACCTTGACGATCGCCTTTTCCAGCAGCTAGAATTTGCTACTGCAGCTCTAAATGACAGCATTCGAATTCCACGCGTACCTTTGGTTTTCTCAAAGACTACTTAAGTGAGAATGCGTGGACCGAAAGCTTTAGTCGAGTGTATGCTGTGCATGAGTTCCGGCTGGGGATTACTGTTGATTCATGTGGCTGCTTGGAATCAAAAGACAATATTGACCCATAGCAAGTGGTTGAGCATTGGGAGTTTCTTAAATAATAAAGGGAAACAAAATTTGTCAAGAATTTATTTAAAGTAGCTGTTAGTTGGAGCACCCCAAAATGACCCATAACTTTAGACACCTTGTTGCCTTCTGCTATTCATATCTGAACATTGTGGTAATTCCAATCCAACTGTTTGATAAAAACTCATAGAGCAGCAAGAGCCCGTCAAATGATTCTCAAATTCATCTGTAGCGGGTGTCTATGGCTTCAGATTACTGTTGGAAAAGGGGTAATTGCAGGCAACAGGAGATAAGAGGCGCAGGCCAGCACCGGCCACATCTGGCAAGGTGGGGTCGCCGGTCTCCATACCTAGAACAACCAGCAATTACTACCACTTTGGACATGATCGCTGCTATCACTTGTACGATTCTCCCATCGCCTGTATGTTACGACCCAGAAAGCGTTGGTTAACATAACCACCTGGAACGAACCCACGGGGGACCAAGGGACAATCGGACTCATGTATGCCTGACCACGGCGCTTACGGGTAAGGGTCAGAACGGAAGAACTATAGACAAGTCACGTGATAATAAGGAAGTGATCAAGAGATAAGGTGATTACTAGGAGTAATCACCAAGTAAGCAGCTTACCTCGGGCCTACTTTAGTTGATCACTACTAATAGCATCATAATAGATAGACATAAATATATAAACAAGACTTAAGCCTAGAACTCAAGGACTCTCTATAGCTCTTTAGTAATCAACTTTATGATTCACTTTCTTATAAGTAACTCTTAGATTATCCTTTTATTATAAAGCTATAAAGCTATCTATACCTAGACGTGCCTAACTAATCACTAAACACTAATAAACCAGTAAGATTACTAATAAGACTTACTTTACTATTACTAAGTATTAACCTTAGCTACTTATTAGTAAAAAACACTACTATTAACGTACATGCATAGTGAGTTGCCCATCATAGTGAGTCGTCTACTTCCTTTTCCTTTTACACCTTTTCTTTTCCTCTTAGCTTTATTCTATGTACGATAATGAGTTTTACTTTAAATGAAAGCTGTATTCTCTTTATACTTTAAGCTATTAAAAAAGACCTAAAATTATTTATATAGAAGGCTACTTCTATTTATAATGTCCTAAAAATAATATTTTATGATTAACGTATTAGATGACTATTATGATAGGAAATATGATTGAAATTAATAAAGATGACTAAGCTAGAAGAAATAGTGATTCTTGAATAAGTTATTGACCTAATTAATTAAGGATTTTTATTATGACTTAATAATATATAAGATATAGCTGATTGCCTCTTTAATAAATGTAATGTGATATGTGTTAAACCTTAATAAGTAGAGAACTTTGTATGACGCTAATTATAACTAAAGACGTGTTTTTGATATAGAATTAACTATTAGAGGGTATTAGCTAAGGATCTTATAATTATATAAGCCTAGTTTATTTTTATATAAAATATAGTTATAAAGTATAGAATTTATAATAATAATATTTATAATTTTAATAAAATAAGTTTTTTAATAAAAATACTATTATATATAAAAGTTATTATAACTTTTAATTATAAGGGAAGGCCTTATATAAAATAGCTTAGTAATTATAAATAGGTTTCTATTATTTAAGGTATATATATAGATAGCTAAGTGTTGTTTTTATATATTATTATTAAGGGTAAATATTACCTCTTCTCTTAGTATACTAATAGCTAATTTTTACCTTAATAATATATTTACTTTAATAAAAATAAATAAACTATAAATAAAATTAGCTTAGATTAGCTATAGTATTTTAAAAAGTATATAAAGTCTTATATAAAAAGTATTAAGTAGCTTTTAATTTTTAATAACTATAATAGCTATAAGTTTACTAAGTTTAATAATTACTATAAAAAATATAGTATTATTACTTTTTATATACCTTTTTATTTATTATATAAGCTTTAACCTCTTAATATTAGCTATTTTAGTCTACTAAAGGTATTATATAACAAAGAAATTAAGAAAATAATATAAATATAGATTATATATATTACTAAGGATAACTTTTTTTCTGCTTTTAAGGTAGCTTTTTTTACTTTAATAAGTAAAGAAAACGTATAAGCTAGTTTTAAATAAGCTAGCCTTATACTTTTTAACTTAGAAGTAGTTATTTCTTGCCTAGATTTTAAGCTAAAGACGTTAACATTATTTAACTTATACCTAAGTAGCTAAGGCTCTTAGGACCTAAAGATACTAACTATAGTATATAATGTTATATAAAGCTTTATATTACTTAAAAAAAAGATTTATAGTTATTAATATAGTTTATTAATATACTTATATAAAGTAGTTAACTTATAAGCTAAAAGTATTACTAAGTTAATATATTAATTAGTTCTTTTTAAGGCTAAGAACTGTAGGCTTTGTATAGCAAATAAGGTATTAAGTAAGCGCTAGAGGGCTAAAAAAACCTAACTATGTCTTAGAGGATTACTTAATATAGTTAAAGCTAAGGTAATTTAGGTAAAAAAGGGGGTTATTAATGCTAGAGGCAAAAATATATGTTAAGAGAGGGCTTATATAGAGGGGAGTAAATTGTGTAGTTAGCAATATAGTAATTACAGAAAGACTAGACATAATATATAAATATGTTAGGTAGTATAGGAGACTTTTAAAGAAGAGAATAATAAGTAGTTTTAATTGATTTTATATAATACTACTTAATTAACTTATATAAATAGCTAGAGGGTAAGTAGAAGTAAGCGACTTACTATGATAGGCAACTTACTATATATATATATTAGATATTTAACTATAATACTTTAATTACTTTTATTTAGTAAGTTAACTTTAATACTTACTAAATAGTAATAATATTCTCTAAAGCTACTTTAACTTTATCTTTTAGTAGATTTAAAAAAAAGGTAATTATACTTTTTAA